AGGCTATCATTAGACACTTCTTCCTTTTCTGCACTTTTTGCCTTAGTGCCTGTCTTTATTGCAGTGGGTATGCCAGGGTATCTTTGATGAAATGCCTCCCATAGATACTCTATTAATGAATATACTGCCATCCCGCAGAGAACACTGAATAATAACCGTATGATATTCGGGTACTGCCATATTTGGGTTATCTCTTCTTTAGAATCCACTCTCATTCTATTTATTGCATTTTTGCACCCGAATATATTGTATATCTAAAGATCATTTTTATTTTTATATTTATATTAATACTCTGCTACTTCTCTATATACTTGTATAAAGCATATTAGTATTTAACAATTTGAGTCAAGATCACTACTGCAGGATATACACAGAAGAGTGTGCAGAGTGTGTTATACTGAGGGTATTCTGCTGGATACCTCTTGTATTTGCGCATATCCACTCTCTTTCCACTCTACTGCATGCATACTTGGATAGTTGTGACTTTTCTGTCTTGGATGGCTCTATTTCTGAGTCTGCCATCATACAACAGACCATCTGAGTCATAGACAGAAACATTCTCTATGTGCTAACTGCACTTTCTAGCTAGTGTATCTGTTATACACTGTACTATGTCTATATATTCACTTAATAGACTTTCTTGCATTAGCAACACACAACTGTTGCATTTAGAATGCTTTAAAGTAAAGTATATTTATTGAATATCCTTCCTATTAATAATCTTGCGCTCTTGGGAAATTTCAGAGAATTCTCTGCAAACTAGATAGAGTAAAAGAAAAAAGACAACTGTCTCTTCTCCATAAAGCTCTATTTAAGCACAGAAATAATTTCCTACAAAACCAATACTAGCAAAATAAATTATTTTCTGGTTAGTGAAGAGTTAGCTATAACACTAGCAAAACTTCAGTAAAGCAGCTATCAAACAGCAAACACTTGGATAGCAGTCAGAAGGCTGCTGAGAGTTGAATTGTGCGTATAGAGTTATATGGACAATCTATGAGCTATTCTTTGAGTATCCGAGCCCTTCCAAGTTAAGTCTTCTGGCAGTTCACCTACTGTCTAAGAGCAAGACCATTGTAAAATATTTACTAGAACTTAGGGTGTTCGAGGCAGCATTCTGGGCATTTGGAGTGCTTGAAACTTTCGGGTTATATCACTGGGTTCGGGTGGGTTTATGGTTTTTACATATTCAGAAAGAACATGCAGAATATAGCTGTCTATTGGAATCTTGGGTATTTCTATCTGTAACTTAGAACAACCCGAATTTACAGCACACTTACGAATTCCTAAATGAACTTTTTCTGGTGTCACAAAACGAATAACTATCGACTGATTCCTGCATTTTGTTACATAGTGGATCACTATACTTCCAGTCAAATAGTTTTTATTATTCACTATCTGAATACTATAATCCACAAAGTTCACAAGCATTATTCTCTTATCATTAGAAGATGTAGAAGATATTGAGAATACATCTGCAAGTGTTTTATTCTTTAAGAATTCTCTTGTCATATGAAAAAATATTACTTCTGCATACTCTGCAATTCCTTTTGTAAAACAGGTTATTCCGAAAGATCCATCCATCTGCTCTCGATCTTGTAGTCTTTCTCTGTACTCGTGTATTTGCTCTATATATTTACTGCAGTCCAGTCCTGTAACTTTTATCATTATTATGAGAATATTTAAAATATCTGGTTCAATCACACGCTTATTATTCTCTAGTGTTGTGTAACTTATGTATGTATTGCGCTTCACCAAGTTCTTAATTATTTTACTCCATTTTTTCTGAACCTCTTGTGGTATTTTCTGCCCTACCTGAATGACAGGCGTATTACTGCTTGGTGGGTTGTTTATATCTGGATTTCCACTTGTTTCGGATGAATCGCTAGAGGTACTCGCGTTTTTAGATGGCATGGCAAACAGACTCTTCACTTCCTTTGACATGTATGGAAGATGGTCAAAATTGTATTTATCTGTCTTCGGGTCATATGCAATGCAGCATAATAAAGTAAGCAGCACAGACTCTATGTCACTTGAAATTAGCCATTCTTCTGGCTGTACACTCCCTTGGGTATTTGCTCCAACTGTTATTTTGGTAGGGAGCAGGCTATTATCTGCAAAGGGAAGTAGTCGGATTTTTTTACTAGCTTCAGCCATACCTTCAAACTCTTTTATCTTCCCCCACCACTTTAACACGTCTGACTGCGTATCTTCACCTTCGCACATAAAGGACTTTTCAAAGAACTTCTGTGCAATATTTCTATAATTACTACCAAGTGGATACTTATTCTTACAAAACACCAATTTTTTGATTATATTATAGTAGAGTTTATCTATATCATCTATAGTTTCCAGATAGTAGTATATGTATGACTGTATAAGCCATGTTGGGGTCTTAGTAAACTCATTCTTCCAATAAACTTCTTTCTCGGCAGATTCCTTCAGCGCTATACTCTCTTCAAGCTCCTGGCAGGACTCTGCATTAAGGAAGTACTTAATAGTCTGCACTATTTTACTGCTACTTTTTTTTATATTTGCTTCTTCATTAGAGTCACTGCTTTCCTGCTCTTCTGCACTAGCAATGCATATGGGAACACTGAAGGATTGCTCTGGATTGAACTCATCTGTCCATGTAAGTCTTGGGCATGCGCTTTCCTCGTCCTCAATTATCAGCGGCACAGGCACTCCCTCTGCCCGCAGAAAAAGTATTGCAAGGATGTTATGCGCATATTCCTTGACAGGGTCACTCTTCAAGAAAGAGGTGAAAAAGTCTTTGCAGCCTTCTTTCGGATAGATGCTTATTTTTTCATATGGGGAAGGGAACATGTTAATCAGTGCATTGTAGTGGTCTACAACTCTATTCGGGAGCCTATTTCCCTCTGAATCCTCTTCTCTAGCTATGTCGTTTGTTGAATCTCTTATCCAGAAAAGACCTTTATTCGGTGATGTAAAATAATATTTTTTTATGTATAAATCAGTAAATCGATTATTGTAAAGAATATCAACCTTTCCATATGCATATAGAATAATTGGGCTAATATTCCCACCTATTTTAATGCTCACCTTACCTTTTGTTCCACTTAATAATACTCTTATCACTGTATTCATGTCCTCTTCGCTTAATAACCCTAAGACATTCTGCATAGATAAAAGCATGCATATAAGAAGCACCTTTGCTAGTAGACTGATAGGTATCTGTCTGTTCTTTCTTTTGTATAAATATTTATGTAGCTGATTTCTTCTCTCTGAAGTGTTAGACTTGTTCATACAAATGTGGATATATTTTATTTCTCGTCGCCTATTTATAGGCCTCAAAGAGAAGTCTATCAAATTGACGCCATGAAAGTAGAATCTTATTAGATACGTATGGCAAGTGGCAATATATATTACCTACTCAATCACTTGATTGCAGCCAAATAAAACAAGCAGAGGTTCTTATATAGTATTAGCCTTTAACCAAAGCCCAGAAGGCAATAGCCAACCCATACTTTCTACATTGCTAACCCAGGTAAAGAGTTTCATGCGCGCAAGGCAAGGAAAACCAACACATGTATTTTTCCTTTCATGTTCATATTTTAACACTGCAACCTTCAAATATTTTTGCAGTAATTTGTTTAGTAAATCCCACAGAAGAGAATTCGAGCTATATCGAGTGCATTTCTGCAACAAAATATAATAAAATTTAACTAGTCTTACACACGTATATATTCACGCGTTTGCTTGTTGTTATCCCTGCCTTGAGGGCACAAATCCCTTTTCCAAGCCAGCAATGTGCCACTAAAGCGTCTGCCTATTTGTGCCTGAGTGGCCTGCTCTTTCTGGGCTGTTTTGTGGCTGGCTGTGTTCTCCCTGTGCTCTGCCAGCTGAACATGCTTGCTGGTCAAATGCCAGTAGATGCACTCACATACAACAGACCATTCAGTCATAGACAGATGCTCCTTTATGGTCTAACTGCACTTTCTGGCTAGTATATTTTCTATACACTGTACTATGTCTCTACATCTCACTTAATAGACCTTCTACTGGTCTAGCAGTGCATATACCTATTAATACATCCATACTCTCTATTTATCTGCCTATTCTTTCATTTATATACATATGCTTACTTTGTCCTTTTCTTCTCTTTCAGTGTCCTTCTTGTATTTTTATTCTTGTATATATTGGGAAATAAAGTGTATATTTCTTTTAATAGAGTAGTTTATTTTACATAGGTATAAAAAGAGAAATAAAGCATAAGAGGCAGAGAAAAGAGGAAAAGTAGCACATCCCAGAGAACCACCACTCGTCAAACACAAGGAGAGAAGAAAGAGGGAAACAGAAAGAGCAGCATACTAAAGGCAAATAGAAAACGAAACAAGTATTTATTGATAGTTATATGTATAATCTTTTACTTACAACAGACTAGCATGCATTCTGCACTATACTACACATAGGCTGAATATAGTATGGCGTTTTTGTATTCAGGCTATGCGTGCTCATGCACATTCAGCACACAGGCACCAAAGATAGCATGCGATAGACCCATAAGCTACATCCAGTATTCCCCAAGCACCTAGAAAAGCCCACACCTCACAAACCAGCCTCTTCTTTCTAGCACACTTGGACTTTTGGGCACTTCACCACAAATACAATACTGCTAGTGCACCCAGTTAGTGTTATTTGCTATACAACGCCAGACCTAAACAACTAAGCAAGAGACCCTGCTTAAAATATTTTTATTACAATAATAAAAGTTCCTCGCACAGCAATAGGTGCTATTTACACACTATGGCACTTCCTCCAGCTTGATAGAACAATAGAATAAACCCCCGCACATAAATGTTTCGTTGCATGATACTGTGTGAAAACTATTGATCAACGTATATAATCCGAAAACAAATAGAAATGCCTTACAACTTCTCTTAAGTTTATCTGTTACTATATATTAAAAATGATTTATTTTATTTAATGAAAATGATTTTTTTAGTTATTTGGATCAAGGCGATTGCCTTAATTGGCGTTCTACTGGTGAACACGCACAGAGCATACATGACACTGGACGAGATGGAGGCCACTCTGCAGTTTGAAATTACAACGGATGCAACTCCTATAAGAATAAATCCAGAGGGCTCTCTTAACTTTCTCCGGGGATACATCTACCAGAAAATGGACTGTATGTACAACAAAAGATTCTTTGCTCCGCAGATTAATACAAAGTACAGTTTAGAAGAAAATATAAATAACTCTGGCCCATCAAATTTGAGCTATACATACACCCGAAATGAACAAAAAGACAAAGCGTATACAGCACAGTCCAATAATAAAATGGATATTTACACCGAAAAGTACCATAAGCATCTTATTGAGCTGTTTCCATCGCCCACTGGAGACATAACCATAGAGACACGGGGAAACCAGTCCTTTGTTCAGTTCCTTCGAGCAGAGACAACAGAGAAGCACTCTTTGCAGATTCTGGCCATGCTACTTCTTTTCTCTGAGGGAGTGGACATTCCTATTGAAGTCACCAAAGATGTACTAAAGGTATATGAAACAAACAAAAAAAACGAAATATACTTCACAGTCCCTATGAGAATCCCCTGGCTGGAACCTACAACTAATAGTGTGGAAATGCTCAGCCAGAAGAAGGTTAAGCAATTAATCAACTTCTTCCAGGAAAATGCAACAAATTCTGAAGCGCTAAGTCTAATGATGGACAGGTGCTCACTGGAGGAGGTTGCCACAGGAAAGTTTCTGGACAGCCCCAAGTTCCTGATTCAGTCATACATATTTGAGTTCATAGACAGTGCACAGCGTGCAAAAGAGTTTGTTCAGACAATACATGCAATGACAGAGAAGTATGCGCCAAAGACAGAAGCTCCAAGTAAAGATGATTGTGTGTATGACAGACTATTCAAGCCTGCTGGAACTGAAGTAGGAATAGACTGCATGGCTCTAATGAAAAAAACTCAAGAGATTTTAAATACATATCGAGTTTTCCCATTTATAAACAGCACACAGATTCCTATATACAAGTCTGTTCCTCGGTACAACCGAAAATTGGGAATGTTTTCTACTAACCAGTTGGAAAACTACAGCAACTGTGTGGAGTGCATGATTCTCTCCCTCTTCTGCTGCTTGGCATATGATCCATCTGACTTTACGTATAAAACTGATCATATGGGGAATGTCTCTAAAGAGCTTAAAGAATTCTTCTCTCCAGAAAATCAGCCATTTGACACAACAAAGGCCAACTTTCAGAAGAACTGGTGCAGAGTTGTTGCGTGCTTAAATGAGCCTAGAATTGTATACTGCAGGGATAGAAATGAGCTAGAACCTGGTATTATAAATATGCTTATGGTTATTGCTGAAATAGTAAATATTTCTAAAGACGAAAAGGAGAAAATACTTGGTTTTTCACAACGTTTAAAGGAGAAAAAAGGAGGGTTGGAGGATGAACTATCCAATTCGATTGAAGAGTACACAAAGGCACTACTTAAACGTCTATCCAAGACAGAAAGTGTAGAAATAGAGTTTTCTGAGCTTAAAAGTCATACATGTATCGAAGGGCGATATGATATATCTGGTGAGATTACCATAGCATTTGGGCATAGTGGCATCAAGAATGCAATATTTTTGGGCATATCTGAAGGGCATAGCACTATCAATATGAAGCCTGCTGTTATGAAGATTAAGGACACTCGAATCGAACAAGTAGATGGAATAGCAGGCATGTGTAAAAATGCAGCTACATTTGTTGAAAATCTATTTGCTGTATATGCTGCGTATGAAATACGAAAGATTGACACACTCGAGAATAACGAAGAGTTTATAAAGGCTCAAATACGCAAGACCATTAAGAAAAACTTCACAGACATCAATAGACTGCTGCTGGTCAAGAAGATTAACGACTTTAGCTACAAAAAGAGCTTGTTCACCTATTCTATCTTGTATAGCATGAATCAAAAGCTATTCCCAGAGCACCCCATTATTCGTTTTACCTCCAACATAATAGGAAGCACAGAGCTAAATAACGGGTCTATTATATCGCGAATGTCTCCCCCAATTATTTTTTCGGGCCTGCTTAGTAAAAGCGGTAGCAATCTCAACTACCCAAATATAAAACTCAAGGAGAAAAGGTACCAAAAAGACATGGGATACATAAGATACTATTGGTTTGTCAAGTATATACTGGATTGCGATATAAATATCTTCATACAGTGGATTAAATACTGCATAGACCACTTTGATAAATACGATGGGAAAGGAATGTACAACCTACTAGGCTTTAAAGTGACCAAGCCTATTTATGAATATATGTTTAAGGCGGGGGATATGAAGTATGCTGATGCAGTTGATAAGGCTATAGCACAGGCATATCCAGATAAGAAAGATGAGATAATAAACAATCTTCACTATATATGGTTCGTATATCTCATTAGAGAAGCAAATCTAAAAGTTAAGTTGGCTAAGACAAACTTTCATGCCATTCGCAGCACTAAGTACGAACAATATGGCCCGGACTATGTCGATACACAGCAGATTGTTAATAATCTCAGACAGCTGAAGAAGCATGTCTGTATTGATGAAAGCTCCATTTCTAAGTTTAGAGAGTTCATGCGCATATATTCGCAATGAATCCCATCTACTCATGGAATGTATAAAGGTGGACACTTCTTTATCTAGAGGAGTTTTTATAAATTGCAATAAAAAACTTTCTCTCTACTATTTCCAAGAAGCCTCAGCTATTGCGCTTTTTGCTTATTTAGTGTAAAGCTTTTTCAATTAACATGGTTAAAATTAAACTACTCTTTTCTCTTTACTGCTATGCGAAGCATTGGGATTTTCTTCCTTAAGAGCTTATACACCTCTTTCTGGGCCAGCGATGTATAATAGCGTCAGTGATTGCCTTCCAGAATTTAGCCGTAAGACAATATGCTGCAAGAGGCTTTGCTTGTTTGCGCGCAAGCCATTCCTGGCGATTCTGACTTTTGGCCCGTTATTCTCCCTTGAGCAAATAATTAATCCTTTCCAGAGAAAAGCACAGAAAATCCTTCCAGAATCTATAAGCCAAGTATTGTGCTGAAGAAGGCCTATAAATAGAATGCAAGAAATAACCCGAATTTAGTATGACCAAGTCTAACACTTCAAGTAGGAAAACACAGCGCATATACTACAAACTAAGGATGGAGCTAGATTGAAATAATGACAAGCAATTAGACTTTTAATATATTCTAAGAGTTCTGAACAGTGCATTCCATAGGAAATACCTTACTGATGACTCTTTTCCCGGCAAAATGCAAAGTCAGCCTGTCTTGTAGCTTGCACATATGCTTGGCACGCATTTGCAGCTTCAACAAATGCTTTGTATGACTTTTCTCTTTTAATTGCCTGTAATACACATGTATCCTGGGCTCTGCGTACATTAGACTGTATAGCAATATACACATCTATACATTTAGAGCCTTTGCATAATTTTCTATTTTATTCAGTGGCTCTGAGTCTCTTCCAGCTTTTTTGCACATGCAGCTTGTTTCTTCCCGATTGAATGTGGCAGTTCGCAACAAGCACGAATTTCTATTAAGTGTTTCATTTCACACTCTAATAAACACGGGCAGCACATCTGTGCCAATACTGCATATGACAGATATTCGACCAAGTTCTCTTTTGACTCATCTTTCAGTTTATTATTATTATTTTCAATATAACTACTACCATAAAGATAATTTATACTCTTGCTCTAGTTTTGACACTTGGCACAGCGTTCACTTGTTTTCTAATATACTTCTATTACTAGCACTGTTTGGTCTTCTAGCTATGCATTTAGTATACAAATAATTAAAATATGTCCAAATGCAGATTTATTAATGTGTGTTGTATACAGGCATTTAGGCCTTGCTGGCTATGAATAGCGAAGGTAAAACTTGTAGAAAGAGCAGGACTGCCCATTATTCTGCCGAAGCTGAGCTGCATTGTTTAGAGCATGGTTTTCCAGCTCTAGCTCTGCTCTGTTAAGCGCCATAAGTGCACTTTCTACCACAATCTGCTGTGCCTCATACGCAGCTGCAGCTGCATCGTACTGTAGATATGTCCTTCGAATGTTTTCTGTTCTAGGCAGGCACATCTTATTGTATTCATAGACACTACTTAGCAGATAAATAGACTCTTTTATTAACTGCACACATATTTCCTGCAGGCCTAGTATTTCGTTTAATTGTATTGCATCTTCTTTTTTCACATACATTGCCTCCTTCTTTCGCACCGAATAGGAAAGCTTCTCCAGCTTGTGCATGCATTTTACAACTTCCAGATCGCTCTCCACCAAATTAGTGTAATCCCTGTGCCACTTTACTGTCTCTTCAATAAACGCCAGCTTGTGATGTCTTGAATTGCTTTGATGGCTGCATGCCACTTGCATTTTCTTTGCCTGCCCCTCTGCTATACCGCATGCCCTGCGATTGTCCACTATTAGGGCATCTTTCTCAGCAGAAAGAGCCTTGAGCACTTTAGTTTCACATTCATACTTGGGGCATGAGGCATGGGGCAGACATCTGTCATTAACTTCATAGTACTCTTTAATTGTTTTCTGAATGGCGCATATTTCCGTGTACTTCTTGCGGTACATGTCTGCACTGATACTTTCCTCCAAACATATGTTCATGACCTTTACATGCTCTGCCTTGTTCGCCTCCTCAGCAATTTTTTTTTCGTGCTTCTTCTCTGCTAGTCTATCCATCTCCTTTCTGTGTCTATCCATTGCGCTGTATACCGCCTTCATAAGCTTCTCTTTCTTTGCGTCTTTCTTTATCTGCGCAGCTTCTGGGCTTTTGCCAATGCAGCAGCAGTTATTAGGGCGGATGCCATCTGGATGGCCTTTGCCACAGCAGCAGTTATCTGAGACACCATTCTGTAAATTAGCCTCTTCCATGTTGCCTGTCTGTGCACCAGAAGCCATATGCATAATAGAGGGCACGTCAGATGCCTTAGCTGTAGAAGGCCAAACTTCTTTTTCTTCCTTTTTAAGATCTACTTTGACTCTCCTGCTTTCCTCTTCTTGATCTGGCGGTGTATATGCACCTAGAGGCATTTTATTTCGGGTTATATTCGCATGCTGTGCTCTTGCCTGGCCTGCAGCTCTGAGGAATACCACTACTAGTGCTATAGATATTTGTATGTAGTCTAGCACTTCTTGGATGCATTGATCGTCCCCCATGCCATGTGCAAATCTCATACAAACTAATAGACTGTGCACAGTCAGATCTTTTTTATTTTTACGCCAATATTAATTACTGCACATTCGTATAGCAACTAGCCAATCGGGCTAACACAGTTTAGAAAGGTCTTTTTTAAAATAGTACAGCGTGCATGCAAATCGAATGCCCTAATATAGTGGTCTGACCAAGCTATATCAGATTATTTTAGTTATTCAGGTTATACTTGTATTGCTGGAAATACATATTGAATTACATGGAAGCAAAGATGCATGTTTTTTCTGGCTCTTCTAAATCTTAAATAATAAAATACATATGCTAGACTTGTGAGGATACCATGTATCTAATTAGTAGAGTTCATACATAGCCACTGGCTACAAAGGAAAATACCTGGAAGAGTGCATGCCCAATAATACTAAGAAATAAAACACTAGATGGCATGCTAAAAAAGAAAGGCTGTACAAAACACTAGATTTATTTTAATATGTATTTGCATTTGCCAAGTTTGCATAGACCAAGGCTAATGCACCACACATACTAGACTTATATACTTTTGTTGCTAGCAGCTCTATATAGTAGTAATTTTAAATAATTTTTTATCTTTCGCTTTCTTATTTGGTGGTATTTTAATAATATGCCGACTTAATTTCTTAAAGTGTGTCCATTATTCCAAAACTCAACTTTTTAAGCAGTTTGGTTTTAATTTAACTTTGGATTATAATAAAATAGACACATTAATAATGTCTTTTCGTGTCAACAAGCGATTGTATGGGCGTTGCTGCCAATAACATGTAACTCATAAAATGCTAGGTAAAGCATACTGTGGTAAAATTCCCACTTTCATTAATTCCGTGACCAAAGTGCATCAATGATAAATGACACTTCCGGAAGATTCCTCGTATATCAGAGACTGACTATAAAATAGTAAGAACAATACTGAAAACGTGGAACATGTCAGAAAGAAGAAATACATCCAACACTTACACAAAAGGTCAAAGTCACTAAAAATATCCGCAGAATTACGATAATAAAACTTCCTTGACCACTACACTTTCTATTCTAGACTATTATCTCCAAACTAGCTCGTCGCCCCCTTTTGGGCACGTCACATACAATACAGCACAGGCAAGCCAGATATACTAGCATTGCTACACCTTTGGAAGCTTCTAGCTACAACAGGGGCATTCAAAATAGAAGAATCTTAATGGAATTTCTCCAGACACACACTTGGAGCTGAGTTTTCCTCTTCGAAATATTAGACTTAGTCATAATAAACTTGGATATAACTTATTTCTCATCGTCACTTATATTTTGTAAAGTAAAAATTTATTAAAGTTTGTTTACACAACAAACATTTTTTCACAACAGATCATAACACCTCCTAAATTAAAAGTATATATTCAAAATAATTTCTCCTAGTAAAATATGCAGATACAGAATAAACTGAGAATTATCAAAATAATAATAGCATCAAGCGTATTGGCTGCTATTGGTACATATGCACTCTTGTTCTATCTTGAGAGGGACAATAGTGTGGCAACACAGCCAAATAAAGCAGCAACACAGCTAAATGAAGCGGCAACTCAGCCAAATGAAGCGGCAACACAAAAAAATAGAGAGGAATCTCAGAAAGATACAGAGCTGTATATAGATAGTGAGCTGTATATAGATAGTGAGGACACTCAGACAAGTAGAAGGGCAACTCAGCCAAATATAGTTCCAAAGACAAATAGAGAGGCATCTCAGCCAAATAGAGGTCTGAAGACAAATAAAGTGGCACCTCAGCCATATACAGTGCTGAAGCCAAGTAGAAGGGCAACTCAGTCAAATACAGTGCTAAAGCCAAGTACAGTTCCAAAGCCAAGTACAGCGCCAAAGACAGTGTTGGAGACAAATGAAGTGTCAGAGCCAAAGACAGTGTTGGAGGCAAATGAAGCGGCACCTCTGTCAAGTACAGTGCCAGAGACAAATAAAGTGCCGGAGATAAATTATAGCCCTCTATTGTACACAGACAGCATAGAGCTTACACAGGAAGAAAAAGTCGAATTTGTGCGTGCAGCGCTAGAGCGCTCGAAAGGGATGGGACTTTGGGTGTTTATTACTGAGTTGGGAATGTCACTGCAGATGCGAATAGTGCTTTTGGATGAAGTTTCGAAGAACCCTGTTCTGGAGCAGCTAATAGAAAAGGAGTTTGGGACAGGGGTTGTTAAAGAGCTCCAGGAGATAATTAAAAAGCATGCGCCGATGGTATACAAAAACCATAGTGAGGCAGAGGAGGTAGTAATTTCAAAGGAGAGCCCATTTTTGAGCATTGGTGATGTGCTGGTCAGGCAGAAGATGCACATAGAAAATGACAAGGAAATGCATGCACGAGAGGTGATTCTTCTAAACAAAGGCACTAACACATGCTTTCTAAACACAGCAATCCACATACTGCTGGGGATTCCCGAAATACAGATGGATCTTTGGAGAATAGATGAAACATATATTTCAATCGCTGAGAGTAGTGCAGATGATGTGCCAAAACACAGCGATGTCTATCTAGAGTTACTATTACTGAATATAACATTTGAAAAGTCGGATGTTTTTAGCGTAGTGCGATCATTGCAGAAAATACTTAAAGTGGCAGCAGAATACAAGAAGGAAGAAAATAGCGAGCTATTAGAGACAATCCATAAAGAGAAGATGAAGATATATCACATACTGGATAAGAAGATGAAACTTTTTGAAAAGGGATCTAATGGAATGCGTGACAAGTATAGCTTGGGGCAGTCAAAGGAAGCCTATACAATTTTGTACAACATGATGGTGTTCTTCTACCAATTCTGCCCGTACATCTGCAATGGATTAGAGGTCCAGGGAAAGCGCGTAGTGCGGATGGCAGAGGTCATTCAGTGCAAAGTCCCATATGAAGGTGGAAATAATCAGACTGGGCATGATATTGCATACGAAGAGTGCGATCAGAACGAAGTCGCAATTCTAACAAATGAAAATCATGGTGCGTGCACTAGGCATTTTGTGAACTGCGAGGAGCACACATACCATCCAGTGTACATCCCAGAAATTTCTAATCCTTCAGAGACTGTAAAAGTGCGAAAGCACATCTCAAAAATCTTTAAAGTGAGGTTTGAGCATGTGCACGTGTTTGTGCATAACCTGCAGAAAAAGACATGGAGATACTCACCGCCAGATAGCAAAGAGGTTGTTGATGGACAAAACGATATATGCGTGTTCTACTACATTCCTGAAACAGAGAATCCTACAAGCACAAAGCCCTTGTTCCTTGTCGACACGCCCTGCCCAAATAACACAGAACAAAAGGGTGTTCGGCTGCCTGTCTTTGTGAATGAGTTCATGCTTACTGCTATGAAGGCGTTTGGGTATGTCTGTACTGAGAACAGTCTGTGCATTACTAACCTGGGAGAAGTAAATGAGCGCTCTGTGCGCATTTATGTGCCTCCTCAGAATAAAAAGAACAATTACTTCAGCGGGCTATACACAAGAGACGATGCAAACATAGACTTTCAGGTTACACAGGGAAGCATAGATGTAAAGAGCGACGGCGTGGTCTTTCTTGTGCGAGTGGTTAGGCGGGGACAGTACTACTGCATGGTTGTTGGAAACCCAGCTGTTACAAGTAGCAATTCTGTAAACCTTCTGTGTGATGCACACAACTACAATGCACATGGAATAGCGCTTTTTTATACCCACCATTATGTGGCGTATGTAGCATCAAACAATGCAAGCACATCACCAAACATAGGCTACATATATAATGATCACGCTGGACTAGAAAAGAAAGGTGTGCACACCCCGAATTGTATAAGCCTAGATCCGATATATACAGTTGACTACATGATTCTACATCCTGATCGAAAAACGGAACTGCAGACCCTGGGATTTAACGCCTGTTGTGTAGAAATGCTTCTATCTTAGGAGAGAATCTGCATTACAGATGCCTAATCCAAAAATGTTTGCATAAAAACAACAAATATGCATTTGAGAAAGGTATTTCTTCTCTTATTCAGGTTTAATATAATATGCATGCGTATCTGCTATGCGAATAGAACAGTTGCGCGCTGCAAAATAAAAATAAACAAATCTAAAAATATATGTGAGAACTAAGCTTTTAATATACACATAGTTACTGTTTTCCAGAGTCCAGCATATTCCAGCTCATTGTTTAGATATTGAGATATGCTGTGCTTTTACTGTTCTGGCTCTACTTTATAATGTGTACAGAGTGCTCTGTCGCGTGTGCTTGCCATTTGCTGAAAAATAAAACTTTCGTATATAATCCATGTCTATCTAGTGGGGGTAGAAATCATAGACAGACTGCGCATGGCCGGCATAAATAGCTATATGTCTGATTCCATAGCAGCTATTGGATGTTTTACGTAGTATTGGTCTAGCGCATTCTCTGCTTCCATTAGCTTATATTCTGCTTCCTTAAGCGCATCCTTCATGTCTTTATGTTGTTTTTCCGCATTGTTATAACTAGTGTATTCTCTTATTTCCATCTTTGTATTTTCTATACTTGTGCGTTGGTGGTCCAATATAGCTTTCCTGAAAATATTGGCTTTTGTTGACACACTCAGATAATTAATATGGGACTTTATTGCGTTACTTATCTGATTGGTGTCTTGTTTCATACTGTCCAAGTATTTTTCCTCTTTAAATCTCATGGAATACAGCAACTCGTTTTTGCGATCTAGTTTCTCAAAAATATTCTCTTCATTTAAAAATATATCATTGAACTTAGCATTGGCTTCCAGAACTTCGTTTAAAATATCTTTATATTCTGTTTCTGGAATATTTTCATGCTCCTTCAACTTGTTTACCACGCTGCATAGTATTTTAAACTCATCTTCAATATCCTTTTTTGTGGGATTTACAAGTTCTTTTATCTCCAAAGATATAGCATCAACCTCCTTTTTCGCAGTGTCATATTCCTTGCATACACCTGGTTCCATGCTAATACTATTAGACAGGCAGTAGGCATCAATGCTGGCGACACACTCTTTTACTTTCAAACGTGATTCTAGGTATGAGTTCAGATCTTTAGCCATTCGTAGATAGATATCTCTTTCTTTCTCAAATTCTTTGTATTTGGCATAATATTCCTTTTTTTTTCCTTCTGCCACCAAGTTATTTTTTATATTTATGCACACTTTATGAGCTTTCTCCACATTCTCTTTAAGAGAAGAGACGGATGGTATATATGTGTGATCATAAATTTTTTCAGAGACTGCTGCTGTCTCTTCATAGACGGGTACGCCATAAGCCCTGCTAATAATTTCATTTATGCACGCTTCCATATTAGAAAATTCTTCTTCTGGATTTATAAACTCCAAAGATTCTGCATAGTTCAAAGATTCTGCAGTATGCACATATTTCAAGGCTTCTTCATCCTTAGAAGACTCTTCACTACTCAGATCCTTCAGGGTTTCTTCATCCTTAGAAGACTCTTCACTACTCAGATCCTTCAAGGTTTCTTCATCCTTAGGAGGTTCTTCAATACTTAGATCCTTCAAGGTTTCTTCATCCTTAGGAGGTTCTTCAATACTCAAGTCTTCAAAATCTTTAAGATTTTTTAATAACTCTGAAAGCTTTGCGAGGTCCTCCAAGTTTTTTTCATGCATATGTGTTTCTTCACTATTCAAGTTTTTTCCACCATTAGACGACACTAGATATTCCATAAGACTCAATTTCTCCTTCATGTAACCTTCGCCCTTAGAAGGTTCTTCGATATTCAATATATTTAGTGTTTCGGGTAAGTTATTCTGCGAAATAGATGGATTTTGGTCTTCACTTATATCTTTTAAGTGAATGCGCATACTCTTCTCTTCTCTACTGTTTTTTTCTTCCTTTTCTTTTTGTGTTTTCTGCTTGTCTGAGCCTGCTGAGTCTACACCATTCTTCTTTTCATGGTTTAGAAAAGAAATTATTGTGTTTTTGATAGACCGCTTCTTCTTCTCTTTATTCTGCAAGTTCTTAGAGGAGGCTCCAGACGCCACTGCAAAAAGCTCCATTTCAGCGAAACAAACAAGAACCATAATGACTAAAAGAGTGCGCCTTGTCATATAGCTCCATTCTTGGGGCACGCCTGTTTTGCACTTGCTCTTAGAACTAGCGCATTTGGCTTGCCTCGAAGAAGAAAGCACTTTGGTCTTGTGTTTCTGGGCAAGGATATATTTCTTACATGTTAAATATTTAGCACAGTTTAAATTATTTTCTCTTGGCATTTTTCTTTTCTCTGTAGAATCTATTTTAGATTATATACATATATTTTGATAAAATTCTTTGTGATTCTTCCAGATTCTTCCAAAAAATGTTTTTTCAATCATGCAATTTCTATGCATTTTTTGCTGATGGAATATTTACTATTTGCTGCAGCTGCTCTGTTTAATCCACACAAAATAGGCTTTCTATTTTTCTAGAAGAAATGTGCTGTTGCCTGCTGTGTGCTCGGCGTAGCATCTGATGACATGCATGCCACTGTCAACAACAGCTAATAATGGTGTTTGCTGCCACACCGCAGCATAGATTAGATAGTTCGTTTATTTCAATAATGCGAAAATTAAATTAAAGACCGAACTATTTAAAGAGCTGAGTTTTCAAATAAATACTAAAGTTTAGCAATGCCTCTCTTTAAGAAACCAAGTCTGTCTATGCCAGACGACTAGAACTTCACACATATTAAAATAGGCTTAGATATTTTTGCGTTTTATTAGCATGCACGCCGCAATCCGCGGGAATGAAAAAAATGCGTATGTCATATTGCACTTTGTTGCCAGAGATAATAGACACTAGACAGGAATATTCCAAGTGAGAAATAAAATAAATACTTCTATGGACACATGCAAAATACTTGCGCTATTCGGGTTACCACTTGGTTCCTTTATCAAAATGAAAGGCCATCCAAGAAAACATATTTTTCTTGCAGTTTTGGGATCCACTCACTTCTGTGTATTTTTTACATACACATCTATAATTTTTTCTATTTGTAATAGACTTACTTTGTGCAGTTTAAGTATGCGATTCAGCCTTACAAGAAGTTCTTCCTTGTACTGCATGTTCTCTTCGTGCAGTTTTCTCGCTTTCTTTAATAGAACTACATCGTACGGCGTGTTCTTTTGATACGTTATTTCCATCTTTCTTACCAAACAAAGTAGCCCCTCTCTTTCAACCATTTTGTTTAGAATACTCGAGTCTTTCTCCATAATGGCAATGCAGATACTTTGAAGTTTGGCTAGATCAAATAGATACTGCACATAGCGCTCTTTTGAGGAGTCTCGGGCTTTCTCTGTAGTTTTTAGGTTGTCCATCTGGAGTATGGCTTCTTGAGCAATATCTTTTTTTATTGCAACCAATACGTCTATCTCTGAGATAAGTGTTTCAATTCTTTCCATCTTTTCGTCGTAGTCAGGGAACAGGCCAGCATCCATATATACAGCATTGTTTAGATAGTAATACCGAATATCCTCCCGAATAGCCTTAATTTTCATGTTTCTTTCTTGAGAGGCCAATTCATCTCTACTGTTGTTTGCTAGAGCATTTGCCTCTCTTTCGCTGTTTTTTTTCTGTGGGTGCTCCTCAGCAGATGGCTTTTTATCTTCTGGTATTTCAGACAGAGTAGGTAAGTCTGCATACGCAGTGTGTATAGCACGATCGATTTGTGCTTCTACGTATGCATAGATACTTGGAAGTTCATACAGCGCACCCAAATTTACAGCTGCAGTATCTGGGTGGGTTGATTCCTCACCTTCTAGAGATATATGAGGGTCTCTGATCGTATTAAAAGGTAGGGCGCCCTGGTAAGGCTCTTTATGCACAACTGCAGTGGCATGCGTTTCCTCCGCGCCCTGCGAGTTTGTTTCTACCACCTGAGCAACTACAGGATCATCTTTTTTGTTGTTGGCGCCAAGCTCTTTTTCTGGTACAGTTTTTTCAGCAGCACTTCTCTCTTGCTTCTTTGTACTCGTGCAAGAAGGATTTGCTTTACTCTTCTGCACATGTGCTGATTCATCACTCTTCTTCCCAGATGCTTTGGATGCAAGCACATACACGCCAACTTCAGCTATGCAAACCACCCCTACCAAAAACACAATCAATCTTGTTATAACTGCATTTCTCTGCACATTCCTGTTCATTTTTAATTTGCATCTATGTGAAGCACAATATATAACCCCGAAAACCCGAAGATCATTTTTATTTTATTCTAATATTAAAATGTGTGCTTGTTGTATACGCTTAGATTTTATGAGAAAAGTAATCTATCTGATCGTATAATACCTAATAAAAGGCAGAGAAGAGAGTACAATTAAAACAATATGGAAACACCCGAATAACTCGCAATGCATCTATGCTTTTGTAGGGCACATAGAACCTTTGGCAAATAGGCACTGTTTTTACATGCTTCTTTATAAATTATAACGCACGAAACATAGAAATTCTTTATGTCAGACCCAGGCTGCTATTAAGTGCCGCGATTGCATGACTCATATCAAACTGGGCTTCTGTTCTGCTTAATTCATGCCCAACCATGGATACATAGTTTACCTGCGCTTCATACACACACGTTGCTATGTAGAGATCAATATATGCACCCAGCATCTCGCCAGTTCTTATTTGACAGTCTTTGAAAGAGCTCTGTATAGCAACCAAGCGCTCTATATACTTTTCGTAGTATTGTATTCTAGCTGCATGTGCGGCTATGACAGCGTCTAGCGCAGACAACTCCTGGGTCTGTTCTTTCTTCCTGCTCTCCTCTGCCTCTTTAGTTCTCAGCGCGTGCAGTATGCCTTCTTTATTGGACAGGCAGTTTACATATTCGATGTCTTTATTTAGTAGATCACAGTACATCTTTTGAATCTCTATTAGCATTGACAAAACGGATATATAGTTTTCTCTTGACACATATGTGCTGCTATTTATGATTTTGGCCTTAAGAATCTCCTCTTTGATCGTGCTCACACTACATATTCTTAGACTCTGAAGATTTCTTAGTGCTTTAGTTAGGTCTTTAACATCTTCTGCAATTTTATCATATTCCTGGTACATTCCTGCTGGCAAGCTTAAATTCTTCTTATATTTGTAATAATTCTTGATGGTTTCTTCTACACCGGTATTTCTCAAAGACTCTTTGATGTGCATTAAGATAGTCTGTCTGGTGCTAAGGTGTGTATTTGACAGGTCAATGGACTTTTCCTGATATATTAGATTCTTAGAGTCCAAACTAGACTTTTTATTCATAAGCATTTCCATCTGCATGCCGTAATTACTGCGGTTTCCAGATATGCTTCCATTGAAGTCCTGGTTTACTGGGTCTTTATAGTACGGCCCACCCTGTAGTTGTTCACCACTAATAAGAACTTCATTAACTAGAGCGTCTATACGCACTCCATCTATAGTATGTATGCTCTCAAAGCACTCCGGTGAAGTATTGATCGCAGATGAATGCAGCCCAGCTTCTGTATGAGAAATATACGCATCCCACTCCGCTGTGCTGGCGTTAGAACTAATACTTTCACTGTGTGATAGCAGCATATTTTTTTCGCACACACCTTTGATCTCTTTTGCACTATTACTTTCTTTGGGCAATTCTAGAATTCTTCTCAGTATACTTTGTGCGGCTTCTTTTTGTAGAGGCGCTGTCTGTTCTGTGCATAGCCCCACCCCAGCCAGAAAACTAAGCCATGCCAAAAGAGTAAAAATAGTCTTGCTATGTGTTGTTCTCCTGAGATTCATGCAATATTTTATGTGCGCCTGTATTATATATTTTATTATCTAAATCACTACGATTCTGCATGAAAGTTTCTTAATTAAATAGTAGACACACACATAGCACACACTGTGCAGTTTTAGTGCATATTTTTGTTTTGTGCAGTTAAACATATCCAAACGCCTTTTGGATAGGAGCATTTTTTCTGCACTGCACAGTGCATTTCCTAAGATAGGTCCCATCTGTATTAGCAGAACTTAGGAATACATCACTCTTCTCTTTGCTGTTGTATCACTTTTCTGCTATTAGCATGAAATTGCATCCTTATAGAACTGTGAAGCAGGCCAGAGCATAAAACGTACGTATTAGGATATTGCAAAAAATATTAAAGAATATCATACTCTGTCTTATAGTAATGTAATTTGCATACATATTGCTGTCTAGAGGCAAGATGGAAGAAAAAAAGAATTTCACAAAAAAGATGATACAGCAGAGATTTTATAATAAAACGGGTTATAATAAATCCAAAATAAACGTGCATGCCATAAAACTACCAGTCGTGCACCTGAACATGGTTATTTGTGTGTGCAGTTGCCTTATGAATGCTTTCAATTTTTTGCGTGTACAGACTAAGTATTATATTGAACTTAGCAAAGTTTTCTGGCAGGTGCAGGAACCTTAGTCTTTGTTTTAGAGAAAGAAAGCATGCAACTCTTTCGTTTAGCAGCATAAGAGACACTGTTGGCACGTTGCACAGCACACCTACTTCCGGTACGACTATTATCCCGAAGCACTCAGTTAGAATGTTTGTGTAGCTTTCTTCCTTTTTCTCGCTGAGTGTGCTGATTATTGTTATTAGAAGGTTATTACTGCGCCGAATTATGTTGTGTGCACCGCTTCCCCTTTTTATTTTTGCCATAGCCTCCAAAATGGAATAAATATACTTTGCGGATCTGCCAGAGCGGGTTAAGCAGATAAGTATCTTCATGCGCCACACACTGGGGAGACATATTAGAATGCGTTCTATGTATCCTGAAATACCCGCCTCGTTGGCTGATATGAGCAGCAGTAGTATGCGATTCATAGTCTCTGGCGAATCTATCTCGGTAATGTATGCAAGAACTCGGGAAACCTCAACACAGTCCATCTTCGAGTAGATGGCTGGGTCAATCTTTATGTGCGGGAAGTATTTATACGCTTTTGCAAGCAGAATAAGCGTAGCAAGGCCGCTGTGCATGAGATCTATGTCGACCACCCGAGGCGCTATCATGTTTGAAAGGAAGCGAATTATATAGTGCGGGCTGCGAAGATTTAGATCGAACGCAAGTACTAGAAGGCATCTGACCAGGTCCAATATGTACAACTCGTCCTCTGTCTGCATAGCAAGCAGGAAACAGTTCATGCTTGAGTTTCTTTTCCGCCCTGCAAAAGACGAGCCGAGCTTAATGTACTCCATCACAGTATGGCTTGCTTCGTGTGTGTGCAGTGACAGCTCTATGGTGTGCCGAAGCATGAACTGTATAAAAGCGTTGCCTTGAAGACAGGGAAACTTTTGAAGAGACGCCAAGCTTTCGTTTGTGGACATGTCTGGCAGGATATTTCTAGCTAGCATGATCTTTATTCCTGTAAACAGGGGGAAGATCTCAAAACATATAGACTCTTCCACTGCAGCGCTTTTGTACGTCATACATACTATTCCAAAAATGTCAACCCGCCCCCTTTCTGTAATTACAGGAGAGAAAAATCCACACTTGATTGACAGAGTTTTGAATGAGTGGCCTCGCACAGAGAGCGACCTAAACAGCGTTTCTATGTAAGTCTGTATCTCTTGGGTTAGATGGGGGTCGAGCATATTTTCCTCTAAATAGTTGCGGTCTTTAATGGCTGCCTCTATTTTGTCAATGTTTTCCTTTTCTTTGTGGTATATGCCTGCCACTTCAGTAACCACGCGGAGAAGATTCAGAAGGCCTGTGTCAAGGCGGTTTCTATTTTGGCTGATGTAGCAGATGCTCGGGTTGTCCAGGTCAGCAACCACTCTATTCCACGCATTATACGTCCCCAGCGCGGCTTCTTTGAACATGTGTCTGTGCACGCGAAAAAATCTTACAAGATCAGCAGAGGGCGCCTCTAGGTGGTCTGTTGCATACATCTGGTTCTCCTGGTCATATGCAAAGCAGCAGAACATCGCAAGTGCTGTAGCCTCCATACAGTTGATGTAGCTTTTTTCAGAGTTGTTGTCAGTGCATCCCATGGAAAAGGCAGAACATGCTCTTTCGATCTCACTAAGCTGCGCTTTGCAGATAGACTCCAGGCTTTTTACAGATCGAATGTAGCAGGACTGTCCCTGCATTGGCTTTATCTGCTCATTTAGAAAAAAAGGAAGTAGCTTCTCCTTGTTCAAGTAGAACAGGATCTGCGCTGCTATTTCTATGTACTCCACACCAGCAGAGACATGGCTGCAGGGCGCAAAGTATTTGTGAAACAGCTGCTCCGCCTTAGAAGACAGTCTCTTATCCGCGCACGCCATGTACTCACACAGTATGGCATGCACAGACTCAAAAAAGGACTGCATACCATACACCGTGTCGATGTACTCATATATGTACATCTGTATAAGAAAGCCTGGTGTGTTCAAAAACATCCCTAGCTTAAAGTCGCTGTACAGCTTTGGCTCAATCACATGCCCCTCTTTCTTTAGAATTCTGTTTTCTCCATTTTGTATGAAAAATCTAATGACTTCAGCCACCTCATTTGTATAGCCCTCTTTTAAGGGGGTTTGTGCTTCTTCCCTTTCTTTTTCGCTCTCACACTCTCTTCCCATGCTAATTGAAAAGTGCGGGCTGATCTCCTCCATCTTTCTTAGAATGAGATGTGTGCTCTCTGCGCTCTTTTCAATTAACATCTGCACAGGCATTCCTTCGGTTAGAAGAAGTAGAGAGGCTAGAATCCTGTATTTATGCTCGCTCACTCTACTACTGTTGATAAATGCAAAAAAAGAGTCCTTGCTGCTCGTGTGTATAGATAAGTGTCCGTCCACAGAAGGAAACATTCTGAGAAGAGTTGTAAAGTACTCTCTTGTGTACTCAAGCATTTCGCCCGTCTGATATAGCTCAGAATGCACCCTGTCTTCTGTGTTTTCTTTGGTGCATGCATATCCTGGGCTGGCACCCCCATCCTCTGAAAGTACTAGAGCACATCTATGCATGTCTATCTCAGGAGAAAAAAATCGCTTGTTGTGCATAATCCCATTGACTCTGTACATGTATGCATGCAGCTGGTTCAGAGGGCCCTCTGGGTTAATAACTACCTCTTCTTGGTTTTCACTGCGAATTATGTACCTCTGCAGGCTTAGTAGCTCACGAAATCTTAGACCTTGTTCTGTGTGCCTGCGCTCTACACTTCCCATGCTTTTAGATGCCTGGGCGTGTGTTTTTATTAAATAATTTAAATTTCTGCTTATCTTTATGATTCACACTGGTTTATTTCGGGCTATATCTTTTTGATCCAAAGTAGGGTTTTTAATTAGACATGCATTGCAAAATAGCACTGCTCGCAGAAAGTGCAGCACCTTGTGTTCTAGATTGTACTTTCGGTTATATATCTGTTTCTGCTTTTATGCCTTTATACAGGCTGCTTTATAATATATTTGGTCAGATGCTCTCTTATTTCTGTCTAGCTTCTTTTGTTTTTTAAATATGTTTTGCAAAAGTAAAGTGTACGCATTGTATACTAATATATTGGTTTATGAAGAATTTGCATGTTAGAAATATAAAAACACTACAAAATACAAGAAGAAGAATATAAAAAGAAAAAGCAAGAAAACAAAAAGGCATTTACCAAACACACTCTGAGCGAGAAAGAGCACATGCATTGGCATTTGCACTGCCTTTAAAAAGTAATCCGACAATTCACTTTATATAACAAAAGATTAAGCCAGGCGGTATACTCTGCAGGAGCCAGATACACTAGTTGCAGTGTGTGCAACATACCAATACAAAAACACCAATTACAGGAGAGCGGATACCAGTAATCACATAGAACATCTTTTGTATTTTTATCCACCAAATCAATATAAAGCTACACTTCTTTCTAGCAAGGAAGTAGAAAAATAAAAAGCATAGGAAAATAACAAGGAAGATGGTTTATTTTGGCATAAGTAGTAGAGTAAGGAATAAAAGAGCCTTTAAAGCATGTCTGAGCAGTATACATCTGTTTTACACACTTAAAACACTGCTTCTATTTTATTGCGCCTTTTAGCTTGATGATAAAGTCTAAAATAGTCTGTCCGAATATTATTACTACTACTGAACATACTATTGCAAGCAAAACAAGAAATGCGGTTTTGAGCCACCGCCTTCTCTTCCGGCGCACTATTGAAGTTTCTATTTGCGTGTTTACCCCAATTGTGGCATTTCGATTATAGAAGCTTTTTGCAGCAGCCCCCTCTATCTCAAAAGACGCGCTGCTTATGATCTCATTTAGCTCAATAAAAGTTGTGTTGAGATCATTGAGAGAGGCAAGAATGTTTTGGATGTTTTTACCAGTATCAGATCGATCTGCATGTGGAGAAGCACCTGCATCGTTGTCATCGCTATTTTCTAGCATATGCTCGTCTGAATCTTCTTTTCTTCCCCTAGAAATAATACTGCTATGCGCTGTCTCCTTTTCGTCAATTGCCTTTAAGAAGGATGACTTTGCATCTAGGAACTTCTTGGACTGGTCTTTCAGCTGCGTGTAGAGCACCACAATATGCCACTCCATATTGGTATGCAATGTAGCGCTCTGGAAGTACTTGCCTTTGGTCTCCTCTATGGCGGTCTTGATCTCGCTGCATCTTGTGTGGAATGCCAGGCTGTGCATCTTGAACTTATCTATAATGTCCTGCTGGAGGGCATGGTCTAGCCCGCTTTCCAGATACCGAGACTTCAATGCATTTACTGCATCTGTCCTTGTTGAAAGAAGCTGAATCTCCTTTGTTCTCTCCTTCACACATGAAAGAAACTCTATGAATTGTGAGCTTGTCATTTAGTAAAAGTTTTGCAAATTAGCACTTTGGCTACTAAATAGCAAACAAGGCTATAAAAAGAAAATAGATGAAAAGTGAAAAAAGGGGGTTTAATATATACACTAAAATATGTGTTTCTAGATGGATGTATAGAAAAGACTTTTGTTAAAGCGCTGGATGTAAATATTTGGGCAGCTGCTGGCAAGATACTTGGCTAGAGTATGTAAAAATACTTATATGCATATAAAAGTAGCTACTATGTACTGTATTTATTTAAATATACTTTGCAAATAATTATAAAAATATCCTGTCATATGGGGATATGTAGTCTGTTTTTATAAAATAGGTTTGGCATGGCCTATTTACGCTTATTTATTAGTAGTGCAGAGCGCAGCTTGGCATATTGCTGTTAAGTGATTTTCATGCGGCAGATTCACTTTACAATGCGCACTAGATAAAATAGAGAATATGCCAGACTACACTGTACTATTCATAGGCAGTAGAATAGATTGCAAGCTGTCTGTAGCGTTATAAAGAAGCATTACATATACGTTTATTCTTTGCCAAGGCTATCTAAACATAAACAAAGAGGAAGCACCAAAGGACATACAGAAAAAAGTGACTATGCAGTATGCAAATTTAAATATGTCATTTAGGGATCATTCCAGATTATATAATGAGATTTAAATGCATAGAAGGCCTAGTGCAGTAGAAAGCAGCCTGGAGAATAGAGAAGCCAGAAGAAGTCTGTGTGTAGTTTCGAAAGAACGCGCTGTTTAGAGGGAATAAAGACAGGCAGTGATTGTTTATAAGCAGAGAATTATATATTAGTTCATACTTCAAGTCTTTTTCTATGTTTATTTAATAATTATTTTTATAGATTAAATATATTCGGGTTATGTATTCTATGCTTACAGCAGTATTGCTGTTCTTTCAGATAATCGACTGTAGACATATTTGGAATGGCAGCCCATTAGAGGAAAAGGTCATTATAACAGTGAAAACCGAAAAAGTAGAAGAAGATGGGTCAGTTACTAGAAATAGTAAACAGCAAAATGCATATTGCAGCAAAAGCACATACTATGTGGACCTTAAAAACCCAATTAAAAAGGCGCTATTCCTTTGGGACGAGCCAATTGAGGTGTTTCTTACAGATGCCCTCCTCAAAGTACCGCATGTGCAGGAGCTTTCATCTTTTAATGTCGGCGCGCAGACGGATGGCTTTTCTTACCCACTAAACTATTTGAGTGTGCAATATGCAAGAAATGTACTGTTCAATGAAGCGCCTGTAACAAAAAAAGCGCTGCTTTCCTTAGAAAAGAATTACATCATAATGGCGGATTACGATGAAAGTATCAAAAGGACTATACTTTTTCTGAAAAAAATTGACTACAAAGGGTTTGTTGGTGTAGTATACACAGAAGAGGAACAGCTGGAGGAGCTGATAGAGTTCAGCTACTATCTAGTGGGCGGGCCTGTTGTGCTTGGAATATTTAACAATGTGGACCTGGACTGCTACAAGGCATTGCTTGCAGATGAAAAGGATAGCAGGACAATAAAGCAGCATGTACCAAACATATACATAGAAATAAGCCCAGGCATGCACTATCATGAGCCCTTGGCGCCAGTAACCATTCTTATTCTTATATGCTTTTTGACTATTATAATTGGGATTATGTACCTGTTTATCAGCAGGCACACAGTGGAGGATACAGCGCCTAAAACAGTTGCAATGCCGGACCTACATCTAATTCCCTCCATGCCATATAATAGCATACCAAGCGCGGACTCCATACTGGGGAAGGAGTGCATCATATGCTTTGAAGAATTCACGCCAGAGACCTTCTGCAGAATTCTTCCATGCAGGCACATATATCACATGGAGTGCGTGGATGCCTGGCTGCGGAGCTACTCCAACAGATGCCCATACTGCCAGAGTGTAGTCAAGTAGCTGCAGCCATCCATAAATGTAGCATGAATTATGCATATAATGTGCATGTAAATAGCCAAAGAACTAAGTTGTGCAAAGGCCAGAACAAGATGAGCAGCATCTTCTCTCCATTATGCATTATTAGAACATGCCAGAGATGCGCCTGCGCACCATGTCTAGTACCGCTGAAGCGTGTTTCTTGGATGGAGGATACTGGTTTAGATTGAAGTGCAAGATGCACTCTCTCTTTTTCTAAAATCTTTATAAAAATCGCTTCAAATTTGCCTTGCGCCTAGCTTAGCACTGTGTAAAACCAAAGAGTAAAAGTAGTAAATATATAAAAATTTCACTACACATGCAATAAATAATACAAATTTAATAAAATTCGGGTTACTTTATATGAGGGCCTACCGAATAACCCGAATGTTTAGCAAGCAGAGCAGCATTGCACCATGCTCTAAACACGCATTTCTTCCTTGCTGTTATAATGCATGAAAAGTGCTACACGCAGAGGTATGATAGACAGCGTATACAGAATAATATATGAGCCGTGTATGTTTATTAGGTATAACCCGAATTAAAGTGAGCACAAGTCTATTAAAAAAGTAGCTACTAGAGGATATACAGTGCTTGCAGGCTATTGGCTTAGAGAATGTAGGCATAATTAGAATGAAGCTATGCTCTGGTAACGAATTAATTTCAGCTCTAATAGACACAGAGTGTATCATTTGGATTGTTGTTGTTTATAAAAGATCTGCAAGATATCACTGTGATCTCACACAGTGCATGCGATCTATTAGACAAATTATTAATTGTCTAAGACTCGCAAGGGAGCTAAACAAAAGCTATGCTAAAAATTATGCATAGGAAGTTAATATCCGTAGTTTGGACTGCCCTTTTCAAGAGATAGCAAATAGAATGTGGGCAAAAGGTATTCTCTAATAAAATACTACTATAAATATTCGCTTTTTATTAAGATGCACATGCTTTGAAATATATGCAGTACTGCATGCTGCACTTAGCATATAATTCAGCCAAAAAACGCTGTGAGTGCAGACACACATGCGATTTCAAACAGTGTCAGATTCATCGCCCATAGTGTGTTGGTGGTCTGTATATAAGCGCAGGCAGCACCCATTTATATCTAGCGGTGTGTGCAGTTGCAGAAAGGACAGTCTCTAAATAAAACTATAGTTTGGACATGAGTCTGTGTTTCTTGGGGGCTCTAGAAGAAGGCACTTTGCACAGAGAAGAATCGACACATCTGCATCAACAGGATGATCACAGAATATGCACAGATTTGCATAAGCATCTACATCAATGGGCTTCTCCAGGGTGGGAAGAGTGCGCACGGAAACCACTGTTTCAACCTTCTCGGGAGTGCACTCCATTGTTTGTATAAGATTCACAATTCGCACAACACGCTCGCCCTCTTTGTTAGTATACACAGTAACAGAGTCTGCAGTCTCGCTTTCTTCCTGGGGAAGCAGCTCTTTCCTCAATGCATCGGTGTTTTCACAGCTCTCTTCTAGGAGTTTGTCTTGCGATTCTTTCATTTGGTGCTGCAATAATTGCTAGATAAGAATATCATCTGGATTCTAATTAATTTTTTTCATATGTCTAAATACAACAAAATGGAAGATCAATGTCCAAAAGAGGCCAATTATTTTAAGTATTCTTGGCAGGGTATTTTCTGTACTAACTAAATGGCTGTGCAGAAAGCACCCCCATGAATAGTCTTTCTCTATTTAATTGCACTTTTTATTTCGATAAAAATATCCATGGCGCATGCAGAAAGAGAGGTAGTGGACCTTCTGAAAGAGTCTATTGAGAGCAAAATCAACGCAAAAACAACATGGAACTCCACGCTAATTGATGAGTTTTCCAATGTGGAAAAGTTTAAGGAAAAAGAAACAAACAACATGAACTTCCAGCATGCAAGCATTATTCTGGATGGGTGCATGAAGGTGTACAGCACGCGTGTTGATAGCGTGGTGGACGAGGCAGACAAGCTAATGGACTCTGTTGGGAGGGCAAAGGAGCCTGAGAAGCAAAGGGCCCGGGCAAAGGCACACCCCACAATAGAGTCCAATCCAGACGCAATTCTTATTAAGCCACGCATAGAGTCGCTGGACGATGAAATACTGGAGCACTTAGCAAGGGAGTTCAAGGAAGGAGACACCCGAGGGCTTCTCATGCACCTCCTCAAGTGGAGTGATGGTGAAGGGTTTTGCGTCATGCGCCTTCCAGGCGAGAAGAGCAAGCAGGAGGCAGGCAGCAAAATAGAGAGCACAGCTGCCAGCAGTCTGCAGACACACACGCTAGACTTTAACGCGCTTCGCCAGTCACTCTATCTTGGAGAGAGTAGAAAGCACATAAGCCCCATGTTTTCAACATTCACTCCAGACAAGTCTGTGGAAGAGCTGGTGCTTCCCACGTATGCATACCACATAAGCTACGATGTGGACCCTTTGGAGTACGGATATAAAGAGGGCGGGAATGCCTTTGCAGGGTATCTTCCGTACATGGAGGGGGCATCTGGTGAGGAGAGCGGAGGCTATGCAAGCGCAGACCCAGAAGAAGGGGAGGAAGTGTGTGCGAAGGAAAAAGAGGTTGAGCAGTTCCGGCCAAGCCGAGAGGAGCTCCACCTTGTGTACACGCCCTTTGGGTATGCGAAGGGGTGGGCAGGGCCTGCGCACTGGAAGGTGCACTCGCGAAGAAAGCACAGAGAGAAGGAAAAAGGCGATGTAAAGGAAAGAAAAAAGGCAGCAATTGACTTCCTTACAGACACACACCTTCCTATTTCAACGCTTTTTGAGAAGGGAGAGGGCATTGTAATGACGCCGCAGCAGATTTCAGAGAGGCGAAAGAACTGCAACACGCTTCCGCCTGACCACAACATAGGAATAGAGGACCTGTACAGGATGTTTGTCTACCCAGGGTCGCTCTATGCAACTGAAAAGCTTCTGGGTGCTCCAGAGAAGGAAGTAAATATACCGCATTCTTCGCCGTCTCTGTATGAAGTGCCAGAGACAGCATATGCAGAGCAGGAGGATGCAGAGTTTGCCCATACAGATGCACCAGCAGGCATCGCAAGCTACACAGAAGATGCGCCGGTGCACACGCAAGAGGAAGGGTTTTCCGGAGCAACCACCCTCCTATCGCGCAGACTTCTCCAGAGCGCTCTTCGAAAGGCGCGCAGAAATGACATAGTAAAGATAAAGGAAAATATGTGGAGCAGAATAGAGCAGGGAGAGAAAAAGGTTGAAGAGATGTACAGTACAATGCAGGAGCAAAAGGTTTCAGTGCAGTTCTATCTTGTGTCGCTGCTGCACTTGGCAAATGAGAAAAACCTGCGCATTAACTCTCTCACAGCAGAGCCGCTTCCAGGCATTTCTGACCTGGCACTTGACACCTCTTTAGTATAGCTATGCAGTGGGTGCGCATAATGAAAATATCCCTTTGCCGAGCTGCTCTGCACAAAAAGCTGTAGTGTTTTTGCAATGTGCTGAGCTATGCAGATACTTTAGTGCGCAGTATGCTATCAAGGGGATTTTTCTTTGCATGTCCCCTCAAGGGGTAGTTGAATATGCGCAAAGAATCACTGTACTCAGAGTGTATCACTATAATCATGGGATAAACAAATTAAATTTCTTTCAGAAATACAGAAAAAGTTGATTACCCAATAAAAAATCCTAGATTACTAAAACGCACAGCAGACCAATTGTATTGTTTATTGTTTTGATTTTTTAAAAAAACCAACTGGTTTACTCTGGGTTTTAGTGATCAAAATAAGTATAAAATGCAAGCAGTGCGTAGAAAGTATAATGAAGTTCGCAACAGTAGTTTTATCAGTAACAGTTCTTTTATCTATTCTCTCCACCATAAAGGCAAACCACTGCAATGGCAGATCTTGCCACAGCAGCAACATGTGCAACTGCCCATCCTGCAAATGCCCATGCTGCTAAACAGAGCAATAGTGAATTAAGCATCTACACTATTTTAAATAAAGTATAAATGGGTATATTGTGTGAATATTTGTCTTCTGCTTGTTTCTGGAATATCTTATAGAGCATGGCTAGCCCACTTATAATTCATTACTGCGTACACCAGCACATAAATAGTTGAAATAGAAATACAGTTAAAATCGCATAAAGTCTTTACAAACACATAGGCTTTCGTATTAGTTTAGTGTATTTATGCCTCTGCAGTCTCTGAAATAGCAAGTGCCACAATAATTAATCGAGTGCATTAATCTTTAGTGAGTTTATTTTTCCAAATAGTTCAGCTGCAAGGCTATACTTGTATAACTACAACACTTGGATTTTTTCGGGTTATTCGGGTTACTGAAAGTGCATGAATTTCAGCTGATTTCTGGTTTGGGCCTCCTTTAGGGTATATTTATTAGGCCACTGCAATAATATTCGGGTTATAACTATAATATTAAGGTGGCTCAGAGCCTATTATTTAGAGCTGCAGCAAATTAGGGAAATATTTTGCATTTAACCGCAAATATTTTTTTAGTTCCTATGCATAGTTTGAAAACGTGCGTAGCGATTTATCCACCAATGCTTGATCTATTTGTGAAGATTCCAGAAAACGTTTTAATAGAAAACGGAGTGGCACTTGATGAGATAGTGGCATACTCAGAAGAAAAACACTCAAAACTGCATACACACATAATGAAAATCGTTGCAAGCAACGTAAACGCATTTGATTCACGGGCAGGTGGTGCTACATTCAACACACAGAAAATTCTCTCTGCAAGAATGGAGTGCTACTTCTTCGGAGTCATAGGAGATGATATATATGGAGAGATGATAGTGTCCAAGATGCAGAACACCCAGGTAAAAATACAGTTAGATAAAAGCAAAGAATTCAAAACACCGTGGGCATACGTGTTTATTAACGGCGACAAAAGGGCAAACATTGCATTCCAGGAAAGCAAGCTGTGCTACTCAAAAGATGCGTTGGACTCCATAAAGAGCCAGGTGAACAGAAATACTGTATTCTACTTTGTTTCTTTTATGTGCATGCTCCCGAATATAGTAAAAGATGCCATGGAGCTCTATAAAGACAAAGAGACAATTGGGTTCTGCAGTGTGGTAAATCTATCCTCAAAAGAGATTGTGTGCAAGTTCAGGACAGATATTATAAATATAATAAAAGTTTCTGACTTTATTATAGGTAATAGGCTGGAGTACTACGCTCTGGCAGAGGTGGACACGGAGGAGTCTCTTATTAAATGGCTAGAAGGGCTTAACGTGGCATACGCTATTACAGACGGAGCAGATGAGGTTATTGGAAAGACTCCAAATGGACCGCTGAGAAGGATTTCACCGCGGACAGTTTCTGAAGAAGCATTTACAAATGGAGCAGGAGACTCCTTTGCAGCAGGATTCATTGGGGCAATGAAGGATAAGGAGTATAAAAACATTACAGACATCCTTCCTCTGCTTCAAAGCGGAGTTGATGCATCATACAACCATATAACAAGCCATAAGAGTGGATAATTGCTAATTCTCTTACAGATACTGCACGATCCTTCTGATAGGGCCATACTACACGGCAATCAAATAAAAGTTGATTTGACGGTCTACTAATTGAATTTATAGCTGTTATGCAAAAGACGCGTCTTTTAGCACATCTATTCTGTGAGAAATGGCTGTAATGATAATACATTGCTATGCAATGGTATTTTAAACAGATCTTCTGCAAGACCTAAATATATACCCTTCAATACAAAAATAAGAGTGCGCGTAAGACAGAGCAAATAGCGTCGTAAAGAAGAAAATGTACAGGAACAGATACATGTTACATTTAGAGAGCAGCATTCATTTGCGATAATTCGAGATATAACCTGAATATGTATGCGGCAGTATTATGTACCTCTATTTTCAAGTGCAGATAATAAGATGTTTACAATGTGTCTATAAATATATTCAGTCTTTCTTAGCTTTTCTAAAGTGGTACAGCTTCTTAAGTCTGCTTCTAAATTAAAATTAAACTCCTAAAGTAGACATATTAGTTAGGGGATATCCTTTTCAGACGCTTTTCGCTCTGTCTAAAACTATCGATTAAAGAGGCGTATAGATAGGCACTGTGCGAGATCCGTTATAATTCAGTAAAAACACGCAAATTCATTCTGCCATAGAGAAATTAAGTAAAGGAAAAGTGGAAAGTTAGAATAGGTTCTATAACTGCACAGCTCATGCACACAGCGTCTGAAAGCAGCGAACTCGCATGCAAAAGACACATATTATCCTTCCAAGAAGGCTTACATCGATTTTTCAGAACATTTCATGCAGTAGAATTCGGGGTTTTCGGGTTTTTGCATTGGTATAACATATAGAAAGAGACTACTTAACTGGCAGGATTTATTTAATAGTAGCCAGTGCACATTGTGTATTTACTATGTAGGGCTAGAGATGCGCAAGCTCTAAAATACTCCGGACATCAGAGCAAAAGCGGAGGCAGTCTAGAATAAGCCCACTTGACAAAAGGCTTCTGTCCTTTGGACTTCCGCAAAACTGCTTTATTGGCAGAGTGTTTGTGTGCTGTCCAAACTTATAGTCCAGCACAACAACCGACGAAAGGTCTGTTGACACCTTGTCCAAATCCAGCAGCAGCCTGTCGTCTGCATAGTCGCAGTCATTTCGGTAGAGGCACTTTTCAAAGACGGGATGTTTTCGCTCCAGATAGCTTGCCACCCCGTCTGCAAACTCCTTTTCCTTAGTGGTGTACAAAATGATTGTGTACCACCGCGACACCATCCGAAGGAACTCTTCCAGCATAGGGCGGAAGACCACAAAGTGCGTGCACATCTTATTGTTTATTTTGTACTGCACTATGTGATCAACCCTGCGTTTGGGCGGATTCAAGGAGGAGCAGAGAATAATGCCCTCCAGCCCCAGAACAAGATACCTCTTCTTAGCCAAATTTGTCTCGTAGTTGTTGAGAAAGCTCCAAATGCTTAGGGACTTAATGTATTTCCGCACGCGATGCACACTCACAAGAATGTCCCATCGGGTGCTTTTCTCCGCTTCTCCCTCTGCCTGGCTGCCTCTTTCATAGCTTTTGTCTTTCATATTGTTTGCATTTTTTAGTTTGGAAATGAAATTCATAAACATCGCGATTCTCTTTGCAGGGCTTGTGCACTCTAGAATGCTTCTCAACATCAAGGACATAGCTGTTCCCTTCGTAATCCAGCGAGGCGTGATAGACAACCAGATATGCAAGGGGCAGTTCAAGCTGGAGACAGAAACTGCAGGCTCTGTCAATGCTACAATATACTCAGAGGACATGAAAAGAGTCTTCACCAAGGACAACTTGAAGTACAACGAAGAGGTGCACTTCTCATTCAATACAACGAATGGGCAGACATACACCATTCGGATCGAGCAGGCTGATGAAATCCCAGAGAAAAACATAAAGATAGAGTATGAGTTTACGTCGCAGTACAACACATTCAACAAAAACATTGCTAAGTATGAAGTGATTGACCCTGCTCTGACAGAAATGACCAAGTTTGAGAAGCTTCTCTACGAGCTATCCCTCCAGACATCGTACAGACAGAGAGAAACAGCTGCGTTCTCAGACAGCATTAATGAAATTGTTGTGTCGATTCTTTGTATAAATCTGATAATGTTCATTGCATTTGCTGGAATACTAGCGTACCAGACAATTTCCTTTAAGGACTTCCTAAAGAAGAAGAAGCTGATATAACCTGAATAAATGCATATTGTGTTATTTCTCTTTTACATATATATTATAGAGCGTGTGTAATGTTTTTATGCGCACGCCTGCTATTTCTGCTGCAACTAAGCAGGGAAAGCTTTTCTCTTTCTTCTACATACATGGCTAGCACCAAATTCGAGTTATTCGGGCTAGCTCGGGCTATTCGGGTTATATCGGGGTAGGCACTCTGGAAATACAAATAGCCACTCTGATCAAATGAGTGTCTAGTATGCATACGCATTGTTTGTTTAATGGTATGGTGTGTTGAAACGGAAAAATATCTGGAGTTCAAGAAAGAAAGAGTATGCACGTTCCTTGCCCGAAATAACATTGGGATACCCACGCATGTAATACAGAAGATTCAGCTAAAGAAGGGCTCATATGTCTCCGACGAGATCCTGCATCTCAGCTCACAGCTTGACCCAGAGATAGGATGCAAGTACATTCTAACTCGGCCAGAGTGCACTCTCTATATATACATTAACTTGTATGCCCAGTCCTTTCTCAAGAGCGAGAAAAGAAAGATAGTCTTTCTAGCTGCAAACAATCTATCTGTGCACCATGTTCTCAAGTCCTTGGAAAAATACTTTCCTGCCTTTCCGTACTTTAGCGAGTTTGCTCTGTACTACCGTGTTCGGACCCCAGAATCGACCTTTCTGAAGAAGGCAGAGATGCACGAAAGTGCCTCAGATGTAGGCCCAGTGCTCTACCTCCAGCCTTCACACCCGCTGAACCTCTCGCGAAAGTTCCCTGCGCTGTTCTCAAGCGAGTTTTACCAGCTGAAGGCTATAAACAGCAGCACGGTGTTTGCAAAAAAGTACATTGTAGGGGTTTTCGGGCACTTTCTGTTCGCGTACAAAAAAGGCACAGACGGCACCCTGGGGTATACCCTGGAGATAACAAGTGATCTTGTATCGTATAAGCAGACTGTGGGAACAAAGGTTTTTGCAGTGATTGAGCATAACGGAACGCGGTGGTCGCTCTATAATAAAAGCACAGAAGCTGTGGAGAGCCTTCTGTACTGTGTTAGCCATGCTCCACGAAGTCTTCCCAGAGACACAGACATAGACACAGAAATAGATGAAGACTGGGGACAGAAGTGCGATGCTGTACGAGAGATTGTCTCCTACAATATCTCATCATCCTCCTTTCCGCAGGCAGCTGTGCTCTTCCCGCAGAGCATTCCCAGAATAAAGGATGAAGTGACAGAAAGTCAGTCGCCCCAGGCTCTTGTGCAGAAGCTGCAGTCACACATACAAAGAAGTATATGGGATAATGTGAACATCGAGTTTTTGGTCTATTTATTGAATATGCAGGGCCTGCCACTTGCCTTAGAAATACACGAAGAAATACGGGAGTACTCCATGCACAGAAAGCGCATTCTGAAAAAAATCAAAGAGATTGAGAAGTCTCTGTGATCAAGCGTATGTCCCGGCGTGTCTGTAAAGAGCGCTAATCTCGGGCGCATGCATGTACTGAGTAGAGAAGCTCTTTCATCTTTGGAGACAGCCTTCTGGTGCTTCCCTCGGAGTATGCTCTGTCTGCAATTTCCTGCGACACTCCGTCTCTCTTAAGTATGGGAGCAACGTGCTTGATGAAGAAGTTTGTGAAGTATGTGTCTGCATGCTTGATGAGATATGCCAGCAAGTACTCTGTTTCCTGCTCAGATAAGGACTCTTTGCTCTCAATAACTGCCTGCATAACGGGCCAATCAAACTCTGCATCTGGCCCCTTTGCAATAAATGTCTCTATCTGTGCGCCGGAGTGCTCTATTCTTTTTTTTATGAGCTTTCTGAGAAGCACAACAAACTTTTCCTTTAGGCGAATGTCTAGCTTTGCCCAGTTCTCCCTCAGCCGCTCCATCAGATGTGCATAGAACGTGCATCTGTCCTCTCTTTTCTCAATTGTGCTAAGAACAAACTCCCCCCATTTCTCCTGCTTTTGGAACTTTGGAAGACCCCAGTAGTTATTGAAAAGAGCTTTAGTCACCTGCACAAACTCCTCGTCACTTGCTAGAGCAACTGCTTCGATGGAGGAAAGGGCTGCTTCATCAAACTCAAATTCTTCAGCCAGCTCTATCCGCTTAACGACTTCGGTCACTGTCATTAAAAAAATGTAAATCTTCTATTTGCATATATACACTATGAGAGAGTAAAAGCCTGCAGAGACTGTTTTCTATTGCAAACTAATTTGAAAATCAGGCAGCAAGAAAGATAACTATAACGCGCTTAAAAAAGCATGCATACTTGGAAATAGAGCTCTATGCACAGTATCACACATCAATTGTTTCGGGTTATATCGGATAGAAGCAGAATATAGCTATAGAAGTTATGATCATGCACTGTTAGAAACAAAATAACCCGAAGAATAAATGGATATTTGCATATTTAACATATTATAGTGCACTGATGCAAACAGAAGGGGTACAGACATATATGAATATACACTTACTGTAGTATTTATGTCTTCATTCAGTACTGCAGAAGTATGCGCATGCTTGTTTCTCTTATATTAATTCCTCTTAAAGAAGGCCTGCTGTATAAAAGGCTAGCTATCTGTAGCTTCATGCACACCTCTATTTTGCAAAGGCAGCAGCCTCTTCAGAATATAGCTTTTTTATAATTTGCCTGTTCTTCCACATGTGCAGAAATGGAATGAATAGAGTACTAGGTACATGCACCCTGCACGCAAAGCAATACTATGAAGAATCTACACATGCATACTCCACTTCAGATATACTGTGTATATTCTATCATGATTTTAAAATTTTTAATGGCTTTCTCAGTGCATAAAGAAATAAACGACATACTCAAACGGATTGGCTTCAAGGAGAAGACCCCAATCCAGAAGAAGCTGCTTCCCTTTGCAGAGGAGAAAGACCTCATAGGGCTCTCTGAGACGGGAACTGGAAAGACAGCATGCTTTGTGGTCCCCCTAATAGAAGAGCTGGCCGATGACCCATACGGCGTGCACTCTCTTATACTGACACCAACGCGAGAGCTGGCTCTGCAGACCAAAGAAAAGGTTGACATAATGGGGAACTACTTTGGCATAGTGTGCGAGATTATACACGGCGGCATGGACACACACAAGCAAGCTGCAAGATTGCAGAAAAAGCCACACATTGTGATAGCCACTCCCGGGCGCCTTGCATCCATGCTTTGCTCAAAGGAGAATGTCTCTGTGTTTAAAAGAATCAAGAAAATAGTTCTGGATGAGGCAGACCTTCTTCTTAACAGCGACCAGGCACTTCCTGTCTACACTATTCTCTCAGAGATTCTTAAGTGTGCTCCCTCTGCACAGATTCTTCTCTTCTCTGCAACAGACATAAAGCCCAGAGTGGCTATTAAAATTCAGGAAGATGGCATGGATAGGATAGAGCAGGCAGAGGATGCCATTAGCGAGAAATCAGAAGAAGCATGCGAATCCAGCGAGAAAGCTAATATATGTGAGAAAGAGAACAGGACCACCCCCAGTGCACCGGAGAACATCGATGAAATAGTTGAGAAAACAGTGTGCCCTGCTCTGTGGAGACTTATCCTTGCGCGAGAGACTAAAACAGTTGACACCCGGCAGGGATCTATTCCAAAGACAATCAAGCAAGAGTATGCACTTGTCCACAGGCAGTCCAAGGATGCATACCTAGCAAGACTGCTGCTGGAGGACCACAAAGAGACAAAGGTCATTGTGTTTATGAACCGAGCAGATAACTGTGCAGTTTTGGCAGAGGTCCTTCAAGAGCTGGGCATCAATGCAGTGGGGCTAAGCAGGTACACGGACAACAAAACGCGCCACACGTCCTTTTTCCGCTTCCGGTCCGGCCTGGCAAGAGTGCTTCTTACAACAGATGTGCTCTCAAGAGGTCTTGATGTGAAAGATGTTGGCTGTGTCATAAACTACGATCTCCCAAACAGCCACACAGACTACATACATAGGATTGGAAGAACAGGAAGACTTGCGCAGGAAGGATACGCGCTTTCTTTTGTTACTGCAGAAGACATAGCAATTCTTCGCAACATTCAGAAGAGAACCTCTACAACCATCGAGGAGAAAGAGCTGCTTCCTTTCACCACAGCCAGACTGATGAATAAGATTACAACACACAGAGAGTTCATTTCCTCCCGAATAGAAAAAGCCATTTTAAAAAACAAGCGATAAGTATAGGCATACATCACCAACTGCATAAATAAATAACAGTCTTATACGCTTCTCCAAATTCCAAAGATAAAGCCTATGATGCAAACCGCACAGATCTCAGCATATCTGCATCTCTTCAATCAATATAGCCTGAATTCTCTGACAAGTAGTCAAAAAGGGATATCACTAGGTGTATTATAAAAAAGACAGTTTTTGCAAAAATAAAACCAAATAGCAGAGCTCTGCGCCTGCCCAAATACAGCCTAAAAGCACTAGTGAATTTTTTCTACATACACAACAGGGCACAAGACACATACTTATTCAGAATATTGAAAATTCTTTTTATGGATACTAAAATAAAGGAAAAGAGAGAGAAGCTTGAGCAAGTTGCAAAGAGAAGATTCTTCTATACGCAAAGCTTTGAGTCGTACGGAGGTGTTTCCGGGTTCTTTGATTTTGGGCCTAACATGTGTGCCTTGCAGAACAACTTCTTATCTATCTGGAGAAACCACTTTGTTCTGGCAGAGAACATGCTTGAGGTGGACACAGCAATCATCACGCCTTTTGAGGTTCTAAAGTGCAGTGGGCACGTTGACAAGTTCACAGACCTGATGTGCTCGGACGCAGTGACTGGCGAGGTTTACAGAGCTGACCATCTGGTAAAAGACTATCTTTTGAAGGAAGCTGAGAACAGAGGTGGCGAAGAAAAGGAAGCAATGAAAATCAAGGCAGAAATGATCGACTCCTTTGGGCAGGATGAGCTGCAGAGTATTGTAGACACATATGGCATAACAAGCGAGAACAAGAATGGACTGACCAAGATAGCCCCGTTCAACCTTATGTTCAACACAATTGTTGGCCCAGGAGGAAAGACACAGAGCTTTTTGCGCCCAGAGACTGCCCAGGGACAGTTTTTGAACTTTAAAAGGCTGCTTGAGAACAATGGAGATAAAATGCCCTTTGCAAGTGCAACCGTTGGAAAGGCATTCAGGAATGAAATCAGTCCGAGAACAGGTCTTTTTAGAGTACGCGAGTTTTTAATGGCCGAAATTGAGCACTTTGTGCACCCTGAAGAAAAGGAACACCCAAAGTTCTCCAAGTGCAGCGCCACAGAGCTGCCTCTTCTCTTCCTACAGAAAGGAGCGGAGAGCCAGACGGTTAGCATGCTAAGCATGGAAGACGCCGTGCAGCGCGGAATTGTGAACAACCAAACTCTGGGGTACTTTATCGTTCGGGTGTACCAGTTTTTGGTCAAGATTGGCATTCCAAAAGAATCAATTCGAATTAGACAGCACCTCCCTACAGAAATGGCGCACTACGCAACAGACTGCTGGGATGTGGAGATAGACACTGCATTTGGCTGGATAGAGTGCGTGGGCATTGCAGACCGGGCATGCTACGATCTGTCTGTGCATAGCAAAAGAACTGGAGACAAGCTTGTTGCACGAAGAAGACTTGCAGAGCCCATCAAAGAGAAAAAGACCGTTGCTGTAGTCAATAAGAAGGAGCTTGGTGCCAAGTTCAGATCGAATGCACAGAAGGCCATGGAGACAATTGAGGCTCTAACAGAGGCTGAGATTGAGCAAAAGAAGATATCTGAGAACACGATAGAGGTGGATGTGCTTGGAGAGAAAATAGTTGCACAGATTGAAAGGCTTGAGATTGTTAAGCACGTTGAAGAGTACATCCCCAGCGTAATTGAGCCCTCCTTTGGAATAGGAAGAATTCTGTACGCCCTTCTGTGGCACTCCTTCTGGATGCGCGAAGGCGATGAGCAGCGCTCTGTGTTTAGCTTTACTCCAGGAATGTCCCCAATAAAATGCAATGTCCTCCCACTGCAAGAGGATGCTCGATTCTCAAAGATCATAGCTGAGATGAGAGAGGCAATCGTTGAAAAGGGCATCAGCTGTAATCTTGATGAAAGCAAGGCTTCTATTGGAAGGCGATACGCCCGTGCAGATGAGATAGGCATTCCATTCTGCATAACCGTTGACTTTGACACGCTTGAGGACTCTATGGTCACTCTTCGGGAGAGAGACAGCACAAAGCAAGTGCGCATTTCTATTTCTGACATTCCTTCCACTCTTGCTAGGCTTGTTAGAGAAGAGATAGCCTTTTCCAGCTTAGAAGGCATTCAAAATAAGACAGAATAAATTGTCTAGGTGCATATTCACTAGTTTTCTATTAAATTGAACAAGAACACTTCTAATCAACTCTAACGAGCTATTATTCGGGTTATTTTAGTGTGTTTAGTTATATCTGGTTATTTTCTAACACAGTACACGCACAGTTTTTGCACTAAATTATTATATTTATACACTTTATACTAGAACATACAACAATTTTTATTATATTTAATTCTCTTGGGCTGCGTCCTCTACAGTGCTTTGAAGGCATGCACTTCTATTCTTTTCTATAGCCACCCAGATTGTATGTACTTCATATATATTTACTGTATCTTTACGCACACGCAGATGAAATGTCTAACTACTTGGCATACCTTCTTTCGCTTTTAAGCCCTGCCCCAATTATAAAGTACTTTGCTCCATCTACATAAATAATGAAATTGTACATTGCCTTTGGAAATATCTTCACTGCTTCTGCATACGCAATGGCAAGCGTGTTTTTTGTTTCGTTTACCACCACCCCCTTCCTTAACGATTCTTTTTCAGTGATGTCCTCTCGGTGCTTTATTGCAGAAATTGGAGCACCAATCAGCTCCATTTTGTAGAGTGCGCCCACCATGGCAGTATTTCTATTTTCTAACTTCATCTGCTGTATATACTTGAGGAAAAGCATCTGCAGCTCTTGTGCCGATTTTTCCGTTATGTGCTTATACGGGAACTCTGGCTCCTTTGTTTGAGGAACCTTGCTTTTTTGTGTATGCGGGGTGTTACCAAGCCATATTTGAAGAGTGCGCGGATTTGCCTCTGAACTTGATGACTTCTTTTGCTTCGACAAAAAATGCTTCTCAGCATTGAACATATAAGAAAATAAAAGACTTTGAATTTTTCATTTATTCACTCTTTACATATACAATACCCCATATGCATACTCAAGGAAGCATGCCTTGTTGCTATCGTTAAGACAGCAGACAATCCACTTAAGGGAGGAAAACAAAGACTTAAGGCTTTCTTCGCCGTACGGTTCGCCATACATGCCATTCTGCCTGCCTCCTTGGCAGTAGAGCAGCTGTAATGCATACCTAATCATCTTAACCATTTTTCTCTTAAGTGCTTTAATTGCCTGAGAGGGATTTGGCTGTTTTTTCGCCTGTCTAATCTTTACCCATAAAATAGAGAAGAATCTTGCTACCTCTAGGTCACTATAGTTATCCTGTCCGCATGGGTCTGCGCACCTGTTGACTGGTGGGCATATCTGGTCACATGGGTTTGGTGGGCACACTGGTGGGCATAATGGAGGGCACACTGGAGGACACACCTGATCACATGGGTTTATTGGACATACTGGAGGGCATACTGGAGGACATAATGGAGGACATACTGGTGGGCACACTGGTGGACATGGAAGCTCACATATATTTGCCCCATACTGTATATTATCCATGTAGAAGGACTGCTGCTCATCTACTGCCTTGCTGCTGACTACTGTGCTTTCTGATTCAGCCCTGCATATAGTCGACACTGCGGCAACTATCATAGCAAGATATGCTTTTTTATATAATGATTGGAATTTCATAGTGCCTGAAAAAACAAAATGTGTATATATAGGTATTCTCAAAGGTCTAGACTGATCGATCGGCTAATTAAAGAAAACACTAAAGAGTACGAATAAAGATTTGTCTTTTTCGGGTTATATTTATGGAACCAGCTTAAGGCAAAGCTAATAATTCAAGCAGGAAAAAGCGTGCTTGTCATCTGCCAGATAGAAAATCCAATCTGCACATGTCTCACTTTAACCCAGCAGAACTTGAAGAGACAGTGATATGTGATTTTATCATTTTGGAAACTGTAGATGGGGTTGAATGAATACAACTCATACATGGCTAGATTCAATTAACCTCTAAACACGAATTGTCTAAATTCTAGAAAATGATAAAAAGAGAGAAACTCTTGTGAATACTAAGGAAAATGAGAATGCATGGATACTATAGGTTTTTGTTGCAGGGGAAGCACAACTGCCTAAAGCATTTTAAATTAGCAGATTCTAAAGAACTTTCTATTGAGAGTGCATACACGCAGTGTATATTTTTAATGCACTAGTTTTCTTAGTTCAAAGTGCTTTACATCAGCACTGTACATAGAAGCAATTAATAAAAGTATAAAAAACATATAAGCAAGATTTTTATTCACAGTGATGCTTACAAATGCTAATTTCTTTAGATTTTAGTGCTTTATACGAATATATACCCAAAACCAAGTATGTAAAATTCATAGAGCTATTTTCACAGCTAAGAAATATGCTAGATAATTATCTAGAACTTCTGATTTAATTTGTATTCTGGGTGCATTCTCAAGATAGATAACAAGAGTGCTTTATCTATTCTTTAGACCACTTCATATCCCTGTATTTATTTGGCCCTCTTGGTGGATTTCTTCTTGGCGGAGTTTTCTTCTGCTCGCTTTCCTCTTCTGATTGCTCCTCTTCTTCATAAGACTTGTCGTCATCAGATGGGATTTCTTCCTCAGCGGGCTTTTCTTCCTCTGAAGGCTTCTCTTCCTCGGATGGTTTTTCCTCCTCTGAAGGTTTCTCTTCCTCTGAAGGATTTTCTTCTTCAGTGGGTTTCTCTTCATCAGACGGCTCCTCTTCCTCTGATGGCTTTTCTTCTTCGGCTGGTTTCTCCTCTTCGGATGGTTTTTCTTCTTCACTAGGTTTCTCTTCTTCAGTGGGTTTCTCTTCCTCTGAAGGCTTTTCTTCTTCAGCGGGTTTTTCTTCTTCAGAAGGCTTCTCTTCCTCTGAAGGATTTTCTTCCTCACTAGGTTTCTCTTCACCTGGTTTCACTCCTTCACCTGGCTTCTCTTCCTCTGAAGGATTTTCCTCCTCACTAGGTTTCTCTTCTTCAATGGGTTTTTCCTCCTCAGCGGGTTTTTCTTCCTCGGATGGCTTCTCTTCACCTGGTTTTACTCCTTCACCTGGCTTCTCATCCTCTGAAGGTTTTTCCTCCTCAGTGGGGTTCTCATCCTCAGATTGTTTCTCTTCTTCAGAAGGTTTTTCTTCCTCCTCAGCCTCCTTCTCCTCTTCAGAAGGTTTCTTATTAGGCTTCTTGTTGGGCTTCTTATTAGGTTTTTTTTAGGTTTCTTGTTAGGTTTGTTGTTATATCTGTTTCTATACAATATGGGTACATATGGGACGGGCATATACTCTGAATAGCAGCATGGGTTTGGAATGCACTCATCATAACAATTTTGGATAACCACACAGTTGTCATTGCCATATAGACCATACAAACTCTCATTCTTCATATCTGCAAGGTTTACAGAATCTTTTCTTTCCTCTGCCTTCTCTTTACTGAATGCTGTTGCCATCGCATACGCTGTCTTTCCTATAAGTAAAATCCTCATATCCCGCTTGCTTTACTGTCTATTTATACCTTTTGTTCTTTGCATCGATTCAATCCACTTTCTTATTAAAATCACACACCAGAGAGCCACTCTCTTAGGCTACTCTTTTTGAGAAATTTAATTGCCTGAAAATAAAGTCAATCTATCTCTGCCCATAGCCTTCTCTTATTGCAGTATCTGCTAAATTACAAGAAAAATGCCTGCTCTCAAGCCCCATCCATTTTTATTTGCAAGATCTTCCAGTGAGCGTCTTTCTGTGAATGGAATTGCAGCGCCTATTCTTCAACTAGTATGCTCTCTGCCTTATTCAGCGAAAGACTCACAATTGTGTACCAAGCCCAAGTCTGTATAAACTGCCAAACGACGAACGTGCCCATCGCCTGGATAAGTTTAGCCCCTTTTCCCTTTGTTTCTTTATCCCCCACCAAGTCTTCCTTCTTTTTTACCCTTAAGAGCACGGTGTAGCACATGCTAAAAAGAAAAATCGAAATGCACAGCGTGGTTTTGTAGATAGAAACAAGCCTCACCAGATTTGTGAGTACATCCCTAATACCATCTGCTTCCACGGAATTTGATACTTTCTTGTTATTTAAAAAGCCTAGCTTTCCTTTTTTGATATGCTGAACATATAAGTCCGATATATAGCTTCCTATATTCCCAATTGAGTAGGTCCCCTGGGTTGCAACCCACCAGATCCTATAACTTCCGTAGATGAAGATCATGAAGTTTACTACAAACAACATGCAGTTATGATATATCAACGCATTTCGCCTAGGCACTATACTGAATATTATATAGATTAAAAAAATCAGTAAGTCTGTGTAGCATGTCTTTAAAATTATTCCTATATTTCTCAGGATTCCTTTATCCAGATGTAGTATATACATAGTTCCGAATATAAAAGATATATGAACTATGCTAACTAGCCAGCTAAATACCATCTCGCCAACTTCAAACCGGCGCAGTGCCCACACCCCAGCGTATGATGTAAATGTGAATAGAGCGTCAAAAACCTGCACATACTTAATTGCATGTGCATATGTATTACTAGAGTCAGAACTCTCTTCATACTCAATCTCCTGGAAGAAAAACAGAGAAAAGAGCCGTGTACAATACAATGGAAGAATCATCACAAAAGAAATGTACAAACAGCTCATTTCTTGGCTACTTACCCACTTCAAGGCAGCCTTAATCTTGTTAAAGATGTGCTCTGCTTTATTGTAAAACAGTGTCATTGTAAAGACTACAGCCCCACTATTTTCTTGCTTCTTAGCCTCCTTCTCAATGGGGTCTTCTAATTTTAGTATAGCAGGCTGATCAAAGTCTATTATTTCATCAGTCTTGTTGGTATATAGTATTTTATTGGCTTCTTCTTCAGATATTTGTATTAGAACACTCTCTTGTTTTTCTGGTATTTCTTTAGTCTTTTTTTCTTTGGATATTGCAGCTGCAGACTTTTTTTTCTTCTTTCCTGATTTATTCTTTGGTGTCTGTTTGTTCATATTTACACTAACTTCTGTTCCTTCTGTTGCTTCAGCCTGCATAGATTTGCCTTTATCACCACGCACACCCTCTTCCTGCGTATTCCATTCGTCATAATATTGGGTATACTTTGGTGCTGGGCCTGCTTCTATCTCTGCCAGCACACTCTTGTCATTTTTCGGCCTTTGGGATGTATTTTTCTGGGTGTTTCTTATACGTTTGTGTGTCTTCTTTTTTGGTGGTGTTCTTTCGTTTAGATAGAGGTCACTTTGCTCGCTAAAATCCCAAGGATTTGCCATATTTATTTTTGCACCCGCCTCCGCATTTTATAAATATATATTGTTTAGATCTGAGCGAGTTTTTGATTTACGATATGCTTCTTTAATTTTCACTCCGCACAATGCCCATGGCACAAGACTATGAGAAGAAAAAAGAGAAGAAAAGTATAAAAGAAAGTGCATCTGCTGAGGAAGAAAAGAAAAAAGAAAGGCTCACACCATACAGCGTAAAGGACTTTGTTCTATCCAAATACGGAATTCCCCTTCTGAAGACACTTGAAGAACCCTTCAAGCAGAGGCACCGTGTGCTGACAGAGCGCAAAGACAAGCGCTCTCTTTATAAATACATGCGTGCACTTGTAAATATGTACACATCCTGGGCCAAGTCTTCCCCGCTATGCGGCAACAAAAGGACAAGAATGTACACGCTCTTAAAAGAAATTGAAGTGGTTGCAAAAACACAAAAAGAGCCTCTTCCCAGCACTACGAGTGCAAGTCCGCTGCCAATACCTAAAGAAAGAAGCCCACCCACAGACAAAATAACCCCAAGCTATGGACAAGACTCTGAGAGCATGGATACTTTCTTTGACAATACTACGTATAATATGCAGTCATTTTCACTGCTTGACACCACACAAACAGAGACAGACACGCGCCTTGATACAACACAGACCAGCAGCATATCTGATCTGCTAGATATATCTAATGACTCATCAGACAGCATTATGATAGGCAGAAGAAGGTCTAGAGGGGCTTAGCTACCTTTGATAAAGACAGCTCCTATCATTGCATTGAAATATATCATCAACTCTCATAAATATAGAATGCCTATTATAAGAAAAGAGACACTTGTATGTCCAAATTACATGATAATACTCTAAAACAGAAAGTGTATCTCTAAGAATGTTTATTTGTATGGTGCTGCAAGTATCTGGATTTACTGTGAATGTAGTATTTTTTGTTTTTGATTGTTCTTCTTTGTTGATGTATTCTGCATCTTTAATACTCTCACGCTATTTTATAGTGCCCTTTTGATTCGTATATTTTCCAGAAGTATTTTCTTTTACATCAGAAATCACAAGATCTTAGAATAGAGGGGTAGAAATTTTACTACATTAATAATAAGAAGCATGCTGCTAGAACCAGACTAACCTGAATTTTACACAATGTGCAATAAGAAACTATTCCTTTTTCTCTTAATTTAGGTGTAATTTGTATATATCCTCTTGCTACATAAAAGATCATCAATACCAAAAAAGTAGTTCTATATGAATATGCTACTAAAGGAACCTACAGATGAGTATAAAGAGATAAAAATACAATAGAAAATAAACATCTAAGTCTAGCATATTCGCTTGAGTCCATAATATTAGCTGTTTTCTGTGTATATGCGCATAGAGTCTGTACGAAGCCCACCATGTAAACAAGTAGAATATCTTAATAACATTGCCTTATCTATGTTAAACCATATGTAATTAGAATTCGGGTTATATCTATTTAAATGCCTCTTATTTGGCGTAATTTCTACTAAACTCTTCTCTATACGCATAACCTGTCTAATAATATAATCCGAAAGTGGCTAGCACGTGCATACTGTGCAAAATAAAATCATATAACCCGAATATAAATTTAGACTACAAAATGCAGAGTTTATATACATGCCACTCCATATGCTATCAATACTCTGATGTGTGCAGTACTTCTACAGTGCATCTTACATCACTCAAATATAGATAAATCCAGTCTCCATTCATCAGAGCAATTAATTCCAGCCATTGACTTAATATACTCCTGCACAGCCACTCCTACAAGTATATTTAGATACACCTCTGAGTGCTGTACAGTACTCCCTGCATTCAGTCGCTGTGTATATGCTTTAGAGATTAGCAAGTTACTAGTTGAAATATACAGAATTTTTTGGTCCTGCTCTGCTGCTCGAAAGCTTTCATGCATGGCCTCTGGCAGATCAAAGACAAATACCCATGTTTGCTCTATCTTGCATTCATTGCTTCTGCACACATGTGCCCCCACCTGCGACAAAAGCCTAATCATATACGATGCCATTCGCTCTTCTACAACTCCTGCTAGATGTACGTGCGATGCAAGTATCTTTTCTTGGGTGTCCTTTCCAAAAAGCTTGATCTGCCTTGAGTACTTTTCTTCATCCATTCTTTTTCCAGCGCAGCAAAAAACTTTCTATGCAAAGCGAAGATGAGTGGCTTCTGTTCTCTAATACTAGCAGCAGACAGCTCTTTTTTCTACTAAATGACATGCCAACCGAAGTGACAGAGACTCTAAAACAGCAGATAACTACCCTTCTTCCATCTGTAACAGACAGAATAGAGACTTTATACCCACGCGCAGTACAAATACTAGAGCCCACTGTGCTGCTTCTTCTGCTGACTGGCCTGCGCTCCAAAGGAGTGAAAGAGATGGAGATTCCTCTCTATAAAGGCATTGAAAATGTAGGAAAAAACAACCACCCGAAAGTATATGAATGCCTTCAGATTAAGTGCAAGAAGCTTCCTGATGAGGGATGGCTCTACTATGCAGTAAAGGATATAGCAGGAAACAGGAGGGAGCAAGTAAAGGGGATTGCAAAGCACTTCTTATTGGCTCTGTGGGAAGACATAAAAGAGTTTGGCCCACACTGGAACTCAGTGCACAACTACCGAATTACATACGACTAACACTAATACACTCCAGATGCATGCTAAGTAAGAGACCTTTCACACATGTGCAAAGAAAAGTCTTCAGTTTTTACTAAAATGAATGCTTTTTATTTAATATTTTATTATCACTAGCTCTACACCAAGACCAAATAAACTCACAGTGCAAATTGCTCTTCTTTAAAGTACGTCTTAAGCAGAGCAAAACTACCCCTAAGCACATCTATTTAAGCACATACTAAGTTCAAATACTTTTTAACCACAGGCCATACATATAGACTCAAATGTTTATTTACTTAAAATATCTCACTAACGTATTGTATATAAATATATCGCATTCTAGATGAAAATGCACTACTGCTAATCTTTGCACACCACCAAGAATATATTAGCGAAATACCATAACTTAAAGACTAAAAAGCAATAATACTGTAACCCAAATTCTGTTTTTATTATTCATCTGCGTGCGGTTTATTAGCACAGCTGGCAATGCGTCTACCCACTAAGATACTTTTCCAAGAAAAAAAGAAATATCTCTTGCACCTTCTCCAGTGGAGGAGGCGTAGTGCGTATTGAGCTGAGAACATCTATCTCTGCCTGCCGCGCTATTTTAAGAGGAATTTCTGTGCTTTTTCTCTTTTCCTCCAAAACCCTATTAATAATCTCCTTTACACTCTGCAGATACTTTGTATTGAGCGTTCCTCCTGTCAGTTTTTTAGAAGATGTCCTTGGCTTGACAACATTCTGCAAAAGAGCCCACACTTTGTCTCCTGCTGTCTCTGCACAAACCTTAATATTTGCAGAGTCTGCTATAAAGCACGGCGCATCCCACTTGTCTGTTCTTCTTGGGGTCTCAAATATACGTGACACCACTGAAAACTCCTCGGTTTTTTCTGTTTTTGTGCTTATATCAAGCACACTGCCTTTCCCCTGAAGCACTTCCTCCATCTCTGGCAGGCTTATTTCACCTTCAGCCTGGTACTCTGCAGAACAGTACACGTGGGCCATGTCTATCCCCATATTCTTTGCAGTGGAGGATATTTCGTACCTAAGACCCTTGATGTGCAGTGGCGCATATATTGCAACCAGCACGCGCTTGCTCAAATTATTCTGGATAATTGAGCGCATAGTGGCCGTCTCTTTTTTTGCATCTACGCTGACAGAGTTCTGAATGACAACAAGAACTGAGTCAATTGTTTTTTCCTGTGTGCCTTCTGCATTCTCACCATTATTCGTGCTGTATTTTCTAATAACCTGCTGCAGTATGTCGCAGAAAAGATCCTTCTTTGCGCGTGACGGAAGGCCCGAAAGTATAAACAGGGGCATTGAATTTAATTGTTTGCAGATTTTTTAAATAGCAATACGTGGGGCTCTGGCCCGTGCCGCATATAATGTTTCCATCCCTTGCTTTGGGTAATTCCTATTGAGCGCCACTCTTCCTCCTCCAGCAGCCGGCCCTTTGGAAGCATTTGGGAAAGCTCGTTAGGAAGGATGACGTGCCTGTATACATTGTTGTTTTCGTCTGTGTATGTGTCGCTGTAGTATATCTGCTCTGAGAGCGCTGCTATGTCAATTAGATCACTGCCCATGGTGGTGTTTAAAAAAAGATAAAATAAATGACAGAAGAGGGATTCGAACCCTCGCCCTCGGAAGGACTAGAACCTGAATCTAGCGTCTTAGACCACTCGACCATTCTGCCTACAAATTGATTGCCTGGCTGGCCAGCTCTCCTATCCTCTTGTACATCTAAAAGTGCAAGTATCTCTCTACATCCTTCTGCAAAGCAAAAGTGCATTTTTATAAAAATATATTTCTGTAGAGACTTCGCCGTCTGCTGAATGCACTTCTATAGGAATATGAGATGGAATATCCTGCACATCTTACTGCAGGCTCTTCATATGCATGCATCCTGCAGATAAAAGCATTATAAGAAATTTCCTTGGCTCTTTTTGCACTCTGTCTCTGCGCATTCTTCTGCATGCATCTTGCAGGTGGAGTGTGCTGCACAAAGTGTGCAAATATATTTGTTAGCTAAGTTTAGTTATAGAATAGTGGGTACTCATATTATTTATTTCTTTGCTATGCTTCTTATCTTGTCTCTCTTGCTGAATCTTACAGACCCGGACTTAGCGACCTCAGACTCTGATGACATCTTGCTCTTCAGATCGTTTAATGAGAGACCAACAAAGGCTCTTACTGGCTTGGCGACCTTTGGCACACTTATGCTGGATGACTTGAATGCAACTGCCTTCTTTCTGATAATTCTTGAGGCAAGTGTCCAGCTGACCTTCTTTGGGTTCATTCCCATCTGCAGATGGCTTCTGCACTTTTTCTTTGCGAGCAAGAAGGTTGCTCCGTTAGGGCGCACCAATATTCTTCCCTTTCCTCTGTGGATTGCGTGTCCACTAAAACTGCAAACTCCGAATTTCATTCTGGGGTAAGCAAAAGAAAATAAAATAAATTGCTATTTTCAAATAGCAGTTGCTTTTTTCTCTCCACGGGGCAATTAAGACATATGCGCATGGCACTTCACTAGAGCACACGTGCACTCAAAATCCTTAAATACTATTCTTTACTCTAATGTCTGCGCGCACAATTCATTTTCATTCGATCTACTCTGTCTGGCAGATGTGCTGGTATGGGCCTCTGTCTGAAAGAGCATATATATTTTGCAGTTCCGCAGCCATGGCATTAATAGTATAAGTTTATTCACTTGGTTGGCAAACTTAGCGATAATATGCAGCTGCATTTATTGGAGGTTCTATTTAAAGCACATTTCATTTAAAATCCGTCTAGTTTAGAGTATCTGCATGGATGTGATAAAGCCATTGCACACGCCGTATTGTAGCAGACACCTTACAACCTGTCTGTAAAAAGAAAGAAACAGCCTGGTCTACTATTTCTGCACAGAGCAGGTCTCTATTTTTTCTGGTTTTCTGGGAGAAGCCCGTGGTTTTGTCTTCTCTGCTCCTTTCTGGCCTCTGCCTTTATATGGTTGTATCTATTCTTCATTGCCTTCTTGATCTTGCTCGGGACTATCTGGTGCCTCTTCATGTCTTCCAGCTGGATCACATCTCTATACTTGTTCTTGATCATGTTTCCAAGCGCTCTGGAGTTTTCCTCTGCTCGTGTGCATATCTTTGTGCTAGAGTTCGGGTCCAGCTTCCATATTCGTATATTTGTGTCTACACTTCCGGAAAGGATGTATGCGTTGTCGCTTGTGCAGCAGACTGCGTTTACGCTCTGCATTCTCTTGTTATGGTAGAGTGCCTCCTGTCTGTGTGTGACGTCGTTTGTAAATATCCGAACAGTTCTATCTGTTGAGCCCGTCACAATTCGCGTGCCATTTGCAGAGTGCTGTATGTCTGTTATTGCGGTCGTGTGCCCTCTCAGGGTTCTTGCCGGCGGGGTTATGTATCCTGTGTTGTTGCTTGTGTAGTAGGTGTTGTACATGTAGATCTCTCCGTTGTTGGTTCCTGCAGCTATTAGCGAAGGCTCTGACGGATCGATTGAGAGCGCGTTGATCTCTGCCTTTGCCACGATGTCAATTTCCTGTTTTCCTGTTCTGCTGTCATATCCAACGATCTTGTTTCCTTCAATTGCATAGAGCAGCGGCCTGGCATCCTGGCTTATGTACAGCCTTTTTGCCTGCCGCTCTCCTTTATAGCTTGCAATTGCCTTTATTCGGCTTTTGTCAAAAATTTCAATCCCATCAACCGTTGAGGCGTAGAACTGCGTTTCCCCTGCACCAACTATGTCCAGCACACCAGCCCCTGACACAAACTCAGTCTCCACCGGAGCAGACAGCTCTTCTACGGATCCTGTAAGAATGTCCGCATAGTTTACCTCTCTGTGCACAATGCGCGTGTCTTTGCTGTACAGCAGCGCGTCGTTAAGGAAGGAAATTGCAACTGGCGCGTTCTGGTTGAGTGATACGGTTTCAATCTCCTCCCGCTTGTTCATGTTCCACACTTTTACTGTTCCGTCGTAGCTAGTGGATGCGTAGAGAACTTTTGACGTGGACGATTTTACTATTCGGGTGACTCCATCAGTGTGGGAGCTTAAGCAGCCAATGAAGGGCTTTCTAAAGATGTGATCCAGCTTTATGTCCTTAACTGCCCGAATATACTCTTTGTGCCTCTCGTTCTGTGTTAGTTCACTCTCTGAAAAGACTCTTGTTTGCACGCTTTTTTCACTTCCTCTGTCTAAAGTAGCTATCCGGTGTATTCTCATGCAAATAAAAATTCTGCATCGCTGGGTTCTTTATAAAACAGCCAAGAATAAAAATACCAAAGAGTGGGCAAAATTCATTCTACAGTGCAGCAATTGCGTGCAGTAAACGCATAGGCATATAGCTACTATAATGCATGTCAGTATAACATAAATACGATGAAAGTTTCTCTATTTTACAATCTAGCACACAGCATATAAAAATAAGACCTTTACATGTACATGCTGTGCACTATGTACGTGTTTTTGGCAGAGTTCATCTGGACGTATGTATTTTGAATAACTGCTGACTATTTGGGCTATAATAAATCTAGGCATTGTCTTGAGCTTTCATATCTTGTGTCTACGCGCCTTCTATGCATTTAAAGTATTCTGCGTGTTTTTGTGACAGCTATGTAAAATGTTTTTGTTGTACTCTGCTTGATTTCTGAAAATAGCCTATTCGGCTGGTACTGCCCGTATGTTAACCTGTGCATGCGATAGAAATCATGTATACGAGTGCAAAACCCCTCTCAAAAGTGCCCTTTGTTCTTGTTGCTGCCTTGCATCTTTCAATGCTGCTCCACACCGCCTTCTATTGGGAGAATCGCATGATTCATCATATCCCGCTAATGTTCAAAACCATCTGGTATATTTTACTTGACACAAAGTGCTTTATGCAGGGGAACCTTGAGTACCTTCTGTGTATTTTCCTTCTCAGCGTGATAAAAGTCCTTCTTCTTCTCCGCTATGTCTCTGAAAACTGCAATATAATATCGACTCTACTATGGAACGGCCTGCTAAAGGTTCTTATATATGGTCTCCTGATATACTACTACTCCCCTATTTTCAGGCGGAATCTATACTTTATGTACGCATGGGATAAAACAGTGCCCTCTTTTTCCTTTGAAGATGCGTTTCTTCGCGCGTTTATGGAGATACACATTGTAAACACAGCTGTCCAAAAACTCTGGTGCTATCTGCATGATCTTGAAAGCAGCATAGCTGTGTTCACTTTTTGTAACGTTTTGAAAATATGCGCTGAGATCACTATGTACGCTCATGCTATATGCTACAAAAAAAGAAGCAGGTGTGTATTGGGTGTTCTGGTCGCTATATGGACTATCCACATGACATACAGCAATATTAGGCCATTCTACTTTACTCGTGACTATGCACCGCACTACCGCGCTGCTATTAAGTTTTATAATGAGCTCCGTATTGCAAACTTTCTTATTGTGGCGCCAATGTGCATATACTGCATTTTTATAAATAATGCAACAGAAGAATTTTCTAGTAATGTGATCAGGCCGTCTCTTTTTCGCTCTTTTATCGAGGCATGAGACTACTATATTTCTACTTTAAACACATGTGGCTGTTTAGTGAATTGTTTATCTATTTTCTGAAATTTACATCTTAAATGGTTTCTCTTAGTGATATATGCATATTCGTTTTCTTTGCGTGCTTATTTCTTATTTCTGGCTGATTTTCCATTGTATTCTGTGTAAAGGTCGCTTTATATGGCCTCCAAAATATTTAGCTAGAATCTTAATACTTTTGCTTTTCTGCTCTACGCATATGTAAATTATAAAAGTCTGCAGGCTTTATATGTATTTTTGCTGTGAAGAGAATATGAATTGTAAAAATTGAAAGTGTAGAAAAAGTAGAAACCATATTAGGAAGAAAAGACTAAAAATAGCAGGAATGGTTTAAACATACAGGGCTATATAATAAATAGACTAGAATTTGTTGATTCAAACTGCATATGTGCACTATGACCCGAATTTAGAAAGATTGCTGTGCTAGCTTCTGTTTCTGAATATATAAGTGAATCTATGCTATTCTGAATAGAACAGACAAACAGATACACTGATTTATATCTCTAGAACGCAAGATAGTAGTTGGATGTTTTAATTAATAGATGCACCAAATAGTAAAGCGCGTCTAGACATTCTTATGTTTCAAATAAAAAGTGCTCTAGCCAAAAGAGCATAATATATTAGCATAAAATATGGCAACAAAGTAAAGAATGAAAAATTCTATTGCTTTATATTTCTAAATCCAATGCAAGAGCCTAGTGTAGACCAGCATGCTTTATTTTAAATGCATAGCTGTGTTTTTCACATATAGTGCTCTGCATGTTTATTCGGATATAGGCTTTGGTGCATGCCAGGTAATGTCTTGCAGAGCAAGATCTATAATCAGCTGAGAACGTGCTGTGAAAGAGTGTACAATCGACGGGATTATTACAAAGACGGCAGTGCACAATATCTGCATAGAAATAGCCCAGAACCTCAGGGACCTTCCCTTGATGGTGTATTTCTGCAAACGCGCGCCAGTTGAAATGTATCGATCAAAGAAGGACATGAACACAAGGAATCCTATGATTAGCATGGTCATAATCATAAAAATACTCAGTCCTATGTACAGCGAGCTGTACGTGGACGCTTCGCTTGTAAAGAAGTCATTTCTGTCGCCCACCTGTATATATCCAAGAGGGTACATTCCCATCTTAAAGCACATGAATGTTTTTGTGATTCCTGCCAGACTCCCAAATACCATAAATAGCAGTGAGGTGAACACCCGAATGATCGGTGCTGCGCTAAAGGTGTACTTCCTTTGGTACACGTAGGCAACAATAATTCCAGGGATATCGACAAACATGGTGCACAAAAAGGCAATTGCACTATCCACAATTGAATAGAATGCGTCTGATGTGATCTGAATAGACTCCAGCATTGTCTTTCTAACACTGTTGCCGAGCGAATCAATGAATCCATGCCCGCACCGAGACTCTCCAACCATGGATCCTAGGAAGAACGAGACAATCTGAATGAATATGCCGTATGCGTTCACACCAGATATGATACTTGCCAGAATAACAGCGTATGTTAGAGGACTAGAATTTCTGCATACATTTCCTAGCAGAGCAATTATATCTGCAGCCAAGAATACGGTCCGGTCATTAATAAAGAAGGCGAGCGCGCTTAGAGGCATGGTTATGAATACCGCCCACATTGAAAGGATGATTGGCATGTACTTCTTTATCGCACTTTCCCCTGTCTTCTTCTCTTTTATTGCTTGGTCAAACTTGGCAAGACTGTCCTTTTCAGCCTTTCTTCCAGTGGATACATACTTTCTCCTTTCAGATGTGTAGATGTCCTCAAAAATCACTCCATTTTCTCTTTGTCTCTGCACGTATGGCCCATCCATGTCCAGGTTGCTTGCATCAAGTGGAATGTGGTGGTTTGTTACCTGTTTGCTAAGCCAGTATCCAACCGGTGCGCTGATAAGACCAAACACCAGACTGAAAAGACCTCGCTGCTCTAATGGAATCTTCTCTAGCACAGTGCTCAAAAGCACCATTGCCAACACAGACATGCACCCAACTACAGTTAGCATCCCAATCATATTGGCAGCTTTCTTTGCAAAAAACACCCTCTTTGGGTACATCCACTGCATACCAAACACGCTGAGCACTGTACCCAAATACACTGCAGATTGTATAATAAGAAAACTCACTAGAAGCCTCTTCTCGTAGAGAGCGCTCCCTATGCGGTGCAGGTTTATGCTTTCTAAAAGATCCTTCACATCCTCCATGTTATTAAAGGAGATCATTCCCCAATAAGAAAGAATTGCAATGTTTGCAATTATCAGTGCGCAAAAACACACAATTGTGGAAATGCTTCTAAAAAGAGCTTGGTTCGAGCCCTGGCCTTTGAAAAGTTTAAATGTCCTTGTGTTTATGTCAGAGAGAGACTCCTCTAACGCATTCAGTGGCAATCCGCGCGTATTCATCATACTTATAAAAATTACAATTTTTTCCGAATTATATGATCAAATTTGCTTTTTAATATGTTCTAGATCCAGAGTAGTTTTGCAGCCAAGCACTTTAGACAAATTAATTTTTTGGTGCACTGCTCAAATTTACTTCTAATAAGAATAGAAACAATAAGAAAATAAATCTTATTGCGAAATAACTGAAAATCTAGTGAATATCATTTTTAGTTCATAAATTGCCCCTAGTAGGTCAGCATAATCATATGAACAGTAAAACTAGAATAAAAGAAAGCAGACAAAAAGTATCAAAGCAACTAAAAATAAATATTCTTTCTATTCAAAATTATACTGCCTTCAACTACTTGGCTTTAAATTAAAGACTGAGTTTGTATGCTCATATAGCTTGTAGTAATATAAACAGACTAGGGGCTTCATTACCAACTGCGCAGATACTACCCGTTGAGATTCCAGAGTAGGAAGCTTACGCAGCGCTGTGTTCTGAGCTGTCTATTTTCGCGTGCTGTGTGTTCAAGCAGAACTGTACTGAGCGTAATTAGTTGCTGTGTCTGAACTCTTCACAAAAGGAAAAGAGGTATACGCTTAATTGTATTTATGGTGCTGCAAGCTAGAAGACAAACACAGTACTAGAATGTGCGCAAAACTATGGCATTCCCTCGATGCATGCGAATTATATTTCCACCTCCGCATCTTCAATATCCGGCAAGTCTTCAATCTCTGCATTGTGAGACTCTGCATGTCTGTGGACTGCGCCATACAAGTCATCCGACATTTCTATGATACCAGTTGCATCTATTTCCCTAAGAAACGAGCCTATGGGAAGAGCAGATGTAATTGCAGACCAGTCCAGCCTTTTAGCTACTCTGGCCCGTATTTTCCTTCTAACGTACCCAAGAAGAACGGTTTTTTTCAGAACATCTGACAGCTGTATTTTCATGGGCTTTCCGCTTGGTGTGTAGTTTATTTTTCGTAGAACACCCTCAGCCTCAGCATGTGTTAGAACCTCCCCGCCCTCTTTTCGCATTCTGTGGATAATTCCCTCTGCCATAGCCTTCTTTGAGTTCTCTTGCTCGTACTCCCGGGTTGCACTGTCCTTTCTCTCAGTTCCTAGTTTTAGAATTTCCTCTAGCGCTTTGCCATGGTCCTTGCCAAACTCATCCTGCACGCTTTTCTTGCCTGCAAGCTTCCCCTTGCTTATATCTGAGAATATGCTCTCGGTCCATAGGACTTCGTCCAAAGATGCAGTCTGCCTTCTGTACTCATAGAGCTTCTTCGGGTGGGCTGCTACCTCGTAGTTTCCGTGCTTTCCCTTGTACACCACCACAACTATATCTTGGAGCTTCTTAATGTTTTCTGGTGTGAATATCATAGTGAAAAAAACCGCATGCTATTTATTTCTTGCACAGCATGCATCTGGCAGCGTGCATAAGGCGGCCTGGCTATAGATCACTTGCAAAAAGGACAGGCTGTCTGAAATCAAGCACATAAGCATATCTTTGTGCATAGCCAATAAATTGAAGATATCATGCTTCAGCATATGCAGTCAATGCACTCTGCTCCAGCACACAAAGCGCGTTCAGTGCGCTTAGACACAAGATATACTAAGTAAAATAGAATAAAGCACGTTTATTTCTTTAGAACTGATGCAAGCTCTGGCATGTCGTACTCGGCAGCTGCAGCAAGAGCCATGAGGTTTCTTGCTCCAATCTGGAGCTCCTGGCTGACGGTGGATTCAGTTACGTATCCAGCACCAAGAGCAAGAGCAGCAAGAGTGCTCACTGCCTCCTTCACCATTGTCTCTACAGACTCTGGAGTAATCTTCAGATACTCGGTGTCGAAGAACTTTCCGTCGGAGTATGCGTAAAGCACCTTCATCTTGTAGACGAATGGGGTGACTCCAAGAAGAGCAAGCAGGGCTGCTTCAGAGTGTCCTACTCTCTTTCCCTCGTACAGGGCCTGGCACTTGGATAAAATCTCAATCTTACCCTTTGTAATCTTGGTGGCAATTCCAAGAGCTTGGAAGAATGCAGTCTTTTCTGGGGTAAGTCCAGTTGCAATTGGCTCAATCCATACGTCGCACTGGGAGAGATCTCCTGGCTTGGCAACAGAGTGCACCTTGTTCTTCTCAAACACATCCTCAATCTCGCTAAGAGATCCGTTGGTGAAGACGACTCCCACGTTGTTCTTAATGACTTTTTCTACCTCCTTGAGCTCTGGGTTGGTCTCTGCCAGCTTCTTCAAAGCGTTCTTAATAGTGGTGTTCTTTCCCATTAAAAACTCGCCCTTTCCTCGCAGATCCTGTCTAATCTCCTGGCACTGGTTGGAAGAGATGTTTATCATGTCCACAATCATGAACTTTTTGAAGGATGCAAAGAACTCCTGGGTTCTGTCGTGTACCAGGTTCTTTCTGTTGGTCTTAATTGTTTGTTTCTGTTGTTGTTTCACTTGCAGCATTGATGTTGTTGAAATGTCAAGGGTGTAAAAATAAAATAATTTTATGCTCTTTTACTGGACATCTGTCTGAAATATGGGCTTTTGGAAGTATTTGAATTTCATATTTAATTTCATGCTCTTTAAACACAGCGTATACACTGTGTGCGCACTGACGGGTTTCTTCCTTTGCGCGCACCCAAAGCAGCAAATGTGCGCAGCTTTCAAATGCCACTTCAGTAGCTAAACAGAGAGCACCCACAGATGCTGCTCACAATCTGCAAAAACGTTCTAGAGTAGATTGCACTAAGCACGTGGATATCTCTTTGATGTTGTTGTAATGAAAAGACCACTCTGTATGATTTATTTATTTATTTAATTCAAACATAAACACAAATGGATCCGCCAGTGGCTAGCATAAACACAGAAAGATTCACATCTCACTGGGAAGTAATTCAGACAGAGGCAAACAAGCTCGCAAGCGGGTTGGAGTGCAGCGGCATGTTGATATACACAGCCATATACCGCATTGTGTGTGGCGGAGATGTGTCATATGCAGTGCGTCTGCATTGGTGCATTGGGAAGTTCTTCTTTGCCTTCTGTGTGAAAATAAGAGAGCGAATTAAAGGAGACGATTGGGTTAAGGAGTATGCGAATGCCTTTTGCATCTACGAGAAAACTGTAAAGACCATAGATCTTCTATCTCTCCACTTGAATGAGGCGATTTTGGAAAATAAAGAGTGCAAAAATGTGCGGGACTTGGGGTACATCATCTGGGAGCGGTGTATTCTCCGGCAGAGATACGAGGGTAACCTTCCGTCCCTCTCAGAGTCACTTCCAAGCAAAAGAGAGTATGCAGAGGTCTGTCTCCGCTCGCTGAGCAATATAAACACAAATCCGAATGACCGGTTTGAGTACTATCGAAACAACTATGAGGCAGGCCTTTTCTCTGTGATCATAGAGGAGTTTAAGCACAAAGTGAGCATTCACATGGAGATGGAGCTGGCCTCCTATCTTGTCAAGTGCAGCAGGGCCATCAATGAGGCAATAGCAGCGTATTCAGCTCTGCTGCTTCCCATTTCTCTTCCTATTCTGGAAGAGACACTTGAGAAGGTTGTGTTCTCCAAGCACACCCACATCATGAGGGAGCAGATGAGAATAGTCCTGCACAAAAAAAACAAGCAGAGCATAAAAAGCCTGTGCAGCGCGGTGCGCCTATTAACTAAAAAGGTCTTTCCCGCCTTCCTTGAGTGCTTGAAGGAGTTTATCAACGCGGAGTGGCCAAGCGAGAATACATGCAGCGCAGCCATATCTGCGTATAGCAGACTATCGGATCTTTTCCTGTCGGACACGTGCGAAAAAACGCGAGAAGTTCTGGAAAATGTGCTTGCTCTAAAGATTGGCCGCCCTGGCGTCGGAAAGGAGCTTGCCCTCTATCTTGAGTCTCTTATCAAAACAAAACATGTTGAAGAGGTTGAAAAGGTGAACGTTCTACAAAATGCAATCTCCAGCAAGGACGAGAAAGACGTCTTCTACTCGACGTACATCTCCCGTCTAGCAGAAAGGATATTTTCTCTGCAGTTTGACTTTGAAGTGGAGCAGGAGGTTGCAAGCCGTCTGAACATGCCGTGGGTGCTCAAAAACAAGGTCACAAAAATCTTCAAAGACATGGTGCAGAGCGCAGAGGAGAACCAGCTCTTCAAGCAGATGTATGGTGCAGGCGACTTCCAATATCTGACACCAGAGAACAACCAAGTGTTCTTCTACAGTATCATCACAACTGCATGCGTCTGGCCCATTGCAGAAGAGGCCGTGCAGATCACACGCTTCCCGCCCGAGCTTGATGGAATTCTTTCTGCGTTCTCTGGGCAGTATCTTGCCAAGCACCCAAGGCGCCGCCTAATCTGGGCGGACACTCTGTCTACCGTTGAGGTTGAGATTATAACCAACAGAGCGTACACCATAGAGATGACTCTCACGCACTATGCAGTCCTCTGTGCAGTTGAAAAGACCCCGAGCACCCTTGATAATATAGCAGAAGCTGTTGGCCTGAGTACGAAGTTTACGGCAAATGTGCTTGAGTCGTTTGTTCGTCTTTCAATTGTAGTGGTTAGAAACGATATCTACTGCTTTAATGACAGCTTTTCGTGCGAGCAGGAGATAATAACAATCAAAGCAACTGAAACCACAGAGAGAAGAATAGGCAACAGAAAGCCATACTACCAGGCCTGGATATCGCGCGCACTAAAGCAGTTAAAAGAGTGCGGGTTGAACAGTCTTTCAGAAACTCTGCAAAACAGCCACACAAATATATTTGACTGGAACAAACAGGAGTATCTGGATGCGCTGAAAAACCTAAATGATAGAGGACTTGTTGAAATCGTTGACGCCACAGTGAAGTACCTTCCATAGCGAACAAGGCAGCGAGCTGAATAGCTTTCGATGAGGTGTGCTCTGCCAGTACTAGGCTTTTCATGTTTGCTGATGCTACTTCACATTGTTTTAAATAAATCAGATAATTAAACAGATCTACTGCAGATAGTGTGCATATTTAATCAATCCCATATCTAAGCGCATTTCATCAGGATTATGCGCGTGACAACTGCTATGCATAGGCTTTTCTGCACCATAGCCTATCTTTTGTGCATACTATCTGAAAATAGTCTTGTGTGCTACAGAGTGTACACTGAAGTGCGGTCTGGACTGTGTTCTGTAAGAGTCAAGCTGCCTCTAAACCCAAGAAAACCTCTTTTAAAGGCGACTTCAAGGCATTAAACGATCTCACACAAGTCTATTAGGCATGTATTGTGTTGCAAAGCGCATATTAGAAATACTAAATGTTTTTATGAACTCAGTATGTATGTACGTAAACATCTTTGAAAATACAAAAAGAGAATATTTCTATAGAGGCACTTGTATACAGCGCACACCCCAATGCGATCCTACGTCCATTGCATAGTTTTCATGACGATCTACATGCTCACTTTCAGCCCAGGCTCAAACAGGCAGCAGAATTGCTGTAGACAAATTGCAATATAGCATTTAGAACAAAAAAGACTATTCTTTCATTAATAGAAAATTAATTATGCTTATTATGTTAAATATAGCACATACGGCGCATAATTAAAATTTAGACCCAAATTATACTAAGTCTGGAAATATTGTGTTCTATATAACTCTGAATGAAATATAAGACTACACATGATAATAAATATTAATGTGCAAGAAGACATTTCTGATCTGTATCTAAAGCAGCCACCATCCATATTCAAACAGCTGAGATCGTTTTCATATAAAAACCTTCTTGAGCTTGTGAGAACACTTACCAGCATCACCATACTTACGCTCTTTCTCCTGTCTGGATACAGCACACTTAAAGGCATCTATGCTGTGGACAGAGTTGAATTCTACAACATTCTCCTGCTCTTTGCGTCTACCGCGCTTGTTGTATCTGTAAAGTTTCTAACTCGCAAGAAAACTTCTTCAAATGCTAGAGTCTGTGAGAAGATGTTTCTTCCCATTATGCTGTCGCTACTTATTACTAGCGCTGGCATATCCATTGGTCAGTCCTGGATCTTTTTTTTACTCACAAATACAATTGTGCAAGACAGTGACTATCCTCTAATTCTGCTGAGCCATTTGATTATGTTTTCTTTGCCGTCTTTTCAATGCTTCGCAAAGCATGCTAACTTTATAAGGCTTTTTCCAGGCATTCTTTCTTTTATCGCCATAGCAGAGAACAGAATTGGCAAATATAGAAAAGAGAATGTACTTATTTTCAATCAGTCTCTTTCAATAACTGGAGCCACAGCGTGTCTGCTTGTTATTCTGACTGTTTTGTGCCCATTGGTTCGAATCTATCTGGAGGAATTTAGACAGTATCGTTATATATAAATGTAAATTACTTAAAATTATCTTTGGGGGATTTTTTCTTATTTCACTACTTCTTTCTATTTATTCATGTAAACGAATACTCTGCCAAAGCGAGCTGGTGAAAAATTATTATAAGCATGCAAAAATATTCGACTTGCGAAAGGCCCTGCTACAGAGTGCCACCACTATACTTACACTAAATAAGTTAATATCAAAGAGAATTCTTAGGTTTATTTGTTTTAGAAGTCCTGGAAGTACACATCGAGTGTGCTGTCTATTTCCTCCGCAGGGCTAAGCTCTGGGTCCTTTTCAATGTCCTTTTGGTCAAAGTTTGAGTACACATTGCTACCTGCCTGGGGAGTCCAGCAAACAGGCAATTTCTGTTTTTTCATCTTCTCCCAGTCAAAGTCTTTGAAGTAAACGTGGTTTTTTATATCCTCAACAGATTCTGTGCCCAGGCGCTTCTCCACGTTTTTCTCTAGCAGGCCTGCTATAAAGGACCGCATGGGCTCTTCTATCTGGTCAATATTTGCTGGCGGGTCGTTTTGAATTGCCTCCTTTATTTGCTTCACGCTAGAGCCAGTGAATGGCGGCGTCTTAAGAACCAGCTGGTATGCCAGAACCCCAAGACTCCACCAGTCAACCTTTTTCGTGTAGTGCTCATCTATCATCTCTGGCGCAATTGCAGGAATGCTTCCGCATAGAGTGTGCGCTATTCCTTTAGCTGCGCCAATTGAGCACAGCTCCATGTTTATCAGCTTGATATATCCGTTTTCTGCAAACATCACATTCTCCAGCGCAAGGTTTCGGTAGATAATGTTCTCAGAGTGCAGCCACTCAATTGCTATTACCAGCCCAGCGAGAATCATCTGCACCTCTTTGTCCGAGATATCACGGGTTTGCAGATGATAGTACAGATCGCCGCCCTGCACAAACTCCGTTATGAAAAATATGTGCGTTTTTGTCTGGAAGCAGCCCAGCAGCTGCAGAAGAAATGGATTGTTTGAGGTTTTTGCTATTTCTAGACAGGTTCTCTCAGTGTCCATCATGTTTTGATAGTTGTGATCAATTATTGTCTTTTTCTTGACTGCCTTGAGACAAACTGTTTTATGCCCCCATGCACACAGATACACCTTCCCATCTCCCTCCTTGTGCAGCAGAGAGATGAACTTGAACTCCTCAATTGATATTTTGCTGGACTTCTTTTTGCGAAGCTTGGGCATATATGCAATCAGCCCTGTCAGAAGCTCCAGAGTTATTCCGCAGGACTTGAACAGCATGCTTCGGCACGCTGTGTGATATGTATTCTGGCAGACTGTGCACTCCAGCGCTATTGCAAGCATGCCGATTCTTTCTCCACAGTGGCAGCACCACACAGCGCCAAGCATTTTATCTTTAGCAAGCGAGTGCTCCACGCTGTATCTTTTTGTAGGCACAGGATTCTTCTTTTCTGCATCTGAAGACAAGTCTGAAGAGTTGCTTTCACCGCCAGAGCTATCATGGTTTGCACCTTTTCGCTTTGGCTTGGAGACTCTGCTCGCCACTGTATCTGTTTCCTTGGGCTTTTCGCGGATGTCAATCGCTGCAATGATTATGCTCAGCCTCTCCTGCTTCATCTTTTCCAGCTGCGCCTCCAGCTCGGCCTTCTCAGACTCGATCTCTTTCTTCTTCTTGAACTCGTTACACTCAAAGAAAATAAGATGTGTGCAGCGCATGTGGCATGTGAACTTGCACATATCGCACCTATAGTACTCTTCTGTGTCCTCGTTGTTGTCGCTATTTCCGCAGACCCCACACCGGTAAAGAGAGGTGCTTTCAATCCTACGCAGAAGATGCTCTGCAGACCGCTTGGTAATTATGGTATTAGATGCACGGCTGATGCCATCTGAGTCTAGAACACACTTTCCAAACGAAATTGAAAGCGTGCTGTTGTCTGAGATGTTATAGTAGAAGTTCCTCACCCCTATGTCTTCTGCATCTACCAGGTCCTGTATGGGAAAAAAAATGTCCCCAACCATCACATTGTCTTTTGTCATGATGATAAACTCCAGCCGGTATGTATTTTTAAACTCAATGCTTATCGGCTTGCTCTCATCAATTTCATTCTGTGCAACTTGTCCAATAAAGATCTCATCTGCATATATACTAATTACTATGTCTTTATGTAAGGGGTTCTTACTAAGTAATTCTACAATTGACAAGTGGGTTCTTCCGCTACGTTTCACTTTTTCGCAGTCTTCTTTTTTTTCTGTGTTGAATATCAGAGCTGGATTGCAGTTTTTTTTCGTTGAAAATGCATCTGATAGAAGTCGCTTGATTAGCGCCATCTCTCTCTCCAGGAAGTATATAATTCTTCGCGCCTTTTCCACTCTTTCTAGTAGCTCAGCCGTGGAATTCTCTTGCATAAGGATGCTGTACCCCTCTATAAGATCCTTTTCCTGCTTTATCCGCCTTGCAATTATTTTTGCTCTGCTGGTGTCTCTGGCCTCCCAGCTTTCCAGGATGCTCTGCGGATTGGTTTCCTTCCCAGAGAGAAAGGGGTTTTCATTCTTCAGCTGCTCAATTTGGTACCTTGCTGCTTCTGCCTCCGTCTCGGAGAGGGTTGGCAGCATGTCAGTGAGCTTTTTAATTACATTCACGGTGTTCGGGAGTTTGTCAGTCATATGTAGATTGTTTGTTTGTTTTTTATGCACGGGTCACAGTATATAAGACAAATCTCCATAAAGCTCAAACAATATCTAAAACAGTGTGAAGAAAGCGGCAACTTCGCCCCCTCAGCCGCAAAGAAGACAGTTCTTGATTGTCTTGTACCTTTGTCAGAGATTGTTTTAAAAAGCCCCGCCTCCTCTCATGCTGCGCAGCCATCTGATGTGATCCCAGTGGAAAGCCCATACATATACGCCTTAATTGCAGAGTATCTATGCAGTCAGAATGCTGTAGACAGCGCGCGCATCCTTCTGGAGGAGATTGATGAGATGCTTCCTGTGAAAAGCACACACGAGACAGTGTGCATCCCAACAGTGTATCTTCCTTGGGCAGAAGAGCTGAATGCAGTTGCCCCCAGGCTAATCACAAAAAAGTCCTTAAGCTATACACAAATGACAGACATCAAAAAAAAGTGCCAGAGAATAATTAACTCGCACAAGGAGGCAGAAGCACCAACCGATCCTGTTACAAAGCTCTATGGTATTATAGAGAGCGCGCTGAAAGAAATGGACAAATGGGACAACTGTACTGAGCAGCGAAAGGATGTCTTCCAGCGCGCGATTATTGAGATCAAGGAATGTTTCTTTGAAGAGAATGAAACACTGGTCTACTTTGACGGACATATAGGCCATGTGTATTCAAAGTACACCGCGCAGTATGAAGAAATAAAGCAGGTTTTAGGCCTTTTTGTCATTCCCACCCGCCACAACGAGGTGAAGCAGCTGGTCCATGCAAAGAGAGCGTGCTTCCCAAAGAGCGGAATAACCCTTGAAACTTTCTATCACATTGGGAAGAAGATGGAGAAAATGAACATCACGCCATATGACACGGAGGTGGAAGTTGAGTCAGCAGTTCCTCCCATTTTGTCTTTTCACTCAACCTTCTTCTGCCCAGTTCTTCGGTCGGAGTGCTCTTTTGACAATATGCCGTGTGTACTTACATGTGGGCACATAATAAGCGTAAAGGCTGTTGAAAAAATTGCGTCTTTCAAAGGTGTTATTTTTAAGTGTCCTTACTGTCCAAAGGATGTGAATGTTAAGGATGTTTTTAAGATAAAGATGACCATCTAGCTATAATTGTATAATAAAAGGCTCTTTTTAACTTTATTAAATACTCTTTTACCATACCACATACTCTTCTAAATTTAATAGAGCGTAAATATCTGAAATAAGAGAATGCGCGCAACACACTATATTTTTTTAAAGAAAATATGCTTTATTCTTCCTATGGTATTCACCATAAGCTCAGGAATTTAGGAAAAGGAAAAGCGTAGAAAATCCCAGAATGTTAAAAGTATAACACAAAAATGTTTTTATTAAGTAAGGTATGCCAAGGCAATAGTATAATCAATAACAACAGTGACAGACATAACCAAGCAAGACAATTCTAACGCAAGACAATATAATAGTGCTAAACATTCGGGTCAGCAGATTTCTTACAAACCGCCAGTCAATAAACAGTCCTTAATCAAGTCTATCTCATTCATCAATTGCTATTTATCTATTGGAAAATATTCAGATACTGATCACTGCACTTTCTTTATATCTTCTCCCGCATAGCATACCATACTACGCTTTGTGTTTCTGTCAAATGCATACTATTTTCTAAATAAAGGACATAGCAACTTATTAGCTGTAAATTACCCAGGGCAGTCTATAAAATACCCAGGGGTAACTATTTCGATAATTAAGCATTTGATTGGATGTTTAGCAATAGAAAACACCCAATCAGTGTGCAGAATCTTCTCCTAGTGAAAGTATTTACTGTGCACACTTTTCCAGTATCTAATGAAAAGCGCTTTTAGAAGTCTAGCTATAATTATAAGCATTTCTTTACTAGGATATTTTGAGCTTTCCAATGCAGCAGAGAACCATATGGAAGAGTGCATAGAGGAGTCTATTGAAGAGTATAAAGAAGTAATATGCCAATACACAGACAGCAGAATAGATGCAATGCACGCATGCATCGCAGATATAATGAAGAGTTACAAACAGATGCAGACGTCCAATCTATGCAGCAAAATTCCAGACCCAATTAAAACCTCATTTGACCTCTTAGAGATGTTTTATGAAAGCCCTACATGCGAAATAAAGCAGATCCTTAGAGAGATGCGCAGCACACTTTGCGAGATGGAAAATATAATAGAGACAAGCGAGATAGAAGAAATATGCATAGATAAAATTAAGTATGCACACTCTGTTATACGCACAATTGGAGAGGACATATCTGAGCTGATTCAGTTCTACATAATACTGGATATAAACATAAATCGAATGCAAGAGTTTATTATGCAGGGAAGTCTTGGGTATAAATGAAGCCGCTAGTGATTATATACATCTATAGTGTGCACCTACTCTGACCCCATTAACATACCCCTCTATAAATTGCAGCAGACTAGCACAGGATCCACATAGTATACTGAGAATTTAATTTATAAAGTATTTCAATTTTACAAATTTGTATTGCTGCTACTCTGATCCTATTTACGAGTCACTGTCACTATTATAGGTCAAATAAAGGTGATCTATCGATTATGAACATGAGTTATCCAAAAACCTTATTAAAGAAAGTCTTCTAGTGATAGTGCATTCTTAGTCTCTATTTTTAGGATTAGGTTGGTTATTTTAGTGAAATTAGTGTGCTTTTTTGCATGTACAATTATATTTTTATATTATTAAGCTTTCTATGTGCACTAGCATATCCACAAGAAAAAGTTCTGCTAGACTGTTTTTAGCTCAGTTTAAATTTCTTTTAGAGTTTTATTTCCCAAGAGCCTTGTGTATAGCATAAGATGGGCTATCCCAATAAATAGTTCAGAATGAATATTAGCTTCTTTGCATGTATAGAATAATTTGTTTATGTGTTAGTTTATTCAATAATATCCAACCATGCACTATAATCTGCATGTACATTGTCTATTCATTAAACTGCATTTATACAAGATTTATGTATGTATCCTATATTCCCCATCTCTAATCTACCTCTTCTGTACTATGTCTTCATTCTCCTGTCTATGTCTTCTTATTATCCTTTCTTCTACATCTTTGCAAAAATAAACTCTACAATATTTGCACTACCATTACTGTTCAGAAGGGTTTGTTTCTTCTAAAAAAAAGATAAAGACACACGAAAATCAGAAAACTGCACTTTTTGAAGAACCACTCTCGGCAAACACTCGGCGCAATGTAGAAAGCTGAACAAACTCTGCATCACATGCCAGCCACATAAAGAACAAAAAGGCCATGCCCAGACATGAAAACCTATGCGTACACCTGCAAAGAACTATACACGCATACAACACATGATATACATACACGTATATGCATAATATACACATACTACACATATGCAATATGTATGCTGATAGAGACACATCAGAAGTAGACAAGAATGTATTCCTCAAGCATGCTATGCAAGTACCAAGACACAAGCTGTCTATCTGACCTACCCATCTGCACACACCTCCCTACATCAGCAGGTCTTCCTCCAGTGCCTGCTGCACATGCCTTGTACACACTCTCCCACTATATTAATTTTTCGTCATATGGCCCTCCAAGATGCGTAATTTGCACATAGACTGGGCTATACATCGCAATTAAGTAAACAAACAGCAGAACATGGTCTAGAGTGCAATTAGAAGGGCCCAATACACATATTTCCCAATTTGATCATTTTTTTGGGGTATTTAAGGGACACGCACTCTCCATTTCAGAACACCAGGAGAGCTGCATCTGTCTCACGGCGCAGTGCAGAGAAGAGGGCTGGCTAGGAGGTGGCAGGAGCAAGCCGGCACTAACCCTGCCGGTGGGTCGTCCACTATTATCATTCCCTTCGGGGTAGTCTATAAGGCCATATGGAGTAGCTTGGATGCCAACTTTGTCATTAGGAAATTCCGCGCATGTTCTTTTTACCTTGATGCTTGTACATTTAATATTTAGAGCCGCTGCGTTGTCTAAGCCGAAGTGGCACTGAACTATGCGTGCACTGGACTTCCCTGCTCCTGTCCTCAGCACCGACTGGCCCTCTCCTCTGCGCGGCGCGCGCGATGGCCTGCCGTGCTGTCTGCAGCGCTCCGGCAAACAGCAGCATGCGCGGGCCGCTGGGTTCTCAGGCCAGTCGCAAGACGCCGCTCTCCCTGCATATGCAGCAGCTAACCACTACATGTGTATGCAGCGAGCGAAGATGTGCTGTGTGCAGGCAGTACATGGCGCCCGTACATGGCCGGTACACACTATTATTAATAAACAGCCGCTCCCGATCTGCCTGCTGTCTTGCTGTACTGTGTCCGCCCTTTGTGTGCTCAACTAATATTCCTTGTCCGCAAGCCTCGAATGGCTTTTTATCTTAAACTCTTTTACTGTGCTTCTAATTTTCCTTGGAGTAGTAGTGGGAATAAAATGTTTCTTTTGGTAGGCATTAGTTTTCTCTACCTCAAGGGCATGCAGTCCTTTTCTTCAAGTCAGCAATCTAAATAGATTGTGGTAAAATTCCCACTTTCAATAAACCCTGTGACAAAAGGACATCTATGATAAATGCACTTTCCGGACGATTTCTCGTATATCAAAAACTGACTATATAATAGTTAGAATAATTCAGAAAAAAGAATATGTCCGAACCCAAGAATACAATTATCAAAAATGCATCCGGTCAAAGGCACCAAAAACATCCACAGGATTCCAATAATAAAACTCCCTGGACAACTTCACTCTCTATTCTCGACTATTATCTCCGGACTAGCTCGTCGCCCCCTTTTGGGCACGTCATAGATGTTATCTTTTTCTTTGAGTTTTGGCTATAGACCTAGCTGCTGTGAGCGGCTCTGCTTGTTTATATGTTACTGGCTTGTGCTCTGAGTTTTTTGATCTTTATGTTACACTACTGTCATTTGTCATATTATATTTGTTTTGTAAAATCCAATACATATTGTTAGACATCTATAAGTCTATAAGTATACAATGATAAATAATTTATAAACAGTTTAGTATGGCCATGTCTAAAATCTTAAGAATAAATTTAGCATGTCTATTTCTGCAGACTTTAATAAATTTTAAACATCTTCAGAAATAAGTATAAAAATAAATAAAAAGAGAGCTTTTATTCTAACCAATAAAAATCTTTCTAGTTAAAGAAGTGCCTATAAAGGCAGTCTATCGTATGTAAGGGTGTAGTCCATACGCTGCAAGTGTGGAAGCACTTTTATGCGTATTTTAAAGAATGCTTACAACTTTGTTAAACTTTTCAATATCATCTTCACTTCTACATATCTGGTCCTTCAGATTGTTGAGCGTTTGCATAACCCGGTTATATATACCATTTGTATTAACAAACCATGAACATTCGTGTGTGATGTATTCAGACTCATCAATCATGCATAGGTTTCTCCTAATAAGGGCTGCATCTGGATTCTCTTCTGCACAGAGGTACACCAGCCATATAAAGTGCAGATGGGATATTATCCGATCTGCCTTAGAAGCACACCTTTTTATTATAAGCATATCAATTTCATTTGAAAGCTTCATATCCCTATTTTTAAATATGTATTGGAAAATACTTCTGTTCAATGCGCTCATTAGTAATGGATGACTGGATTCGAGTGATCTGTCGAAATAGTCCATAAAATAGCCGATCCATGCAATGAAAACATCCATATCAGCATCTAGAATGAAGTCAAGGTAGTATTCAAGGTTTGTATGGTATGTAAAAAAAATATATCTCGGCTGGCCTAGCTGCATTCTAGGGAAGCAGCCTGGATTGTTTTTTTTAGATTCGAGCCCTGCATACACAATTGCAGGGAATAGAATTATCTGTGTGGACGGGTTTTTTAGCTCGGTGCTTCCTAGTATGTTAGAGACAAAACGGATAATGGGATGGTTAGGAGATAGGTTTTGGGTCATGCTGTATAAAATAGAGCAAGATAATATGTCCTTTTTGTACAAAAGGTCATTGATTTTCTTCACCAGAAGGAGCCTATTGATCTCAGAAAAGTTGCTTTGGACAACTTTGCGAACCTGTTCTTTAATCAACACTATATTATTGTTACGAGTGTCAATATTTCTTATTTCATAGTTAATGTATGTAGTAAACAGATTTTCAATAAACGCAGTATCATTTTTAGATTTGTCAGCTATTTCATTCATTTTCTCCATTCGATCATCCTTGAACATCATAACAGCGGGACTCATGCCAATACTGCTATGATTTTCAGATATATCCAAGACTATCGTGTTCTTAATATTGTTATGCTCAAATATGATAGTGATGCAGCCAGATATGTCATATCTCCCATTATGATATTCATCAATTGAAAGGTCAGCAAATTCTATCTCTATATTACTTGTCTTGGATAGACGTTTAAGCAGTTCTTCGGCGTACTCTTTAATGTCATCACATAATTCATTGTCCAGCTCTCCCTCTTTTTCCTTTAAACTCTGTGCAAAGCCAAGTATCTTTTTCTTTTCTTCTTTAGAAATATTTACTATTTCAGCAATAACCAAGAGCATGTTTATAAGACCGCAGTCTAGCTCGTTTCTATCCCTGCAGTATGCAATTCTAGGCTCGTCTAAGCACGCAACAACATTGCACCACCTTATCTGGAACTCTGCCTTTGTTGTGTCGAATGACTTGTTCTCTTCGGGAGCGAAGAATTCTTTCAGACTTTCAGAGACATTCCCCATATGATCAGTTTTATATGTGAAGTCAGATGGGTCATAGGCAAGGCAGCAAAAGAGAGAAAGAATCATGCACTCTACACAGTTGCTGTACTTCTCTAAATTTTCAGTAGAGAATGCTTTTGTTTTTGGGTCGCGCATAGGAACAGATGTGTATGCAGGGATCTGTGTACTGTCTATAAATGGGAAGACTCGATACTTATTTAAAATCTCTTGAGTTTCTTTCATTAAGGCCATAGAAACTGTGTCTGTTTCTGTACTGGTAGGCTTAAACAGTCTGTCATACACACAGCCACCTTTACTTGGTGATTCTGTGTGTGGAGCATATTTCTCTGTCATTTCGTGCACTGTCTGAATAAACTCTTTTGCCCGCTGTGCAGTGTCTATAAACCCAAATATGTACGATTGGATCAGAAACTTAGGACTGTCCAGAAACTTTCCTGTAGAAAACTCATCCAGTGAGCACTTGTCTACCATCATGCTAAGTACTTCATGATTGGTTGCATTCTTCTGGAAGAAAATGATCATTTGCTTAACTTTCTTCTGTTGGAATGTTTGTACTTTGTCTTCCACAGGGTTTAGCCATGGAATTTCCATGGGCACTTCGAAGTATATTTCATCTTTTTTGCTTGGTTCATAGACCTTCAGTACAGTGTTACTGACTTTAATGGGAATATTCACTCCCTCAGAAAAAAGAAGCAGCATAGCCAGAATCTGTAATGCATGCTTCTCTGTTGTCTTTGCTCGCAAAAACTGAATGAAGGACTGGTTACCTCGTGTCTCTATAGTTATGTCACCAGTTGGAGATGGAAACAGCTCAATCAGATGATTATGGTACTTTTCAGCGTATTCATCCATTTTATTGTCTGTTAGTGCTTTGTATGCGGCATCTTGGTTTTCATTTCTGGCAAACACACAGATATCATATGGGCTAGCAGCCTTTGGGTCTTCCTTTACATTATAGTCTATATCTATCTGCGGTGCAAAAAATCTTTTGTTGTACATATACTCCATTTTTTGGTAGATGTATCCCCGAAGGAAGTTAAGAGGGCCCTCAGGATTTATTCTTATAGGTGTTGCATCTGCTGCAATTTCAAACTGCAGAGCGGCCTCCACTTCATCCAATGTCATGTCTGCTCTAGATATATTCATCATTAGAACACTGATTAAGGCAACTGCCTTGATCCAAATAACCGAAAAAATCATTTTATAAATAGAATAAATTATTTTCAATATATATATTAACGGATAGATGTAAGGGGTACAAGTTATTTGCTTATTGATCCACCAGCTGTATGTATTAATCAACAGTTTTTATTAAAAATTGTCCAGTATAACCCGAAATATCCATGAGTATTTAAATCATGATTGGTAAAACATTTAATTAGTCAGCGCTGCACCAGTAAATGATCTACTCTCTAAGGTCCAATCATAGAATCTCTAAGCGATCCAATCGAATAACCAGAAGTAGTTTGTTATCCTGCAGAAAATTAAAAGCTTAAATATACTCATGCATTACAAGTAAATTTTATATAAGAAAAGAGCAGCTCCATAAGGATTTACTCGCTTAAATATAAACCTGGCTAGCCAGAAAAAATATTCTGCTAGGAGCTGGATTATATTTTATCTATAGCGCGTATGGGGAGAAAGGGCCTAATACAAGGGAATAAATATAAAAGCAGACCGGGTGCACACTAATGCTTCTTTATTATTTTCTGCTTTATGTTTTCTGTATACTCGCATGAAGACTTGAGTATACGTGTCTATTCTTTTCCTATATGCACACGAGCTCGCTAGTAGGAGCCTTTTTCAAAGCCGCATGCCTCGCAAACTGTCCGGCCTGCGGGGTTTTCCAGAGTGCATACATTGCATGCCCATGCGGTTTTCTCTCTGCAGTCCTTTGCAATATCTACAAGCTCCTCTAGCTTCCCATTTAGCACATCGTCTTTAAACCTTTCAGAGTCCGCAAGAGAAACACATGCTGCAAGCTCGTCTGAGAGAACACCCATGTCTGCCAGCTCTAAGAGCACCTCTATATCTGATACGGATCTCAGGCTCACCTGACATATGGATTCATCAGACAGCCGCTTCTGAAAGTGTTTTTTTAGTTTGCTCAGCCCCATGCCCCGTCTAAAAGGGCTCTTTTCTGCGTTTATACAGAATATGCCTCTATTTTGGGTAAGCCCGTGCGTTGGGCGCACAGCCAGATACTCCACAGGTATTCTGCTGCCTGTGTGCGACCCCTCTTTGTCCCTCCATGTTACATCCACCGACTTGGCAGACATTTCAAGAGGATTTACAGATGCCTGCAGAAGACCGTCCAAAGCAAGCTCCATCCCAAGGTGGGTGACCATGCACTCAAGTATTTCAGATGATGATGAAGTTCCGCTGAGGATCAGCGTTACGAACTTGGACCCTTTTCTTTCCTCAGCAGCCCACTCAGCAAATCGGTTCTGCATCTCTGCAATAAATGCTATCTCCAGGGCAGTTATGTATGGCGTCGGGTCGTTTGTTATTCTTGTGTACACCATCCCAACTATCTCCATTTGCAGTAGATCCAGAACTCTCTTCAGAGATTCGTCAGAACCTGTCAGCATTTTGTCATTTGGATCTATGATGAAACCATCCACCAGCCCTTTTTGGTTTGGTGTGATTGTGGTAAATACCTCTGCTTTTCGGCCATTTGGCACGTCGGCATACTCTGAGTATCGCCCAACCAGAAAATGGACTGACTGCACATTCATCTCTTTCTGCTCAATGAGAATTTGCTCCAGGATTCCTCTGTCGTGCACCTCAATGTGGTCTATTGGTCTAAACGGCTGCTGGCCAAGAGAGATCTCCTTTGGCAGGCACTTATTGCACCGGTGCTCTGGGCGATGGGTGCGGCAGGCAGGCGGCAGATGTGTTTCAATCAGAAGTGTCTTTTCCTTTGACGCTAGGTACTCTTCATATGCACCCTGCGAGATAAACCTCCGCTCCTTGAACTGATCTGACACCCAGGAGTCTTCTGCCATGCAATTGCTGCACATACCAGATGGCCCGTGGCTGCACAGCGTGTTTTTTTCGTCCAAAGACGGCTCCCTCTCCTCCTCAGCAGGCTTCTCAACCTCATACTCAGCAGAGAGCATCTCTCCATTCTCTAGGCCATTTTCACCTACTGTTCCATCTATGCTCTTTCCATTGTGCATGATGTCGGTGCATAGCGAATTCACCCGCTTGGCCACCTCTTCTTTTATCTGTGCAATTGTTGTGGTCTGCAGAACCTCAATTCGCATAGTTCTGTCTCTTCCTTGGACTCGAATAATCATAAAAAAATAGTAAACAAATCGAAAATACTTAAAGATGCATGCAATATCTCTGCGGCTATTGGCAGACTGCTCTGCCGGCTATATATCTACCACCAGGGAGCAAGCCCCAGCGCATGCTCTCATTAATAATTGTTATTTTATTCCACAATTATTTGCAATGTGTGTCTGTAATAGAAGGCATGCTAGTAGACACAGAATATGATATGACAAGGGAAAGCTATATACATATTTCAATCTGTAAAAATGCATCTATTAATAAATATATACTGGCATAAGGGCATTCAGTGTTTTAAGACATTAGTTAAGACTTCTAGAAAGGGTGGGTTTTATTAAGAAGTGTATTCAAGTTTGCTCTAAACAAAAGTCCCTTCTCAGATGAGCTTTTCCTGCACATAGCTGTATCCCATTGAATAAGAGATAGAGTGGATGGAATTTAAGAACAGAATAGATCTTTGGCCAAATATAAATATTAATAAGCACATTTTTATTATATTTAAGCAGCAATTTGCCTGTGCCTATATAGTAAGTCTTTTGTACTAGAAAGCGCTGTCTGTAATCTGGCCTCTTTTTAGCATGCACTATTTTCTAAAAGCTCCTTTGAGGTATATAGTTTATGTTTGACTGTTTCGTGATTTTAATAGTCAGTGCAAGTTATGAAATAGTAATGCAGATATCTGCTAGTAATGGAATGACTGCATATACTGTTTAAACTACTTCTTGCACCTTTTTTTGTTTGGCTTTGCCACTTTCTCCTCCAGCCTTTCTATCATTTGATTATACCGCTGCTGTCTCTCTTCTGCTCTTTTTTCTAAGTCCTTTGCAAGTATTTCAGCTGCCTCTCTTTCTCTTCTTCTTTTCTCTTGCCTTCTTTTGTTCATCATGAGCGGCTTTGCCTTTGCGTAGTCTTTAAACTCCTCTACTTTCTTGTCCTTGATCTGCTCATTAATTATTTGTCGGTACCTATCCTCCTGCTCATCCTCCCCAAGCATCATGGCGTCAATTACTTTTACCATGCGACCCTTGTGCTTTTTGTACAGGGCAATTATTTCGTCTTGCTCCTCTTGCGACCCTTCGTATATCTCCCTAAATCTGTCAAACATGTTCTTTGTGATTATCTCTCTGTCAGCTGCGTTTTTCTCCGTAAGCAGCTCATATGCCTGGTTGAGGCGGATAAACTGCTCCTCTGAGCCGCCAGGCCTGTCTGGGTGCATTTTCATCGACAGTTTCCTGTAGCTCTTGCGTATTTCTTCATGGCTGCTTTCTAGTGTGCATCCAAGTATCTCTGCTGCTTCTTCTCTTTTCATATAAAAATTCTATTTTCGTGGAGAAGATGTGCATGCGAGATTTTCTTTTCTTACGACAGGCTGAGAGCTAGGCATAAAAATAATATGCTTAGGGCAAGGAATGCTATTCTTCCCTCTAGCTAGCTCAAAAAGAAGAAAACACATATCTATGTAGAACAAGCTGCAGCAAGCAGAGATATACCGTTTCTAGTAGAATTCGGATTATATCAGATTATATTCATGCAGATGTACTATGAAGTTATCAAGACAACTATACTACTTATTGCAGCTGCATATAATTTGTTTGTATAAAAACGCGTTAAATACTGCTTTTAGAAATTAGCAGCACAGTGCACTTATATGAGATAGTGCTCTTTCAATGCACAGGCATGCGTAAGAGTAGTCTTTTGCTAGAAGCAGCAAAATTATCCTAGAGAATGCACATAGTTTAAAAACAGATTCACATAGATTTATTTGTTCTTTTTTTCGCGCAAAGGCTCTTCTTCTTCTACTTTGTCCTCGCATTCATCCCATCCATACAAAGGCACGAAACTCTCTAAAACACCGCAATCTGCATAGAGATTTGGGAAAAGCCAGAAAGATCTTCTAGTTACCAGCCAGATGGATAAATAAATAACAACCCTAACAATCGTGATTGCAATGAGGAATATTACTATGCCCATCAGCAGATAGAATAGATACCCCGTGCCCACTTTCACACTGCGCGGCCATATTGGGAACATTGCAAGAGCAACAGCAGCAAAGAACAGCATAATGCTTATAAGATACATCATTGATTTTGACCCTTCTTTTAGCCAGATGTACTCATGGTTAATGTTGAACTCGTAGGAAATGTCAAGGATGTGGTGCTCGTCAGAAGGCCTCACCCTTACAATATAGTGGTTGTCAAGGAGAATACCCATAACCTCCTTTGCCTCAGATGCAAGTAGGCCCTTTTTGCTCATCAGGTGCTTAACTGCATCGGAGCCTTTAAATATTGATATTCTCTTCATTTTATTTAGAATGGACTCAGTTGTGTCAATGTCCCGGAGGCTTTTTTCAGCAAACCCCGGTGTAAAGTGTCTTGGCGTGCTCATTTCAGCCATTATTTGTTTTAGAAAAAGAATTAATTAATATGCGTATATGCGTGCAAAATGAATGCTGTCTCAGAATTTTGTCCTTTTTGAATGTTCTCAAGACATCGCCCCTTCAAAAAATAGAGCTAGAAAACATTCTATGCGAGATAAATAGGCTAATAACCATAGTTACCGCAAAGCAGGACATCCCATCAGTAGAGATAGAAAAAGTCAGTGAACAGAAGTTTGTAATTAAAAATACCCACATAGAGAAGGAGGAAGCAGGCGTGAAAATAGAAAAAACAGATATTCTGGAGCTGAAGGCATACTTTGAAGCACATCCAATAGACACGCTGGAGGAGGCCGCGGAGTATATAAAGGTGCTCTACGAGAACAGAATATGTATTGTCTGTCTTAGAAGGGCGTGTGCAATAACACTTACGGCCCCCTTGGTTGTTAGAAGAGTCAATGGCTCAGTGTTTGTGTATCACACAGAATGCGTAGAAGAAGGTAAAAGGAGAAGACTATACCCGAGTGAATAGAGCTGTGCAGTAAGAGAAACATGCAAGAGTAGGTTGCATGATGCATATGTAAATGGCTGTTGATCTCAAAGAGTCTGCTGAGTGCATCTATTCAAGATGGCCTCGCATGGAGAAAAATAGCAAGATATCAATGCTAGACAGCTGAAATAAGGCAGAAAAATGATTGATATATGCGGCTCTAGATCTCTTTCTGCCAGATCTCCCTGCATATATAGAAAGACTTAGAATTTAAAGATAAAAGAGATGATATTGCCATGGACACCAACTTATCGCAAACGCAGCACCAAGCGTATTTGATGCCATATTAAAACAGGCTGCACTTAGTTTGCTTTTCCAGTGGGCCATAATGGCAGATGCATTATATTGCTAGAGTGGCATGGCAAATAAAGAAAAAAGAACAAAACAATTTATTATTTGTGGTGTATGGGATTTATTGTCTCCAGGCTATACAAAGGGCAGTCTTTCTTTATTCTTATACTCAGGACAGGACTGCCGCCAGATGACTCAACAGCAAGCGAGTTTCTTTCTTCTTTCTTTTCCAGGTTTAAAATAACATATACATACAAAAACGAGTGCATATCATACAAAAAGCTAGTCCGAAAAGAGAAAAGCATCTCAATAATTGAAATGCACGATGCAAACCACCTGCATCTCTTCTGGGACTGCATAACAGGAATGCACTCTGTCATATATTTTGTCCACTCTCTATCGAATGATAATGCACTCACAGTTATTGGGCAGATAAAGTGTGTCCGGGATGTAAATCAAGGGGCGTCTCTTCTACTTGTGGTTATCCAGAACCAGATGGAGGCGGAGGAGTACATGCTCTTTAAAAAAGGCCTGCAAAAAAGCCTTGATGGCGCGCTTTACCGAATTATAAACAGCACAGCAGAGTCCCCAAGCACGCCAACAGCGCATGTAGATGACATATTCCAGGAATTTTCGTGGGCTCTTAACCAAGCTGAGTGAAATGCAAGAGTGCACTGTATTTATTCAGACCAGAAACCGCTAGAGGACTTCTAATCGCTATTGATTCGAGTTGTATAAACTGAATTTTGCTATTAATCAAAGCAGACTGAACTATCTATAAACAACACATACCTTCTAAGTATTTATTTTCATTTTTATTAAACTGTTTTATAAGCTAATTCTTCTTGTGCACTTATGCATGCCTAGCACTGTAAAAGTAGCTAGCCTATTTCTATATATCTGTGCTGCCAGCCAGAGAGTATTGGCAATATGCACGCAGTACATGTTATAGTTAGTGCTAAGTTAAATTAACTAGATGCCTATAAATATAATTTCTGCATTTTATTCTAATTTGGCCTGCTCGTCAGCGTCCTTATCCATATAGTCTATGTCTTTCACGCGGTATGCCACAATGTATCCTGCAGCGTGGTGCGGAGGAATAAATAGCGATCCTTTCCCATAGTAGACATAATACCCGGGCTGGGTTATTTTTCCAGCTATTTCCCCTTCTTCATCAACTATGACAATTGGACCATCGTACAGGGACTGCACAATAAGAGCGTCTGAGTCTGTATTAAATGGATCATTGAGCAGCATGTACCCACCTTTGTTTATCCGCCCTACCAGTACATCTACGATAACATCAGACTTAACGAAGCTAAGGCCTAGTGGAAGTATTGTTATTTCGCCTGAGGGATCCTCCTCTGGCTCATCTAGTGACGTGTATACACAGTTGAGCCTCTTCTTCCACTGAAGGCCTGCAAGCACTCCTGTTATTTCCTCAATCTGCTCAGCATCCTGTGCAGTGTCTATAGAGACCAAGTTAGAAGTAGTTACCTGCGGAATCATGGTCATATCTGTATCCTGGAAGATCCAGTACCTAAACGGCCTATAGTCTAGAAGTATGCTCTCAGGAAGGTGCCCGTCAGAATTGAGCCATCCTGTTAACGCCATTCTAGTGCCGCGCGTCATCATCTCGACCTCATGATACGACCGTCCAGAAACCTCAAATATCACAAGTCTATTCGCAATTGGCGCGATTCTTTTTGCAATAGTACGCCCGTCTGATTCATAGAGCACAAGCGCACCGTTTTTCTCATTTGGATCTGTGCTCTCTTTCTTCTCGGCACCAGCTTCATCAGATGTGGATGCGAGCGGGTCATTTAAGTAGAAGGAAAACGCTAGAACCCTCTGGCCCACACAGTCATCGTGGGGCAGGAGAAAGTCTCCTGATTTGTATATGGAGGCAAAGAGATCCATCCTTTTCTCCTTTACCTCCTTTTTGATATTGCAAAGATCTATATCCATTTTGTCTTTCAAGAACTCAAGAAATGGCTGAAAAGACGCGTCGTTTTTTAGCTCATACGTTTGGTAGAAGTGAAAAAGGTCGGTGTTTTTTTTGAAGTACTCTCTGCTTAGTGCCTCTTGGTGCACTTTTTCAAATAGGTCCTGCGGCAGAAAGTTGTCTACTACTCTGTGGTAGAAAGGGGCCGAAAATTGTGCCCCTTTTTCCTTGGGGCTATCTCCTAACTCATTTTCGCGCTGTTTCATTAAAAAGAAAAAATTTCTGGGAGTGAATAAAGTAGAAAATGATTTGCTGATTCTATGGGGTAGAAATAGGAGAAAAAGTATAAATAGAAATGCAAATAAAGAAATCATGCCAATACAAGGAGGAGAATTAAATTACAACAAAGAAGAAAATAAGAAACCAGTAGATGACAAATCTAAGACTGACGACAAGTCCAAAGTCGATGACAAGTCCAAGACTGGCGACAAGCCTAAGGTCGATGACAAGTCTAAGACCGGCGACAAGCCTAAGGTCGATGACAAGTCTAAGACTGAAGACAAGCCTAAGGTTGACGACAAATCCAAGGTGGATGACAAGTCTAAGCTAGGCAAAGATGCAGCAGGTGCCACTGGAATATCATCTGCTACTGAGAAAAAGATAGACTCGCTTCTGCCAAAGACACAGCCAACAAAGCCATCAGACGAGAAGCTTGAGTCCAGCAAGATTACGGATGCCACCAAAGCAACAGGAAGCATAGGCTCATCAAAGCCTAGCGATTCCAAAGGTCCCAGCGTGCCACCAAAGACTGGAGCAACAGGTCTTCCAAAGATGCCAATGGGTGCAGCAGGACCCACCACCAAGCCCCCAGGATCAGCCCCCTCGGGAAACGCACCGACCAGCACCAAGCCTCTCGCACCTGGTGCCAAAGGACCAGCCGGACAGCCAAGCAAGCCTTCAACTGGCTCAAAAGAAACTGGTGCTGCTGCATCATCATTGTCTGGTAGCTCGGCTCCAAGAAACCCAGAGAGCTCTCTTAATCGGGGCGCAATTGACTCCACCCAGGAGGATGACGAGTCTAATGCTATCGTGCGGTTCTTCAGAAAGATCAAAAACGCTATTGCTGGCTTCTGCTGCCAAACCGAGGACAACATAAGACACGTGGCTTAATAAAGAGTCATACTTAAAATATTTATCTTCTACATTACAATTTATTTCTTAAGTGCACTAGTCTTTATTTCAGCAGTATAGACTTGCACATATTTGCACTATCAACAGAGTTACATGCACTGTAGGGCCTTCTCAAAATACCATCTCAGCGATGCTTAATTTACTCTTTACCCGGCATATGCTGTTTATCTATGTATTTATATATAGCATTATTGTCTCTGTCTTGAGGACACGAAATCCTGTCCTCTTCTCAACAGTGTAGACTCATGCTATTTACTGCCTTTTGGGGCTTGGCTGTAGGCTAACGCACTACGGAGGGGTCTACTTGTTTGCGCATCTTGAGTTTAGTGATCTGAGTTTATTGAATCTATATATCATGCCCCCACATTCTGTCACAGTGTGTTTGTAAAAACATAATACTAATTGATATCAAATTAAATGACTATAAATAGGTAGTAAAAATAAATTATATCTAGTCTAGTAGACCGAGTTTAATATTTTAAGGGGAAAGGCTCAGATGTGCTTTTAGTTGAATCTTTGCATTTTAATTAATAATTATACATAAAAGACAGGAATACACAGATACACTGTTTAATAATAAATTTGACAGTATTCTCTAATAAAAAGAGTTTATAATTTGTATTTGAGACTAATTAGAGCTACAGAACAATTTTATCAAAACCCAAATATATTTCTGCCTGCATTGTTTAGTATATGGAGAAGAATATTTTAATAAGTTTTCAGATTATGTCCATATTAGTTGTATTTTTTTGTCTCTATCTTCTAAGCATGAGTTCCCAGACAAAGTCAAGCACAGAAGAAGTAGGTTTTTACAATTTTAAGGAAAAAGCAATTGATGGAAACGAAGTGAACTTTTCCAGATATAAGGGAAAGGTATGTCTTGTTGTGAACACTGCATGCAAGTGTGGGCTGGCTAAGAATGGATTTGCCACAATTAAAAAGCTGCAGGAGAACTTTAAAGACCTGCAGATTCTTCTCTTTCCAAGCGCAATAAGCACGTTCATCGACCAGGAGAAGGATAGTTCTGAGGAAATAATTGAGGAAATAGCAAAGTCCGGGATAGTACTGAAGGACGAGAACATAGTTGTATTCAAAAAAAGTGTTATTAACAGCTCAGTAGGGATATTTAACTGGCTTACGTCTACATATGAAAAAAGCGGATGGTTTAACATAAAGTCAATTAAATGGAACTTTACCATGTTTGTGGTTGATAAGACAGGAAGAAGAGTGGACAGGCACGATCCAACCAGTGCAACTTATCCAAATGTTGAGAAGTCAGTTAATAAGTTTTATAGCGAATTATAAGGGGGTTACAAGACAGCAGAAAATTATACAGATGTAAAGTAAAAGCAGCCAATAGGATCTTTTAATAAAAAGTATAAAGCTCCGCCCAATTCCCCCTATATGAAGCAAAATACAGAGAACAGTGAAGAGAGAAGAACTAACAATCAGGAACCAGAGAAGAAGACCACTGAAGGAGAGAAGGATTTGACAGAGCATGAAAAGGAGATGCATGACAAAGCAGAGAAGCAAACAGAGGAAGCAACAACAAAGGTCACTGGGTTCTTCCAAGTATTAACCGCAAAAATAAAGGGAGGCGCAGAGGGGGTTCGCTCTGGCATCCATAAATCAATGAATAAGAATAAGTCCAAATCAAACTGCACTGAGAAGAAAGATGGACCAAACTGCAAGGACAAGTGCGATCCAGAGGCATCAAAGTGCTCTGAGAAGAAGCATGAGCCAGACTGCAAGGACAAGTGCGAGGCAGACGCATCAAAGTGCAAGGATAAGAAAAAAGAGATGCAATAAAATGCATATCCATAACCTATAGTGCCAGTTTGCGCTGATTTTAAGACTATTGTCTAAGTGACCATAAATAAAAGTTAATAGTCTGAATGGAATGTTATTATATGTATTATATTTAAGCTAATTTATTAGAGTGTTCTATAGATATATTATTGGCCTTTAATGCAAGGAAAATGGCGTGGAGAGTGCATACTCTGTCTCGAAACACAGGAAGTGACTGGGCGCATATTAACGCAATGTCGTGCTTGCAGATCACACTTTTTCTAGTAAGCACCACAATATGTGTGCAGGCAGAATTTCGGAACTGCAAAGAAACCCTCGAAACCATTCCTATTCTAGACGAAGACACATTTTTTCAGCAGGAGTACGCCTCAATAGGTGTGCATCTAAAAGACAGAAAGATCCAACTAAAGCTTGCTTCAGAGCGCGAGGCTGCAAGTCTTCTGGACACCATACTTTACATGCAAATGATGTACAGACTCCGTTTGGGTCTTTCATCAATCACACAAAATCACACATCCACCATGAAAACACCAACAGGGCCATAAATGCGCACAACTTATTACTGCTCTGCTATTTCCTACAGTGCGCATGAATTATTACATGGTTTAATTACAGCTGCATCAAAACAACTTTGTAAAATGCCCTGAGATTGGATGTATAGCCTGAACCTAATATATACAATGTTAGCTGGGTATTCATATTTCATACAGCAGGCCAGTGCAATGAGTGCTCTTGTGCAGTACTAGGCTCTTGTCTAACTAAACAGAAAAAAGTAAACTCCAAAAAGAAAAGCTCTCTCGCAATAAAAATGAAAATCTTCACATACTTACACTATTTTTTCATGCATAGTAACACGGCTGTTTTCAAGTGGGAGTGTAGAGATATTTACTTTATTCATTTTTCTATTGCTCCTCGCTGTTTATTCTCTGCGATAGAATAAGGGCAGTGTCTGTGTGCCTGTGCGAGTAGCCATCCGCACATACCAGAGGATACGCCTCAGTGCAAGGACACTTAAGCCACCTATGGACAAGAGATGTAGTCTGCGGCTCAAACACGCTTTGCTCCTCACACTGCGAAAGATGCTCCTCAATCTCCTCGGGCGGAAGCACTCCCTCCAGCTTCTTCTGCAGATCTATCTTTTTCATTTGGACAAGCAGGATGTACTCCTCAACTGTTCCCATAAGAAAGAGCCTGTGGATAATAACTGGCTTGGTCTGCCCAAGTCTCCAAATACGGGCCATTGCCTGCAGATCGTTTGCAGGGTTCCAGTCTGAATCAACTATGATCATGCGGGTGGACTTTACAAGCGTAAGACCTTCTGCTCCACACTTTGCAGAGAGAATAATCACTTTCTGTCCCTTTGCCTGGAAAGAGGACAGCGCGTCCTCTCTCAGAGCAATATTCATCTCGCCATGGAATGCAGACACGTCTTTTGGCGAGATTGGGACTTCCCTGCGCGTTGCCATTCCTTGGATAGACTCCTTTACCTTCTTTATCACTTCAATGTATCTTGAAATGATCACAAGAGACTGCTTCTCTAGAAGTATATCTTTGGCAAGCGCAAGAAAAACACCCCACTTGCTGGGAGAGGTGCATGTGTGGATCCTCAGCCTCTGGATGTCCTGAATGCCGCCCCTTGAGGCAATGTTTCTATAGAATGACTTGTACGCCTCGTACTCTTTGTTTTGGATGATCCATATAATCTCGTCCTTCTGTGGCAGTCTAAGGCTGGTTCGCTCTATTTTTCTTCGGAGAACCGCATCGCTTGCAATGCTTGACAGCTCTTTGATCCCCTTTGCAGTCTCTGCGCGCCCGTCCACAAGCGCCAAAAGTGTTTTGTATTCCTGCACTGTGTTCTGAAAGGGCGTTCCGGTTAGCAGAAGCTTTTTGCTGCCCATTTTCTTAAGCGCCTGCAGTGCTTGTGAGGTGCTTGTTCTTAGCCTGTGCGCCTCATCGCAAATAACCAGCTGGAACTTGTGCCGCTCTGTATCAAGCGTAGCAAGCTTTTCGTAGCTGACCAGAAGAACGTGCTCTATCCCCCGATACTTGTTTGGGTGCTTCAGAGCGCCATTAAACACCCGCAGAGACGCAGCCCACTTGTTTATTTCCTTCTCCCACACGCCAACAAGCGAGCACGGGGAAACAACTAAAACAAGCCCTCCAGCTCTGCAAAATATTCGGGCAATTGCCACCGCCTGGAACGTTTTCCCAAGCCCCATTTCATCAGCCAGCAGAGCTCCGTTTGCAGAGCGCAGCCTTTCAAACATGAACTGCACTCCTTCAATCTGGTAGTCTTTGAAGAATCGCAGGTGCGACGGCTCTATATATGCTCTCTGCGTAAATATGAGAGACCCCTCAGGAGGCGGAGGAACTTGCACCTTCCTGATTATAGGGCGCTGCGCAGCCACAGCCTGAGGAGCCTCTCGCGTTATAGTGTCTTTGATTCCCCTTCTGATGTCAGTGGACACAATATACATGGATCCCTCAAATGCAGTGTTTGTGGTTGGCATGACCCGGTCCATAGGAATGCCTGCTGTGGTGAACAGTGTATATGCTCCGCCTGTTCTCTTAAGGATGCCCTCTGAATGGTCCTCGTTCATGCGCTTTCGCTTATAAATACATTGCATTGCTCGTTTTTTAAGATTTGCAAGTTTTATAACTAATTGTTCTAGAATATCTTTACCACCAGGAGAAGAGCTGCAGCAGATAACATGGTCTAAACTATTTGAGAGAATTGCCCTAGCCAAAGAGTAGCTTGTCTTGTTAAATATGAAAACATGCTTTCAACTGCAGAAACTCCCAGCTTGAGGATAGCAGACTGCTGCATTAGAAGAAAATAGGATGTATAAATAGAGAATTGAAGCGTGCGCTGCCTAGATAATGCAAGAAGTTATATGTGCTGTTTTATTATATAGTCTTAGCAAATATCAGCACCTGCAGAAGTGCGCCTGCTATTCCTCCTACAAATTGGCCTACCCAGTAGACCCATACATCAGTCCACACGCCTGAAAACAGTGTTCCAGGCAAAGTTATTGCCGGATTGAATACACCACCACTTGACCCAAGACCAAGAAGAGATAAGAATCCCAAGGTAAATCCAATTGCAATGGGCGCAAACGCAGATCTGTTTGGGGCCTGTGATGTAATTACACGCAGTTTGTCATTGTCCTCAACCTCATCAGGCACTTCAATCTTTACCTGTGTAGGAGGATTGAAAACATTGATGGCGACAGAGAATGCAACGTATGTAAGAATACCAGTAAGAATTATCTCTGTGAGAATTGCATTTCCTATACTGGCAGACCCGCCAATCGTTGACCGCGTATACCCAAGCAGTATAGATGATGCACCAGGCTTGGTGAGCAGCATGGCAGCTGATGCGAGCATGGCACCGCATGCCTGCATGACTATGTAAGCAAGCCCCATCCAGATGGGAAGCTTTCCCGTAACTATGGCTGCAAGGGTAATTGCAGGATTAAAATGTGCTATAGTAACATCCATAAATGAATATATAATGGCAACACTTGACAAAGCAATTGTTAAGGTTACAGCAATGTTGGCCACTCCATCAGCACAGGGAGTTATATTTACACCTGTTACTACAGAGTACACAGCAAATGCAAAGAGCGCTGTGCATAGTCCCTCTGCGAGAAGTGAGCGCACTATGATCCAGTTGAATGTAAGGCCCATATTTTTTATTATTAAAAATACACAATATATATATAATTTTGTCTGTAGTAAAATAACAAATAAATAGAAGACTCTTTTAAATCATAAAAACTTGCATGGTAAATAAAGCCTTTGTATTTGAAATGCAGTGATTAAATTCTATTGTATTCGAGTAGGGCTTCTTGCTATGAAAAATCCAAATAGATGCATCTATTTTTCAATTGAAAATTACCTTATTCTACAATATATACTTGAAATTCTGCTGGATATTTTTCTAAGGCTCTGCATCTGTTTAAAGCGGAATTGTTTAGGCCTTGCAGCAGACTGAGCTGCAAGTCTGCTCTGCTTGCTAAAGAAAAGCTGTAAACACTTGGCTGCTGTAGCACGCCATCTTCTAAAACACTGCTCTCTAAAGCTCTCAATATAGTCTGATTCAGGCATAGTTGCATTTATTTAATAGATCTACTCTTGCGCATCATTTGAGTCCTCAGCATCACCTGCTATCAGGGAAGATACCTGCCAAACTTGAAGTATGTTATCATTTGCTACGCTGGCAATCTCCCAAGGCTCGTGCGGATTCCATGAGATATCGCACACTGCATCGGTGTGTCCGCCGTGTATGAAAAGAAGCTCTGGCGGGCCGTCCTCCTTGTCTTCCTCATCCTGCTCCTTTCCTATGTTTGCTAGGTCCCAGAGCCGCACTCTTCTATCTGCACCGCAGGAGGCAAGCACTGTCTCGTAGTGCGGTGACCACTCAATTTGCGTTACATCTCCATCATGCCCAAGAAGCCTGTGAAGCGGTGCAGAGTCGTTTCGGATGTCCCAGATGGAAAGTGGGCCCTCTTTGGACCCAGTTGCCAGCCATAGGGGATTCTCTAGCGAGAACTTGACACTCAGAGTTTCTCCTGTTGCAAACGCCTTCTTCTCCTTTGTTCGTTTGTCCACAATGTGAGTTCCTGACTTGTCGAGTGCCAGTGCAATCATGGCTCCATCGCAGGAAATTGCAATATCATTGATCTCCTCGCTCTCCTCAATTGTCATTATTGGCTTTTCTCCTGCACTGAGGTTATACACACACACCAGGCCATCATACCCTGCACTGCACAGCTCGCCCTCAACCACTGGGTTCCATGCCAGCCCAAAGCCGCCCTTTGTGTGCCCGCTGAACACAATAGAAGGAGACGCCTCCTTCCCAAACGACGGATGCTTTGTGTAGTCATATACGTGCACCTCTGGGCAGTCATACTTCACTGCAATCAGGTTGTTGTTTGATGGCATGTACCTTGCTCTGTTTATCTCAAATGCCATTGGTATTTTCTGCGCGATCTTGACCTTGGACTCTCCAAGGCCGTATCCTCCATCCTCCAGCGTGCGCACAGCAGCATCTCCAACAGTATCTGGAAGGGTCACAGAAAGTATCTGCAAATAGTCCTCCTCCTGCCCTGATGTCTGGGTGGAAAGAAGCAGGCGCTGCGTGGTGCTCTCTGTCTCCTCGCTTCTCACTGCATCAGGGAACCACTGAACTGTAAGGGACGGCCAGGTGAGCGCATGCGATAAAAGCATGTCGTACAGATAGGGAACATTTTTTCTCCATGTTTTGAACTCTTCGCATATAATTGTCTCTTCCGGATCCATTTCTTTTTCAATTCAGATTTTAATTCTAGAATATAATTATAATTCTGGAAATTTCCATATAATATAACAGCAAAAAATTTACTGTTCGAGAATGGATGTTAAAGGATACTACAGAATGCTAGGCATAGACCCAAATGCATCTGAAGGAGAAATAAAGGCTGCGTACAGAAAACTTGCCAAAAAGTACCACTCAGATGGGCAGACCGTGGCAAGTGCCATGAAGGCGTGCAAAACCGACAAAGAGCGAGAGGAGCTAAAGAAGAGCATGGACGCCAAGTTTTCCGAGATAACGGGGGCATACGAAGTACTGTCTGTGAAGGAGAAGAAAGACCTGTACGACAGAGGAGTCGATCCAAACGAGCAGGGAGGCGGCTTTGGAGGCTTCAGCGGCTTTGGAGATGGTGACTCCTTCTTCTCTTCATTCTTCGGCGGATCAATGGGATCTATGTTCGGCGGAGAAAGAAGAAGCCAGAAAAACACCCCAAAGATAGAGAAGGTGACCATTACACTTGCAGACGTTCTGACAGGCCTAAAGATAAGCAGGAAAATCACCCGAAAGATCGTGTGTGCTCCATGCAAGTCCACAGGATCAATGAACACAAAAACATGCAGTCGGTGCCGCGGAGCAGGTGCATACGCAGAAATCACCAACATGGGAGGAATGCGTCTGCAGAGAGAGGTTATGTGCAGCTCCTGCAATGGGCATGGAATAACTAAATCAGGCCCTAGCTGTTCATCGTGCGCAGGAAATGGATACCTTAAGAAGTCAGAGAACATTGAAATATCAATACCAGCAGGTGTGGTAGATGGGTACAAGATGGCATACAAGGGAATGGGAGACGAGGCAAGCGGCTTGGCCACAGGCGACTTAGTTGTTGAGGTTAGCGTTAAGGAGGATGAAACCTTCGCCAGACTTGCGCCAGAGCACTTATTCGCTGAGATTGATGTTCCGCTTGCAGATCTTCTTACAATGAAGCCAATTAGGCTTGTCACAATAGATAAAAGAGAGATTACAATTGGATATCCATCTTTGCAGAGCGTGGACATAGGAGAGGACTACCTGCGTGTAGATAGAGAAGGACTACCCATGAAGAATGGCGGAAAGGGTTCGCTTTTTGTGCGAATCATTCCAACATTCACATCATTGAGCAAGACAAAGGAGCTAGGAATGGAGCTAATCAACCACGCAGCAACAGCGCAGCTCGCTACGTACAAGGGAATCTTCATTTCTAAGCACAAGATAAACGAGTGGTACAATGAGCAGCAGCACAGCTCCAGCCGCCATTCTCACTCTCACTCGCACCGCGAAGACACAGGGCAGACATGCCAAACCATATAGTGATGAAAGAAAAAATAAACTAACTATTTAAGAGCATACTTTGCTTCTCCTGTGTTTATGGTTCTACATAGATGTTTTTGCTGCACTTTCTCTGCCCAAGACCTGTTATTTAGGCAGAGGCTGGTATAGGTTGCATCGCATGTATATAAATGTATATAAGCACTCTGTAGTGTCTCTTTTCTTCTTTTAAGTGCATTCTGCAGTAGCCCATTAACTTGAGAATATCCAGTAACCCGAAATATTTCGTGCCTGTGGAATACGCAGCACTGCAAATATTTAGATGTTTTGCAATTTTACTTTTCATTTATGTTGTATGAAGCATTCTTCACTGCACTCATTGGAATATCGTGGGGTGCCTTTTTCCTTATCAACCCGCTCACAAGGCACGGAAGCGCAGGAAAGGCATCAACATCTATTGGATCAATTGACAAAGACTGCTTTATTATTTTCTATTTAAATGGAATGGCTTTCTTTATTCTTATTTACTTTCTTAAATGCACCAGCAAAAGCACCTATCTGCTTGGCTTCCACATCCTTAGAAGGCTCATTGAGTCTTCCGTATATTCGTACAGCCCCACAAGCACCATGAATTTTATGCAGTTTGCCACCGGCATTGTATACTACCCCATGCTGCTGATGCGGTCAACAGAGAGCCAGACCGTGCGTGTCCCTCTATTTGTGGCTGGCACTCTTCTGCAGACTGTGCTGCACTACCTTCTTTTCAGAAAAAAACAGCATGTAAAATATCTGCACTATGTGTCGGAAATGATCATCCACAGTGCAATAACCCTAGACTATCTCAACCTTGCATGGATTCTATCATTTACTGCAATTAATATTCTTAACAGAAATAAATAATAGAGCATTCTTCATCTTTTTAGTTTTAAAATGTTTTGCCCCTGCAGGTAGGTGGAAGCTTTCGATAGAGGTAGAAATATCTTTAGGAAGGTCTGAGAGTAGCCAAGCACAGATTGAAATGATCAAAGGGAAACCTTACGTGGCAGCTGACCAGAAATAGTTCCTGTTCTAGTAACAGTTGAGATGGCTGCTGCTAGCCGGATAGTCAAATCGAAAGGTGGGCCAATGTGTACGTCCATAACTTAATTCAGACTACTCTCCACATACCTGTTTACTTTTAATTTCATTCTTCTTGCTCTTTTTATCTTTTGGTGCAACCAAGTGCCTAGTGTTTAAATATTTATTCTTACTAAACTTATCTTCTTTCTGTACTATTTCTCTTCTATAGCACCAGATCTACTGCACTGTATACTTCTAGCCAGAGCCAGAATATATAAAAGCTATCTTGCCATATAGTACAAAAGTGCTACTAGCAAAGAATATGTTTTCTCCAGTATTAAAACACAGCTGCAGAATAGGTGCAATAGCACTGCAGATTTAATACAAATACTTGCAGCTCCAACTGTTCTAATACAACCTAAATACCTTGGTAGCTTTTTCTGTTATGGCAATGCATTTAAATTGAGTATTCAACAGCAAGCAATATCCATGTGTATCGAGATCTTTTATGCTTGTGCCTTTCTGGTGGCAGTTTTTTTAATGCCATTCACTTGTTATTCCTCTGTTTTCCTTATTACTTTGTAATTATGCGTGGATGGCTAAATATACTTATTTATTTTATTTTCTTTGGTTTTCATATGCACATGGGATATTTGCTGCTGCCAGAGGAACAGGCCGAATTGCTGAACGATACTGCACTTAGCTACTCACTTGCCACAAATGCAATAGAGAGTATTGATAAACCTGCCATTTCGAACCCACTTTTTATTTTTGATAATTCTATGATAGAAATACTTACAAGCAACGTAAATATAGAAAGTGCTCTGTACCCAACTGAAGAAGATCTGGTGGGTGTGGATATCCCAAAAGACACAAAGGAATGCGATGAAATCGAGTACAAAGTGGAGATTGACTTTACAAAAATAGGAGAGGAGTATGAGCTGATAGGAATTGAAAAGGAGCAGAGCGATGTCATGCAGATAAACAGCATAGGGCAGTATCTGTACGAGGTGTCAGCTGACAACGCCAAATATGTTACGAAATGTGCTACAGTTGATGATAATGTGTATATAGTGCTCACAGACACAGGAACTGCATACAGTATTGATAAGTCGTGCGTTGTGAGGAAGCAGAACGACAGAAGGCTTGAAGATGTGTAGTGTATTATGTTGTAGATATGACTTGAGTGCCCATTCCTGCTGACCTGGGCCGGCTTTTTTGCCATAAAGAATAAATGAAGTTTGCTATTATACTTTGCACCATCAGTGCACCGCCTTATATTTCGTATATATTCTTAAAGCAGCTTCTGTAGCTGCATTTCATTTTCTACAGGCTATGCTGTTTCCAACTACTGCTCTAATGAGAAAAGGAAAAAGATGGCAAGGCCAACAGCACCTCATAATATTTCGTATAGATCAGTCAAATAAATAGAAAGGAAAGAGACAAAATTCTGGTTATCAAAGATCCTATTCAAAAGATAAGCAGCTAGCCTGACTGTGGCCCTCCATTTATATGCCAACCTAGGTGATTTATTTACAATAGCAAGTGCTATTCCTGTTTCTCTACTTACAGGCCCTGGGGTTTATATACTCTATGCATTATTGGGTAGAGCGTGTACAGCCAAGACAAACTACACCTTTCTCCACTAATTCACCACCAATGCTTAAATACTTACTACTCCATGCAAATACTGCAAAATATCCTTGAATGGCATTTAAATATAACATACTCTAATAAAGCACAGAAAAGCCTACGTACACGTAGGAATATAGCCCGAATAAACCGAATGCATATTTGTGCTATGTATGCAGAGACTATTTAACCCATAGCATAAACCATAGTATAACTCGAATTTCTTTGTATCCTGCATTATAGTGCATCTTCCTACCCGAGCAGATTCACTAAATTATATTAGTTAATGCACTTGCTCCTTTCAAACAGCATATACCCATAGTAGTCTCTGTGCAAACTACGCAAATATCATATTACAGCTAAAGTGCCTCTGTATGTTATATCCCCGCACTGTGTGATTGAACTTACCCGCCAACCTGTGAGCTGAACACTTCTAGTAAACTGTCATTGGTCAGGCCAATGCTGTCTGCTGTTTCCTCTCCGCTTATAGTAACTCCATTGTGTGTAAATCTTAGCTTGTGCGCATTTACTTGTGACCTGTCTGCATACTCCTTGAACAGCTTGCCTAGCTTTGTTTTCCTTTTCATGACGAACGAATATGTTTTTTGTGACTGATCAACAACCCTTAACTGCAGGGTTGGTTTTGCGCTTTGCTCTTGTACCTCTTGAATATGCATGCGAATTTATATTTTTTAATATTTTATACCCCATGTTTAATGATGAGAAATTCAACTCGACCTAAGTAGGATTTGAAGTCATAGTTACTCTGAAAACATATTTATTTATTAATTACCTGCTGTAAACACCTTTATCTGATATTCTTGAAAAGACACGACATGATTCTTTTAATGTTTCTAAAGAACTTGTTCTCTCTTTTTTCCTTTTTTCCCTGGTCTGTTTCTTCTATTTTTTCTATTATGCTGTTCATGCTAACCATTGACACATTGATCCTGTAGTCAAGCACCTCAAGAAGACACATTTCGTATTCGTTTAGTGCGCGCTTGTTTATCATCAGTATGTTGGCCCATGTTCTGTTAATGTACGATCTGTCTATGAGATATTTAGAAGTGACCACCAAGCACACCGAAAAGAGAATATATGTGCTGTTATAAAGCAGTGAGGCAACCTCCAAAGATGCGCCTTTGTCTTTGCATGCCTTTGGGTTGCGCTGGGCTTGCTGCACATATGCGCCCAGTCTCTCTCTGGCAGTGAAAAGAAGAGAGACTGCTGCGAGCACAACTGTGCTTGATAGATTAGCTCGCTTCACCACATATATTATCTGATTGCTGTTTGGTGCATCTGTTATTTGCAGCTTAGATAGCGTGTTGTGCACTATCTCGTTGCGTAGAACTTCTTCTTTTTTATCTGCCATTCTGGAATATCTACTCCTTCCTCTATTTACTTTACTTTGCTTTCTTCTATTGGTGCGTTGGCTTAGGCGCATGGACCAATCAGAAGAATATCACTCTTTTTATCCAAGCAGCATGCATCATTGCAAGCAGAGTATATTATGCAAGCAGGCTGTGGTGTTTGCCCAACAACTAGAGCACACACCTGCGCTGTGCACGTTCATTATTGCTGAAACTTCTTTTGGCCTTTGCCATCTGCATTTATGGTTTATAGAAGCCTTTTTTAATATGCGAATAAAATGCTGAAAAGAAGTATATAGAAGATAAATAAGAATATTACAACATACATTTAGTTTATACTTCATACCTTCTTGTAGTCCATACGCCCCTCCAGCTTTTTCTGGTCTGCTATCTTTCGGACACTCCGTGTAAGATCTTCCTGAACAATGAAGTCTCTGTCATCTCGAATTGCAAGCATACCTGCCTCGCTGCAGATATTCCGGATGTCTGCCCCGTTGAACCCGTGCGACATCTTGACAATAGTGTTGTAATCTATATCTCCCTTCTTCTCCATTTTAGCTGAGTGTATTTTGAGAATTTCCAGCCTGCCCTGGCTTGTGGGAAGTGGTATTTCAATCTTTCTGTCCAGTCTTCCCGGGCGCAGCAGTGCTGGGTCTAGAATGTCTGGCCTATTTGTGGCCATAATAACCTTAACTCGGCCTAGCTCTTCAAACCCATCCATTTGGTTCAGCAGCTCCATAAGCGTGCGCTGCACCTCCCTGTCAGATGACGTGCTCTCTGAAGACCGCTTCCCTCCAATTGCATCGATCTCATCCAGGAAGATAACACATGGCTGGTTCTCCTTTGCATATGTAAACATCTCTCTAATCATCCTACTGCTCTCTCCAATGTACTTCTCAATGATGGCAGAGCTCACTACTTTCAGGAAGTTTGAGTCTAGCGTTGCAGCCACTGCACGTGCAAGAAGCGTCTTTCCTGTTCCAGGCGGTCCATACAAAAGCACTCCCTTTGGTGCTGACACTCCCACTCTGCTGAATATTTCTGGGTTCTTTATTGGAAGCTCAATCACCTCCCGAATCTCTCTTACCTGCTCGGCAAGCCCTCCTATGCTCTCAAAGGAAATGTCACCCGGCTTCTCAATGGACATGGCATGGACAGTTGGGTCCACCTCTCTTGGAAGATGCCTCATTATGGTGAGCGTGGTTATGTCCAGGGCCACACGGGCTCCAAGAACCAGAAGGTTTCTGGGAATGCTTTTTCTTGCGCCCACAATGTATCTGGGTCCTTGCGACGTCTTGACTATGAATCTGTCCTCGTCCAACTGCTTCAGCACTTCACCCACCATCTGCCCTATGCTCTGCAGGGCATTGATATCTCTCTCTGTTTTTTCAAACTCCAAAGTCTGGTTCTTTATCGACTCGTTTATGTTGCGCATGGTTTCCATCACCTCCGCATGCTCAGTGACTATTTTCTGGTACTTCAAAAGGGCGTCTTGCTTGTTTTGGTCCATAATAAAAAATATAAATTATGCAATATTTATATGGATTCTTTTCCTTATCTTGCAGGGCTTCATAATGTGCCTGCAGCAGAGCAAGTTTGTCTTTCATTTTCTTGTTTTCTTTCTTTAAATAAGACAGCCTAGGCTAGCCAGAAAAATATAAATAGTCAGAATACACAAAGAAGAATTGACTCCATGCGAATATTCCTAAGATGCATGCAATATACTGCAGCCTCTTTTTACTTGAAATTCTATTTATAGAAAAACAGCAAGAATGCTTTTGTACTGAATATGCAGACACTAAAGACTAGCAAAATGGATTACTTTTAAATGATCACAGGGCTCAATCAAAATAAATTGCCTTTATTCAATGGCAGCCCTAGAGCTATGGCTACAAGCCACACAAGCTGCAGCACTGTGTATAGGCAATAAACTTGTAGATGCCCGCGTGCAAACCAGAATATGGTGCATGATCGGTTGCAAGGATAGGTTTGGCAGGCCTTTGCATGGCACTCTCTTATATATTAGTACCATGGATGTCTCTCTTTGATGGCCAATTAAATAATCTCCATTCTTTAAATACGCAAACTCCTGATCTTCTATGCGAGTTATCTCTGAGTATCTCTTCGCAATCGACCAATGGAAGCTCTTGGAGCAGTGGAAAATATACGCGATCAATACATTGCCTCTGGGTAACAAAATAAAAGATGAAATTCTACAGATGATGGAATACCGGTCTGTATACGACATGCACATAAATGTGTACCGCAGCAAAACATACAAGATGCTCTCAAAGCACAGCGGGCAGCTAAAGTATGAAATACAGGAGTATGCCAAGCTGGAGAAAAGAATGCTTCTCCACCTCAACAAGCTGCGCTTTCACCTGCTCCCTCTCATCCGGCACGACATGTGCTATCTCAAGTACTTTATATGCAACAATGTGGAAGTAAAGAAGTTTGCCAAGCCAGCACAAAGCAAGTACTACACGCACATACTTGAGCTGCTGTTCATTGAAGAGTTTTCTCCTGCACATGTGCACCTGCACGCAGGCAAGCTGCACATATATTTAAGAAAGTCTCTTTTCATCAATATTGATATACGGAGCACACTTGGCCGTGCAGATGAAGTGCTTGTGGTTGCGCCTGCAGACAGAGCACTGACACCGCGGCAAAAGAATCTTCTGCGAGGGATCTTTGGTCTTCCTATCCGGCAGATGTTCTACTAGCAAAATGATGGTCCTACCGAGAATCGAACTCGGGTTACGGGATTCAAAGTCCCGGGTGCTACCGCTACACCATAGGACCTCATAGGTGTGCCCCTTACAGACCATCTCGCAATTATCCTGCTCTTCTAATTCTTTAAGAGACAGCGCACACTATGGGCCATAATGTAATTTTTGCATTTTCCCTATGGGCTCTGGTTTTCGGGTTCTTTTTCTTTGTATGCCTCCAGGACTCTGTTGTAGTACAGTGCGCCTTCTCTTTGAATTGCCTCAAGGACCCGGGTATTTACGCACCCTTTGTTTACTCTAATGTACTCCAGCGCTATCACGCACTGGGCTATTCTCTGGGTTGCCTCAAAGTATTTCTCTTCCACATTGTATTTTATGCAGTGCAAAAGGTACTCCTCAACTTCATCTGCAGGCTGTGTCTCTATTGCAGACTCAAGCGCCTTTATGTACTCCATCGTATTAGTTGACTCGCAAATCACATTGAAGAGATGCAGAATTTCTGGTACTTCTGTCTCCACCATGGCGATCTCAAATAAAGAGGAAGCAGACGCCATCTGTGTATATGTCTGCTTCTCTATTATTTTTTCTCGGAGCAGATGATTGATTGTCTGCACCTCCTCTGGTGACAGTTCTTTTCCGTTGACTTTTAATTCCTGCAGCCTGCACCGCAGCTCCTCCTTCACGCTTTCCTTCTTCTCTCTCTTCCACTTCTGAAATGTGCGGCTGTCTATATTTGGGTGCTGGCCGTCCTCGCTATCCTCGTCTAGTATGTCTCTGCAGTGCGAATAGTCCATACAAAATATTTTTGCGCAGATCATCTAGTTTTATACATGCTTCCTGCTCTGTATACTCTTTCAGAGAGATGCTTTCTTTGCAGAAAACAGCCACTCTGCATATTTCTGCAGTGGCGTGTCTTTTTAATGCGTGTGGCATCTTCTGGAGAGGGTTCTATTTATAATTATTTTTTTTGCGCTGTGCATGGAACACACCCCCTCTTTCTCCTCGATATACCCAATAGACGGGATCCAAACAGCAAATAAGAACATACATAGCTACTTCATGAAAAATGACAACTCGTACTGCGTGGACAGCCAGCACCGATACGCTGGATACAGAAAAGAGACAGACAGGACGTACATTGTAGTCATATCAAAGTATGAGAGCGTCACAGGAGACTACACCTACAAGCACAACAGTGCCTCTCCGGAAATAGAGTGTCTAATTGGGGAAAGAAAAGACAATCTGCAGACAAAGAAGGTCTCTCTGTCTAACCTGCTCAAGACCATCAAGGAGATAGAGTACTCTCTGCCTGGCATGGAAGAGGTGCATGCAGGCGAGATTTTCATTGGCCTTGTATATCCAGATGGTCTGAACCGGGTGAGCATTCTAAACATGGTAGACTCCATTCTGAACCACTCTAGGTTCAAGGGAGTTCTTCTCCTTCCACTGTCCCTCAGCGTGTGCTTGGGGATGGGGCTTTCAAATGCTGTGGTTTACATTGAGGCAGACAAAACGGTCTCTCTCATCGAAGACAACTGCATCTTTGACACCTTTACAGAAGGCAGGCCGGGCAGCACCACTCTGTACGGAAGCGATGTTGTTGAGGAGTTTCTGAGAAAGGAAGAGCCTGCCAAGAGTGTAGAGGAGATGGTTTGCTTTATGTGCAGCGCGGCCTTTGAGATATCAGAGTTCAGCATGCATTTCCTTAACAAGCACATGATAGATATCTATGCCAACCAAAGACACAGCGATACTCTTCTGCACAAGTGCCGGCCCAAGGAAGAACCCGCACAGCCCGAGGAAGAGGCCCCAACTGACGTGGTTGCAGTGGGGAAAAGCATGCTTCAGAAGCTTTCTCCTGCAGAAAGAGTTGCCAAGATTAGATCAACTGTTATTTTTATAACTGAGCAGGATGTTCCAGAGCCAGAAACAGTACTAAATACAGCAGCAGATACTGCGCCAGACACAGCACTAGATACAGTGCCAGATACAGCAGAAGCAGGGCCATCAGAGAGCACACTACCAGAGGAAAGCGAAGAGACCACCCGAGGGTTTGAGCAATGCGCAAAGAACAACTCTGCAATGCTGCCTCCAATCATTGAAGATGCAGCCTCATCATCTGTCATATGCATACATGACTCAAAGAAGGCACAAACTGCATGGAATGGAGTCTTTGCTCTGGTGAATATCGAGCCATCCAAGGACCTCTGGCTCACAGATAAAGAGTGGCAGTCCGTGGGCCTGCGCGTTCTGAAGGAGAAAGTTCTTTTTCCCATATAGACAGCATGTGCCTCAAGATGCACAGGCCTTCAATATATATCTGCTCAAAGAGATATAAATAATAAATGTTCAATGCTACATGCGCTTGGTTTAGTTCTTTAAGAATCTTTTCCTATGTCTTTTTGCACTAATTCTGCCTTTTCTATGCATGTGTGCATTTGCAGTTATTCTGCTATTTATTGCAGTGGATTCTCACAAATTTTTATGGAAAAAAAGTACTCTGGCATGGTCTTTACCAAGACTCCGTCGCTTGTTCCAAGAACCGAGGAGGAGAAAGAGATATTCGCCAACCTCAACAGAAAGATACACAAGAACGATTTGGAAGATGACTTCTTTGAGCTTGCTCTGGGTCTGCGCGAGGGCCCAGAAGAAGACTCAGACAGCGACATGATGGACGCATCTGATGGCGAGAGCCACTTTTCGCTTGATGAGGAGCACCCACTTGGGATCTCTGCTCAGAGCTGTCCTGCAGAAAAGAGCGATGCTCCTGCTGAGTCGCTCAAAAAAGACTGCTTTGCCTCTCTTATTGAGCAGGTGAACAAGCAGAGCGGCGGGTCCTTCTCTGCTCTTTCCAAGCTTTTTACAAAAGAGAAAAGAGTCAAGAGAACAAGAAGACCGGAAGTGTCAATTGAGGAGTGCAACAACATCCTCAGCCGAATGGGATCGCATGCCTCAAACTACACAGAGACGTACGAAGAGGAGGAAGCTCAAGTAAAACCAAAAGCGAGAGCAAAAACCCCAAAGAAGCAGAAAGTTGAGGAAAAGTGCGAGAACTGGGAAGACACGTTTACTAGCACAATACAGAACCAGCCAAATATTATATAGCTTGCTGTGCTTTATAAGGCGCAGGCAACAAAGTGTTCACTGCCCTATTCTATATGTGTCTGAGAACCTCTTTCATATACGAGCTATAGTGAATAAGACGTTATGGCAGGAAGGCCTTGCTTTTTTCATGTTTAGCACGATATGATATAACCCGAAACACTGAAGCAACAGCTTGTGCAAGACTCTTCAAACTAGCTCTAACTATACGGCAGGATGTATATCTGGCTTATGCAGTGTGCATTTTTATGGAGCCTTGCTGTACATTTTGCTTAGAGATATGGTCTCTATCAGTATTCACACAAGTTTCCTTGTACTGCTATATAAACCAGCAAAGTAACCATTTTATTCAATAAACAGATGATAAGAGCACAATAAATATATATTTATCGTTTACTTTCTAATTATGCATTCCAAGTTGAAGCCATCCATTTTAGAAGACCTTCTTCTGTTTCTTGTGTGTTTGTGCATTTTTCTTATTTGAAATTTAAAGTCTCCAGTGTTTTTGCAGTGACTATTTTTTTGAAGAGCTTTGGTTCCTAAATATTTTGAAGCCAGCAAAAGTACTATAGAGCAGTCATTTAAAATATATTGAAGAAGTATAAATAGTGTGCTACAAACAGATTTTATTTGTTTAGCAAAGGAGTAGAGCACAGGGCCAGCACAGAGTATGCATGTGCATATCTATGCAATTGTGTGCGGATCCCAGCATGTTCTGTGCTCCAATGGGAAGTTATTGAGGTACTCCTCATCTTCTGGGTCCAGCTCCTGATCCAGGGCCTTAAAGTTCTCAATGATCCGCTCTGGATGGACGCTCTTTGGGATTACACAGCAGTCCTTGTTCATTGACCACTTGAGTATCTGGTTTGCAAGAGAGCCCTTTTCCTTCATCTTCTTCAGCTGCGGGTATTTCTGCAGGTACTCCTCAGAGAGAAGATATCCTCTGCCTAGAGTGGAGTACGACTGAACAACTACATTGTTTTCCTGGCAGAATGCAACCACATCCTTTGGGTAGCACAGAGGAGACAGCTCGATCTGATTTACCTGCGGCTTCTTGTCAAACTCCTCAAACAGGTCTCTTAGGTGTGTGCACATAAAGTTACTGACCCCAATATTGCGGACTACCCCTTCATCCTGCAGCTCGAGCAGAGCTTTGTACGAGCCATGCCGCAGACTCTTGTTCTGCGGGCTCTGCAGGTCAATTCCCTTTGCGCCTGGCCAGTGGATTAGAACCAGGTCCAGGTACTCAAGGTCCATAACCTTAAGGCTTTCTCGCACAGAGGCCATTGCCTCTGCATATCCCTGGTTTGAGGTGCTCACCTTTGTGGTTATGAAAACATCCCCCCGAGCTATACCTGTCTGCTTAATGGCCTCGCTGACCTGTTTTTCATTCTTGTACACCTGCGCAGTGTCGTACAGTCTGTAGCCCTCCTTCATTGCGGTGCTTATGGCTACATCTGCCTCTTCGCACTTTGTTTCGTACGTGCCCAGCCCAAGAATATCAATTTCATTGTGGTTGTTAAGTGCAAGCTTCCTCATAAACATAAAAAGTTTTTAGCCTTAATAGTTCCCCAAATGCAAAAGGCCAAGATCTTTAGGTCCATAAAGCCCAAGTAATTTTTTTTACAAATGAATGAAAAAATTCTTGGCCTCCAAGAACCAGTTCTGAGCGAGTACGTTGAAAATCTTCTTCCAGTATTTGAGCAGAGGAAACAGGAGCTGATCATTCTGGTCACAAACATGCCGCAGAAGCATTCATTTGCAAACCACATCTGCGAAGAGCTGCTGCAGAGATATACAAAAGAGAGAATTGTGGAGCTGGAGGTTGAAATGCTCAAGTATGCATCAAAAGACTACTTTCTTATCACAAATGCATGTGTGTATCTAGAGAGGCGGTGGAACACCGCGCTTATCCAAAAAATTCTAAAAGAAGCTGCAGGCGACGAAGAGCGCTATAATATTCTTCTTTCCCTCACAACAGAGCCATCAGAGGAAGACGTATGTAACGACTTCACAGTTGACGTGCAGATAACTCTGCCAGAGGGCTTTGAAAAGCTGAAGGAGATGTACCTAATACTCACTGACCTTCGGGCAAGAAACATAATACAGTCAGTTCGAGACGCCTTCACTGCATACAAGATCATCATGGCGTACAACGGAAATATATATTATACGCTGGGCGAAATAAATGCGCTGATTGACCTGGAGAGTGTGGCCTTTGGAGATGCGCTAGGAGGTCTCTTGCTGGGCATACTGTACAAAAAGGAAGAGATAACATATTTCTCAAATATTCTCATACGTCTTCTGAAAAGAAACAAAATGCACACCCACTCCTTTATCCAGCTTCTGCTCACAGCATACAATCTGAAAGACGCCATTTGGGAGAAGCTGCAGGACGTTGTACCGCATCTGTACATACGCCTTGGTGCAGACAGAAAGCTAGGAACATGTCTTTTGTACACGCTAAACTTGCGAAATGCAGTCTTTCTGTACGAGATTATGAATGGAGATGTTCCTGAGATAGAGATATTTGACAAGTGTGTGGAGGGAAAGGAGTCCACTCCAGATGAGTCCGTACGTGCTGCTGTAAGGGAAGTTATAAGCATACCGCATGAAGAGACATACAGCACGCCGTGTGGAGTAGAGGTTGATCTATCAGCTAGCACGGACTGCAAGCCGCCAGTCCGGTACTCTGAGGTTGAAGACAAGATACAGTTCTGCGCGTTTTTTATAAAGCACACTGCGCCCACCATTACACATCTTAATAACATCTCTGTTGAGTACAAAGATGTAATTAAAAACATGACAGAGCAGGAGATTGCTGTTTTGGTTGGTTGTGCTCTGGCTCAGAAGAACTCGCTTGTCCATAAAGAGCTTTTAGTTAACAAAATATACAGGATAAGAACAAATTAGTTAAATAAAAATCATTTTACAAGACTTTGGCAGAGCATACTCTTTTTCTTCCACCTTTTGTGTGCGCCCAGCATGCAATGCGCAATGGAGACACATTCTGGAAGCACGCTGCTTTCTTGCATCTGTCTAGCAGGCCGCCGTTGAGCATTCAGAATGGTAAAAATTATTTTTATTTGTCCCCCTGTATTATGGATTGTTTATTAGCATACAGATTAATAGAACTCGCAAGCTCAAGAAAGCCAGAAGCTTCCGAAATTGAAAAGGTCATTGAAGTCGCAGGAGGAAAGGCCGTTGCAGAGAAAGTCAACGCACTTCTCAAGGCATTTGAGGGCAAGAACTCTGACGAGCTGATTGCAAAGGGTGCTTCTATGCTCCAGTCCGCTGCACCAGTTGCCGCATCTTCTGCATCATCCGCAGCAGCTGCTGAGACTAAGGTAGTTGAGGAAGAGAGCGAGGAAGAAAGCTCAGGAGACATGGACCTCTTCGGTTAAGTAAGTGTCAGTTTTCAAACATACTATTAGAAATAAATATATTTCCAGCTGACTAGTGCACGGGCCAAACTGTAAGTTGCTTAGTGTCTGTGCTGCCTGCCATGGAGAAAAAGCAAGCAGCAAGGAACAGAGCCTGCATATTTTATTTTAAATAATTTTACGACTGCATGATTGAGGTGAACTTTATAGACATATTTGCAAACGGAGGCACGCCAACAGACATACTCAAAAAGAAAATGACACCAACTGTGTGCATCTCCTCAGCAAAGCCAAATGCAGCGCTGAAGGTGGAGGTGGTGTACTCCATTAGCTCCTCTAACACAGACTACGACCAGATACTGTGCAGCGAGACAGTGGAAAACATTCCTGCAGGGATGGTTGAGTTTGACCTGGAGACAGAAATACCAGATCTGTCAAAGATCCCGCGGGAGCAGCTGCTGGGCCTAGCATCGATACTTTTCCTGTTTTACACGGAAGAAGGCCATCAGTTTGTTCGGGTAGGGTATTTTGTAAAGATAGACTACCCAGGAGTGCAGCTGATCGAAACACCAAGAGAGTACCAAGAAGACGCATTTGAGCTTGAAGAGATGGAGTACTCATCAGAAGGCGCGCGTGCAGAAGAGGCAGAGCAGATGGTAGAGAAGGAGGCCATGCAGCCCATAGGGACAGAAGAGAACGCAGAAAAAGAAGAGGACAGCCAAGAGCAGGAGAACCCAGAGGACGACGTGTCAATTGGGGCCGAGGAGGCAGAGGAGGCAAACAAAGAGGAAATAAAGCCAGAGGGTGTTCACGATGGAATTCTCTTCATAACCGAAGAGAACTTCAAAGCAATGGATATTGACATGAGCAAGATTGAAGGACAGATTCTGGACCCTCCTCTAGTAACTGTCTTTACAGAGGCATGGACTGCAGCAGAAGAGGAAGAGAACTCTCGCCAGCCAGAGGAAGAATAGTAATACAGAATATTAATCATTAAATCAGTATTTGACGAACGCATTTATATAAGCCCCTTCTATGCACATTTGATTCTTTCTTCAGTACACAAAAGGGCGCCTATAGGCAGTATTTATATTTTCTCTTATTATACGTTGTACACCTGCAGTTTTTAAAATAAGATGCATAATGTGTAGTCAAGAGACATATTCAGCAGTGATAAGAATATGCATATATGTGTGTTTAAGCAACAGAACATATCAGATGCTTCTATTGGCACAGTCTTGCCTTTTAAGTACTGCAGTGCTGCACACAATAAGATCAATTTTAGAGCAGTTTAAATCCATCTTTATTTATGGTATAGCGAGGATGCAAAGCCTATAGAGACCAGAAGACCTATAGAGAGCTGGCTAGAAAGCTACAGCAATCTGCACTTGGGCTATAGGAGTATTTCGCCACTCTTGCTCCGATCATTAAACTCCCAAAATATCTTTTTGGCTGCGTTCTTTGGTATAGCTTCCGTCTGGTGTGCATCTATAGAAACAGTGCGATTTTTGTACCGTATTCTCATGTCTCTTTGAAGCGCCTGCACCTCAAGAAGTTCTTCCTTCTCTGTTATTTTTAGCATCTCAACATACTCCCAGTTGAGCTGCATTTCTCTGTAGAGCATTTTCTCTTTATATGTGAAGGGAATCCGTATTCTTAGGGGGCTGAAAGAAAGAACAGAAAAAGGTGTTTTTATGAGCTTCTGTATGTGGGCTTCTATCACTTTTTTTTCCTTGCTCTCTGCTGCTGTGTATCCAGGGACAATGCATATCCGGTGGGCAACAATTTTCTTGTCCATAGGAATAGTCAGTACTTCCACTGCGATGCTGACTGCCTTGCTGTACGTTCTACCTTTGTACTTCAGATATATTTCCTTCAGTGTGCATGTTGTGTTTACAAAGAACTTGTATTTGTTCCCAGAAGAGCTTAGAGGCGGCATAATCTGCATCTCCTTCTGTGCTGTAGACAGAAGGTTGCTTGATATGACTTGTGTATCCGAGGGAGGCCTGTGGATGAGTATTCCTGTTATCTGCACCGCGCTTGGGTGCACCTCAAAAGTCATTTCACCCTCTGTATATACTTCTTCTACGCGAACTTCTTTGTCTTCGCTTTCTGATGTTTCTGTTTTTCTGGGATGCGCACTCTCATCTATTTTGTAGACTGCTTTTGTTTCTGTAGTAGAGAGAGTGTCTTTACACTGCGTTGTGTATTCACCCACGCCTGTTTCAATTGTTATTTCTGGATCAGGCATTGCACCCTTGCAGTGCATATACTCGTCCAGAACAAGGTCGTAAGGCGTTCTTTCCAGAACCAGATCACTCTCAAGCGAGATTATCGACTGAAGGGTTTTTTTAGAGCTTTCTATTTTGTTGGGCGTACACATGCCGCACTGGATGCTTTCCATAGAAAGGCCCATTAGAGAATACTTTGTGGCATATCCTGGGCCAAGGTACAGAGACAGCATGTAGAAGAAAGTGCTGGACTTATGCGGAGATAAGCGCACCTGTGTGTACATGCTGAGAATGCTTGGGGTTCGCTTGGCTTTGGACAGGCTGAGGCCAACCAGCACAGCATTTATAGCCCGGTCCTCCTCCCCGCTGTCTTCCATTCGGTCTAGGGCAGTGGAGATGTATGCAATCCCATCCATTGCAACTATACTTGTAGGGCTCACGAGCACTGTCAGAAGCACTTCATAGATGACATATGGAAGAACTGCAGTAAGAGAGTATGTGGTGGGCATGTTCTCCTGAATGCACTGCTTCGCCTCTTTCAGCCTGTTTATCTTTATGAAAAACACCACTACCTGCAGGCACACAGGATGCTTGACATTAAACGTAGGCACCTCAGACTTCTTAATTGCGCTCTGAACTAGTATATGGATATTTTCATTCACACACTGAACAATACTCTGCATGGAAAGCTCTTCATTTGCAGCCAGAATCTTAGAGTAGTTTGGAAGCACAAATCCCTGCGCAGTGCATGGCTTGATGCATGCCTTGCCATCTTCTGCAATAAGATAGCCATCTATGAAGTAGAGTGGCTCAGCCATGGAGAAAACACTTATTTCAGATATTGGGAATATCTCAACATGCACGGAGAGAATCTGAGGAAGGATAAAGGCCTTTCTCACCTGGTCACTTGGCCTGTACTGCACTGTAAGCGAGTGCCTTATCCCAGAAGAAAGGATCTTCAGAGAATTCAAAACAACCATATATTTGTTTACAGAGGTAAATAAATATGAAAATAGGAATAAATGGAGCAGGAAGAATAGGAAAAATGGTCATTAGGATAGCTCTGCAGCGGGGAATAGAAATTGGGTGCATTAATGACCCGTTCATTGATGCAAAGTATCTGGCGTATCTTATCCGCAGGGACTCCACCCATGGGACCTTGAAGGAGTTCTCTGTGGAGCACACAGATTGCTCTCTTCTCATTCGAAAGGAGGGAATGCCTGACATGGAAATAAAAGTGACAAATAAGAGAGATCCGTCTGAAATTGAGTGGGGAAACTACGGTGTTGAGTACGTGGTTGAGTCTTCTGGGGTATTCAAAACCGTGGAGGACTGCCAGAAGCACCTGCACTCAGGAGTAAAAAGTGTAATCATCACAGCCCCAAGCCCAGATGCACCGATGTTTGCTATAGGGATAAATGAAAAAGAATACAAAGGAGAGAGCGTAATTAGCAATGCCAGCTGCACGACAAACTGTCTTGCTCCAATTGCAAAGGTGATTGAGGAGTGCTTTGGCATAGAGGAGGGGCTTATGTCCACAGTGCATGCCCTGACAGCAACTCAGCGAATAGTGGACGGCATGTCCATGAAGGAGTACCGAGATGGAAGAGGCGCGCTGCAAAACATCATTCCTGCAGCAACCGGAGCTGCAAAGGCGATTGGGCAGGTCATTCCATCCCTCAAGGGGAAGCTGACCGGAATGTCTTTCAGAGTGCCAGTGGCCAATGTGAGCGTGGTTGATCTGACTGCACGTCTGAAGACAAGTGCTACACCTGAGCAGATAAAACAGGCACTAAAGCAGGCAAGTGAGACTAGTCTAAAGGGCATTCTCAGCTACACAGATGATGCTGTTGTAAGCAGTGACTTTATCGGTGACAGTGCAAGTAGCATCTTTGATGCCTCTGCGTCAATCTTTTTGTCTGACAAGTTTGTCAAGCTGATTGCGTGGTATGACAATGAGTGCGGGTACTCCCATCGAGTGGTTGATCTTCTCATCCACATAAGCAAGTTCCAAAAATAAATAGTCTGCTTCTTCTCATGTCATTTTTTATTTTGTTCTTTCCGCAAAGGTATTTCATGCATGGTGTCTATGCCAGATCAGGTTATATCAATAAAAGGCTCTTGAAATTTAATGTTAGCCTTTTACACTAGTTATCACTCCTGAAATAATTTATATCTAGTATAATAGTCAAACCCAGAATATTCTGGCACAAAAAGGCAGTATATTAAGATTGAATAACTATGCTCAAATTAGAGGGGCTTCTAACTAGACATATACCTATATGCTTTCTTAAAAGGAGTTATTTATAAGCTTTTTCTTTATTTAGACTCCTTTTAAGAAAACAAGTCTGCTGCTTGTACTTTGGCTAAGAAGAGTGGCAAGAAAGAATTTCTTTTATTTACATATGCACTTTCTGCTAATTCAAACAGTAAAGCTTATATCCAATCCACATCATCAGTCTTCCTGCTAAAATATTCACAGCAAGAAGGAGTGATTGCGCTAGCCCTAGTTGATGCAATGAGACTGACATGCATGTAAAGGAGAGTTCTTTATGCATTTATATGTTTGCACTTTGGCCTAATTATACTTATATAAAGTAATTAATTAAGGTCCTATAACTATATATTCTTCTGTGCATGCAAATATAGCTGAAAATTCTTGCCATCTATGTATAGTTCTCGTATAGGAATACAAATCAGTATCCTGTTCATACAATCAATAATTTACCAGGAAGGCAGAGGGGGAGTGACAGATAAGGTCACATGGTCCAATCATTAAGCCTGGTCCATTAACATACAGAATCTCTTGTAGTGTGTTGCCCACCACCAAAACTTAAAGAGGTAGCAGTTACTTCATACTTTCTACACTGCTGACTGAGCAAGAGAGTTTCACGTCAGCAAGGCAGTAGAACCAACAAATATAAACCATCTGAAGCAGTGCACTTCTTATGAAAGTATTTTCACTTTTAATTGCACGCTATATTTAGACAGATGTGCTATATTTAAAGGACAGTAGTATTCTTGGCTTTTCAGTAGGAATAATTCTAATTTCAATAGTTTTGTAAATCAGAACTCCCAAAGAGGCCTCTCTATTGCATATATTAGAATATACATCTGGTTAAACTGTTTGGGCTGTGCAGATTTAGAGCACTTTTCTTTTTACAGAAGAGTAGACTAAGGGGCTCTTTTATAAAAAACTCTTTGCATATTTTGTATGCATATATACTGGCATATAGCTTTTGTTTATAAAAGAAAAAAGACTCTCATGTAGTGCAATATAATACATGCTCAGTGAAAACATTAAGATAGAAAGTCTTTCTCCTGCACACTCAGAATAGTTAACACTAAAATACAATAGAATTTACACACTCAGGCTATTTTCTAAAAAGGTTTTAGTAAAATATATTCTCTGACCGGTATAGGAAATTCATGCCTTAAAAACCAGTAATAATTTTTTTTAGTTTGATGAAGTTATTCTGGATTATAAACCTAATGATTGCTCATGCAGTCTTTGCGCGGCTTGATCTAAAGGATATGGAATACTTGCAGAACTTGCCAATTGGTGTAAGGAACGCGTATATAATACGCGCAGATGGTCCTTTGAATCCCCTTCGCGCAAATATTTTAGACGCAAACGGATATATGCAGTGTAAGAGATTCTTTTCTCCTGAAATAGAAGTAGATTATAAACTGGAAAAAAACCTGCCTCGCGGTGCTGTCCTGTACAAATACGATTTTACAAGATGCCCTGAGAAGGACAAAGCATATGTGCCGGTAGACACCAAGAAAGCCAACTACGAGTATCTCAGCAAATACCATACGACACTTATTAAAATGTTCCCCTCAGAACAAGGATATCTATCAATCATAACAAAGAGACAAGACTCACTCTACCAGTTCCTTATATCTCCAGAGGGCATGCAAAACGCCAAATACATTCTGGCATCGCTGCTTCTTCTCTCAGAGGGCATAGACATTAGTCTGTCGTTTGAAGAAATTAATGAAGAGAAGCATCTTGTGCTGACGAACCAAGACAGAACATCTGTTATTTTTAGCACACGAATGTGTACTTCGTATGCAAATGCTAAGAATAGTACCATGGAAGATGTATACCACAGCGAAGTGGCGGATATTTTTGAGTTCTTTAGGGACTGGAAGGACTGCCCTGCCTTAAAGGAAGGAGGCATATATGCAGATCCAACCAACTTCAATGATTTTCTGAAAGGCAGGTTCCTCAATGGCATGCGCTTTCTTATACAGACATACATTTTTAAGTTTGTGGATAATCAGCAAGACTATGCTGAATTCATAGAGGCTGTTTACTATATAATAATGAGTCACCTGCCAAAGAATTTCAAGGAACTTCCAGAGAATGATCCTATTACTGCTGTTTTTCATAAGTGTTTTGTGAAGAATAGTGATGCTAGTGCTGAAATGGAGTATATTATGTCTCTATGTGATCTTAAAAAGACAATATATGACAACACTGCCTTTCCCTTCTATCCCGCCAGGCAGATCCCGCCTTCATATATGAAAGTGCTGAGAAACAGGCAGGAGAACGAGGATGTTAGCAAAATCCAAGAAATATATAGAATGCGCTCAGTGGAAACTTCCATTCTAGGCCTTTTCTGCTGCCTGGCATATGATCCAGAGACAAAGAAGTACACGACTGAGCACATGGGAGATATATCTAGTTCCCTAGCAAAGTTCTTTGCTAAATTTAGCAGTCCATCTGACATAAACAGTCACAAGATGCACGAAGAATGGAGCAAAGTTCTAAGGCCTGTGCGAATGACCAGAAACCCAGAAAATGGTGCCAAACATGAAATTGTAAGCGGCCTTTTAAGCATTCTTAATGCTGTTCTAGCACTAACAGAGAAAAAGCCTGATGTGCTGACGGCATACACCACGCTGCAGAGCATATGCTATGACAAAAAAGTAAATGCACTCAACCTAGAGGAGATAAAAAGAAGCATATTGATAATTCTTAATCCTTTGCTGAAGAACAAAAGGGTAAAAATAATAAGCAGTCTGTTTACAATAGGTAAATCAGTAAATGGAAAGCCTGACATATTTGCGAAGATTCAGATAGAGAGCATGGATAGGAATATACAGAAGACCATGGTTCTTAACATCGACCCTGATGTATCCTACCTCTCTTTTGCGCACAACTCAATAAACATTTCTACTCCTGCGCAGAATAAGCTCGCATACATAAAAACGAAGTTCCTGAATATGGACACCTACCTAGGATATGCTATTTCTATATATGCGGCCAATGCAGAAATTGAAATAGCAACCTGCAAGATTCGTTCTGTTTCCATCTCAATGCAAAAGATAGAGAAGCTCATCAGAGGCAGTAATGAGAACATAAACCAAGTGTTCATGCACGGTCTGTCTTATCTGCTAAGGAATCAGGTAGATCTTTTCAAGTCTTTCTTGATTAGCTCTCTTTCCGAAGATCTCCCCAGTGACAACCCTATGGTGCGCTTTACGTACAATATCCTGGGAAGCATGGCTCTTGATGAGCTAGAAACAAGAAGAAGGATTCTGCTATATTTTGTGTACAACAGATACAGCACAGGGTACTATCCTGGGATTGACTATTTTTTGGATAACTGGGCGCTTGCAGAGCCAACTGAATCAGACATATTTAGCACTTTTAACAATATAATTGATCTGCATTCATCAGAGATCATGAGCCTCTGTTTGGCATCTCTTATAAAAATACCAAATAGCGTCTACCGCACACTGGATCTTTTGAGAAGTAGCCCAAGCGCCAAAATAATCTTCGATATTATCTTCGAATATGGCTCAATATCCCATTTGTCTCGCATTCACCACGCAATGAACAAGTCTTGGCCACCAGGAATATACAGCAAAAATTTGATTCCTTACATGTGGTTTTCATTTGCATGCTCGCAAGCCACCCGAGATATTACGTTTATCAAATACACGTATAATCTTATTGATCCATTAGCAATATCTGATGATGAGATCACAGAGATCTATGAGTATGCAGACTCAGAGAAAATTCTAGAGTTTTTAATAAGAGAAAAAAATACTTTAATTATAGAAGATAGTAAGAAAAGCCTTGAGAAGTACTACAAGCTGAAAAAGCACTTTACATCAATCTCTCCTAACTCCAGCATCTACCAAAAAGTGTCTGCCTCAGTATTCCACTGTTTAAACAAATAAATGCATATTTTTGTGCACTTACATTGCAAAACATAGAAGAAATAAATCATTTTATCTAGCACTAAATTTCACTATAAATCACACTATACTCTATGCTATAAATGCACCCTATATTACCACATGCACAGCATAGTATTCTGTGAACTCTTTCTTCTTTTTCAAGACTAATATATAATTTAATTACAAAGCTTTGTATGTTCTGGCTGGCCTTTGACGTCATTTAAACACTAGCCCTAAAAGACTAGTTATCCGGTTCGCTTATTTTAGTTGGAATTCCAACGTTAAATCAATCTGTCTGAAAAATAAAGTTTTAAAATAAATATTACGAGTGGCTCTACTAGTAGTAATTTTAAATAAACCTTCACTTTTGGTTTTCCTAGTGGCAAAAATAAATCTAATTTAATAATATCTTTTTTTAAGAAAATAAGTTTAATATTTATATGCAAGAAACAGATGCTTTAAAATCATATGGATTGACTGCAGAAGAAGTTGCAGATTCTACAGTGGTAGGAAGAAAGAAGCAGGCAGAGGCAGAGTGGAACACTCTCCATCAGTCTATTAGCTGGTTCTTCTTTAGGCACATGCCGTACATTTTGTTTCTCACAATTGGATTCTTTTTTATTACTCTCAACATGACAACTCTGCTGAGGCATCCAGAAAGACTTTACATTGCAAACGAGTCTCAGATAAAGATGCTCAAAAACTGTATGTTCGGAGGAATCGGAATAAGCTGTGTGTTCTATGGGTCAATTTTATTAACAATGCTGACAACCAGACTGTCCAACCTTCCAAGCATATGGAGCAGAATAGCCTCTTTTGTTGTAAGAGTTGTGCTGTTTCTGTTGTTTACTGCGCCCATCTGCTACATGCTGCTTATATACATAAACACGCTATCCTTTATGCAGACAGGCGCTTTTATGATAACAGTGTACATATTTACAATGTACATTGTGACAGCAGGAATTCTTTCAATCTCAAACTATCTATACAAAAAACTAACCAGACCTACAGGCATTTCAAAAAAACACATAAATGATGTGTCTGACCCAAGCAGCAACAAAGGCTTCCTGTTCTACACCCTGGCTTTTGGCTTGATTTTGGTGGGCTCTGTAGGGATTTTTATACTGCCATGCCTAGTTAATGTATACCACATGATAATGAAGACCCAAGGTATTCAAATTATAGATAAAGCATATTTAAAATATATTAGCATAGCATAGCATAGTATATTTTCATAATTAAATTAGAAATTAGATAAGCTGATTTATTTAGATCTTTCTTGTTTTTATTGATTTGAGTTATTCAAAAATACGAAATAATAGATATATTTGGGCTGCCACATCTAGAAGAATATGCACATGCTAGCTTCGATTATAATTTTCTAATCTATAAATACACATAAAGCATTCAATAAATGCAAATCTAGAATAGTGCGCCAAGAATATTCATATAACTTGAAAAAGCTGTCTAGAGTGGAGCAGGATGCTACTTTTTCTCTGAAATATTAGTCTTAGCTTTCTTATTTGCTATATAGTTTATTTATCCTTGCCTATTTGTAGACACCTGGTTTTTGGATGCTAGCTTTCTTTTTATTTCTTCTATTAATTTGAATTGTTCAATGCAAAACTTATTCAGAATATATATGCATGTATTTGTAGAGTTTATATTCTAGAAAGCATACAAAAATAAGAACGCAGAAAACCATTCACATGACAGACTAAAATACACTTCTGCTGTATATATACCACAATTATCTCTGTAAATAAATCTGATGCGATATTGTAGATCATATCAGAAGAATTTTACTAATATAGGAAGCATATGAATTTCAGAATGAAAAGAAATATATTTGCATACAGTACATATACACTTATATTAGTGCTGGTGGTTAACCATGCACTATCTACCGTGCTACCATACGGAAATCCATTAAGCGTCGCAGGAGAGAACTACAATGCAAGCATAAACCACCTAGAAACTCAGAAGAATCTATCTGGGCTGCTCGCAAGCGAACAGATAGAACAGATATCCAGAATTGTTCAAAAAGCGTTTTCCACAGTGGAAAACAAATACAAAATAGGCGAAGATCATACGAAGGCAGCACGAAAGAAACGTATTGCAAGAAGTGTGCCGAGCTCGAATATAGCCCCAATGAAATATACTAAAGACATAGACGATCTTGTCATGGGTATAAAGCAAAGGGCCCCAAGAGACGAAATACAGCAAGACGAGTATAACAGAGCCATGTACAGAATACTAGAAGAAATGGAAAGAGAAATAAAGATGAAAGGAGAATCAATTCAAAATATGCACAAAACAGTACTTAATGAAAAGAATCAAAGAAGATCTCCTCCACGAGCTGAAAACCTCAAGTGGGATGAGCTAATAAAGAATGAACTAGGCACAGGCAGCTTTGACTATTTGAGTAGCATGCTTTCAATAGAGAACCGAGATAATCCTATCCCACAGGCAATTGCCCACAGTTGGCAGCAGCTGTGCACACATAAGGATTTAAACACTCTTTCATCGGAGCTGAATCTTTTTAATAGGCTTTCTGTCCACAGTACCAATGCGAAGATAGACAAAATCTTGAGAGTAATTCAAATGATGTCTAAGAAAATTAAACTACGTGCTGTGAATAACAAAAGCATGCAGGACATTGCCTCTGAATACACAAAGTTTAAGGACCAGCTTTCCTCTAGGGTGCACGATTTTGAGAGCAAAATGAGTGCACAACTGCACAGCGCATGCTATGACGTAGTAAAGGAGCACATAATAGGTAGTAGAGAGATAATTGAAGACTTTGACCGTACACTTACCAATCAATATAATACTGCTTTAGTAAACTTCAGAAATATAATAAATTCAGAGCTACAGATTCTACTGAATGCCCAGCAAAGCTATGCAATTAAAGGAGAAATAAACAGACTGCTAGACACTGTAGTGCTATACTACCAGCTGCACGAGAATATGCTCAAGAGTGATTCTGACAGAGTAAAGTACTTGAAGTATATGTTTGAGAGGGAGATGGGGATTTCTGGATCTGGCCGCTCACCCTACCATAGACTAGAGGAAAACTCTATTCCTCTTCTAATTAATTTAGTCAACACACTGAGCAGCTCATTTACATCTGTAATAAAAGAAGAAGCCGACAGTGTAAGCCAGATTAACGCGCATGCAATAAAACCAGGAAATTCTGCAAACCAGCCAGAATTGCAACACCCAGTGCGTGTCTTACCACCAGCACGTGAATTACCATCTCCAGCTCCAATTACAACAACAACTGCCAAGCCAACAACCACCACTCCGCAGCCTACTCTCTCTCCTGTAGACAAGATGATAAATGATATAAGAGGAGAGTTTTGGAGAATTCTGCATACAACTGGCGAAGACAGAAATAGCACGCAACAGATATTAGCAAAAGCAGCAGAAGACTTTGGAAAAGACTGGAAACCTGAAAGTCCTGAAAATCACCACGGTAGAGAGGTTACATGTCTTGAGGATGCTCTAGGCTTACATAAAAATGCAACAGCACAGGAGATCTATGATGGGCTGCTCGCATGGGAGTCCCAAGAATCTAAAAAGACATCCAATTCCAGCAAAGTAAAAGAAGACCTTATAGAAGAGATTGCCAGAATAAACAAGTCTTTGGCCGCAGTGAAGGACAGTGTAGACCAAGCAAACAAGATTCTTGCAGATGAAACAAAAGAATTTAATGCTCTGGCAGCGACTCAAAGCACTCTTATAGCAGATAAAAATGGCATAGTCAAAAAGCTAGATACTCTAGTTGCAGAGCACAATACTACAATGGCTAATCTTGAGGTTCTTACCCAGAAAGTAGCTGATCAAGAAGTCTGCCTAACTACAACACTTGCAGACAAAATGGATATATTAGAGAAGCTGCGGGAAATAAAAGAGAAGAAACAGAAAAGCGAGGATGCTCTAAAGAGAATAGAGAATGCAAAGCGTGTTGTAGCAGGTACTACTGAGTTGCTAGACTTCTTGCAGAAATATAAGTACTCAGAGTGTGCTGATGCAACTGCAAGTAAATGCAGCTCTTCTAAAGAGGAGTCTCTGCGCCTTCTGTTGAATAAAGCAGGTCTTCCTATGGAGATGGATGTCTCTAAATTAATATCCAAACTGCGAGAGATTTCAGAGAAGCGACAGATAAATATTGATACAGTGCAAAGCGCGCTAAATACCTTAGATGGCGAAAAGGCTCTGAATCTAGAGCAGTCAAACAATCTTGCAGAGAGAGTATCCAGAATGGGCACACTAATGGCAAACAGTCAAAATATAAAGAAAGATCTTTCAGAGCAGCTTGAAAGCTTGATCAGTGCAATACACGAAGAAAAAGAAGAACAGAGCGAAGACATATCTAATTTCAGCAAAATACTTGACAGGATTGAGAACAGAATAAAACAGATGCATCGCGATGCGTTTGGGGTGGAGGAGAAGCAAGATGCATCATTGGAGACAAACCCCACCACCCGTATAACAGATCTTAAAAAGAAGTACAATGAAACAATAAATAAGATTGATGATCTGCAGAACAGCTACACTAAAATAATGAGTAATCTTGATAGTTGCAGAAATCCTGACCCTGAGCCCTAAGCTACATAGCCTCGTCTAACTGAAGAAAGCGGATTTAGCCAGCGCAGTCTGAGAGCACTTTTATGTCTGGGCAGCCCTTTTGGCAGCAAAAAGAAAACTGCAGTGTCTCTAGTAAATCTCGGGTTATGCAGTTATAAAAATAAAAGTTGTTTTGCATCCTTTGAATACAGCTGTGCGCTATTATAATTGTATTAGCCTCAAACAGCAAGAAGAATGTATTGAGTTATTAGATTCTAGTGCAGTTCAAGCTATATCAGACTTATAAGTAGACAGCCCAAAATTAGTTGATATATACCAGATGCCACTATACGCGGGCGTGTATGATGAGAATTTAAGACAGTTCTATATACTGCATATTAATATGCAGATTCAAACTCTTTAAGTATTCTGTGGTACAGTATGCCCAGCAGGAAAGAAATCTATACTCTTCTATGTATGCAAAATAGAGTAGAGAAAATAATGTTCGGCAAGCTAAACTCTTTGATCTTTTTATTACTTATTAACCAGACTCTGAGCCAGACTCTTCAGGCACTGCAGATTCATTCTGTTCGGTCTCGTCTGTTTCCTCCGAAAGATCTCCGCTTGTGGTGTCGCTGGCTGTTTCTTCGTCCTCGTCCTCATCAGAGGGTGCCGCTGCCCACACCTCGTTCAATACCTCATTCAGGCAGCTTATCTCCTTCTTTGCAAGATAGGTTTCAAGCGCATTGTACTCAACCTTCTGGATTCCATTAAACATGTATTCCTTCTTGTCCTTCATAATAACACGCACATCAAAGGTTTTTGCTGTTCTTGAGCTCAGATTCACTCTGCTAAACTCAACAGTCTTAATAAGGTCGTACTCAATATACACAATCTGCGGAACAAATAGGAAACCTTTCTTAAGCGGATAAAGATACCCCTCATTTGCCTTGAGAGAGCATCTCAGCGCCTTTCCACCCGTGGACATAGAGAATGAGCCTGTGTGCATTGCAGCAATCCCAGAGAGCTTCTCAACCATATTTACAACGCACTCAGAAAGACTGCCTTCTTGAACATAGCTGATCCCTGCATCCTCAATTCTCTTCTTTTCCTCCTCATCAATTGGCAGCTCTGCCTCCTCCTCTGGACTCTGTATCACAGTGTTTTTCCCAACGACCATCTTTACCTTCTCTTCTGATATCAGCAGGTTCACAAAGTGGTACCGCGTCTGCCCCTGCCGCACAGGCGTGCTCAGCTCAAAGATAAGATACGACATTTCGTCCACACCCTCCTCTGTGCTTCGCTCCAGATAGAACATCCGGGATATCGCGTTAAACTGGATCTGGTGGCTGTATCTTTTCCCAATCAGGTGCATACCTCCTGCTGTAAGCGTAATTTTGTACTTTCCTCTTGGTAGGATGGAGGTGACTTCGTCAATTGAGAAAATCTCCAGCTGGTTCGATCCAGAGGTGGTGCTTTTAATGAGGTCAACCAGCTGAGCCACATTGCTTTCCTCCTTCAGGCATCCAAACCGAATCTCAGAAACCCCAAAGTACGTTTCTTTTATGTCTATAATGCCCTCCCCCTTTCGCTCATAGGCATTTGAAATGGCTTCCAGCGGCACATCAAAGATTGACTTGTTCTGAACTTTGAAGCCAACTGCCATGTCCTGCACCTCAACCTGGCCATGCACATTCCCTTCCACACAGAGCGCTTTGTGGTAAATGTTCAGCTTGTAGTGCTTCTTCACATACTGCTTGATGTTCTCCACGTGCTCTGCCGTCACCCCATCTACAATGTGCATATTTCCGCCCTGAATAAGTATCTTTATTGTGTGGGATACCACTCCATAGTGCTCTATGATTTCTTTTATCGCATCTGCTGGTATTGTGATAATCTCAGAAACCCCTTCTATCTTTACACCTATTCCAGAGGACGCCATCTTCACTACTGCTCTCTGCAGCCCTTCCTTTCGGCTGTAGTACACATTTTCCAATGTCAGAACTTCCATTTTATAAAAAATATTCCCAGCTGTCTATAAAAGCACAAATTTTATTTCTGTACACACTGGTGCTGATAAAGCAAAGCCACACCAAACAAGTTCCTTATAGTCATGCAAAGCAAAAAGGCGCGGTGGAATTGCTTTCTTTAGAGTCCTTCCAATATAGTCTACTCCAGAGCTCTCTGGCCATGCGTACAAAATAGTAATATTGTGAAACTAATTATTCAAACAGATGCACCCATGCAAAGTGCTTCTATTTTCTCTATGTATTCCAGCATGAGCGGTTTTCCAGTAGAATAGAACACATGCATAAATAGAATTTACTTAAATATAGCCTTTATTTTTAGTTTATTCCGGCTTTTTATGTCTGCATATGTGCACATACACTACGATACACATTCAATTCGCAGTGAAACGTGGCTGCATTACACGGAAGGCTCATCGCTTAGCTTCTTTATAAGATAGTCGATTGCCTCTTCTATTCTAGCATGCTCATCATTGATATCCTTCTGAAGTTGGTCATCAAGCACAGGCTCTTCTTTTTCCTTTAGTATTTTGTACATTATTTCTGTTGGACTTTCAAATACTACTGTGTCCAGTCTCTCATTTACAATTGCATCGCTGTCACGCGGAATATCCCCAATCGAACCATTGTTCGCCTCGCTGTGGAGCTTGAGGGAGATCGAGAATTGAAAGGGCTTTTCATGAGTATCCACAAAGTATAGCTTTGCTGTGATAGTGAACTCCCCCCACCCGCACTCTTCGATTTCAAAAGGCGGAGTCTCTACTGTTCGGGTCGGATTTGCAAATGTTTCGTGTGTCTTGAATGTAACACTTCGGATAAAGTAGCTGATATCTGTGTTTTTGTAGCCTCTTATGTAGACCTTCCATCTGTGCGTGGCGTCAGTTCCTGGCTCAGATATCCGAACAGCAGATGTCCCATATATTATTGCGCGCGAAAGGTTGGCATGATTTATTCTCATGTATTGAAAAGAAAATGAAAAAACACGAATATCATCTACAGCTGTACAGAGAGAAAGACACGAAGAGAATATACTTTATCACAGGCGCAGGGCTGATTGCAGGAAGTATTCTTGGTGGAGTGCAGGGTATACTTTCTGCCCTGCGAAGAACCCATGGAAAGAAGAGAGGAATGGAGTACTTTGCTGTGAAAAGTGCGCAGCGTCTTGGAAGTGCAACTGCAATTGCAAGCTGTGCGTTTGCTGTCAGTGAGCACCTTCTCTCGCAGATTCCTCAGACTGCAAGTGTTCTTACGCGCATGCTCGAATAAATGCAAGTGCATCCATGCTTAGAAGTCTTTTTTCTGGCAAGACTGCATATATGTGCAAAATATGGGTTTACTAGAGTGTTTACTAGAGTGTATATAAATGCAGCAGTATATATGCATGTGCAGCAGATAACTAGCTAGACTTTCTATTGCACTTGATATGTGCTTAGTTTAAAACAGGCTACTGTGCCTTGAATTCATGAATAGGCGGACAGCGCGTAAATAAATATCCAATTTATAAAATTATATGCCCCTCTTTTATTATAATATGAAGCTCTTATTTAGGAATACCTCTTATTGAGATATCCTGTTTAGAGCAGATGAGCATATCACTATTGGCACCATGCAAGTATCCATATGCTTGGAAGATTTGCACATTCCAAAACTAGCCGGATGCACTAAAGATCGTAGCATGCCCTGTACCTGCACAAAGTCACGTGCAGGATCTATTAATTACATTCATCTTCTAGTTCAAAGAAGGCGCACTTATCATTTCTATTATTGCATGTAAATAAGCACTGCCTCATATTTTTCAGCTGCCAAGGCGCAGTGTATTGTTGGAATACTACAGTAATACACCATGCCGTCTTCAATGTAATGTTTTTTCGGGCCATCCCTTTGTGCATCTTCTGCTTTTTTGTGCTGTAAAAGAGAAAAGCTCATCTATTCTTCTCTGCGGGGTCTTTCCACATGAAATAGTCGCACTGCCTTGCTGCGCATGTGTAAAAAATCTTGCCTTTATTTGGGCCATCTTTTTTCACCATCAGCTCTTTTGCTTTCACATTACAGCTGCACACAACGGTTCCCTTTGGAAGACTGCGCACAAATGAGTTATCTCCAGCATTTTCACTTATACTGTGGCTCTGGTAAGTGTCTTTCTGTTTCATAATATCATGCACATCCCGCCCGTTAATGTTGTTCTTGTTTATATCCAGCGCGGTTTGGAAAGAGCTTTTGTAGTTTGTATATGTGGGGGGCTCTTTATTTGGCTTTGTCTTTTTTGATTCTCTGCTGTCTTTTTGTGCATACTCCCGCCGCGGCTTGTATCCTGGGCTTTCCTTTCGTTCATACACTGCTTCTTTTTTTTGATATGCACTCTTTGGTGTATATCCCTTCGAGTAGCTAGATGTATTTTGTTTGTACGCAAATGGCTTGGAGGCGCCCATTTCTAGATCGGGGTCCTTCTCGCTGAAATCACTTTTATTCTTGGAAAACTCTTCCTTAAATTTTGGCATATTCTTCTCAATTGCCGCATATATTTCTCTATACTTGGTGATTTCTTGGTCAATAAGACTCTTTGCTGAAAGCTCGCCGCTGCATACCTTCTTAAGATTGCACTCAAACTCCTTTCTTAGCTGAGGCTCGCTGATCGTCAGCCCAATGCTTTTGTACCCGTTGATGAGAGAGCGCCCAAGCCATGTGCTCTTTATTGAGTTTTTGTTAACCACCTCAACGTACTTTCTTTCCTTGATTCTTTCAATGTGGTCGTGTATGGTAGCGTCCGTTCCAATCCCATTGCCATCCATTTTTGCAATTAGCTCTGCCTCTGTGAGAAAGTGCGGCTTTTCTGTGTGCGAGTCTTTTTTGCTTGGGGTCCACGGCACCTTCTGCCCCTTCTTTAGGCCCAGATCGCCCTCAGTGTCTCCCCACTTTTCGTATATAAACACCTCAAGATAGTTCTTCTTTGTGACCTTCAGGGTCTTCCGTATGAATGTTTCTCCGTTTATCTGGCACTCAATCAGCTCCTCCTCTCCCTCTGCATTTGCGCTGTAGCAGGCTAGGAACCGCCTTGCTATATACTCATAAACAGACCGCTCCTTTCCATTCAGCGCAGATCCAGACTTGAGAGGGTATATTGGCGTATGCGCCTGGTCATTGTGGTTGCCCTTTGAAGGCACTCCTGGCTTCAGGTTTTTCGCATACTCACCAAGTACGGAGTCTCCTTTTAGTGCTGCCATTGGATCCTTTGAGTTGAAGTTGCTTGGAAATGCATCCGTCTCTGTTCTGGGATAGCTAATGTATCCCGATGTATACAGTGACTCTGCGATATTCATGAGCTCGTGGGAATTGGCCACACTCTTCCCCCGCGCAAAGAATTTCTGCAGCTCAACTGTCCTGAGCGGCCACGGCCTAGATTTGTACCTCTTCTTTGTTTCTATCTTGCTCACTATGAGATCTGCCCCACTGACTGCACCCAGCTTGATATTTACATATTCCTCGTCATACACCAGCCCTCTTTCCCACTTAAACACACCTTTCTCTCCATTGTGCTGCACATCTGCCTGAATTGTCCAGTTTTTTTCCTCGACAAAATTCTCAATGCTCTCCTCTCTTGCACAGACAAACCCAAGCGTAGGAATCTGGCAACTGCCATAGCTGATGACAGACTTTGCCTCAATGATGTTCTGCAGCTGAAGTGTTTGTAGTCTTGTCAGCGCAGCGCCAATTCGCAGATCTATCTCTATCCTAGACTCCACTGCCTTTGACTCGTTTATGTTCAGCTCTCCAAGATTCTCCATCGCGTGCATTACATCGTACCTACTTAGCCCAGAGAATCTTGCGCGCTTTACCCGCTGAATTCTGTCCTTCACCACATTTGCTACCTGCATGCCTATGTTTTCTCCCTCTCTATCACAGTCTGTCCAGATGATAAGCATGTCACACTCAGTGCTAAGCTGCTTTATTGTCTTAAAAACTCCCTCCATGGTGCTTGGAATAGACCACTTTAATTTATCCTCAAACAGCTCGCTTGGATCTATTTCTGTCCAGCTGGTTTTCCTTTCAAACTCCAGAGAATACAGATGACCAAGCACGCTTGTAAATACCATTTGGCACTGTGCTCCCTCAACCTGCCCATCAAATCTGAATACAGAACAGTACTTATTAAGCCCCTTAGTGGGCCTTGCAGCCCCACCAGAGAGAATATCTGCAAGTGACTTTGCTACCGAAGGCTTTTCTGCCACATTCAAAATTCGCATTGAAATTTTATTGAGTTTTCTTTATTAAACATGTCTTCTCTTTTTTGAAATATCACTGAAATCGTCCCTTGCCTGGCCGCCTTTCACTCCTCTTCCAAACTGTCGGTTCTCAGCAAACCCGCTGTCTAGGTCTATATATAGAGGCAAGTGCCCCAGCATGTACTTGGAAAAGAACTTCCTTGCTAAAGACGACATCTCGGGGTTTTCAAAATGCACAAAGGCAAATCCGCACGGCGTGTATTTTTTGGCATCCAGTCCCATAATAACGCGCTTTATCCTCCCGCACTGCGAGAAAAGAGTGTATAGCTGTGCCTCTGTGGTCTTTTTTGATAAGTTTCCCACATATATAGTCCCTGAAGTCAGAAGCTCTTTAAAGTAGTCGTCTTCTGTTCCTGTGTATCTTCGGTCAAAGTACATTGTTTTAAGCTCATCTTCCTTCAAATAGTTGTACACCTCAAATGCAGACTTATCCATAAAAAAAGTAAATTTTACACGATATTTTAGCCTCTGTGCTACATTCTCATAAAACATCTATAGCACATGCCAATTTCAGCAAGTTTTTTCTTTTTCTCCCCTAAACTATATTCTTACAAGATCTACGCGGTATCTGACACTCCGCACTATATTAATTACGCAGAGTTCACTAAAATCCAACAACCCCATCTAAAATATCTAAACTGGTTAATTGTAATTTTATGAATGTTCGCTGTGCGCTGTACAGACATATCAAGCTGAATGCATTTGTTGGTTTTCCTTGCCTCAAGGGTATTGAAACCTTCTCTCCGGGACAGCAATGTAGATTAATGTTGGTTATTGCCTCCCGGGCTTTGGCTAGGCCAACACGCTACAAAGGGCGCTTCTTATTTACGTCTCAGAATATAGTGATCTGTTGTGGAAACTTTGTTTGTGCTGTCAACAAACTTTAGTAAGTATCCACTTTACAAACCATATAGACGATGAGAAATAAATTATGCCCAAGTTTATTATGACCAAGTCTAATATTTCGAAGAGGAAAATTCAGCTGCATTTGATATATATAGAGAGAATATGTACACAATATGCTCAAAGAAGCCCTATACTCTAGTATAAGGCCTTATATTGCTGGATAACATTCTTTGCATAAATGAGTGCTTTAAAAGAAACTCAATAAATATTCTTGCTTTAAAGCGCATGTTTTATTATTTGTAAAAGCATATTCATTAGCATGAGTTTATTAGAATTGAATATATTTATGTCTTAAAAAGCCTGCATCTCCACTGAAAATAGGGTTTATCAAACCTTACATAGTTTATAATGCCTTTGTTTTCAGATTCTTAATCTTTCTCACCATCATTCTTGTAATAATTGTTTTCACTATTTCTTATTCTTTCAAATTATAATGTCTTCTTTTTGATACTCTAATGTCTTCCTCTCTAACTAGATATGAATTATCTCTGCACTTCTCCACTATTATTCCTTCTACTACCAATCAACCCTTATATGTTTTCTAGCTTTCTCAAATTTTCAGATTCTGGAATTCTCACTCTTTCATCTCTTTTAAATTCTTCTCTTATTTCTTTTTAAACAAATTTACACTTGGTCATTCTTTACTATTTTTGCCTTCTTCTATTAGTGTCTATTCTTTCCTTTTTCGTTCGAGTGCCTCTGCTTTTTATCTTGATCGCTTCCATATACAATGCACAATCTTAATCTCTTTCTCTTTTTTGAAGAGGCATTTGCGTTTTAGGTTCTTGCGTTTTTGCAGTTTCTTCGAATATCTTTGTCTCTTCTATTTAAAAGATAAAATGTACACTTTCCTAGAATTAAAATTACTTGAAGACTTTTTTTCTGTATAAGTTATACATATATAGAGTGTGCAAGACTTCGCAAACTTATATGCCACAGACCCGGCATAATGTGTATAAAACAGCTGCAAAGTGACTTATAATACTGAAAAAAATATGTATATCATGCACACTACAGTATAGATTGTTGGAGGTATACTTTTCGGAGAAGACTAGCTAAAGGTACACTAAAAATATACAGTGTTATATCCCACAGTCCTAAAACATAAAGTAGGGCATGTATTACTATGAAATAGCACATCTTGAGATTTATCATCTTAGAAAATGCTCTGTATAATTTAAGTACAGACATGTTATATCAAGAGACAAATGTATACGCAGGGTTCTTTGGCTAGTGAGTAATATGTTGTTTGATGCCAATAAAGAACAAAAGTTGCATAGATCCTTCTAATTTAGCATTGCTTCTTACAGAGTAGAGCACTAATTTAGTAATTTACTTTTCTGTATAGAATGGAAAAAGTGACTTTATGTTTAAAGATTACTTACACTGAAAAATACTAGAAAATATTGCGCTTGCTATTTATTCAAAAGTAGCACAAATGCCATTATATGTACACTGCTTTCTGCACGAAGTCTCTTGCGCGCATAGCTAGCAAGGTGCAGCCCCATCGAAGAAATTGGGCATACTCCTTTCCCGAAAGCTTAGAGTACCCAGAAAGTCTCTCATAGAAACAAATTGGGATTTCGTCTATTTTCTGGTGACAGTGGTAGAGTATCTCCATTTGGTATGCAAAGCCCTGCGCCTTAACGTTCCTAATTGCATAGTTAATAACATCCCTCTTGTAGATGCGGTAGCTATTTGTCATATCACTGTTTCTTTTCCCTGTAAATATGTATGCAAGAATGTTTGCGCCCTGGCTTGTCATCTTTCTGGAAAAGGGCCAGTTGCATGTTCCGCCCTCTCCGGTATACCTAGAGCCTATAACAACCCCTGCTCGGGTTTCTTTGATCTTTTTGAGAAGCCGCAGGATTTCGCGCGGGTCGTGGCTTAGGTCTGAGTCAAGAATCACTACATAATCCCCTGACGCATGCTCCAGTCCTCTTTTGTATGCATTCCCCAGGCCAAGCTTCTCCTTTCGCGTAAGCACTTGCGCAGTTATCCCCAGCTTGTCTGCAATGGCGGTGCAAGCGGCAGATGTTCCATCGCTGCTGCCATCATCTACAATGATGATTTCATACTGGACAGCCTTTAAAACTTCGGAAATAAGGTACATTAAAAGAGGGGCATTATCTTTTTCGTTGTGAGTGGGTATTATAATAGACAATTCCATGTAAACAAAAGTTTTACAAATTATATATGAATTTCCGTAAGCTCATATACTGTAGTAAGACATTGCGCGTGTGGTAGGTCTTTAAGAGCATCTTTCAATATAGAAAGCCTTTAATACGTCTAGTGTTCTGTAAATTATACCAGCCTACCCACCTATGCCCATTGTAACATAGAAACCCCAAGAGACTAGAAGTTTATAAAGAACAATTCTATTTTATAGTTAAAGCAGCAGCTGGCTCTTAAATAATGGCTTTAGATCTTTGCCTATTAACTTCCAGCCTCAAATGCACTAACCAATGCTAGAGTTTAGCTTATTTTACAGTATATCCACAGTGGTTATATCTGGTGAGGTGTTTCTCTACGAACTGATTCCTAATATGAGAATGTGCATGCAGATTCTAAAATGCTTTTTATTCTGTTGTGCCAGCAAAAACTCAACATATTAGAACAGTAAGACATAAATGCAAATTAGACACATGTAGAATTAAATAAATAGCTCTCCCAAAAGCTCATATAGGATACATGTTTTTTGATAGTACAATATAGATGTTGGTTTAAAGACAGTGGCATAGTAGATTTTTCTATTATAAAAGATTCCTTGCGTATATACAATGGGTATAAAAACTCTACTGCAGTTCTGCATGGTACTGTCACTCTATATTTCCGCATGCTTTGTAAGCACCAGTTATTCTTCACAGTGAAAAGTTTATTATGTATTAAACTTAAATCCTGTATTTATATACATATATAGCATCATTGTGATCTTATATAGAAAGAAGTCAGTTTGATAAATAAATAATTATTCAGAATTTACTAGCAGTTGTTTTCTAGAAGACGCCATTTATAAACTTTTTCTTTATTTAAAATTCAATCTATTTAAATAGCTTCAAGTAAGATACTTTTTTCTTCTTGAGCTTATTTAAACCAATCAGATAATTTTACTAATTAAGAAATTAGTTCTTTCGAGTCAAGCCCAATCACTTGTATTCTGTATACCGGAATGCAAAGAATCCAATATTTTGAAATGCAGCAGTTTTTAGACTAAACATACAACATCTCTGTATTGTATGCATATCATCTGATTATATACATATTATTGGACACAACAACAATTTGTCTTTGTTTACATTAAACATGACATTAATTAGTGTGTTTGTTTACTTTGATAAATGTCAAAGTTAAATTAAAGACAAAACTATTTAAAGAGTTGAGTTTTCAAACAAATACTAAAGTTCAACATTGACTCCTTTTAAGAAATCAAGCCTCGGCATCACTTCTGATCATATGTCTTATATTGTGCCTACGCACTGGGCACGATACAAAGAAAGGCATTCTGCTTATATACCTGCAATAAATGGCATGAATATATTTATACTTTATTTCATATAGAAGAGAAAGGTTTGCTTTTTCTGGTGATTTAGTGCATCTTTTCGTCTGCAAGGAATCCTTCTTGTGGGTACTCAAACTTAAGAATCTTCTGCATTATATCCACTGTGGTCAGCATGACTGTTCTGCAGCAGGGCCTTTTTAGCCCTAGCTCAGTCAGAATCTTTGCCTTGTCGTTGCTTGTGGTGCATCTTTCCATGTACTCCTCCCACATTCCAGACACCTCCTTTCCGCACGTAAAGCATCGCACTGGTATTAACATAAAAAATTAATGTGGGCGCAGAATAAATAGAAAAATTTGTAACGATATTATGTCATCATGCATAACTAGTTGCAGCAGCTGCCCCTCAAAGAATGTGTGCACCATAAAGAACGAAGAAAGCGGGCCCAGCGAGATACAAAAGAAGTTCATGAACAAAAAAGTATTTGGGGTAATGAGCGGGAAAGGAGGTGTTGGAAAGAGCACCATTTCTGCAAGCCTAGCTCTGCAAATGTCAAAAATAAAAAAGACGTGCATCATTGATGCAGACATCGCAGGCCCAAGCATAGCCAGAGCCACCGGTGTAGAAAGCTCGCAGTTTATTGCAGGGAAGCTCATTCCGTCCAGAACAGAGGCACTCGACGTGTTTACCCCTGAGGATAAAGAAAATGCGCACACAAAGGGAATGGAGATACTGCAGTATCTAAGCAGCATTGATGTGGATGAGTATGAGGCAGTCGTAATTGACACACCGCCCGGCACGTCAGACATCCATATAGCGCTTGCAAAGCACATTCCAAATATAAATATTATTCTGGTAAGCACTCCACACAAGCTAAGCATTGCCGACACAAACAGGCAGATATCCTTTTGCAGCAAGACAGGCCTTAAGATTGTTGGATTGGTTGAGAACATGAGTGGGTACACATGCGGAAACTGTCAGTTTGTGGTGCCTGTGCACAGAACAGCCCAGCTGGAGGGAGTTCCAGAAGACGTCCCGCGCATTGCAGTGCCAATGTGCCAGGACATTGCAAAAGAGTCGGACCATGGAGTGGCTAAGTCCGTTACACAGTATATGAACATTAGCCAACTGAAAATTTTTAACTAATGCAGCAAGCTAGGCAGACACTTGCACAGCCGATAGAGCTTCTATCCATGGAGAAGCTAGACAAGATCCAGGAGTATGTGGAGACTGAAGAGAAGGTGTATGCACTTGCCTCAGAAGTAGAGCAGCTGCTCTCCATGCATATTGAGAAAAGAGACTTTTTATTTGGACACATATGCAGAGATATATAGCACAACAAAAGAAATTTTTATGAATCGAAGAAGGAGAACTGCGCGGCAGAGCTCAAATGTGTTCATGGCCTTTGCCCAGCCACAGATACTGGAGCTTAAGGAAATATTTAACCTGCTGGACAGCACAGCAGATGGGTTTATTTCAAAAGAGGATCTTGTTTCGTTTTTGGACAGCATAGGTGCTCCCCTGACAAAGGAGGAAATTGACGAAATGATGTACGACATGGGGGACAGGTTTAACTTTACGCAGTTCCTGACATCGCTGTGTGAAAGGCTTGCAAACCTAGATGCGCAGAATGTGATTGAGCAGGCGATTGGGGTGTTTGACCCTGCAGGAACAGGGAAGGTCTCACTCACAGACCTGAAAGAAGCGCTTTCCCAGGGTGAGACAGCCATCACACCGCAAGAATGGGCTGTTCTGGAGAAGGAGCTAAAGCCAGAGGAAGGCAAGCTCCCAATCCCTGAAATTGCTAAGATCATAAAGAACTGCGGACTTTTGTCTGCCAAGTGATGATATAGCCTACATCTGGGTGTTTGCTTGTTACTGTCTAATAAAAGCTAACATATAACCAATTTTTTCCTTTTCATACTATATATAGAGAAAGCTTGAGAGCATGCATTTAGAGCTCTTCATCTAACCAGAATATCTAGCAAGCGCAGTGTGTGCAGATATTTCTATTTAGCTAGATGTGCTTCTCTAAGGTACATTTATTGCACGTTTTGGTTTTCCTTCCTTGCTGAAATGAAATTCTCTTTTCTAGTCAGCAATGTAGAAGGTATGAAGTAACTACTACCTCTTCAGGCTTTGGTTACATACCTGTTATATGTTCAGTCTAACGACTGGTGAATTTCAAAATATTGGATTCTTTGTATTTTCGTATACAGGATACAAGTAATTAGGCTTTACTCGAAAGGATCAATTTCTTAATTAGTCTAAATATGATTTAAAAGAAGAAAATGTTTCATTTAAAACTATCTAAACAGATCGAGATTTAAATAAAGACAAAGCTTAACAATGTGAGACCTTCTAAAATAACAACTCATAGTAAACAGATGCATGCGATAATGTGCACAAGATTTTCACTAGTTACAAGCTATTGCGCTTTCTTTCTATGTTATTAGCACTCTAAAGTAGAAATACCGCTCTAATATTACTTTCAAGTGCGTTTCTTGCTCTGTATTTTTGGGTCTCTTGCTTGCAGCACTTATATAGCAATTAGCGTAGGTCACTATAGACCTAAGCAAAGAGCACTTTCTTGCCACAAGCTGGCATGGCTGTTAAACATGTAGGGACTTAAATACACACAAATTTGAAGGCCAAGGAAGAAAAAAAATCAAAGATAAATTTATTAAGAATACTTGAGAATCTCTGGGAAATCTTTCTTGCCTAAAGTTTAGCCATCTATGCATCATCCTCCTTTATCATAGCATATATCGAATCAGGGATAAAAAGAACCAGCATATCTGAATCGCACACAATTCCATTCTGTATGATTGTGCCGATCTGCACAGCGCTAGGAGACGTTTGTGCCTCTGTAGCTGTCTTTTTTTCGTCCTCAGACTCCTGCCCACCACATGATACAACCAAAAACACACCTACCTCATTTACGTCTATCCTATCGTTCTTTGAGTAGTTGATTAGATGGGATGAGTATAAGAGCCGTGTTTTTTCTTCTAGCGAAAGACTTACATACTTTCTGTTTCTCTCCAAGAGCGCACAGACAAGCTCCCTAGTTCGTCTCTGGTCCACCATAAGAATCGCGGTGTAGGCGTCTGACGTCACCACCCACACCTTTGCATCGATCGTGCAGATGACACTTGCAGTCCGGGGACAGCTGTAGAGAAGAGAGATCTCTCCAAACAGCGAGTTTTGGCGAAGAGTAGCCTTTAGCTTTCCATTCTGCAAAATCTGAAACTCGCCGCTTTCCACGAGATACATTGTTTTCCCATACTCCCCCTGATTAATGAGCTTTTCCCCTTTGTAAACGTGCTGCAGGAACATAGTGGACACAAGCTTTTTCATCTGCTCCACGTCCATTGTGCTGGCAATGAGCCGCGTGTTTGCTAAAATATTTAGCAGCATCTCAGAAATCTTGTCAGACTTTGGGTAGATCGTGAGAGGCGCAAAAGGGTTTCCAGACGCGCTGACACTGCCACGTCTTTTTCTGTTGAAGGGGACTTCATAGTCTGTAGACGAAGCGGGAATTTGCTCCATCACTGCAATCTCCTCTACTTCCTCCTCTGAAGAAAAAAGGTCGGCAATCGTATCTCTGAATAAGCTCTCCGAAAAGCCCACAATATCCTCGTTTTCTGCATTTATAGCGTACAGGGATAGAGCGTCGCTTGCGAACTTAAACGTATTCTCTATTTTGCTTCCCTTTTCGTTTATGTACTCGCTTAAAATACTTACTGCCTTACAGAAGTCTTTATCCATAAAAAGAAAAATTGTCAAAGCGTTTATTTCTAGTTCCTTACTATTCATTTATGCATGCTTGCGAGAAGTCCTGGATGTACGCCTCGTTGCACATTTTAATGAAATCCTCAAACGGACAGTATATCCCGCTCTTTATCTTGACAGGATTGCATTTTGGCATCTCCATTATCTTTCCATTGTATCGCATCTGTACATATCTTTTTTCAGACCCAGGTTTTCTGAAAAGCTCAAAGACCACATTTGCTCCAAACTTAGGCCACTCCATAGTGTTTAGCCCGACAGACATCAGAAGAGGATAGACAGTAATGTCGTGCGCAGAGAAGATAGAAGCCTTTATGCTGCTTTCTTTGCCAATAGACTTAACAAGCATACACTCTGAAATTTCCTTCAAAAGGCCTCCTGTGTTCAAGGAGAGAGCCTCTTTCATATTTAGGTGGTTGAACCAAAGCTGAACAGAGTACTTTTCCAACGAGGACATAATCGACTTGGGAACACGCAGGAACTGTGTCAGCCCGTGCGCCCGGCTGCTCACCACCAGATCGTATATTGCATACGGGCTGAGTGTGGAGAAGAAGGGCGAGTGGTTTTTTGTAAAATACTTGCGAATCTCAGACGCCTCACCTTCAAATGTCTTTTTCAGCGTCTGGTGCGACATATCTTTCAGCGCCTTCAGCTTCGGGCAGTATTTATTGCTGGTGAGCGAGTCCTGTGTCAAGTCCATCACAGACACGTTCATTGCCTCCCGAGTGTCCTTGTATATCCCCTGCATCAGAGACTGCAGACTCTCTAGTGTTCTTTGGAAGTTTGTTGATCTCAGATTGAACTCGCTGCTTTTAAAGCTTGGGCTCAGCAGCTTTTCCTCCTCAATATATTTCTTCCTAAACCACTTGCCAACATTAAAAAGAGTTTCTCTTCCTTTGTCAGTTAGCTGCCCTGGGGCGCAGTTAAACTGGCGGCCCGAGTTTTGGGTGATTTTAAACCGAACCGGCATGGCAGGCCCTATGTGCATGTAGCTCAGAAGGCTCTTTGCCCTATCAAGTAGCGTGGGGTTCTTCCTGGGAATGGTATAGTCAATCTGAGATACCCTATGGCACATATTCCAATTTGTTTTATCATGAGGGCCAAACATGAGTGGTGTCCTCTCTCCATGTCTATGCACTAGATGCACATATTCTAATTGTAATCGCATAAAAAAACAAAAGTTAAACCATAAATAGAGAGCGCTTGTAGAGATTTGTGTGCACAGCCATGCCAAGCATCTTCCTCTAATGTGCTCTGTGTGTACACACTGCTCTTTCCAACTATACATGCAGTGCCTCTGCCTATTAATGGATTCTGCCTGGCAGGAAAGGCTTCCAGTGTTTTCTACAGGGTTTGTGCTGCGTTTCTTTCTCTAGCATTCTTATTTATGACTGCGCATACATGTGCCAAGTTTGCTGCTGCCCAAGTTATATTTCCCAGCTAGCCCAGAAGAGTATTTTAAATTCAAATAAATAGTAAGTATGCATTTAAAGTATCCTTCCAACTGCACCAATCCTGTGGCACCCATGGAATTACCACTGCCACTCTGAGTGTGAAAACTTCTTGTGCGAAATGACTCTATTGTTAGGCTTTCTAATGTGCTGCTGTGCACTTCTTTCTATTTAGTCACACCATGTATACATAGCCTGGAAAATAATTCTGCTGTCCAGGCTTTCTGTGCGAATTCATCTTGACATAGAAGACAGAAGCCTTTTCAATTCAGTTGGCAGTTCGCCTGTTATACATAAAACAATGTATTACAATATGTGTGTAAAATAGGATGTACAAAGAAATACATGACAAACAAGAGAATCGAAACTCTAAAAGATGTGGTGGATAAGCCAAGCCTCCACGAGGCAGACCACATAATTCTTTTCAATCTTATCTTCCAGATCTGCATGGCTCTTGCAGTGCTTTCTGTATTTATTGTGTGCCGCAAGAAGCTGCCCTGGATATATGCCACAAATCCAAAGAGATGCAAGCAGCACCCAGCTGCGAAGTACAGCGGATACTTCAACTGGATAGTTCCTATTTTCACCATCCCAGACACAGTGCTCTTTGAGCTTATAGGCTTTGACGCTTTTCTCTTCATTGAGACGCTAAAGCTTCTTGGCATTATTTTCCTGTTTCTCTCAATTGTCCTTATGCCAGGCCTTGGGGCGTACTACTACTTTTTTGCAAAAAGCAAGCACCCACTGCAGTTTATCACAAAGGTTTCACTGCTCTCCCTGCCAACAAATCCGCGCTATGCAAACTGCCTCATCCCATGCATTTCCATTTGGCTCATAACTATGATAATTATCTACTTCATGTACACGTTTTATCGGAAGTATGTTATTCTTCGGCAGCTGCATATAAGAAGCAGGGTCTTCTCTAGATCCACCATGTCGATCAAAAGGTACCTGAACGAGATAAGCTCCCTAGGCGCAGCAATCAGCGAGATAAACATAAGCTCGCAGACCGTTTTCATTAACAACCTCCCTGCAAGCATCCAGCATAAGGCAGACCTGATTAGATACATGAAAGTGCTTGGTGTGGAGGCAGAGCCCATAAACGCGCACGTGGTGACAGACACAAAGGCCCTGGAGAATCTCATAAACAAGAAAAAGAATGCCATTCTGCTTCTTGAGGAAGAGCTGCAGAGGTTCTTAATAGGCCTGAATATTGCATCTTTGAGCACGGAGTTCTTCGTGCAAAACCTTCGCAACTACGACAGGTCCTTAGACCTCATTTCCAACGCCATTACATGGCACAAGAAAAATGTGTCAAAAAAAGAGTTTATGGAGAGCGAGATGCACACTCTTATGGAAAATGCCCTCAGCGGGAAGTTTTTCGATATTTTAGAGAAAGTGCAGAGGAGAAAGATAAATCTCAAAATATACGAATATGTGGAGCATATTAAGATCCTCACAGAAAAGATAGATGAAGAGAGAAGGAAGAGCATGAAGCAAAGCACAGAGGTATCTAGCGAGCAGACAGATTCTACGACAGAGCTGCACGACACATACAACTTCTACATGAATGGCTCTATTTTTATCACGGTTATGTCTCTCTTCTATATAAGGGACGCATACAACAACTTTATCAAAAGCATTCCCAGAAATACACACTGCGGCTTTGTGACGTTTAAAAACTCCTCGGATGCAAGCTCGCTAAGAATGATTCTCATTGGGTCGGGAGCATTCAGCTGCCATGCATCAGAGGCCCCTCCTGCCGATCAGGTCATCTGGTCGGTCCTCGTAGAGCCGCAGATCCACAGGGTTATAAGAAAGCTTGTTGGCACCATCCTGACCATTGTTTTTGTCAGCGTGTTTATTGTCATTGTCTTCTTTGTTTCCACCCTTATTAATATCTCAACGCTCTATGCAGTGGTGCGGATGATTAACCCGCAGCTGAATGCCATCACAGGGACCTCAAAGTTCCGGAAGACCTTCCAGGGTATTATTGTGCCAACCGTGTATGCGCAGTTTCTATCCCTTGCGCCAATCATTCTGAAGTGGATCTGCCTCTTTGAAGGAAGCATCTCGCACATAGAGTTCCAAAAGAGCTTTGGAAGGAGGTACTCAATGTTTCTTTTTTTCAATGGATTTCTTGTAATTATATTTGGGTCAACAATAGCAAACCTTTTGAACAGCGCAAATGTGAGTTTTAACATCGTCAACCTGGTTTCCACCCCAATAGTTTCCTCCTCAATCTTTTTCCTTAACTTGCTCATCCACAAGACCTTTGGAAGCCTTGCCTTTGAGCTTCTCGACATTTCTGCCCTCATACAGTGGGTAATCACGTACATTCTGGGGGGCGTGCACACATGCAGAGAGAAAACCCTGCAGTTTGACTCCAAGCCGATTAACTTTGGCATGCTCTACCCCCAGGTCTTCCTGCTCTTTCCAATGGTTCTGATATACTCCATCATCTGCCCGCTTTTCATGGCCCTGGGGTGCCTCTACTTCTTTGGAGCCTTCTTTGTGTTTAAGTATCTTTTTATATACTCGCATGCAAGCACCCTGGAGAGTGGCGGCGAGCACTGGCCCTCCCTGTTTGAGAATATCTTCTACTCCCTGACTGTGTTCCAGCTCCTCACGCTCATATACTTTGTCTCGCAGAAGCAGTACATTTCCATTGCCATAATACTCCCGCTCATCATTGTGACAGTCGGGATATGGCAGGGATTCACAGGCCTTATAAAGAAAAACTGCTACTACCTGCCGAAAAACGAGTCTGAGTTCAAGGAGAGCCAGCAGCTAATACAGGAGCTCTTCCAGGCCAGAAAAAAGGCTATTCTTAACTGGAAGGAGTCCTCCGCAGTAGAGAAGGACACATACTGTCTTTTTAAAGAGAAGGTGCTCGAGGACGGAGAGATCCCGTACGTCTACAAAGACCTTTCCTTTCTCCCATCTGCGTCCTTAGTCATCTTGCCAAAGTGGTTTATTATTACTCTTATGTATTTAAAGGAGAACGGAGACCCTGCTGTTTTTAATCTGTCACCTACATGGACGCAGCGGCTCGTTGGGTGAGCAGCCATATAGCAGCATGCTTCTTCGCCAGCTGCAAATCCACTCTGTGTGTGCTTTGTCTGGAATCAGCGCTTTTTAGCAAATAAATTCAAAAAAAAGGACTACACTACTTCACTAATATAAAATGAAGACTTTTTCAAATCTGCTAATAATAAAATGTGCACTTCACACATAGTTTATTTAATTATATAATCTCCAAAGAGCACAGAACAAAGTACCACTATGTACTATGCACTGGGCTCTATGAATTTCTCCAGTGCACTAAACCTTCTTTTATTTCACTCTACCCTAGCATAATTCCTGAAAGAGCCAGAATATAACACAAATGTACTTCTTTTAAAATCCAGTCTGTAGAAATAACAGTACACCACAAAAACAAACCTACACCACAAAATACTCTACTCTTCATAATCCAGCAGTTTGCCATTTATTTATTAATATACACACCCAGACTTCTTTGAATCTATGCCTCTAATAAGCTGTAAAACCAAAAAAGTCTCTTTTTATTCTTCTTTCACCCATATGCAAAAAGAAACCACCACTAGAATGAATATGCACACAAGAACAAATAAAAAAAGAATACTGCAGAGTGAAGAGTGTGCTTCCTGCATATTCCTAGAAGAAAAGCTTAGAATAAATATATACTCTAAATTCACGCAAGATGCTTTTCTTGAATCATTTTCATATGCACCAAGAAAGGAATGCACGCCGTATGCTTTGATGCCCCTTCTCTATACAAAGGCGCTGGGCTGGAAGGCCACAATATTCGGTGTGGTTTGATGGCCGAGCGGTCTAAGGCGTTCGACTTAAGATCGAGTCTCTATTTGAGGCGCGGGTTCGAATCCCGCTCAAACCAATTTTTAACCACATCAGTTCATTTTTTTAAAATATGGCACGGAAAAGCAACAAGGAAAAGACACCGCCTTCTTCAGAGATCTCGCAGATTCTTCTGGAGGGAGAGGGACTTCTTAAAAATAGCTCGCCTCTTTTAAGCGAGACACCCATTCAGGATTTCAAGGGCGCGCCAGACAGTGGGCTTGATGGGTCTTTTCAGATCGAAGACAAAAGCTACCAATTCCCGCAAGATGATACAAACAACTCCTTCTATGGGGACATTAAGAAAGGGCCCTTCCACAGCACAAAACCAATCAATAAAGATCTCACAGATAGGATTCTTTTCAAAGAGATTAAATTTCCGGCCCCAGCCAGGCGAGGGCGCAGATACAGAAACGACCCAAATGTACCGCAGCTCGTTGACCCTGATGAAAGTCTGGACATAGGCACAGGATCGTTCCAAAGAAAGAGGCCCATTATAAATCAGGATAAAAACGAAGACCCTCAAAAAATTGGCGCACTGCTCAATGACGAAAATATGCCCACAGCAGACACCTCGTTTACCAAGTTTGTCGGATTTAAAACTGCAGAGGGCGCAGCCCTGCACGTCTCCGAGGAGTGCATGCACAAAGCACGGAGGAGCTTTGACTTTATGCAGAGTCGCTCCCTTACTCGCGCGCCCCCAAAGCCAAAGATCATTCTTCCCCGGGAGAGAGAAATCGCAGAGGCACATGCCATCTATAAAAGAGTAAAGCAGGAGATATTCCCACTGACAAGGTCTAAAGAGGAAGAGTACAGCCTGTTTGTGCTATTCCAATGGGCATGGATTTCTGTTCTTAGGCAGATAGAGAACATACGCAAGAGAGGCGGAGACTCCCAGGCAGCCGAAATTGAAAGAGTTGTAGTTGAAAAGGCCAAAGCCAAGTGGAGGGCAAACCCAAGGTCAGTGCTGCGGCGTATTACAGAGCAGGACGAGCACGCATCTGTCTACATGAAGGTGCTCGTGATTGAGGGAGGCACATCCATAATCACCATAACAGATGGCCTGAATTTCATTAAGGCCCAGCTAGATTACGAGCTACAGCGGATTGCTAAGAGTATAAAAGAAGGGATGATTCTGCAGGTTGCGTGCTCCATCTATCTCCTGAACCATCCAGCCTCGATATACGAGGTGAATTTGAATGGAGCTGCAGTGATTGAGCTGCAGTATAATGGAGTGAAGCCATGCACATCCGGCCCACTTGGATACCAGAACACATTTGGGTTCATTCGGTCTCTTAGCTCGATCAACCCGCAGGGTGGATACATCAACTGCCTGATGCTTAGAGTTACCAAGAAGATAGAGGTGCGGTATGTCATTGATCTAAACGGGTCAAAGTCCAATATTGAAGAGGACCGCCTGGACAGCACTCTGGAAAGAATAGAAAGAAGCATAGACAAAATTTGCTTCTCAGAGGAGGAAAGAAACAACGCACTCAACTCGGTAAAGCTGCGAAAGTACACGCGCTACGAAGTGGTCTGCGACTACTCAAGTAACCACACCACAGCAATACTGTCTGTGTGGGAGGCTGCGTACAGTGACAATCCGCTAAAGCCCGACCAAAGGTACCTTTTCTTCATGCTGTCTCCCCCAAGGAAAACACAAACAACAGACATAATTCTACTGACCACCACCATAATAAGCACGTTCAGGAAGATATGACAGTATGCAGCAAGTGCCTGCGTGCATGTATCCTGCACCCAGGGCCTCCTGCATGCACTGTCGCCTGCACACTTGGAAAAAGTGTATAAGGCAGAGCTAGACACAGCATGAGCACTTTCTGCGCACGGTTTACAGGATAGCCACCGTAGCGTATGGGTTTATTAAGATGCTGCTGCATACATATTACGATAGAAAGACAGGAAAAGCCTCTGCTTGCTATGCGCACAGAGCTGCAGCAACACATGCATCTGCTATGCCTTTGCTTGAGTGGAAGGTATGTTGTATGCGGCTATATCTAAAATAAAGTTATCATGGCATGCGCCTTTTCTCTTTGTGGTCTGCTGGTGTGGCCTGCACGTTAAATTCGTAGTAAGGGCACACCCGTTACTTTTTTATAGTTTTTTACATAAATAAATTTATTTTTTATCCCCTTGTGCGATGAGGATGACCAGTCACGGCTAGAGTCTCTGATAATGATGAGTTGAAGGTCTGAGCACATTCTAAGTAATATCTTAAATAGCATAAAATGATGGTATTAGATGACGAGTATGAGTAGTCACATGATTATAACTATAAACAGACTGATTATGCTATTTTTAAAACCATGCGTGTGATGATACTATTTTCACGACGGTCGTCTGACTTGTGATGATTTTCCTATCTGACGCCTTTTACTATAACAACCTGGTACAAACAATACAGAAATTCAAATATTTCTGTACTTCATTCTTGTGTACTTCCTGGCCTGAAAGAGAGGCATAGTCTATAAAAACAGTAGTGTTGTGTTTGGGCACACATAATCTGAGGGCATGTCTAAGGAAAGTTGTATGTTTGATAGGAAGGCTATATTCAGGCTTTACAGAAGGTATATTTAGAGAAAACTGTAAGCTAGACTGCGGATATAACTGCCATATTGAATAGCTGTTCTCTATCTGCATTCTTGTCACCTTAATAAACCATGCACTGCGGCGAGCCTTTTACACCTGCATCCATGCCATTATTCACTTAGCTGGCATTTAATTAATCTGCTGAACCAATACTATACACAGCACCCTTTCTATGTATATACATATTAGTTTCTATCTATGGAGGTCTAGGGAAAGAACATTTTCTATGAGATAATAATTTATTTATGTGTTTATATGGATGTGTATCTACATGCTAGCCCGGGGTTGGAATAAAATGCATGCCTTGTGCATTAGATATGAGCCTGCCCACAGATACTTTTTAATTATTTATATAGTATAATATGCGAAGAGCTTATTGTTTTTTAATTATGTGGATAAGACGTCTTTGTTTGTTTGGACATGTGAATTTATCAGTAATTTTGGCATACAAACAGATCGCTTGCTGTATATAAGGAGAATGCATTTTGAAAACTAATGAAGACCACGCAGATTCAGAAGATACTATTTACAGCTGCATGCTTTGCTGCAGGTAGATGTTCCGCTAGCTACTTTGATTTCAAAAGCAGCGATGCTTATCCCGACCCAAACATGCTTTTGGATGGAAGCTTCGAGCTCGATAATTTTGACACGCCTATAGCTTTTGAAAACCCAAAATCGGCAAAATCTCTGAGCACTCTTTCTAAAAGTATAGTCTTGCTAAATCAAGATGCCACAGACTGCATGTACGATTCAGTAAATGAGTGCATGGAGCTCCTAAAGAAATACATTTGTAAATTTAAGAAGTCATCCAGTATTGATTTCTCTTTCAATGAGGCATTCCCAGAGGAGATTGATCTTGCTTCACTTGCAGTCTACCTTAATACTACGACTCTGTTTGCAGTAACAGAAGAGAGCAAAACAAGCCTTATGAATGCCATACTTGATTTTGACTACTACAAAATAGAAAGTGAGCTCAGAAGCATATACATTTCCCTTGTAAATAGCGAGCATTACAACATGAATTTTTTGGAGTGCAATTTGGAAAACACAAAAAAAATCAGACATGCCACAATCATGCCTATGTTCTACATATCCAAAAATAGCTTAGGGAAATGCGAAAGTAGTAAAATTGAGTGTATTGAAAAGGAGGAACAGGCCATTAAGAAAGCTGCTAGTCTGATGGGTGCAAGTGGAAAAAGCAAAAAAAATAGCGAAGGCTCAATGAATGGAGTCTTCCAAATTGCAGACCATCTTGAAATATCCAAACCCGCAGACAATGCTAAAACAACTCCTAGCTTCTACGGATTTTTAAAGAACCTATTCCATATAAAAAGGAAAAGAAACTTAGTGAAAATGCAAAAGGAAGAACTATACAAAACATATAAACCTGTAGGAATTATGGGCGGGCGCACAGTTGGAGTCATTGTAAAGAAAGGAGAGTGCTCGTTCAAGAAGTGGCAGAACGAAGTTACTAATATGTCAACAGACTCAACCATCCCCAGCCAGGTGAGCTCTGGGTGCCTCAAAAGAATCCCTTGGGCATATCTTGATGCAAGAATCTTTGCAAACACAGACCTTAAGTTTGACCTGCAGGTAGTTTCTAAGATAGTATCTAGCTTGACAAAAGATAATTTCTTAATAATGGAAGACGAGTTAGCATTCTTTGTGCTGCAGCTCAATAAGTACTCACCAATACTCAAGCTATACTTGGATTGCTTAAACAATATAATTAAAAAATATGTAGGTGTATTGGAGAAGAAGCACAAGAGTGCCACATGGATCAAAGCCCGGGTATACAACATAGTCATTGAGTATGTCAAGGGAGGCCTGTCGCTGCCTCTTATCAAATACAACTTGGAGCAAATTATATGTGACATGATTATGAATCTTGAAAGAAGCAGAACACTTACTTCTATGGATGCACTCAAAATTGTATTACAATTAGAGAAAGGCAACCCAAAGACTATGAAAACTACTTCTTCATGGGATATATACAGGAAAAAGCCATGTACTGTTCCTTTCTTACTGCAGCATCTTATCTAACAGAAGATTGCAATGCAATATAATGCACATCATATAAAATAAATATGCTTCATATATATCTATATTTTTTAGTGTACGCCCTGGGCAGAGCATCTCTTTTCTTCAATGTACATTTATAGAATATATTTGTAGGAAAGACTGTAATAGTTTGGAGAGGTCTATATAGAGGGATGGGCGATACCAGCTTTCCAGCATGTGTTATATGCGAGAGGCCTTCTGTTTTGAGTGTGATTGGTACCACTTGGTGTTATTTGCATTTCAGCACCATATATTTTACATCCCATGCCTCGGTGTGAAAATAGTGTTCTGCGCGCCTGCTGCTAAGCCAGCTCTAAAACCTTAGAATAGAGCATAGTCCGCATGCTAGGCAGTCTCTGGCAGCATATGTGTATAGCCATCTATGCGAATTTGCAGACAGAAGTAAATATATGTTTAAAACCCAAGCGAATGCATATAAAGCTTCTTTATTTAAATATCCGGGTTGAATGGGTGGCTATTTGCAAGATAGAATATTTTCCTGCTTTGGAGACTAAACACCATGCAGGACTGTGCATTTTCCCTTCTACTATTTAAACATCTGTCAATGCCTCCGCGCAGAGGTTCTTGCAGTAGCAAGAGTGTATGTGCTATTGGAAAAGAAGAAAGCCTAGTGTTTACTAACTAGCAAAACATTATCTAGCTAAGTATACCCCGAATGCTATATGGAGGCTGTGTTTTGTGAATTATTTTATTTTTAATTTATAGACTACTATGGCAGTCTGTAATTTACATAGTGTTTGTTTATGTATTTTCATTTGGCATGTCACAAAACAAATAAAGTGATAGATGAAAGTAAACAAATCCAAAATAAAGACAGTGATATAGTGGGTTTATTTGTTTATCGATCAGAAAAGAAAGATATAAATACCCAAGAGTTCTAGCAGAAACATGCAAGCAATGAAAGGACTATGCAGATACATTCTATTCTCCTACATCCTTATGAAGGTTAGTGCTTCTGTGCATATTCCGGGCACAGGGAAAAACATGGAAAAAACATACTTTTCCACTGTATTTGACCTAATGGAAAACAAGCTTGAAAGTATATTTTCTCTTGAGTGCAACAAAAGCATGCTGAAACAATGGATTAATCTTGGAAAGAGGTCAAATTATATTGACGGTCTTGTATTGAATCATGAGCTCTTCATGAAAAACAAGATAAAAACAGAGAGCGGCCTGCTTTCCTTCCAAACCCCAGCCAGCCTAAAAAATACTACCAAAGAATCAGGCAAATTACCTTTCCTATTAGAAAGCAAAAAGCCCAGATCAGTTGAAGAAGAAAATATACAGATCCATAACAGATGGGTCTCCAGTATGAGGGTTAAAACAGAAGAGAACTACAAAATAAGGCATGCAGCTTTTCTTAATGAAGGGCTACGCCTGGTTATTCTAGACTTATACTATGATGAAATGCTCAAAGCCCAAAGTCTTTCAACTCAGTCTTCTGATACCTATAACAAGAAAGATTATGAAAAGAAATACAAAAACAAGCTAAACACTGTATACGAAAAAATGGTTCCAATGACTACAAAAGCTTTTCTTTCAACAATTGGAGGGCTTCCATTGGCATTGCTAAAGGAAAAAGCACATAGTATGATTGATAATATACTATGCGGGCTTCTAGTGGCAGGAGGTACAGAATTTAAATATAGGAAAGATATGTTTGAGATTCTCAATATTGATCTGAAATCTAACCATGCTTATTTCCTTGAGAATACAGTTATTACAGAGAGTTTGATTGATGCAGCACTAGAATATGTTAACTCAATTCTGAAAAGAGATCTTTTATCCGATACTGACAAGATAAGTACTATGGAAGTATCAGACAATCTGATTAAGCTGCTTGGCCTCTATAAGATAGCTAATCTAGGCGAGACAGATGCCTTTTCTAGCATCCATATCCAGAGGGCCATTCAATCCCTATGTCTAAAATCCAGTCAGCTAATTGTTACTAACAACTACTACAAAATGTCATGTGATATGGACAAAGATCTATTTAATGGACTTGCTGTTATCAAACAGAAACCATTCAATAGGCCAACGACCCATGGAGATGTCAGCGAAAGAATTGATAGTTCAATAGAACTGACTAGCAACTGTGGAACTACCATTTCATTCCCTAAACTAGTAAATGGAAGGATTGTACATCATGTGTCTACCCCAGATTTCATGCGTTACCATAGGCATGCTATTGGACTAGAAAAAGCGCTATGCTTCCTATTTGCTGAGCCAATTAAAACAGGGTGGGGTGTAGAATTCAATGATTTCATGTTTTCAGCCATAGTTGCTCCCATTCTAGAACAAAACACCTTCCACTTAAAGTATAACCAAAGTACTGTAACCATCACGCCAATTCCCACCAGCATGTTAATTGAGGAAGAAAATCATACCCAGCAGAAACCTAATGAACTCAATATAAACATGGTATATAAAAATATACTCTCCCCAGGCAATGAATACACTCTGTATAAACACTCACTTATAAAACAAGAAAATGAAGAGTCATTTTTGATCAAATCCCAAACAGAAAAGATCAATCACAATGCTGCATACACTGGATCAAATGAGAGTAACTTACTAAGCGAACTGATTCAGGGTAAAGAAAGAGCATTAGAAATTTGTTTGGATGGAATAGAAAAATGCAAAAGAAGTAACGATAAAACTATCCTCAATATGTCCGTGTTAGTGTTTATAGATCGTATATTTAAGATAGTTTTCAATCCTAGTTTTAGAAAATACGATTGCGCCGAGTCAGAATATACATGCCATAAGCTCAATATAGCTTTCCGAATGCTAATTGGAATTAAAAATGCTTTTGAAGAGATTTACAATGATGATATCACTCTTGTTGACATCAACAAAGCATACCTCAGTATCATGAAATCTTATATGAATGCGAGAAGTTGTGATATCATACTTAATCATTTGAAGGATGCTCTATCATATGATGATTATAGATCTATGCAGAATTACTCAAAGATGAACAGTATGGTCTCTGAGAGTTACAACAAAAAGAATACCAACTACCTATTTTCTCAATATAATCAGCTAGTTAATATTCTTAACTCTAAAATTCACGGTTTTAGAATGCCCTCTGATTCTCAATATAATAGCAATATCACATTTATAGATCTATCAAAACTATTCCAGAAGAATGTGAATAATGACCCACTGAATGACAGTTCTCATGTTTCTACCCCATCCTTCGCAGTATCAGTAGATAGGTCTCTTATTCCACTTATACCTCTGCTTGAAGGCATAATAGATGTGGCAGTTGTAGAATAATAGGCTAATGGTACGGAAGCATCCACAATGAATTGTTTTAAACAAAATGTTTATTCCAGTGAAAGAGCCACTCATCTTTCTTAATCTGTAAATAAAGAATATTTGTCTATTTTTTGTACTATTTGTTGGCTGCTGTGTAAAACGCCTTTAAATTTCACCCTTTGAAACCATGCATGGCGTTGGAGGAACAAGAAAAAAAGGTGACTGCAGAGAGAAAAACCCATTCTAAACCTGTAAAGAAAAAGGCTATACTTCTTAATGAGCCATTTAAATCTTTCAGCGAAGGAGGGCAGAATAGCCCACTTCTTAACCAAATGAAAACAGAAATACGGAGGCTGTATGGTGAAAAAGTAAATATGGTAAATACAAATTATATTATGAAGCCACATGAGTTCAAGTGCCTAGCAAAAACGCTTTCTAAAAGACTTTGGAACGAAGAAAAAACGCTACAGTCTGTGGATGAGTTGATATACGCGGTTGATTTGCTCTGTAATGGGCAGGGCTTGCAGGAAGAAGCAGAAGCAGACGAGCAAACCCTAAGCTCCAAGGAGGCGCAAACAACAATAAGATTTATTACATCCGAACTGAACAGTTTAGTGCCGCATGAAGAGACTCGAAGCACAGAAGAAGAAGGGAAAAGCCCGCTCTCAAGCATTCTAGGATCTCTTATGGGGGCAAAGGAGCAAATAAAAAAAGAACTTGCGCGTGCTGGGCACAGTACAGTGGAGTCTCTTGTTATGGAGAAAACGCGGCAAAAGAATCTTATTAATGCCATTACAGAGGCATTCTCAATCTCACCATCTGATGATATTCTTCGCGCGCTGAAGGAAATGCATCTGCAGGAAGAAAGAAAGCAAAGAGACTACATTCAAGTAAAAGAAAAGAACTTTGAATGCCAAAAAAGACATTTTGATGAGACAATGAGCCTGGCAGCAGAGAAGATATCTTGTCTAGAAAGCAGAAACAAGGAACTGACACAGCTTCTGCACGAAAGAGAAGACAAAGCATCCGAAGTTCTTGATAGAGGAGATGCTCTACAGCAAAACATTCTGCAGATAAAGCAAGTTCTTGCTGAAGAGGAGCTAAGAATACAGCAGGAGCGAGAGGAGTACAAAGTGGTCAAAAAAACTCTTATTGACTATAATAAGAAAATGACCAAAATTGTCCAAGAGCTAGTTGAGCGCATTAAAAAAGAGCAGCGTGAAAGAGACGCATTGGCTAAAATGGAGGCTGAAGGAAAATAAATATAAAAATTTAGCGTATGCATCTGTAACTTGTCTTTCTTTAAGTATTATGCTAAACATGCGGATAAATTTAGACAAAACTCTGTGTTAATATTTTATGGGAAACAGAGAAGACGAGAGCATGGCAAATGCATCCTCGGTTATGCTGGACTCTTCCTCCAAATCACTCGTAGATGTCTCTTGGCTAAGCAGTCTCCACCAGGAGCCTGCGCCCTGGATTGAGCCAACAGAGCCTCTCTACCTACCTGGTTGGATGCATCTGGATGCAGCTGAAAATGCATGCGATACAATAAAAATTCGAGTGGACGATGTGTACTATGAATTTCTTGCAAGCAAATACCCGGAAAATGCAGCAGAAGTTGAGGAGATAGAAAAAAGAATTACAAGCAACAGAAAGGCGTGTGCGCAGATTGCTGCAATAAGCAAAAACAAAACAGATGGAGAAGAGAACGCTTCAGTAATTGTAGATCTTGTTAGCACAGAAGACAAAAGCGATGCAAGCGATGCATATGACAGCAAACACATAGACGAGAGAGAAGAGTCACAGATATTAAGGCACTCAGAGCTCAAGGAGGATATGGTTTTTTTATGGGACAGAGAAGCAGCAGAGAAAAGCATTGCTGCTTACAATGCCTCTGTTATAAAGAATGCAGAAAGAGGCAAAATTGTGGGTGCCCTTACGCGAGCGTGCGATATATCAGAGAGCCTCACATCTGTGTCTTTTACACACAATGTATCCTTTGTGCATATATGCAAAGAGACTGCAGAGGCTGCGCTTGAGACCTTGGAGGCTGCTCTGTCGAGAGATGAAAAAGGCTTGGGGCCAGCGCTTAGACTAAAAAAGACGAACAATCCACAGGAACTACTGGATGTTGTGCTTCGATCTATTTCAGGCATAGGAAATGAAGAAATTCGGATTCTAAGAAAGACGTTTGCGTCAGTTGCAGAGATATCCCAAATTGAAAAGATAGAGAGTCTCTCTGGCATAAAAGAGGACACAATAGCAAAGATTAAAACCCTTTTTAAATAAATTGCATTTAAATTACACTGGTTGCACACAAGAATATAAATGCACATAATAGCACAGGGGAGTAAAATATTGCATATAGTACTATAAAGAAACAAGTTGCTTGCTATAGAAGAGGGAACTGAAAGATTCTATGTTTATACGTGTGTATTTTTCTTTTTTAGTGGCTCCATTTATAAAGCTTAATATGAGCTGCTAAAATTTAAATATCTGACGGGTTTCTAACTTTACTTTATCTCACCAAATAATTCTGGTCTAGTTAATTAACTATTATGCAGACTACCGCTCCGCATCCAGGCTTCTACTGGCCCCACCATCAGCTGGACTTATTTGTCTCAAAAGTAAAGGCAAAAATGAATAGCCCCCTATGTCTTTGTTAGTGTGTATATGATATTTTTGTAATTTTTCGAATATATTCCATCTTAGTGGGTTTTTATTTTATTATTTTCAGATTACAAGTCATAATCTCTTCAGTTCACTACTCCTAAATAGTATGTCTATATAATATTTATTTTTTCACTAAAGCAAAGGAAAATCGAAAAACAGCACATTTTCCATCGGCAGCTATATAGGCCATGCGAGACAGGAACACTTAGCGTATATCTGCTTCTATACAAAACAATACACAGAACAATATAGAAAAAAAATAGCGATATTAATATGAGCCATTTTTTGTACGTTTATTGAGCACCATGCAGATATGCATGAAAATAGGATATGCTAGAAAGATATGTGATAAAAATACAAGACACTGTTTGAATACTCTAAATTCCCCTTCAGTTCCAATTTGATATATAAAATATGCTTATACAGATTCTAAAGCTTTACTACAGGATAGATTCTGTATTACTACTTTCACAATGTACTACAATGCAGCTCAGTTAAATGTGCTACTAAAAAGAAAATAGTAAAAGCAACAATAAAAAATAAAATACCTTTAGTCTTATTCAGAATATGAATAGCCCTCATATGGGCGTTTTTTCTTGGAGGATCTCTTCTATATGCGCCAAGCATATGCATTTATTAGAGAGATGCAGTCTATTTATATGCCTATTTTAATTAGTAATTTCAGGCTAATTATAACATGTGTATATCTTTGGCATTCCACATAGCAAAGCTACATGCAAACAGAGATGCCCATACATGCCTATCCTACACTAGAGACCCGAATTCTATATATTACTGCAAAACAGCAAAGAAAATTGCAGAGAAGAAATTCATCTATTCTACTCATAGGAAAAGTGGTTAAAAATCAGTTCTCTCAAATGTAACTGTTTTAAAGCTGCATTTTACATATATGCCATTTTCTCATGGCAGTGCCTGTGCGAATTCAGAGTACCATAGAGAAGCCCTGCCTTTTGGGAATATAGTTCTAACAAGTTTGCGCTTTCTACTAAAAATTAAATTTGGGTGCAAAGAATGCTATGGATACGCAAAGTATATATTCGCCAGATTATAAAGCAAGCTGCTTAGTACTGCTGCATATATCTGCTTGCGTGTTGCTTCACATGCTTTGCATCAGAGGCCGCGCTTAGAAATGTCATCACACAAGGCGAGTTCAATTATAACTTGAAAGTGCTTTTATTATAGAGATGTGGTGGGGGTGGTTTTTCTAATTATGGTATCATACGCATGAGAAGCAGCTGATGACATGCTGTCATCTGATATTTCTAGCTCCAGTCTTTTCTTCAGCTTTGATGACGCCTTTTTCTTTGTTTTATTTTTAGTTCGGGTTGACTCCTTTGGGAGCTTCGCGGGCGGCTTGTATGGGCTTTCTGTGTCATTTTCCGATGACTCGGAGTGTGCATATCTTCCAAGTATATTGATGATTTTGCTTTTCGATCTTTTTTCCTCAAAGATAGCTTTTTTTCTTAAGAGATTTCGTACATTTTCCAGGCTTTCAACCTTTTTATCCAACCTCTGTAGGATTTTGCTCGCAAGTGGGGTCTCGCGGGAGGTTCCCTTGATCTTATTGGCCATTTCTAGATTCACAGGAGGAAGAGACTTAGTTATGCTTCTTAGTGTAATTTTGTGCTTTTCACTGCTCTGGCATGTGTATGTGTGTACGAATATCTGGTCTGAAAAGGTAACTCTTTTTTCTGTATAGTCAGAGCTACACTCGGTCTCTTCTTTTTCAACCTTCTTCTTTTTGCGCTTAAAGATTAGTTTGGCCAGAGAGTATGGGAAAATTGCACATTTTACCAGAAGTGATTTAATCTTTTTGGCAATATTCTTCTTAGGCTTTGTTTGAGATTCCTTCTTCTGTCTGTTCGCTTTTGTGCCTTTGGAAGATGTGGCCTGAGAGGATGTCTGGTCTTTTTTCTTTTGTTTACTATCCTTTTCAGATGAGTGGTAATGCCTTCTGCGAGGGAGATCATCCATTTCTGAGTCTGTGGAGTCTAGTCTGCTGCTTCTTTTTGAGCTCTCCCGTTTCTTTCCCATATGTGTTCGTGTGCCTATTTGTTTTTATATTCCTTAAGTTTCATAGAAAAGTTTCACATTCCAAACACATTAGCTGTAATATCTTAGATCATAAGAGAGACCGTCAATTTGTGCTATGTAGATGTTCTGTTCAAAAAGATCTGCTTAGTCTTTGTGCCGCCAGGTGTATATGCCTCTGTGGAAAAAGCTGCATATGTAAAAACGCAAGCTATATTTCCTGTGTATATATTGAACTAGAGCAATGCTTCTTCTAGACTATATACACCGCATATATGCTGGGCACAAGAATAGTATGCTATATACACTGTATGCTCTATCCACTTGGTTTAAGTCTTTAAAAAGCTAGGTTGAAATAAATAGCAAAGAAAAGATAAATGATTTAAGTTTATTTTGTTCTTATAAAAATCACTTCCTTTTTTGCAAGAATAAGATTCAGGAAGATTCTCCATAAGCTGCTGCACAGCAGTGCATGTTTGTAGAAGCACAGAAAGGAATAAAATTAGAATGTAGTAGAAGAATAAATAGCCAGGTAAAAACACAGTATAAAATTCAATATAGATGAAAGAGATAAATATTTGAGTTTTATTATTGATAACCCGAATAAAATAGAGAACTTCAGACTTACTCTTCTTCTTCCTCAACATTCTCTTCAACTAACTTGGCTGTTCCTTTAGATGTGGTGCTGGGCCCCCCTTTACTGCTGCTTCTGTTGCCGCCTTTGTTTGTGGTAGAGGTTGTTGTAGTGGTCGTGACAGTATTAGAGGTACTCTGCTGCTCTTTTAGAAGTTGTTCATACTCAGCGGGGAGTGTTGTATGAAGAGAGTCTTTTGAGTCTGGCTTTGTGTTGGTTGCTATATCAACCAAAGAATTTAGGATTATAGATTTCGAATTTGGCCCTAACTCCATGAGTGGATTTATTCCCTCGCCCTTTCTGACATATACTGTAAGTCGAGCCCAAGTCTGAAGACCAAGCTCCCTTGCCACATCATTTGCATTCTTTAGGTTTTTAAAGTTAGTTATAAAGTTTACCTGGCTTTTAGTCAGAGCTACTGGCTCTTCGCTATCATCATAGTATGAGTTTATAGCAGGCTTATTAGTATTTGCCGTCTGGGATCTGACTCCTGCTGGGCCTGACTGAGAGGAAGTTGACTTTGCGTATGCTCCGCCAGACAGTGCGCTGCTTAGTGCTAGAATAACTCCAAAAGAACTGAGTATCTTCATTGCTGTATCTCTCTAGCTATGTTATATACACCCATCCTAAACACAGAATCATTTTACACCAATTAAAAACATAAAACACAAGACCTGTAACCTACATATTACACAGTGTTTTCTAGGACTATTTAGATTAGGCAGATCTTCTACCATAGCCCATCTTTCATTTAAACGCGTATCTGAATAGCTTAAACTATATTCCGACCGACATTTTAAGGTATGCACGCATGATCGAATGTATACCCCACTCTGTGCTCCTTTCTGTGTCTACAAACAAAGACTTGTACTTACTTATAATCTCGCCAACCTTTTTTTGAGCTATTCCTGATGCGCGCGGCGAGAGCGTTAGGTACAAATCATCTATGAAGCAGCAGAACACCAGAGCGCACACAATAATGTCTAGTTTCAAAATGTCGCGATCTTCGTATTGGCTTTCTCCTGTTAAATACGCAGTGAGATCAAGTATTATCTTTGACTTGACTCCTTTAAAAGCCACCTCTTCATTTGAAACAACTTGGCCTCTGTTTGCTACAAGGTTAATAAACTCACGTGTCTTGCTTTTGCTTCTTTTTAGTATCTTTTTTTCAACAAGGCACTTGCCTATTCGCTTTCTTGTGTTTCGCACATGGTACTTGTCTTTCTTTATTGAGTATGACTCTCCATTCAGCAGCTTCAACCATGTACTGACAGACTTTGGGTGAACTGCTTTTCTAATATTGCCGTGCACCTCATCGTGTATACTGTCAAGAGGCATGTATGTGTCCCGCGCGACTATAATGTCGTCTTTGTCTATAGCAATGCCCCCGCACAGAACCAGCTCGCTGAGTAGAAGGGCCCGAAGTGTTATTGAGACTGGATCGTACAAGCCAGGAATAGACATCTGCGCCACTGTTGTAGTAAAAATAACAAGAATTTCAGAAAGGTTTAGGTCTGTCTTCATTCGCTTAAGAGAAGAAAAAGCATTCTCCTGTTTTACATCTCTTCGCCTAGGAGAAAAATCGTCCATATGTGGTGTTAAAAGAAAATAATCTTTATTCATTCTAATGAAATATAAGAAGAGTGCTCCAAAAATAAAAAGCACCCAGAGAAAAACACTGAGTTAGTCTTTCCAGCGGAGATGCGAATGTCTTTCGTGTTTCTCAGTGTGCTTATTATAGCGTGGTTGATTTTTTCGTCAATCTCAGCTGAAGAGTGCGCCCGCACATAGTTTAAGTACTCAATGATGCGTCTAAACTTGGCAGGCGTGTCTTTATCATTTTGGTTGTAGCTCGCATCAATCAGATGCTTCTCCAGTGTCTTTACATCTCTAATATAGAGCATGTTCTGGACCTGCAGGTCCTTTTCTGTACTCTGAGACACGTTCTCAGAGGCCTTGCTGTACAAGTCCAGAATTTGCTCCTTTAGTATTCTGGCAGGGCTTGTTTTCATCAGCCCCCGAAAAATCGCATTCAGACTGTTTAGATTGTTTCTATCAAGCAGCTTTTCCATTACGTCCTTCCAGTGCGCTTGTGCGGCCTCCATCTCGCTCTGTGCGTGAAACTGTCTTCTTTCTCTGCCAGAGCTGGCTTTAGACTGTGCTTCTTGGCAGTCAAGAATGCTGGTTGCAACATACGCGGATAGAGCATCTGTGAATTTCATGTATCCAACAAAAGTAGGCGACATTTCTGCCTCGTTGTCATAGCTGAACTTAAGTATTTCAACAGGTGTTATATCCATCAAGATTTTCACTTCTGTCTGGGTTAGCTCCTGTGCAAATTCCTCTGTATCCAGCATGCATAGATCTAGGGCCTCTGCCTCTGATATTTTGGAGGAAAGCTCTTTCTCATCTATTTCGCTTTGATCTGGGGCTTTCCCTTTTTCTGAGGACTTCTGCTTCTCTTTTCCCTTCTTTGTCTCCTCTTGCTTCTTTTCGTACTCTGAACGTATCATTGCATGGTTTTAGAACTGGGTTTTTATCATCGACAGAAAGCCGCATTTATTTTGAACAGCGCACATGTAATCTGGATATATGTGGGCGCCCTTTGAACGCAGGCTGAATAGTCCACAGGCACTCCTGTTTAATACAAAATATAAACTTATTTAACATTTATTTTGGGCTTTCTTCTATAGCAACCGCGACTGCCTCTTTTCTACACATAGGGCACTCATTCGAATAATTGGTCAGCCACTCAGAAACACACTCGCTATGAAACGTGTGCATACAGTGCAGTTTTCGAATGATTTCCTCCTTCTCTATATCCACCAAGCAGATTGGACACTCCCCCTCGCTTCCATCTGCGCTTACTTCGGGGATCTTTTCGTCCAAGTCCTCCTTGCCAATGGTCTTTCGGTGAGACACAGGATCCTCAATATAGTATGTTATAGTGAACACGATGCTGCGCGCGTGCGGCGAGTTTGGGTCGGGGGGTGGATTGTTGCTTGCAGACCCATCAAAAAATGTGTCTACTTCAACAGAGTTCATGGAGTCATAGAGATGCGGATTTCCTCTTACACTCTGCACTGCCGTCATAATAGCTCTAAATGCATCAACCGGAATATAGCGCGACATATTTGTATTCTCAAGCCTTTCCCACTCTTCTCTCTCAGTGGCCTGCACTGCCTCCTCTGCTTGGCTGCTGCTCGGCCTATTCAAGATACTTATGCGAGATGGCTGCTCGCCTGGGCTCCTCAGTGCATTGACACCAACCTCTGGCCACATGATGGTTAAAAGACGAGCTAGCGTACTCCTTGCTGTCTCAATTAGAGACCGTGAATCGCCTGCTGAATCCCGTATGCTTTCCGGGGTGCTCTCCAACGCAGGCTCAGCTGGCTGCACTGGGGCCTGCACTTCCTCCTCTAAAATACGTGTGTCTTTTTCTTCAGCATTTTTTTTGTGCTCTTTTCTATGCGGTTCCACGCCAGTCTTTCGTTTCATGTGCCAATTAAAACGAAATTTTATTTATACACTGTCTTTTTCTGGAAGATTTCTTTTTTATTCAATCTAAATTTGCCTATTGATCTGTGGAATAGTAAATGCGAAATATAGATGTCTTGCTGGTCGATCACTTCATTTTCTGCAGTGTTCTGAGGCTTTTTTAATATTGACTTTGCGACAGCCACTTCATGTGCCTGCGAATGGGCTGGGATGTCCTCTATACTTTTGACCTCGCTTTCAAATGTAACCTTTTCCGAGGTGTGCGGCGGCATGCTTGTGTTTTGCCTCTGGAATAGCTCTTTCTTGGAGCCCATTCTGTGAAGAATTCGGCAGTATTGGTATCTGGAGTTTCTCTCCGTATTGACTCGGGTGATCTCCTCATGATCATATCCCCACCCGTGCTCCCGTATCTGCGAAAGAAGCTGAGGGTGGTTGTAAAAGGCATGTGGTTGGCTCCGCAAAAGCTGTTTGACCTTAGATAGGCGCTGCCGCATGTGCATGGACTAAAAATATAAAATAATAATAAAGCATTGCTGCCCATAACATAGCTTCTTAGCTAATTCATTTAATTAATGATTATCCTCGCTAGTCCAATCCATAATAAGATTTACAGCCTTTGTCAGATCACCTTCCGTGCATACGAGTGCAACTAGGTTGAGCTCAACGTTGCTATATCCTATCTGTTCCAACTCTGAAAGCTCAGACTGGTACTTTTTCATGGCCTCTTCTCGGTTGAAAGAGGGCATCATGCCTGCAGGAATTTGTACTTGCTGCGCTCCTTGAGCCTGCGGCTGCTGGGACATCCCCTGCCCAAATCCAGGCATGCCTCCCATTCCAGGGTTCATGTACATATTTGATAAATTCGGGTTGTCCATCATGTGGTTCATGAAAGATTCAAACTGCTCTGGGTTGCTCTTTGCAAGGTCTGCAAATTTGTTTATGCTGTCCATCATGGTTTTCTTTGTTGCCTCTGGAATGTTTTGCATGCTTAGAGAGGCCTCCATAAGCACCTTTATCTGCTCTGGATTCTTCATAAGCTCTTTCATTTTGGTCTGCATCATAGCCTGCATCTCGCTGCTGTTGCCATCCATGTTTGGCATCGAATTTAGAATCTGGGGATCCATCTGCCCGGGCCATCCGTTTGGCATTGTCATATTAGGTGCGCTGCTTGATGCTCTGCTGCGAGGCGCTTCTGAGGCGTGTGCCTCTTCGCCTGCCGGCGCTTCTGCCTGCGCTGGGCTGGGGGTAGAGCTTGCTTTCTTTTCCGAGCTTGGCACAACCAAGTGCACCATTGAGTCATCCTCTAGCTTGTATGTTTTGAGTGGCTCCTGGTCCTTAAGTAGTTTTCCAACATGAATGAGCCTGATCTTTGAAACCGGAGCCTGTGCTTGCTCGGATATCTTCTCTTTTAGCGCTAATACCGTGCTTTCTGGTCCCTCCACTTCCACGCTGTAGACCTCTCCTTTGCTTGTCTTTACATTAATCTTCATTATTTACAAGCAAAAAAAAGGAATTATATACAAATCGGCAAACAAATATATTGCCCGGCGCACTTTAAAAAGCCGCCAAAGCACTCAGCGCGCCTGCATGGTGCAATCACTCCTATGCAAGCCCAGGCTGCACGGCAATCTGGCATTCTAAAGAAAGAAACTATGTGCCCTGATGCACAGCACTTTGCAACTACTAAACACACACAGTTTAGCAGTAGTATTCACGTGCCTTTGCTCTGCCTATTCCATGTGGTATTGTTATTATTTTTATCTATACAGAGAGACTGGGATTAGTTCTTGCATTATTGCTTTTTTCCTGCATCACTAGCTCTAGTATGTAGTCATTGAAAAATTCTTCACTTGATGTGTCTGTGTTGTGATCTATGGTAAGCAAATACTCAACCATTAGAGACAAATATTCATCCTCTCCCTCTTCTTTCTTGTGCATATCGGTGCTTTCATATTTCTCTATTGGGAAAGTCTTTTCTGAATTGTACTTTCTACATCGGGTTTGTGCAGTGGGTTCTTTTTTAAAATATTTGGCCTCTATAGGCATCTCGTCAGTAACTTCTTTTTGCGTTTCTTCTGCTTTTTCCACATAGCCAAGGAATGGATATATGCAGAAGGGTATAGCTGCTAAAACAAAGCACGCCACATACATAAGAATTGTTCTAATTGAAAGTAGACGTGTATCCTCTGTGTACATTATTTGTTTAGATAAATGTTGATGCTTTTATTTTGGAATTGGGAATACCCGCACTGCCAAGCACTAAACCTGCTGGATGTGCACTGCATCCTGCACTATTACAGTATATGTATTTTATAAAACTGCATCGCATTTATACACGTGCTGATATGAGAGAGTTCTATTCATAGATTTTTGGGCTTAATCAGAAGAGTTTCTATTTCTTTCATATTATTATTGGATATATTTTGAGTCTGCAGCAGTTGCATTTTCTTACTAAAAATTAAGGTCTTCTCATAGCTAAATACATACTGAAATATTAAAATTCTTTCTATGCCTCACAGAACCATCATGCATACTATTGGGGTGATACTAAGCTTAAATAAAATTTATTTATCTACGAAATTCGGGGTTATGCGTAGGCTATCCACTTGCACAGGCAGTTCAGAAAACAAAAATGCATCTATAGGCTACTATTTTATGAGATCACATCTTATTGAAATATCACATAAAACACAAAATATTGCATGCTAGTCACATATAAGTCATCCTGTATATAATTTAAGATGTAAAACCAATTCGGACAGAACTCTTCTAATACAAAAACATGCCATGCGGATGGCCTACTCCATTTATATTACCTTAGTGAAAATACTTTCTCAGCAATATTAACCGCATTCATGCCCGTTGTGTCCGCAATGCGTATGGCCCCCCAGAGTTTTCACTGTGATTGTGCCATTTCCCTTTTTTTCTTCTGAGATGTCACTCATGAAAACAGGAGAAGTTTCCTCTTGCACAGAAATAGCAGTATGGCCATGAATATGAGCATGACCGTGAATATTCTCACTACTATTCATGCCAAAGCCGCCTTTTGAATTCTTTTTGGAGACCATAAAAATACTTCCTATTATTAAGAGTAATAGCAGCAGCACAACAGCACATCCAATGACTATCTTTATAGGCCTTGTAATTACACCCATCTTTACATATCTTCTCTTTCTGCTATTTATAGTTTCTAGCCATCAGATATGTGTCATTCTCTAGTATAGCCTTTACTCTATTGGTTATTTTTTTTGATGCATAGTGCAATTGAGGAGAAATTTGAGCTCATGGATATTATGAGGTATACAGTACCTACCCCTTCCCCTGCAGGCACTCCTGAATGCGTGATGAGTGCGCTCAGACAGCATACCCCACTATATCTCCTTGATGTTTATCTCTACGCCTCTGGCATTCCAATTAGGGCCCTTCTCCATCCCTCAATGTACAGCCGCGTGCTAAAGGGATGGCTGAAAATAGGAAGCATTGTGAAGATCCTAGGAATTGAAGGGGACATGATTACAGAGCTGGAGCGGACAGAAGAGTGTTCTGAAAGAGATCTCACATCGATTAAAAAAGATGTGTATATAACACTGCCAAATCCAATATATAGCCCAAAGGGATACTACATGCCTCTTCTTTCAGACGAAGGATATATGAAGTGGGACCGAAGGTGGAAGCGATTTCTGGAGAAATATTTGAGCGAGGCAGATGACCAAGAAATTCTATTAGCTAATAGCCTAGAGGAGCTAGGGGCTCTTTCTAAGCAAGGGGCTGGCGGGGCAGCGACTGGGAAAAAGTCGCATTTAGTAATTCGCTCTGAAGAGGAAGACAAGAAAAGCCTGTTTGAGCCAAAAGCAAGAGTTAATCAGGCTGGATACAAAAATGCACAAAACAACACTATATGTGGCCAGGTGATTCTTAAGAGCAGGCTGTTTACCTTTTCCTCAGGAGGGAGCCTTCCTTTGTTTTTCTCCTTTATTTTGCTTACATCCGCAGGCCTTGTTAAGGTGTATGTTTGGAAGCTGGCAGTGCGCAAGTTCTTCTGCATAAAGGAGGGAGACTCCATCTTCATCCGGGGGTTCAAGATCAAAAGGCGGCCTGGTGCTCTTCTAATTGCAGACAGGACAAACACAGACTCAGATACAAAATACGCATCGATTCCAGAGATTAGCGTGAATCTTACTGAGCCCACTGGCCACATTATGGAAATGGAAATGCTGCACGGGCTCCCTAAAGTTCCATACGACCCAGAGTTTACCACTGTTATTGGCACAGTTGAGTATGTAAGCTCTCTGTTTAGGTACAGAGAAGGAAAGGCCCGGATGAAGTTCAGAGAGTATGTCTATCTAAAGGTTTCTGGGATCATTATAAAGCTATTAGCAAATGACACAGAAAGCATCATAGACATAAAAACAGGCACTTCAATTGAGGTGCGCCATCTGAGAAAAGGAACAATTGGGCCTTTTGAGTTTTATATTTCATCGCTTTATACACAGTTCTACCTGGATAGGTCAAATGCCCCGCTATTTGACAAGCATGTTATAACAGGCGACTCAACATCAGTGGCAGAAGAGAACGCAATGGGATACATACCTGTCTGCTTCAGCACATACTGCGAGCACATGACCGCAGCAAACGATGGAATTGGCGTTCTGTGCATTAAAAATAAGCCAATCCCAAGAGAGTCCCCTGACTCAGCATACATCAAAAAAGACCGCATGTACTTTGGGGAGCTGCGTTCTTTATCGGAAGCAATGGAGGAGATAAACAGTCTCTGCATGGACGAGCTTAAAAGATTTGTTGTTGCAGGGAAGCTGGCTGCTGTAAAGTATCAGTCACAGGGAGACTGCACAATAGGAGACTCTACTGTAGACATATCGTATATGGCAACTGAAACCACAATAGAGGAGATTCAAGAAGAAGACATAGACAGATCCTCTGGGATATACGAAAATACCTTTTGCACAAAAATAGAAGAGAATATTGTGCTTAGAATTCAAGACAAGTCTTGCTTCATTGACATCCAGGTCTTCCAAAACCACTTAGTTTACGACAGCTTTGAAGAAAGCGTGCTGGACTTCCTTAAAGCAGAGAAAACTAGCGCATCGATCTACGAAGAGCTGAAAAAAAGGGTGGGGAATGAGTACTATGTGGTTTTTGATGCAATTCGGGTTGATGAAGAAGTTGTTTTGCACGTTGGTGTCTCTCTGCTTGTGTAGATGTCCTGCAAAGAATTGTATAATTATAGTTTGAGAAGATGAAAAAATAAATGTGGAGCACAAACGAAAGACTTCTGAAGGAATCGGAAAGTAAAAGAGTACCAAGAGAGAGAAATAGCGGGCCAAAAAGTGTGTACATCCCTGAGGCCTCGGTGTACGATGACCAGCCAGTTCTGGGCGGGCCACGGGTCTCTACTGTTCAGCAAAAAGCTCTTACAGTATTTGGATACTCTCCCTCGAATTTAGAGTGCGTGCTGCGCCAATTCAAAAGCGTAGGGGAAATAAAGGAAATAAGCTACGGAAAAAACTGGATGGACATAAAATATGAGAAAGAAAAGTGCATGATGCAGGCCCTCCAGATGAGCAGCCAAATAATAAACGGGGAGATGATTGGGGTAGCACAAAGAGCCAGAAAGAACATAGACATAGGGAGTATAGAGAAAAGTGCTCTTTTTTTGAAGAAGGACGATGGATTGCTAGGAAGAATTTGCAGGTATTTATTTGGATAGGATGCAGCTTATAGCGCACTGGCTATGTTGTAATAATAAAATGCTCTATCTAAAGGGCCCATCTTTCATTTTTACATTATTTACTTCAGAGACTGCGCGTTGTTTTCGGGTTATATAGAGGTGTATTTATTGAATGGCGCTGTGTCCTTTGGAGTTCATTTAGTGCATCTCAAGTAAGTGCTCAAAATATAACCAGAACACACCCATATGGAATATAAATCAAATAGACACTCTTCTTTCTTCTAAAAGATATATACTGTATCCCCATTCGTAGCTGCCTTTATATTAAAGAAGCAAGCCAAATATTCATGCTATACAGAACTCTTCAAGCCCTATCCAACAAACACCTAGTCATCTGTTATTTTTGTATTCCTAAGAATAATATTTAAGAAAAAACCCCATAAACAGCATTACACACATCTTTCATTCTCTGCAGTATCTTCTAACTAGACTTTCATTCTCTGCACTAGTCTCTGACTAAGTCAATCAAATCGTCTGCTTGGAGTACATTATCTAGAAGTTGTGAGTCCTCAAGTACATCTCCATCAAATTCAAAGTGCGCTGTCTCTATGTTTGGAAGAGAAGAAAGAAGGGCCTTTGTACTGATCAAAAGGTCTTTTACAGTCTCCTCTTCTTTTCGCTCTATTTCTATCTTCTCATACCTTCCGTACTGAACATAGTACTTTATTACCTCCTTTGGCTTTGCAGCCTCTTTTGGAAGAACGACCTTCAAGACAGGCATGCCCTCCTGAGCAGGAAGCACACTTGCTTTGGCGTATCTAGATAGAGGCATTCCATTGTGCTCTAGCACTAGAGACATATTAAATCGATTCTCATAGCTTGCATATATTGTTTCAAATGTTTCGTTCTCCATTAGCGAGTAGATCTTCTCTGTTCCTCCAAATATGACATTCACATCAAGTTTCTTTGGTTTTTTCTTTATATCCTGTGTGTCTGCGGGCTTTCTTAGAAATTCCCACTCGTCATCCATTATGTAATGAAAAATTTACTTGCTCTTTCTTTCCTATGCACACACAAATATTAAGCCAGCTGAAAGGAATTAAAGAAAGGCTAGCAAACTTGGCAGCACAAAGAAGGTGTATTCCAAACACTCTAGAAGAGTTTTTTCCTTTCGGATCAGCAGTAGATCTTCTAAGGAAAATAGAGAACGAAGAGAATTATCTGTACGTGGAGGCAGCCAAGCTAAAGGAGAAGCTTTCCCTGCACAGCACAGGCCCCGGAAAGACATCTCTCTCTCCGGAGGTGTGGACTATGATATACCCTGAAAATCTTTAGATGCTTCCTTTTAGCTCCTGAATGTGCGCTCACATGGTCGGTTCTATGCTCTTCGCCGATTTCTATTAAATAAATTCCGAATATGTATATATTAATTCGATTAAAATTTATGACATGTAGGCTTTCACTTTTGTTAGTTTTTCAATAGATACAAAGATTAGACTAAAAAGCGCATAAATCGAAGAGTCGATGGGGAAAGTGTGCTCATAATAGTTTACAGTTTCTAAATCGCATGAAACAATACAGGAGAACACGGAGAATCCATCAGGATGAAGACAGAGATCATCTTAGTGCAGTGGAGCAGGAAGAAATCCCAAGCAGCACTGAACATGAGAGGCTGGAAAAGGAAAAAGAGGAGTCAAAGGAGGCGTGTGCAATTGCCCAGGCGATTCTCTCCATAAAAACAATTGAGACCGAAATAGACAGAAAAGAGAAGAACCGAATAGCTGCAAAGAAAAGCAGAGAGAAAAAGCTGCAGTACATAGAAAGCCTGGAGGCCCACCTATACCAGGAGAAGAGCAAAAACCAGCACCTGCACCAAAAAATAGGCGTTCTCTACAACGTTTTGGAAAAGCTGCTGCTGGAAACCGAAGCAGGAATAGTTGAAAAAAGGCCTGGCACAGCGCAGATTGCAAACATTTTTGTGAACTGCGATCAATACATTGCTCTTCCTCCAAGGCACAAAAACATTATTGGGAATCTAAAGTACTTTTTGTTTACCAGTAAAAATTTGGATATATAAGAGAAAAACAAATATTTATAAGAAATTAGCAATGGGAAATAAAGCAGAGGCCGAAAATGCATATGGGGAGGCAGAGTCCAGCCTTGACACCCGCGGGTTCCCTGAGCAGATGAAGAATTTTTCGAAAAAGGGGCATGGAATGGATCAGGATAGGAACATAATTGTTGTCAAGGAGGTTATTGTTGTTACGGTGGATAATGGAAGTGCGAGTGCGCTGAGCAGCTTAATTGCGCTTGCAATTGTTTTTGTTGGCACGCAAATTATAGCGTCAGTCTGGAAAAAGTACCACCCAAAGTCCTTCAATGTAGTTAATGTTGCCACGCTTATTTTCTTTCCATTCGTGGCAGGACTTCTCTCCAAATCGTATTTATTCATTTCCATCTGGGCTGCCATTGTCTTTACACACTTTGTCGCGTTTAAAGACATTTTTATGGGGCGCAGGCCCAGGCTTCTTACCACAAATGTGTATAATATATACAGAGTTATATTTCAGTGCAGTCTGGTTGTCTCGATCATCGGATACCTTATGGTGGCCTTTGGGTTCTTCAGACAAATTAGGCCGATGTATATGGGCGGAGTGCGCTGCCTGATGTTTGTGCTGTACTTCACGCTGATCATTCGAATAGGGCTGGATATTGTAAGCAGCAGGGCATCTGGAACAATACTCCCATCCAAGGCAGCCAAAACACAAGGGAATGTGTGCCCGCTGTGCCAGATGGAAATAGTTGACAAAAAGATGACACTTGCATGCAAAGAGTCCTTCCATATCAACTGCATTAAGAACTGGAAGATACTTGGAAAGAAAGATACTTGCCCGTCGTGCAAAGAGAAAGTAGACCTATCGGAGATTGAAATGAATCCCTGGCAGAAGAATGAATACTTATTCACGAAGTTTTTAGACTTTACAGGAAATCTTATTTTTGCATATGCTGTGATTCAGGGAATTATTCTTTTCATGTAGAGCGAGAAAGCCCTAGTCAAACTGTGTTTTATAGACTAAATGTACCAAGATGCAGAAATCATACAACATATTTCGAATAAAACATTTGTTATCTTATATCGATGGTGGTGTAGCTATATTTATTGCATTTACTATTTATTGCATTTCTTATTATTCATATACATGTTTAGCTAAAAGTTCTAATATGCATAGCACCAATGTGTGCATTCTCACAATAAATGCGCTGATACTATTCAGGGATATCTGCTAGAAAGCAGACTATATAGACAGCTGCATTCTCTATCTCAGCTATTAAGTTCTCTAGCCGTATTTACACATAAGAATGCAATTAATACTACCGTAAGCCATATTTAATATAAGGGCACATACTACAGAGTATAAGGTCTGCTTTAATCAGAAATTCCTCTAGGAGCACATGCTTCATACAGCAATATATTCTCAGATGCATTTTACTCACAAAGTATTCATTTATGCAGCGCTCAAAAAGAACCATGCTAGAGTAAGCGCAGGAGAGCCACAAATTAAAATACTATAGCATTACAAAAAGACTTTCATTTGGTGTTTTCCTTCCTCTATCTTGCGCGCGCATGTTAAAACATCTGTGTATTCTAGTCGGCCGCCAATTTTCCTGGTGTGCTCTTGGTTTGTGTCATATGTGTATATCGGGCTTTCTTTTGCTGACAAACACAGAATGCATGCAGAGATGGCGCCAGATATTTAATTGGACCGCATAATAATTGCGCTCTGATCACTTAGATGGCAGAGAGCTAAAAATCTTAATCAAGCAGAGTTTCCAACTAAAAGAAGAAAAGCATTTATTTTCAGTAAAGGCAGAATTTATTAATTTGGATGACGAGCGTAACCAAGCTATTTAAAACACTTAGAGATGCTCCTAATAAGGGAGTAAAAAGGCACATAACAAATGAAATTGTTGCAATGTACTGCAGCATACCAGCTTTATTAAATACGCTTTTAGAGGAGATTTTATTTCTTTCTGAAAGCAGCATGTGGGAGGACAGGCTTGCAGGCTCTCGCATACTGGAAGAGCTCTTTGCAGTAGGGACGATATCCGACGCCTTTTCCAGCAAGGAGTACGTGCTAGGCGTAGACATAGACAAGGTTCTGGAGGCGCCGAAGTTTCTGGCAATGCACTACACCAAGAACGAAACAGTTAAGCCGGGAAAGGATTTTATTGATCTGGATGACCACAATGTCGTTCTGAGCCTGAGTGACATAAGCATACCAGGAACAAAAGACGGAGAGGGCGGGCTGCTCAGAAGAAGAAGGCAGATGCAGAAGGCGCAGAAGCTAGAGGAGAAGAAGGAGATAGAGAAGACAGAGGACCTGTACACGAATCTGCTCGCAAACATGGAGTCGTACACATGGGAACGAAGGCACGGCGCAGCTCTGCTGCTGGCAGGAATGCTCCGGGGGATCCAGAGAAGAGACGCTTCTGTTGTGCCAACTGCATTTCTGAACTCCAAGACGTACCTAGAGCCAATGCTAAGAGTTCTTATCCTAGACAGGTTCAATGACTATGAAATGGACATAGCTGTGTCCCCCGTGCGAGAAACTGTCGGAAAAGGCCTGAAAGAGATGCTGCCGTTCATAACAAAGAAGACAGTAAAGGATCTTCTCCTGCTGCTCTCAAAAATGGGCACATATGAGGACTGGCAGATAAAATACAGCGGGCTTTTGGGCCTGCAGTATGTGCAGGACATTATTCATCCAGAGGAGCATAAGGAGATAGTCATTGAGATAGGAAAAATATGCCTGAACCTTCTAAATGATCTGGATGAGGATGTAAAGAGGATCGCAGCAAGCATTCTCACAGGCCTGATGGATAGATACTGCGCAGTCTATTCTTCTCTCACAGAGGAGGAGGTGCAGGAAAAGATCGACGAGGTTCTTGATGTAGGCGAGGTGGCAGAGAGGTGCTGGGAGGCCTTGGAAGAAGAGGAGGACCTTGCTATATCTAAAGCTAAAATACTTGGGCTGCTGGAGAAGATATCGCACCAGCTAAAGTATAGTCTGGAAGAAATAACCAAGGAAAAGTGGGCCTCTGTGCTGGGCTTAATTAGAAATCCAATTGACACAGTCCGGCCTGCTGTTATTTCAATGCTTCAGATTCTGCCAGTTCTGGATGCAGACAGATTCGTTGCATCTCTTCTCTTCAGCATAATTGCAGAGCAGGAGCCAGAGATTCGGGAGATAACTGCGCAGTTTTTCACGAGAAAAATAGCAGAGCTAAAGATGCCAAACCTAAAGGCAATTGTGCATGCTTTTTTGACTGTAGTGTGTGCTTCGCATGTTGTTGGAACTGGGTCGCTTGCAGCGCTTAAAATAAGCATAGTCGTTGGAGAGGGTGATATATGCGCAACAGACGATGGGTGCAAGTCAATGGGCGAGGAGGCAGTGCTCTCAGGGCGCGCAGCGCTGCTAAGGGTTTTAGTAGAAGCAGGGCCGCCTGTGACAGAGCACATAATCACCTTCTTTGCAGAGCAGGGGAAATCTCTTCCATACTTCACGTTCTTCAAATCAATTGCAGCTGTTCTCCTTGCAGGCAATAAGCTGGCCAGCAGCGGGCTGCAGAGTGTGGTTAAAGAGAAACTGGTGGACAGCCTCCTAGAGGACTCGACCGGCAGAGAAAAGAACGATCTGAGTCGTGTGGCGCACAGTCTTGCACGGCATGTATTTAGAGAGCCCTCAACAGAGGATGCAGACATTCTTGCATATATTTACAATGTTCCCACAGCAAACTCTCTGCTCCGCATTCTTGCGCAGGCAATTAAGACACATCTTAGCCACTTTACAGAGTTCTTTAACATAGTAGTCGAGTGCGTGTGCGCGCAGGAGGAGAGCAGACTTATGAACATGGTGATCAAAGAGGTAAATGACAGCAAAAAGATTAAGCTCATGGAGGAAGTCGAGGAGAATGAGCCAGAGTGGGAGATACTTACCCTCTTCAAGGAGGTAAACAACGAGTTTCTGGAGAGCAAAGTGTTTTTAGAGCTAAAGAATAACTTAGGAAGGTGCGGTATCTTCCTGCAGAACACAGTGGAGTGCTTTGACTCAATTGAGCAAATGCAGTTTATTTTTGAGTATGCCGTGGAGAACAATATGGACCGGATTGTTAAATATCTGATAACCAAGAGCAGGGAGAACAACGAAAAGTTTATACTGATCCTCATGAAGAAGCTTGAGAAAATAGTGGATGACGCAAGCGCAGACCACACAGAGTTCTTGTCCTTCGTGGCCAGCACAGTTGGTAGCTCGGACCTGTCTCTTCTTATAGTTATTGTTTTCCCGCTGGTGGGCGCGATGAACACGCACTTCAGAGTTGACGGGATTCGAGAGCTTGCCTCTAAGGCCTTTGCAATTGCCGCACCCTCTATGTGGATTCGCACACCTGTCCAGTGTCTTTCCTCAGAGCTGGAAGATGAAATGCACAAGGCGCAGAAAAGAGTCGACTCGCTGATGAAGCAGGATGACCTCTCTAAGGCCACCATGAATGTAAGCCTGCGAGAGTACCAGCAGAAGGGCGTGGAGTGGATTGGATTCCTACGAAAAAGCGGGCTGTCTGGCATGCTGTGCGATGACATGGGGCTGGGTAAGACAATACAGGTGCTTGCATTCCTTGCGCTGCATGAAAAGAACTGCGCTGAAAAGGGAGTGCTTGTCCTGTGCCCTTCTGCGCTGACAGGCCACTGGCACATGGAAATTGAGTCAAACTTTCCAACACTTTCTAGCGCTGGGATTGACGAGTTCACTGGAAGCGGGGTTTGTGTAGCATCCTTCGACAAGTTTAGAATGAACTACACAAAGTTTGTGCAGCACAGCTGGTTCTATCTTGTTCTGGATGAGGGCCACATAATAAGAAACTCGAACACTCTTCTGCACCAGAGAGTGAAGATGATAAAGGCAGAAAGCAAGCTGCTTCTAAGCGGTACGCCCATACAGAACACAGTTGGTGAGCTCTGGGCGCTCTTTGACATTCTTATGCCGGGATTCCTTGGGCGAGAGAAGGACTTCTCAAAGGAGTACATCAAGCCAATTGAAAAGGCCCGGGAGGGAAAAGGCACACTGCATGACGCAGAGATTGCAAAGATAAAGCTAGAGAATCTGCACAAATCGGTGCTTCCATTTATTCTCAGAAGAATGAAGGAGGCTGTTTTGTCCGACCTTCCTCCAAAGGTGATATCCGATATCTACGTGGAGCTTGAAGAGGTGCAGAGAAAGGTGTACGACGAGATATCTGTGGAGGGAGAATCAGGAGGCGAGTACGGAAAGACCACTGCCAAGTCAGGAAACTTCTCTCTTCTTTGCCGCCTGATCAAAACATGCTCGCACTTGTCGCTGCTTAGCGGAGATGAGGTGCCGCAGATCATTACCGGAAAGGAGAAGAACACAGCGCCATCTGGAAAGGTTCTTGCGCTTCTGGATCTTCTTAAGGTCATGGCCAACACCAGCAAGATACTTATATTCTGCCAGTACAAGGTCACAATTGACAGGCTTATTAAAGAAGTGGGCGCTGCTTTCCCAGAAGTTAAGTGGCTGCGCCTGGATGGCACTGTGAAGGGCGACGACCGGTCTTCTCTTGCAAAGAAGTTTAATGCAGACCCAGAGATAAGCATTATGTATCTCACCACGCACGCAGGAGGACTTGGCTTGAATCTAACAGGCGCAGACTCAGTGATATTCTTTGAGCACGATTGGAACCCAATGATGGACCTGCAGGCAATGGACCGTGCGCACAGAATCGGGCAGAAGAAGTCAGTTAATGTGTTCCGCCTGATCTCTAAGAACACAATTGAGGAAAGCATTATGTCCCTGCAGAGGTTCAAGAGCTATATTGCAAGCACTGTGGTTAACCAGCAGAACGTCGAAATTGAAAGCATGGACACATCCAATGCGCTTGAAAGGCTTACTCGAGAAAAGCTTCCAAAGGAGAAGACTTCGCGGGAGGAGGAATACCACGATTTTATATAATCCTATTCATCTGCTATATACTGAATAAAACACCGCCTTTAATTTGTTTATGTTAAATATTTGTGCGCAGTAGAAGAAAACGTCTTCATGCGCAGCCAGCTCTGGGCTGCTGCTTGCATTAATAGAAGAAAAAGACCCGATCTAGACCGTTTCATTAATGAACCACTTCTCTCTCCAGATGCAAAGAAACAGATGAGTTCACTGTTTCTATAATTTATCTAATCTTTCTTTTGTTTTGTTTGCGTATGACATAAGATAATTGGTTTTGTGAGATTTAATTCGCACTTCAATAACCCGAAATTGTTTATTTACAAACAATGCGGAGATTTGCGTTTGTTTCTGAACAGCCGCATGTCTCAAGTGAGGATCTAATGCGAAAGCATAGACATCCGATAAGCCCAACGGTATTTTCGCATGAGTATGAGAAACTACTTTCCGGCCAGGAACCGAATTTCTATTTTCAAGAAGAGACATGCCCTGCATGGGAAAAAAAGACGGCCCCAATCCGTATAACCCGTGTAAATGGGCTGGCTGACGACTTCTACAGCAGCCTGCTGGACTGGCAGGGAAGCACCATAGCCTTTGCCCTAGACGAAAGAATTTTTGTTCAGAACTTCCTAACAGGCAAAACATGCCTGCTTGCCAGGCTCAGCAATGCATATATAACGTCTGTTAAAATCTCTCCAAACAACAGCACTATCTGCGTTGGCACGTGCACAGGCGATATTGGCATCATCGATATGAATGGAAAGGTCCTTGCAAAGCGGCACTTACACAAGTCTCGGATTGGCGCTATGGAGTGGAATGGCAGGCAGGCAGTCACAGGAAGCAGGGACAGAACAATCAAAACAGTTGACTTTCGGGTACTTGAGGAGACACAAAGCATATCCCTGCACACGCAGGAGGTGTGCGGCCTGGCTCATTCTCCATCCAAGGACTATCTTGCAACTGGCGGTAATGACAATAAGGTATTTATAATAGACAACAGAACAAGCACGCCAATACACACGCTCTCTGCACACAAGGCTGCGGTGAAGGCACTTGGCTGGTGTCCGGATAAGATGGATACGCTTGCCACAGGCGGGGGAACAGCTGACAGAACAGTCAAGGTCTGGAATCTCTCCGGCGCAAAGGAGTGCATTATTGACTCAATTGACTATGGCTCACAGGTTTGCAACATTCGCTGGACAAAAAAGAACGAAATACTTACCACGCACGGATACACACAGAACGACGTGCGCATTTTGAACATGGCAAAAAACAAGCAGACGCATGTTTTTGAAGGGCACCGCAATAGAGTCATCCACTTTGGCATGAGCTCCGAGGAGGAGTACTTTGCAACAGGATCTGGAGACGAGACCGTCTGTGTCTGGCGCGCGCGCGAGAATGACCTGGCAAACTTCCCGGTGAGATAGCCAATCAGAGATGTTTGTTTGTTGTTTCACCAGTTTTAAATAAATTCAGTTTCACACATAACAATATGGACGCTAGCAAGAAGGCTGAAGATAGAAATAGTAAAAAATTTGATCTTTTGGATCTTTCAGAATACGACTACATCTACAAATCAGAGCCTGCATTTGAGCCTGACTTTAATTTTTCAATGACAAGCGAGGCCAAGTTCCCAGGCATGCCCTCCACCACATCTGCAAACAGATACTTCCTGGACGAGCAGTTTTCAGCATATGCGCAGCAGCAGCCCTCCGTGCAGCCAGACGTGCACCGGGTGAAGGAGAAGACAATTAACTACTTTAGCGCAAATGTTCCAAGACACAATCGCGAGGAAAGCTATCTCTCCTTCAGCGGTGCAGGCGATGCAAGGCACTCCCACAGAAATGAGTATGACTACTATGGGCAGGGAAGCGAGCATGCTGTATTTGTAAATGCCAACCAGTATCAGTACATCAAAAGAAGAAAGGAGAGGCGCGACTATCTGGATACGCTTGAGAAGAAAACAAACGCAGCATATCAGCACGAGAGCAGGCACAAACATGCTATGAAAAGGCCGCGCGCCCCATCAGGCAGGTTCCTTACAAAAGAGGAGGCTTTCCTGGAGGATCCTTTACGCAAAGAATAAATATGCTATCATATGAATTTTTTTAATGGGCATTATACTGGAGAATGATACAGTGCAGGACAAGCAGCTGGGCAATGCCATTCTGTGCTATCTGAACATCCCATACTTCAGGAACAACACATGGTATCTTGCGCTGTGGAAGAGGCTTTTTGAGCTAAAGCACTCTGCAGAGATTCTTTTTCTTATGCGAATGAAGGACATTGGGCTTCTCAATGCGTGGGTATATCTGCAGCTGCACGCGCATTTTCTTGAAAAAGGGTGTCTGTCCTGCGCACATGCCATTCTGGTTGAAGGCATCAAGGCGCAGGCGTATCCAATTGAGTCGCTAGAAGAGAAGGTGAACTACACAATACCAAAGGAGCATCCCTTGGAGGTGCCTGCGCGAATTCGGCTGTTTGGAAAAGAGTGGGTGTGCGTTGTAGAGTACGCACATCTAGCAAAAACACTCCAAAAAGAAGGAAGATCGGTGACCTACACAGAGTACAGAATTATACAGCATATTCGAAAAGAAAAAAGAATAGAAGAGGAGGAGACAGAAAAAGGCCTAAATGAAGTTTCTCTTATGTTTGGAAGCCTAAGAAATAGGTCTACACATAACGAGGCAGATCCATCAACAGAGAAAGAATCAGAGCTAGAGAAAGAATCAGAGCCAGAGAACTTGGCTGAAAAGAGCGAGTTATCTGACTATTTACCCAAGCGGCAAAAAACAAACCAGGTGGAAAATGCCCATATAGCAAGCACATATTCTGCAGAAGATCTCCTAGAGATCTCTAAAAAAGAGACTCATATGATTAAAGAATTCTCAAAGGAAGCCCCCGGCAGCGCAGATGGGAGTCCAAATAAGTCTCTCAATATAGGCGAGCTGAGTTTGGCATATACTGGCAGCATACAGGAGGTATATAAAGAAGCCTTTACAGAGATAACAGAAGGCCCAGATAAGGCAGATATTAATTCAGAAGAGTTCCTGATGGCTCCAGAAGAAGACGGATCTCCAGGTGAAGCAGATCTATCCAAGGCAATAGACATTGACATCTGCGAGAGCAAGAATGAGCTGTACAGCAAGCATGGTATTCTTCAGAACAGCACTGTATTTGGCAGCCCTATGGTAGGCAGCAAGCTTGTCATTCAGGAAATGCTCTACATTGTGAAGAAACAGCTTGGCGGCAGCTCTTTCCTGGCCACTCGCATAGCCAGCCTCGGAGACGGAAATGTGACCCTCAATGCGCGAGACTATGCACTGCGGTCTATCTCAGATATATCAGAGTATACAATATCCCGAGAGCTGGACAAGACAGAACACACTATTCCAATTGATCTCGCAGTTAAGTACTCTGACAAGCTCATTGTGCTTTCCGCATACAAAGAAATGGGAGCTCTAGACAAAGCACTGCAGCTCATTGTTGAGAAAACAGGGTACATCCCAGAAACACTTTCTGCGCATTATGTAAAAGAGGTTCTTGTAATAGGCATGTGCCTCCACAAAATAGGATATGACATATCGGCGTGCTCTCTAAAGGACTTTGTGCTTTCTGTTGAAAATGGAAAAATATCCATAAAGCTTGCAATGTACAAGAATGTTCAGTTAGGCAATGCATTTCCTGCACGCGCGTCAAAGATGGCTTCGCGCATTCTTGAAAACACCCGCATAGAAAACACACAATCCCTGCTTACACACCCGCTACCACTAGCCCAGTGGATATCAAAGCTCACCGCATACACCGCACAGAAAAAAGAAGCCTCTCTGCTCCAAAGCCTCTTCATTACACAGGAGGTCTGCATATATGAAGAAGCACAGCTAGTCTGAAAAGCCTTGGCATATATCCCACAGAACAGATACCGCATTATTAGGAAGTTTTCCAGCGAGAAGTGACGACTCTGAAGATATTGTTGTAAATAAATGGATATTAGACTATTACAAGCATCTTGCCCTCTTTTATCCATTTTCTATCTGCGCGAAGTATTTAGCCCATATATAGCTGTATTTGTTAAATATAAACAGGCCCACTATTCAGATGGGCTGTGCTGAGTGTATTTTAAAGAAAATATTGCTTACTAATAGCCAAAAATATAGGAAGATCAATAGGTGCTTTGCGAGAATTAAGCCAATTATATTTTGTAAATATCAGATGCACGCAGATAGCACTTATTGTTTAAAGAATATACACAGCCCAAGACACGCCCGCCTCAAAATACATTAAAGAATTAATTGCATGCAATAAGAAAAGCTTTACATTAAAAATACTTTAACTAAACAGAGTATATTTATAATTTGAATATAAGCTAGAGGCTGCAAAAATACTAATCATCCAAGTTACATTAAGAGAAATCAGAAACTGCTGCACTCTGACAGTACAGACATCTTCTGTGCTGCTTCATCAGATATGTCTTAAGGATATACAGTATACGCGTGAGGGAACGGATGGGCTTAGTATATTGTGATCCCTTGTGGTCTAGTGGCTAGGATTTCGCGTTTTCACCGCGACGGCCGGGGTTCAATTCCCTGCAAGGGAACTCTTTTTTGGGTCTTTTGCTTTCTACCTCTCTAGTAACTCTCTCTGTGCCTTTGCGCGCTTTCATTTTTATTTATCCATTATGAATAAACCAATGTCCAGTCTGCAGAGAATGAATTCCTGTACTATTTTATTTAAAGCTTGCTTGTATATGCATGCAGAGCGTCCTTTTGTATGCAGCTGGTTGGATTTAGGCTGTTAAACTCCTTTTTATTGGCACTTTATAGCTTTAGCTAATGCCTCCTCACCAATTGCAAAGAAGTTTCTCTTTCCATTTTTCTGTGTAGTTTTGCTAATACTGTGTGCATAGTTGTGCAAGTACTACTACTTCTCTCTTCTTATGTACAAACCAGTGCCTCTGTTGAATAAATGTTAGACAAGCATGCTGCTCTAATATGAAAGATGCGCTCCTTTGTATACGGAAATGGCAGTGCATGCCGCTGTATTTCTATCTATAGCACATTTAGAAAAATGCACAGTCGCACTCATGCGCACGTGCACGTGTCCTTAAATAGGTGCAAAAAGAAACAATAGAACCCAGACAGTAGAAATAGAATATTTTATTATTCAGCAGCTGCTCTGGCGGCCTTCTTTGCAGTTCTTCCAAGCTTGGCGCCCATCAGTGCAGAGTTGGGTGAGATCTCTATGTATCCTTCGCTCTCGGCAGCAACAATAAATCCTGGCTTGTCAACAATAGCACCGTTTACTGTTATGTGTCTCTGGTAGATCAGAACACGTGCGCGGTGAATGCTCTTTGCAAGGCCTAGGTTCATTACCATTGTCTGGAGTCTTCTGTTGAGCAGAGCTGTGATGTTTAAATCTAGAACCTTCTCAAGCTCGGTAATAATAGACTTCTTGGACTGGTAGTTGATTCCAGTGATGAGGCCCTGCTTCTCTAGTCTGTGAAGCAGTGCTCTTCCCTGCACCATCTGGTAGTCTTCGTCTGTGTGTATAAGAAGATCCTTTGCTCTTTTCTTTACGTCGTGGAATATCTTCTCAAGCACTCTGAGTTCTCTCTTGGACTTTAGCCCATACTCTCCTACGTACTTCATCTCGTTAATAAGCCTTTGCTTGTCGAATGGTCTTCTTACAGAGCCAGCTCTCTTTGAAAATGTTGGTCTTGCCATGCAGGGGATTAAAAAAGAAAAATGAAAATACAGTATGTTATAGTGAGAAGAGACACAGAATTCACGCACGGAGCAACCATAGCACAGGCCGTGCACGCAGTAACACTATGCCAGCACACACACTTTGACAAAGACTACCTGGAGTACTGTCGAGAGGGATTTGCCATGCGCACAGTCATTCTCCAGTGCACACAAGAAAACATGCCAGAAATAATAAAAGAACTGCAGGAAAGGAAAATAAAGCACTGCGTATGGCGCGAGATGCCAGAAGACATTGAGACTGCAATAGCTCTATATCCGTACGAAAAAGACCTTATAAAGGCAATACCCGCCATAAGAAAGCTTAAGCTGTACTAGCACAGAAAGATCACACAATAGTGCGCCTACATGAATAAACAGCTCTGCATGCGCATGCCTCTGTCTTATATCCCTTTGCTACTTATTTTCACACGCTGTATATCTAGTGTGTACTCTGCACAGAGTCTACACAGACTAATTCTTGATTTAGACAAAAATCAAATCACGGGGGATAAAGAAGTACACAGGGAACAGACAGCCCGATATGAAAGTGGGCAATATCATAATGCCTGCGCTGCCAGCCGTATTTAGCAATATATTGCAATAGGCTTCTTTGCAGCTAAAATTCTAAGTTTAACTAAATTTTAAATTTTATTCCCCCAGCAATGAGAAGCAAGGGATATAGATCTAAGACAAGAAGTGTGTTCAAGAAGGACTACGATCAGTCAAAAAGACCACAGACAACCACCCTCCTAAACCAGTACAAGAGAGGTGACTACGTTGACATCAGCGTTGACTCAGGTGTACACAAGGGAATGCCCCACAGAACTTTTGTTGGAAAGACAGGAAGAGTATATGCTGTCTTCAAGACTTCCGTAGGAATTGCCTTGACAAAACAGTGCGGAAACAGCCTTGTTGTCAAAAAAGTAATTGCAAGAATTGAGCACGTTAGACCCAGCCAGTGCCAGAAAGAAAAGATTGCTAGAGACGAGTACAGAGCAAAGCATGGAGTTGCTCCACCAAAGCCACTGCCAGAAGGCGCAAGGCCAGCATTCACCATCTCCCTGGAATCCAACACTCCTGTGGTGCTAAAGTCAAACTCACACTTTGCCCGATAAGTGGGTGACTGTCTTTATATGATAGCTAATATTTATCAATTTACAATAAAGGATAGCAGCCTACATCTGTCTTTCTGTTCTCTGGGTTTTTTCTTGCATAGTGTGCAAGCAGAGATGCAACGTATACAAAATATTCTATTATTTATTAGTTGTGTGCAGCTGCGCGGCCATGTATGGCGCATCGATGCCTTTGCATGAATGTGCTATTTACGGAATCTAAGGATGATAATAAGAGCGAAGGAGGCAAGCAACACGCTGCGCACAGACAGCGCACTCATCAGCTCCTCTGCACCCTCGCTAAACAGACGAAGAATGATTTTTCCAAGCTCCTGCCGAATAGGATCCTGCGTCATGCACTTTTCCCACACTTGGCACTGCTTTTCCATTGCAGGAACACGCTCTTCTGGACTGCACCTATTTATTCTGTACTCTCGCGCACAGTCTGCTATCTGTGTTTTTTGATCAATTATTGATGCATTAATACGCACCTCTATGTCGTTCTTTAGCATTACTGCTCCTTTAATCAATAGAAGAACAACCAGGCCTACCACGAACGCATTAAATATAAGACTTAAATACGCCTGCAATACTAAATTGACCTTTAGAAGCCTCTCATGATGGGGCACGCCAGGCTGGCACTCTGCTGGTACATCTGCCTGCGGCCTTATGATGGGCCTTGCAGCAAAAACTTGGTCATCTGCCTTTCTTTTTTTCGGGTTAGAGAAGGTGAAAAACGTATATGGCTGGGTCTTGCTTATAGGCCTCCTCTGCTCCTTCCTTCCCCAGTTTATATCTATTGGAGCTGTCATTTAAAGAAAAAATTTATACCCGGTAATTAAATTTATTCCTTCTAAAGCGCACGCTGTTGCAATTTAATTATTCTACCAGAAACTAAATGGATACTTTATGTATATAGTGCTTTCGTGGCTGCTCTATTGTAGCACCCTCTGATTTAAGTTTGTGCTTTTATAGGTATGAATGAGTCAACAGAGGAACATTTCACTTCTAACCACCTTACAATTCACTTCTTTTTGCAGTATTCGCGCAGGCAAACTGTCTTGAGTTTGCTCTGCTGACCAGCCTGCACAAACCACTTTTAAATTTATGCATTACTGGGCTACTGGTTCAAAAATACTTACGTCTTTAGACAGAGCCATAAAAGGTCTCAACAGAGGTGCTGGATAGATAAAAGTAAATGAAACTGTTTTTATTGCTTTTTCTGCAGGATAAACCACTTATGCATGCATCTTTGCAAATCTTTCTTGGAACTGTATAAGGGTGCCCAGCACAAATGGTGTGCAAATTGAGGTTGGCTCGTACTCCTTGTAGTAGGCTGCCAGTTGCGTAAGAATATCCTCCACGTTCTTGAGTCTGCGCCATAGCTCAGTCTCCCCCACACCATTTTCCTTGATGATCTGCTTCACATTCTGGTCTGTAAAGTATCGCAGAATATAACTGTTCTTCTTGGTGTACAGATATGGAAGAAGTAAGAAGGAGTGGGCTATTGGCGTGTAGTGCACTTTCTCTGGAATAAGATCCATCAAGACCGTCTGTTTCTTCTGCATAAACTCCTTGCTTGCCTCAACCGACTCCCGATAGTATGTTGCAAGCCGCTCAAATATGGCAGGGTTTATGTCTTTAAGACAAGGAAGCTTTGACATCTTTGGAAGGGGGTGGACCTCAAAGATAAAGGCAATTAGATGCACAATGTTCTTATATATTTCCTCCTTGTCAATTTCTTGTTTGCATATTGTTTCCAGGAACCCTTCATTTACGAGTGACATAAGCACAAAGGCCTCTGACCCGTACGAAAGTGTGTTCAGCGCCATATCGCACAGCCCAGATGTGTGTGCAAGTTTCTTAACAAACCCAGACTTTTCTCCCGCCAGCTCATTGTTTTGGAGAACCTCTGGCGAAAGGAACATTTTGTCAACCAGATACTTCTTCTGCGCATTCAGTATCTTCTGCGTGAATTTTTCAGCGGCCATTCCATCCACTGCTTTTAGGGACTCCTCGGGATAGGAGAGCGACATAAGAGGATACAAGAGAATGCTCTCCACTGTTGAGCTCTTCACCGTTGGTCGGGCAGACTGCACTGCAAGAAGACTTGTGTATGGATATGTTCCCTTAATGCGCGGCAGATACGATGTGATAAGACTCCGCACCTTCTGCTTTGGCACACCAAAGAACACTACATTGCCTTGCGTGTCATATCCTCTTCGCCCAGCTCTTCCTGCCATCTGCTTAAAGCTCATTGAGTCCAGATGCAGGGAGTCTCCTGCAAACACTGCAGTTCTGCACGGCATGTTTATACCAAGCGCAAGTGTGTCTGTTGCAAACACCACCCGCAGCTGCTTCATTCGGAAGAGAATTTCGACCATGTTTCTGTACTTCTTTGGTATTCCGCTGTGGTGCACTCCAATTCCTCGATACAGCGCCTGTATCAGACGTGGATCAATTCGCCCTGTCTTTCGGAGTGACTTTGCATACTCATCCAGAAGGTATGCACCAGAGGAAGCTATTGTAGGGTCTGTGAAGCAGAACCGAGGGTCCTTGGCGTTCAGATCAATTGTTCTTCCTGCTATTTCCTCTGCTGCCATGGACTCTCCGATCCATGCATCCTTTCCTGATGCAACAGTTGCATCTCTTGCCCTTCTCATCTCCTTAAGAACCTTTTCGTTCTCTCTGAGGTCTGCCTTGGTCATTGCTGGAGGAGCACACTTTTCAAAGTTCTCCAGCTCTTCAGAAAGCCGGATTGCCAGCGCATTACACACAGTTCTCTCAAGGTTGAACACAATGCACGGCAGCTTGTTTGCAGCCTCCAGCTCAACGGTCAAATCGAGAATGTTGTCCAACAGATAGTCTATGTTGTACAGCAGGATGTCTGGAGACACCTCTGTCGGGTTCAGCTCCATCTCAGATATCTCTTTTGCTAGGCTCTCCTCATCCTGTGCCTGGTCTTCCTTTGCACTGTACACTGGCTGCTTGGCCTTGTTCTGAAGCAAAAGGGTGCCTGGCACTGGCGTGTTTGCAATGTATGCATTCAGCTGCTTTTTAAGACCGTCCTCTATCTTCTGGAACCCCTCCTTTGCGTCTCGGATGAGAATCTCGTATATCTTTGTGACCTGCTCTGGCTCCAGTGTATTTGTCTTTATCATGTCCCTGAATGTGTTAATCACATGTTTCTCGTACTTCTTCACATCTCCTTTTGTTATGCAGTTTGTTTTGAAGAACCTCTTTGGCCGGAACTCCTTCACAAGCGACTTCTGGTCTTTCCTGAGCACTGCAAAAATCGCATAGTATAGATTCAGCAGCTCCTCTGGCAGGAAGTTCACATCGTCACTGAACCCCTCATCCTTGATTCCTCGGAACGAGTATGCGAACAGCGAGTGGATTGGAGCAATTGACTGCTCTCCTGCCGCACGCGTTGTCTTATGGCAGGTTTCAAGAGTAGTGAGCTTCTTGGGAACAAAGATGTAGTTCTTTATCTCGCAGTACCTCTCTTTGTGCTCAATCTTGTGGCATGTTCGGCCCTTTTTGCTCTCCACCTTCTGCACCCACTTATAGAACTCGTCTAGATTTCCAAGCGTTGCACTCAGGAGAAGAAGAGCGCACGGACTGAAGTGTATGATCTTCTCCATGCTTGGCCCCATTTTGTTGTCGCTGATCTTGTGCACCTCGTCAATCACAATGTACTTCACTCTGTCCAGATATGGATGCGCCTTTTTGCTTTGCTCTGGCGGCATGCTAAGGATTTTTTCCAGGACATCTGGCACCGTGATGAGAATCTGGCAGTTGAAGGGCGATATCTGGAAGTCGCTCATACATATACCCTGCAGAATGTTGTTCTGCTTGATGTATGGCTTTGATCCAAATCTCGCGTACACATCTGCTGCCACCTGGTTCACAAGAGCCTTAGTTGGCGCCACAAAGATCACAATGTCCTCGTTGCTTTCCCTAAGGATCTTTTCCATTGCGTAGTAGCAGATAAAGGTCTTACCTGATGAGGTGGGCGCACAAATCACTGCACTGCTGTTGCTATCCACTATCTCCAGAAGGTCCCACTGCCACTTGTCGGGCTCAAACAGAAGACGGGGGTCCGGCATGGATCCAAGTGACCTCTTCAGCTTGTCTCCTGCTGCACGCATAAGGAACGAGATGTCATAGTCATTTGGCTCCATTGTGGTTGCTGGATCAAAGAGCACGCTCACTGGCTCGCTTCCATTATATATCTTTGTGCACGCGCTGTCTCTCTTGTTTACATAGCTGATCTGGTACTTCTCGCACATCTCCAGAACAGTGGCTCCGAACCCCTGGTCCAGCATGGCCTGCATCACATACTGCAGCTCCTCTATTGACGCCTCTTTGCTGTACTTCTCAATAAAAGTCATGCAGTCCATGTACAGAGAGACAAGATCCTTCTCACTTGGCCTCTTCTTTCTCTTCTCAAGACTCCACAGCTCGCTGTAGAACTCAATTCTCAAAAGATACACCTTTCTGCAAATAAAAGACGAGTGGGCCCGCGCGAGGAACGACTCCAAGTGTCTTCTCTTCTCGTACGTGGCTGAAAACGACTCGTACTTGGACAGGAAGCTGCGCAGGAACGCAATGTCCTTCTTCTTTCCCTCAAGCTCCATCTGCTTTTTGTTTTTCTCTATGATCTCCAGCTGCTTCTTTCCTATCTTTTCTTTCACCTCCTTCTTCTTTTTTGCTTTCTCTGTTACTAGCGTGATTGGGTTGTGCAAGTGCTTTCCCTCGTGCAGTGACTGTGCATTCTTTTTCAGGCTTTCAATGTACATCTGCTCCGTTCGGAAGCTTCTCTCCTGCTCCTCGTTGTAAAACCGCACAGACGCCATTGTTGTTGGAATAAAGTCATTTTTCTTAATTTCTTGCTCCTGCTCCTCGCTGATTGTGTCTTCTGCTGCAAGCTTCTGTTTCTCTTCCGCCTGGTCTTCTGCAAGCAAGCATCCATCTATTACATCCTTAACGCTGCAAATAGCTGCATCCTGAAGTGCCTCACTAACTGCACGCACCATCTCTTTACTCACAGGAGCACTGTTCTTCGCATATCGCGATATAATGTCTTTCTTCTGCAGACTCTCCTGAAGCCTCTCATACTCCTTGTCTCCCAGATGCGCTCGCACGGCATCCTTTACTCTATTAACAGCCTCCTCTGCGCATCCCACAGCTACCTTCTGTGGCGCATACTCTTTCGATACATAGCCCTCTGCCCACAGATACATGGAAGGGCTGATCACAAACATAAGCAGCCGGGGCGGTCTGAATGTCTCCTTGTTCAGCACTGCTGCATATAAAGAGAACCCCAGAATGGTATTTAGAAAGACCAGTGACTCTCTGTCATCATATCCTACTCCCAAGCAGATGTGCTCCTCCTTTATGAAGCTTTTAAACTCCTTGTCCTGCAGAGAGTGGAACCAGATGATTTTGAGAGACTTGCTTTTCTCCAAGCACGCTGCTACCTCCTGCATGCATATCCTTCTCTCTGGCGCAATCTCCTCCTTCTGGAATAGCACTAGATATGAGTCTTTGAAACCAGAGGCCTGCAGGCTGTGTCCCACTGTCTCGGCAATTACGCTCAATAGATTCAGTGGCAATGTGTCGCTCTGAATGTTATATATCTCTTCAATGTATTTGTACAGCGAATGTGCATTTATGATCATCTTTCCAATACCCACAAATGACTCACTGACATCAACCATTTGAGATGGCATACTTCTATACCAATCTGTGTATATTTCTTTCATTTCTTTTGTCATGGGTAAAATTATTCTAAATACTTTATGATTTACTTTAATATTTCTGCACACTGCCAATATGCAGCTCTTATTGCAGTCCTAATCTAAAGCTGTTTGACTAGCCATATGGAAATACATGGTGCATCCCCAGAGTGTGGTATGCAATCATATAATGCCACTATATATTCTTTGTCTATTTCTTCACTGAGTAACAATTTGTCTGTGGATGTGTGCGGAACACTTCTCTATTTGATAGAGCCTGATAAACACACATGTTCTATTGAGGACATTTCTTATATATTGATTGGTTTGTGAGTATTCTAAAGACATGTCTGGATATACACTGGGCTCTTGGTAACAGATGTTTTTCTGCTTCTTTGAGTAGCCATATATGGCTTTGAAGTGTTTCTTCTATGTTTTATTGCATGTATAAGATTTTCTTGCTTTACTAGTATTCGAATAGTGTCTGAGCTCTAGCTAGCCACTGCTTTAATTTATTCAAATATTTTTGCTGCACCTCTACACTTAGTGCATCTATTTTAGTTTTAGAAATAAAGACACTGGGTTTTTGCAATACAAGCACACATATCAAGTGTTTCCATTATATAAAATAGAAGGAAAGCTATGTAGTTATAGATATGGCGTGGATAGCAGGCCTGAAATTATTTGATTTGTACACAGTCTACTACAATCCTTCATAAAAGTGCTACAATGACTATTTAAATCCATTTTTATAGATAATACTTGTTTTTTATTATACTAATATAAACTCTTTCATTTTGTGTGTCTTATATTAAAGTGCGCCTAAAATACATATTACTCTCTAACTATTAGGAAATAAAATAGAAAATGAAACGAATTGCTCTTATAATAACACCCACTTGTTAACTTTAATCTATCTCTATTGTCTCAGTGTCTTTTCCCATTCACTGCCAGATACAGATCTATATATCAACATATGTGCTTTTTCTCTGAATAACTGCACTGATATACGCATCTGTACAAAAATGTATCTCCATAACCCTGAAATCTGTAAAATAATTCTTCTCTAAAGAACTTTTATAGCCAAATATTCCACACTGCAAATAAATATCTGCAGCTACTATTTCTTCTATTACTTGGTTCTATATACCAATGCGATACCTATTGTCTTTATTTGTACGTAACTAGGCATATACCTTCTTTCTCTATGCCCACATAGTCCTCTTCTTGTTTATGCACTTATAAGCACTTCTTCTCTGTGCATCTGTCCTTTTCTCATGCTATACACCATTTGGTGTTCGTATGCTATATACCTCTCTTTCATTGATATTATTGCTAAATGGCATCATATCCGGCCTTTCCTTATGGGGCCCTTTAAAATCTGCATGTTAGATGATTTATTCTGCCTCTCGCTTAAAAAAAGAAATAAAGCCGTATAGTTCCCCTCCATACTTGTAAGCTTTTATTTTATTTAAAATTTACTCTTAGACAGGATCAATTCGGCATAAACTTTTATTAAAAAACTTATTGTTAAAGAAGGTAATAGAAGACAAACAGGAGCTAAGATCATAAGAACCAGCAAAGATAGTCTTACAATAAAGTATTAAAGGACTTATTTTCTATTGTGGGCTGATACAGTTTGTTAGACAGAATAAGAAAATATAAAGCTATTATATGCTTTATTTTAATTAAGTGGATCTGCTATACCTTAGAACCTCTATAAAGTACATTGTATATTGCATATGGAAAGCTTTAGTAAAGAGCTGCATTTTTATTTTCTGTTAAACAAGTATACTTTTTTGCGAGTATATGCATTTAAATAATTGCATTTTATCTGCAATAGAGACTTATAGAAACGATCAATATTACTGGAAATGTGCTAATACTGATACATAAATATACAAGAGTTCAGAAATAGCAAGGTACATATCTACAGAAAAATTGTTCTCTGCAAAAGAGACTGCCCAGTAAATAGCCTAAAGAAACGTATAAGAAAATTAATTAATATTTTTTAGACACATTCTATATGCTGTGTGCATATGTAGGATCTCTGCTAGAGGGCAGTATGAAGGCATGGGCTTGCAGATGAGTTTGTAGATGTAATTGGTAGACAATATGCCCATAAAGAAAAGGATTTATAATTAATGTAGAACATTCTTTTTTTATTTACAGATGCCACAGAGAACAACACTTTATGTTATTTACATGCCATACACACTCAAGGAGTACAACGTAGGACAGCTTCTCACCACATGCAGAGTGAGCGAGAGAGAGGCAAATAATGGAATGCGGGTGACTGTGCTGGAGAACAAGGCGGTGGAAAGTGAAGAGACAGCAGGCCCATGCCAATACACATCAAAGGTAATTGATTTTTCTAAGAAAGTGCAGTCGTTTCTCAGAAAAATAGCACCAAGTGGCTCGCTCACAATGAGCGAGAAGTCGCACAACGCATTCCCAGTATGCAAAACAGTGTACACAAGCGGAGCCCTTTCTGAAAAAAAGTTTAAAGCAAGAATTGACACACTGTTTTTGGAGGGGCATAAGGCACCCATTGACCCATTTTCAGACGGCATTATTTCAGAGAACTGCGAGGTGCTGGATCTGGTCTATGGCCAGCAGATGTGCGAAGGCATAGACTTGGCAACTGTGAAGGGTGATGATGGAAACCTTTTGTTTAAAGAAGGGTGGGAGAAAGAACACACGCCAGTGATGACAATTTTTAAGCGAGTGCATATTGACCTACACATTCCATTTATAGGATGGAAGTACATCGAGGATGTGGACAAGTTCATGAGAAAAATGTTTATACAGGGACATCAGGAGGTAATTAAGTATCACAGCGAATGGAAGGACATGGACATGGATGGAGTTCGTGAAGAGGAGGCGAAAACAAAAGCAGCGCTTGAAGCAAAGTACCCGCCTAAGGGAAAGTAGTTAGATATCCTTTAAAAAAGAATTGCCGTTTATCTCAATAAATTCATTAGTCTGGTTAATATAAAGTGTTCCGCTGTCTCCTATTGTTATTTGTTCTATTGTAAATATCTTTTTAAGAATATAAAGAAATTCCTCTGTCTTCATGCAGAAAGGGATTTCTCCATTTAAATAGTGGTGTAAAGTTTATTCTATGCACAGAAAGACAGAAGCTAATTTATATGCTGTGCCAAAAGTTAGCTAATTGTGCGCAGGAGGGCATACTTAGAAAGAATGTACTTATGCTAGGCAGTGCGGCCTGGCCATATTGGCAGTATGTGGAGGACATAGTATGGGGTTTGCAGAAGATGCACTAAATACAGAGTTACTCCATATTATATGGGGATGTTCGGATGTTGTAGAAAGTATTCGCAGAGCGCCTGTGCAGCTTCCATATTTCTGAGACAAGAGCAAACATCTGATTTCGATCCTTTAAGGCAAGCGATATCTTGTCCAGCACACGGGCAAGCGAGCCCACGTCCTCAGTAAATGCAGGGATGTTCTCGTGCAGATACAGAAGAACTTTAAATGGAGAGTCCTCTATAGCTGTAATAACCTCCATAGGAACTTCGCTTGTTTTGTGGTAGAGTATCTTGCCAATCATATGAAAAAAAGAAATGCTGCCGCACTCTGTCTCTAGTAAGGTGCTTTGTATCCCAGCAGGCGCCCTCTGTGCCTGCAGAATGCGGTGCATGGATGTTTTGTGCATTGCAGACGGGCAGTATTTCCGAACTGTCCGGAGTGTTGGCGAGGCCATTTTTATGTGCTCACATGCTTTTATCTTTCGGTAGAAGTATGGATTTTCGGTTTCAAAAATAATTCCTCTGTAGTCGCGCTGTTTGATGCGCATTCCATCGCCAACCCGCAGAAGATAGATGATGGCTTTGCTAATTCGGTACGTTTTGTATTCCTCAATGCTGTCAATCTCGGTCAGCTTGTATTCCGTGTCTTGGAGGACTTTTCGAATTAGCTCTGTCTTTCCACAGCCTGCAGGCCCGGAGACGACAATGGAGGACGTTTCCAACTGCTTCACAGCAAGTGCCAGCTTTTTATCCATATGATAATTATTTATAAAATTAAATTTCTTAACAAAGAGATAAGGTTTACTAATCATAAATAAATAGCAAAATCTAGATATATTCCATGGACAAACTCATTCAGGGAGAAATTTCAACACTTAAAATTAGAAAGACAGAGCCCAGGTCGGAAACAATCTTCGGGACAATAAGGAGCGAGGACGAGTGCATGAAGATAATAGACATGTCACGCCTTGGCGCTTTACCTATGATAAAGTCCCGGCTTTCTGATGCAGAGAGAAATTCAATTAGGCCTGGCAGCATATATGTGTATGAGGAGGGGGAAAGCGGGATATCCCGGTGGACAGATGGCAAAATATGGTCTACCTCGAAGATAAGTGGGAGGTGTCTTCTCTACTACGAGCTTATAGAGACATCATACGACTCACGCCTGGAAAGCCTCAGCTCTACACAGTGCCTAGAGAACATACTCAAGCTTGGGAAAGAAATAATAAGCCTTTCCAAGGACGAGAAGAGAATACCAAAAAAACACGGTCTTATAAAAATGACCACATCTCTAGTGTACCAGAAAAAAACATACCACATGCTTGCGTACTTTACTGAGAGCTTTGCTAAACACCATACGAGGTCTTCAATATGGGATAGAGTGGCGGCATGGGAAATACCAAGAAACCTTGTGCTGCGCATGAACTACCGAAGAAAGAGAAAGCATATCGATCTGCAGCCTGCGGAAAGCATCAGGCCAATCAAGTTAAGAGCAAGAAACGAAAATAGATCAAACTCTCTTCCAGCATACAGTACAGTAAGTAACGATGATGTGATAGAGGTATCAAGCGAGTTTCTAGAGAGTTGTTATTTAAAAAGAAATGATTTTTTTTCGTTCTAAGGCTGGGTAGCCGTGTAGTGCATATCTGCAATATACCTTAATAAAGATTTGCATTGTAGTTAGAAGCTCTTCACGCAAGTATATTTTTTCTTTAGAAAGAATTATTCTGTACAAAGTATTTTGTGCAGGCCACTATACAAGCTATGCTGGCTTCTATTGTATGGAGTAGCTTGCTTTTTTAGAAGGCTTTTCTTTTATATACGCATAAATATCAAGTAAAAGAAAGAAGTAGTGTTTTTATTTAGACAAAATGGACAGAGCGAGTATTTGAAACATTGAAATGATTCTTCTGCTATCAACTACACACGAAATAGTGTAGACAAGAGGTCTTTCAAAAAAGATCATCTTGCATAAGTAAATATATATGGACGAGCATAAAGGTATGCTCTGTAATATATACATTGATATTTATCGCAAAATTACATGATGCAATGGATGGAGAAAGGATGTAGTCAAGAGAAAAAAGCATAAGAGCTTAGTTTATAATTTGCAGAAGATTGAGAAATCTGCCAAACAGCTTTGTATTCTATGCAGAGTTTATTTTCTGGAATGCATTTTCTTTCCATAATAAAAATGACTATTTGTTTAGTCCCCATGCATATGTATGCATAGTTCTTTAAATGGAAAGATGTGCAGGTAAATTTATGAATTTCATTCATCAAGTGGTTTATCGGTAAGTGTGAAGTCAAAATGATCCCAGAAGCAATTATATATAGATAGCGCGGCAAAATTATATTATTGACATCAGGGTATATAAAATACGAATAGTATAAAGAGGGAGTTATATGCAGTAGTGCCAATCACATAGAATAAATAGATTTATCGCGCCAGGGTTCCCTCTAGCGAGTATTTTATTTGGGGGCTGTGTATCTGTAATATATATGTGTTTTTATTTCTTCTATGCATCTGGTATAATCTCAATGTAGTGGGAGCACGTCATGCACTCCACAGGGCCAATCTGATCGGTATCTGTGTAGATAGTTCCACACCGGCATTTTACATCCTTGGCATTACTTATTTCAACAACCAAGTATGGAAGGCTGTCCCAGTCAACATTTGTCTGCTGGATGTGAGGGGTAACGAGAATCTTTGCATATGCCTCCTTTATTCGAATAAACTCGGCATCTGTGTCATGCCGTGTCATGTCTGGGTGGGTCTTTTTTACTCCCTGTATGTATGCTCTTTTAATTTCTTTTTGCGAGGACTCTTTTGAAACGCCCAGTACAACATACGGACACTCCATGATTGAAAAAATTGTTTGTTTGTTTGTTTACTATTGAGTAATTCCTATGCAATGCACTAAGACACATGAAACATTGCAAGAGAGTAGAGTATATAAGGAAGTGAGACAGGGACCATATGAAAGTCATTTGTTTGGTCATGCTAATATTGGCTTCTGTCGCGAGGTGCTATTTGGAGCAGGAAATGAGTGAGAATAGATTTCTGACTACAGTTCCTTTAAAGACATTCTTCTTTATGAGAAGGCTTTCTCCATACAGCAGCAAGCTGGACAGGCCACTGCCAATGGGAGCGCACAAAAGAATTGATTCCGAGGAGAAGTTTTCACCATTCCATTCTGTTTTTGTTATAAGGAAGCAGAAGAGCCTTGGCGAGCCTATTCACTCTCTTTCAGAGAGACTAGAGCACGGAAGAGCTGAAAGAATGGAGTCAGCAGAGTCCTTTATCAAAGACTTCTTGGTTTCGCACATGCAGCATCTGAACAGCTTTGAAAGGCCCAACCAGTTCAACACGGAGAAGATATATAACGATATCTACAATAAGAAGAACTATCCAGGGCACAGACACAGCAAGAGACCTGCTCTGCCCAGCAAAGAAATACTTGGAGACGAGATTGATGCCATTATTGCGAATGCAGCAAAAGAAATCACCCCAAATCTAGAAGAAAATGAGAACGAGAATGCATCATTCAAAAAGAGCATTAGAAGAACAAGAAGGGACGTTGGAAAGAATCTCAAGAATGCACGCAGCACCATTGAAAAGAAAGTTAAGATTAATTGGCTTACCATTCTTATTTTCGTTATAATTGGAGTGATTTCTGGATTTGCAGGGTACTCACTTCGAGGAAGAACATCAACTGAGCACTATGTTCCATTAGAAAAATAGTCTGTATACATGATATAACCATAATTGAGTTAATTAGCAAGCATGCTGAGGAGGATGCAGGTATATATATATACTTGGTAGAAGCGCATAGGGGCGCAGTGCCATATTCACAGGGGTGAAGAAGGCAGCAAGCATACAGATAAATAAATCTATAGTGAACATATTTAATATTTAAGCTTATGCGCCGTATTCCTAGGAATAGCATAGAATGGAATAAGACAGTATTCTTCAGTCTAGATGACAATACTGAGAGGGTATCTAAGAAGCACTCCAGCTTTGATCCAAGATAAACAAAATTAAGCAGGCTTCCATCAAGCTGCAGTTTACCGAATACATACAAACTATCTGTACATGCATGCTTAATACATGCTTTTGTAAAATAGTACAAGAAAAGACTAACTTTCATATCTGCTGAATGCAGAAGAAAAGCAACAGATGCTCTGCGCCTGATTTACTCCAATAAATGCCTATTTAGACAGAATATAAATAGCTCCTGCTGTTTCATCCACTACGCACATACATAAACACGGCTGAAGATTCGCAGAGGGCATAGAAAATGCATTATATATTTTCTACAATAGTGAATGTGCTGTTTTATATATGCGCACAAGTTTGCATATATAGCGCATGTTTCCAGCCCGCTCTTTTCACTAGAGCGATTTGTGCAGTACCTTACTTTGAAACTTTTCAAGGTAAAAATTAAATGATTGTTGATGTAAATAAAGAAATAGAATGGTAGTGCAGGAGAAATTACAGAGCGTACAAGTTATTTCAGGGGAGGTACAGAGAAAGGTGCGGGACTGGGAGATTCAGATTATTGCAAACAGTGCAGGAAAACACCTCCGCTCTCTCTGCGACACCTATTTTAGAATAGAAGAGTCTTCGCTTAAAGATGAGCTAAGAGAGAGGATTTTGCGAAGAGAGGCTTTTTCTGAGAATACAATTTACACAGCATACACAAAAGAAAAAGAGGAGGAAGTATCCAGTGTAAACAAGCAAGAGGAAGAAAGTCTGCCAGAAAAGAAGGAAGACAAGTTGGTTTCCCTTTCTGTAGAAGAGCTCGATAAAATTGAGCCTTTTTCCCACAAGGGATGCGAGATTGTAGAAGTGCATGAAAAAGACCCTGTTTCAAATGGCAGCAATGGAGACATAGAGGCCAAAATGCAAATTGCAAGGGAGCTACGGAAGCAAATAATGGAGAAGAGCATATATATAATTGACATGGATGCGCTTGAAAAGCTACACTGGCAAGACATCATAAGCTATTTGCTTGATGTGGTAAAGACCACGGGATACATGCCAGCTGTTGCTAATCGCAAGCAACATCGAAATCTTGTTTGCTTCAACTGTGACAAAAAAGGGCATATTGTTAAGAACTGCCCGAACAAGGCAACAAAAAAGCAAAGGCCATCTTAACAATATAACGCTATTTAGGGATATCAAATAAAGAAATACTTCTTTTTATAGCATATAGTTTCTAACCATGCATATTTAACTATTTATAGAAAAATGTGTTATTTTGTGCAGCCTCTAGCTTAAAACTAAAAATACCAAAGTACTACACAGCATTAAGAGGGTTATAAAAGAGGTTAAGAATTAGAGCAGAATAGATCTTATGACCTTGTGTTTCAAGGCTTTAAAGAATTAAAGGGCGCCTCTATGAACGTAGGCCTTAGTATATTGGCAAAGACAAGAGATTTTCTGCTTTTACAGCACTAAATTCGAACTCTGCTCGAGTTGCGCAGTGCAGCACAGGCTATTTAGCACAGAGCCTCTATTCTAAGTATAAAATTTAAAAACTTTGGAATAGTCTGCAAATGCATAAGCCATACTCTGAGTTTATAGAGAGGGATAGCAAAATGTCTCTGCAGCGAATGATATACATCGCACTCCAGAGCCTCACGGAAAAGGGCATACAGGAAGGGCTCTTCAGAGGAAGCAAAACTGACCTAAGCATGCGCAGCATATACAACAAGCTCTTTCCTAGCACACACAACTCCTCAGACTTTATTGAGGCGCACAGGCTCAGGCTGTACGTGCAGGATGGCATGGAGAAGGAGGCGCTTGAGCAGCTGCGAAAGATAAAATATTTTGATGATAAAACCATCTTCTTTCTTCTAAACCAGTCCTTTCTCTTTGCAACTGTAAATAAAATGGCAAATGTGATCGAGGCATTTTTTCTCAAGGGGTTTCCGCGGAATGTAAATACCCGGATCTTTGGAAGCAGAAGCAACATCGCGTTCCCCACATACTTTCTTCTTGCGCTTGCTGTGCAGAATCTGGCAATTATTATGCTTTTCTTTAAGCGAACGATTGACTACCATGAGTCCTGGCACGGCCTGGGCCCTGTGCACCTGGCAGCGGTTAACTCCGACATCCGTGTGCTAGACATGGTGCTCACGTATGGAGGAAGCCCGATGGAGTTTACCACCACGCTGCAGTACTGCCTGCTGAACAATCTGTTCAAAAAGCAGGACATGCAGTACAACGTGGCAGGGCGCCCAATTTACCCAGTGGACCTCGCAGCCGTGTCAAACAACTGGGGATGCTTTCTTCTTCTGATGAACAAGTGCCCAAAGTGCGCAGTTCACTCGCAGCACCTTCTGCACATTCTGAACAGTCTGGAAATGATCATTAAGGCCATTAATATTGGCGCGCGCATAGACATACCTCTAGAAGACAGCTCAACAATCCTCCACACCAAGACATACCACAACAAGCCAGAGCTTGTGTCATTCTACATTGCGCTGAATCTACCTATAGATGCGCTGAACAGGGCGCATGTCTCTCCTCTGAGCCTTGCTCTGGAGCTTGAGTATAGAGAGGTTGCCTGGGTGCTCTTGATGAACAAAGCTAAGATAAGTGAGAGCATGCGCATGCACCCAATTATACAAGATATTCAGGCCGGATGGAAGCCAGACAGCGCTCTCCTAGATAAGATTGAGTACTATAAGCATGCAGCTTCCTACGTGGAAATTGTCGACCACAAGCCCAAAGGCAGGTTTTCTATCCGGAGAATACTTACTCGAGAAAAGAGCACGCTAGAGGAATCCTTGAAAAAACTAAACCAGAAGATTGAAAGAGTTGAGAAAAGCGCAGAAGAGACATTCAAGGCGCTGCCCAAAGAGGAGCTGTATGAGAAGTTTACAGAGGTGGTTGCAAAGACAAGCACAAAGCTTCAAACTCCGTTCAAGTTCTAAAACAAGCAGGCTTAAGCATCACAGCACACTACATATAAAGATGGAAAGAGCCGGCAGCAGACATAAATACAGATATAGCATATATTTTCAATCTTATTGTTTCTATGTACACAGAAGCTTTCTTTCCTGCTGTATGTACACAGCATTTTATTTATTTAACTACTATGTTCAACTTACATATTCGATTATTCTTTTAAGTATTGATCCACATAGACACTTTATTGCGTGTATGTAACATGAGAGAATGTGTAAATATATGCTTCAATTGTTTTACAAATGCTCTTTGTGCTAGATTAAAGGTCTTCAATGCACGGAAGCAAAGAATGCAAAAAATATACATCATGAGATGGGAAAGTCTGCACCTCCAGGCAGGGAAGCCTGTAGCTATATGCCCAAATTCTGTTCTGTTATATTATTTTTCTGTTGTATGCACTATTGTTTGGCACACAGAGTCATCTGAAATAGAAATGTGTATATTTTGGCAAAATAGAAAAGAGTATGCAAATTTCACAAGTTTATTCATTCCACAAGTGCTAGTGTCTTTCTGTCATCTGTGCAGTAGAATAGCTTTCCTGCCGATATTAAGTACTCCAGACCACTGTTTACATCAGCAGACGTATACACTTTGGAAGAGGCAAGAGAGCTTACAACCATATTAATAAGCAAGCCGGTCTCGCCCTGGTTATGCGAGAAGAACGAAAGGATGTCTAGATGTATTTTCTTGAAGTTCCCCTGGTGCCGCATGTCCTCCTGTGTTGTTGCAGGAGAATTCTCTGTTAGAATGGACGGCGCATCCATGCTGTATGCTGGTGAGCGCACACTATCAACGATGCGCATCAGCAGATGGTACACCACACTATTTCCGTCTGTAACTAGAGTGCATGCACTGCATGTTATATTCACGTTTTTGTCTCCCTTCTCATTTCGGCTCAGAGTTCCTATGACACGAACAAGCGCCCCCTTTTTTACGTACATGTAATTCTTATCTGCCCACTGGGTGCACCAAATACTGTCCGTTCCATCAGAAATGGTGAATCTTTTTCCACCGTTTTGCATAGGACTCTCTGTTGTAATCCAGCCCACCACCTCCACCAGGCTTATTTCCTGTCCTCTAAACTGAGTGGTTATCTTTATTGCATCGTTAAAATCAACCTGCTTCACATGCTTGATAGGCATCCTTCTTATGGTCTGGACCCCCTTTCCGTCGCTTATTGACAATGAGCTCATCCTAAGAAAAAAGAGAATTTTTACACAAAAATACCTCTGCTCGAGTAATCTTAATACAACTGAAAATTTTTTAGACAGTTCAATGTTCGAGTACAAGCAGCCTATTTCCTCCATTTTAGACGGGTCTAGGTTTACCATTGCCCAAATAGGGAATGCCTACTGCGTGGTGGCTCCAGTGAATAACTTCTACAAAGTCTACGGGGCAGAGAGGCTCAATACACTGGGAAGATGCAAAGAGGGAGAGCGCATTCAAGAGATCACCTCACTCGGAAGGTACATAGTAACAGCAGCAGGCACACGGATTAACATATATAACCAGGGAGTGCAGATCCAAGAAATAGAGATGGGCGAGACAATAAAGACGCTCTTCTCATGCAATAATGAGTATTTGATTGCCGTCCTCGATGGGTCTGTTGCAAAGATAGAGCTTGATGAGATCGACGAGATTGAGAATAAGAAGATAGCACACACGGTAAAAAAGCTTAGAAACATTCCAGACCACCTGGAAAGCGTGCACCCGCTTGCCTTAAAGAACAAAATACTTGTTGTTGCAGGTGGCGCCATTAGCATATACTCAGTGGAAAAGGACCGGGCTGTATACAAATTGAAGTGCACGGAGGTGTCTGGGCCTGTTCTGGATGTCTCCTGCTCCATTTCTTCTGAGATTATAGCAGTGTGTACATCGAGCGAGGTTCTTGTTCTGCAGCTTAAGAAAGACATTCTTCTTCAGACATTCTCCTTTGGGGGAATCCAGTCAGTTGACTTCAGAAGAAGCAGCCAGTGCAAGGAGCTTGCAGTGCTAACCAAGAATGAAGTCATAGTGCTGTGCCTTGAGCAGGGTGTTGTCAGAGCAAGACACGCTCTTCCAGAAGGAGCACAGAAGACAGCAGCTGATGTGGGGCATCTGCATACGGCTAGATACATAGGAAGCGACGGGTACTTAGTTATATCCCAGTACAACGAGCTCCAGATTCTTGACTGCCACAAAGAGAAAATTCTTTCAGTGAAAAGGCGGGCAGGAGTGGTCTTTGGAAAAAGCCAGTGTTCGGAGTTTCTTAATAACACCTTAGTTATTTCGACAAACAATCGGGTGTACACGCTATCCCTTCGCAAAGACGAGCAGCTAAAGGAGATTTCTAAGGTTTGCGCAGACGGGGAGCCAGTGTCCCTCTCTGTTGTACGAGACAGCATTATTGCATGCTACACAAAGGGCGTGTATGCTCTAAAGGAAACAGTTGGGGGAGTCGCGCAGGTAAAGAGAAATCTTGGGTACTCAACCCCAAGGGAGTACATTGAGTGCGCTATGTCCTTCTGCGGAAACAGTATGGCGCTCGCAATAAAAACTGGAAAGGAGTCTGTTAAGATTCTTATTACGTCAAAAGAGTCAGGCTTTATTTTCGGAGAAATAGAAGAAACTCCATACCTAGCAATCTCGCTGAACAATCTTAAGAAGACCCTCACAGTCCTCCATAGGACTGAAGTAGTTGTCTACACGTACAATGGAGAAGTTGTGTCCAGGCATCCAATTCAGGAGCCTCTTGCAGAGAAAGACGAGAAAGACGAGAAAGACGCGGATAAAGAACACGTAGTTGCAAAGATATTTGAGTCCAGCACGTACAAGTACTTTATTATTGCTACATGGTCCCGCATTCTTGTCATCAACCAAAGTGGGGAGACAATTAAGTCTGTCGCAAAGAAAGCAGGGGCGCCAATTTCTGCAAGAGTGAGCGCAGATCTGAGCTGGCTTCTTCTATTGTCCTCTGCAGAGAAGGGTGCTGTGCTGGAGGTGGTGGACATACAGGCAGCATGCACGCTTTCTACAACCTTCTTTGCACACACCCCGCGAGACTTCCTTCTTACACACGACAAGAGCCGGCTGGTTGTCACAACAGACACGCAGGTCCTTCTGTACGTCAACACGTACAGCATACAGGCAGCCCCAGCAGAGCAGAGCGCGGTTTCCTCCCAGGGGATATCCTTCAGCTCAGCCCATAAGTCTCGCATTCGCCTACTGATGATGTACGACACAATAGGGGACAAGGTTGAAGAAGAGGCTCCTATGGCTCCGTACACAGTGCAGAAGGAGAACACACCTCCCAAGCTCAGCAGCATGCAGGGTGCCAAGGAAAGCATAGAAGCACTTCTTGATGGAAACTATCCAATCTCTTCTATAGTTGCCTACATAAAGGAAATAGAAGATCCCTCGTCTCTTGTAATAGATTTAATTTCACATCTTGAAGCTAAGTATGATATTGCAGATGCTTTGATCAATAGAGTGCTTCACTACCGAAGAAAGGACCTAGACATGGAGCGACTCTCTGCTCCACTAAAGACCAGGGAGGCCATTGCAGAGAGGCTTATTGTGAAGTACCTCTCAACGCTGTCTCTGATTCAGTCAATTTAATTTTAATAAAGACAATACACTTAGACTTCTCTAGAAATTGCTACCTGAAATTCATAGCACTGCACCTGCATACCAAGCGCATGCTATGTCCACTCTTGCACAAACAGAAGTCTGTCTTCAGAAGAGGCTTCCTGCTGGATATCTAAACCCCAACTCTTTTCGTATAGAGAAGCACTGTTCGAAAGAACTTCAAGAGAAACTCTGTGTATATGCAGAGAGGAAGAATGCTTGGAATGGGTTCTCATTACAACTGGATTAAAGTAGGGGAACCTGTACAGCATAAAAACCCAGAAATACAAAAGTAAAAGAAAGAAGCTTGGGTGACTATAGTTTATTAATGCATACTGGAGCAATGTAATGCTCTGCTATGAGAGCATTCACTTGGGATGCAAACTATAGAATAAATAGGATGCGCTTTGCAAATCTATTCTGGGATCTGTACTCCGTTAACGAAGCTAAGATCGTTCTCAGTTGTATAGATAAATGACTCGTACTTGTCGTTCGTAAAAATAATAATAGCGTCTCCTGTAATTTTCTTGAAAACCCTGCGGCACTTGTTTATGGCAAGAATGCACTTCTCTGTCTCGGTGTATTTCAGCTGCTCGCCTACTAGCAGTGTTTTCATGACAGAAACAACCTTGTTGTTTTGCATAAGAATTCCTGCTGTCCACTTTCGAATGCATCCGCAGTAGACAATAAATACTTCCTCAGGATCTGGCCTTCTAAAGATTCGCTCTCTCTTCTTGTGGCTGTACTTCTCCACGATTCTATTAAGCGTTCCAGGAAGGTCATTCTTTATAATGAGCCCTTCAGGGATCTTCCTAAGCATAGGCAGCTTTAACACTGGGCGCTCGCTTATGGAAGGCATTGGAGGCCGAGAAGAGGTCCTTGCATTGCGCGAGCAGTCAATAAGCTCAACTTCCCTTGGGCTTTCCCGCACGCTCATGGTCTGCACGCCCTCATCTGCAGAGAAGCTTATGACTGGGCTATCCCCTGCGAAAATGACCCCTGTAAACTTATTTGTAAGGTTGTACTGCCTAGCCAACTTCTGCTTGTATAAAACTACTAATCGAATGATTTCGTCAATGGGAGTTGTTTGGTCAATCCTCTCATTTAGATGCCTCTTGATATAATCTGAGAGCCCCTGCCAGAAATACATTTGATGCATTTCCTCCATTTCAGAAGGCGACAGCATAACCCGCACTGAGTATGACCTAAGCAGCAGACCAAGCTCTGCATTGTACTCCTCTAGAGAAACAAACTCGCCAGACTGGATCGTCTCAATTCTCTTCTTTAGCCGCGCAACCCTGGCTGGAGTGTACACTACATCGTATATCTTTCGCACAGAGTCCCTGAGAGTCTGCTCCATTGGGTTCCCCACTACTGTCTCAAGGATGTCCTTTGCAATAGAATACTTAAAAAAGACCTTGGCTTCCTTCTCAGACCACCGCTGTGCAACGATCTGGCTCCTAAAGAACTCGACCCAGAGGAAGGTATTGCGCGTGTCCAGCACATCAAGAACAGGCAGAGTAATCTTGCTGATTGTCAGGTGCCTCTTCAGAACATACACAGGTGTCTTCGGCCGTATTTTTTTTTCGAGTTCGACTCCAGAAAGGAGGGTTCTCTCGCGGATAGGGACTCCATAGCCATCCACACTGGTTGCTATCTTCTCATTCTTAATGCAACAGATGATATTTGGCCTGTCCTTTCTTATTTCTGCCTTTATTCTGCGTTTTCTATTTTCCTTAGTTTCAAGGTTTTTATTCATGCTTAATTTCACAGATTTATTCTTCTTTTATATAAAAGTACATTCCCTTTTTAGAAACTGCCTTAACAGGAAATCTTTCCCGGGAAAATATCCTTTTAAAGAAAAATCCCAATAAGGATATTTTCCTTTTTGGATCATATGCAGGGGCTGGTGGTTTTAGGGTTTTATATTGAGCCTTTTTAGAAGAAAAGCAGCTCCCTTACAGGTACCTGCACGTGTACGAACGCATTCCCTTAGGTGGCATAGGTCTTTCTGCGAGGAACCCTGACTTCCCCTTATAAATGAATAAATAAAACCATCCAGGACAAGCACTCTATCCTCCATAATATCCTTTACTCCAAAAAGAGAAGCGTATTTTTTGCATTCCCAGTCCACCGCACTTACTAAATCGTCTGGAGCAAGCCCTTTGCTGGCCTTTTGTATCTTCTGTATTCGCTGAGAGAAGTACCGAATCCGAATCCCGCTTGCCTTTTTTGGCGGGAGTTTCTCGAAAAGCGCGGTAAATATTTGGGCGGGCTCTTTTGGCGGGTCTTCTGTTGCCGCCTTTTCCACGTGCATGTACATCTGATGTACCAAAAGATCCTCGGCCTCTTCCTGGATTACCCTGATGGCCCCAGACACTCTCGGGGCAAGAGGCAGCAGAGCTTCTACCTGTGCAAAAAAAGAGCTGAAAAGAAGGAACAGGTGGCTCTTCTCATGCGGCTCCTTTTCAATCTCCTGTATAAGAAAGGAGTACTCCTGCTCAGCGCGCCTGGCCTGTGCCTGGCTCTCCAGGCCTACACAGCTTAGAATGCTTTGGAAGTGTGCAAACCCACTGAGGTAGTACGCACTCCTTTGTGTCTTTGTAAGAGCCTTTCTCTTCCCAAGAAGAAGTCTCTGTATGCTTGCAAACATGTTCATACTGAAACAACTAGTGCCCTTTATATTTTCGACCATTGGCTGAAAAACACTCTTTACCGACAGGGGGTACTGTACCTGAAGAGGAGGGCATTTTTGAAGATGTTCTCTTTGAGTAGTTTGCTTTTAAAAGAAAACATATCCCGAACAAACAATAGCAGTAGGAGGAGTGATACTTGCAGTCAGCGCATATTCTGTGTCTATGCACACACTCATAGAGTAGCATGCCCTGATCGAATACCGGGTGATCTTGCTTAAGTGTAAGCCTCTTTGGTTTAGTGGTATAACGTCAGTCTTGTAAACTGAAGGTCGGCGGTTCGATTCTGTCAAGAGGCTTGTTTTTTGCTTTTCAATAGCTGCACAGTGCAGTGCTAATGAAATATGGCTGCGCTGTATGCTCTCACACACTGCTTGAAGGCTGCTTCTTTGTTATATAAGACTCTCTTGCTTGCTATGCTCCAGGGAGCATCTGAGCGTACACTAAAACAATAAACTCATCTGTACATACTAAAAAATCCCGAGCTATTTTTATTAAAACTATGGCTGCAGCCTCTTTGGGTCTCTTGGGAACATTGAGCACTTGTGAATATCCGTGCAGCCTGTCAGAAGCTTCACAACTCTTTCAAATCCTATTCCGCACCCTCCATGCCTTGGTGCTCCATACTCAAAGGCATCTATATAGTCCTTCACTCCATCAATAGTCATGCCCTTTGCAAGGACTCTTTCTCTAAGCACCTCTGGAGTGTTTATTCTTTCTGCGCCTGATGTGATCTCTTCTCCCTTCAGAATAAAGTCAAATGACTGCGTGTATCCCTTGTTTGATGGGACTAGGCTTGTGTAAAAGGGGCGCGCGCTCTCTGGATACTCTATCATTGCAAATAGGTCACTTCCAAATCTCTTCTTAACCTCGCCACCCAAGGCCTTCTCGTCTTCAGTTCCAATATCTTCTGTGTAGGATGCCTCTCTACCTATGCTGCGCAGAATGTCTATTCCTTCTCGGAAAGTAATCACAACAGGCTCCTCTGGAATGACTGTCTGATTCTCTGCTCCTGTGATCTCTTTGATCACGCCCAGCTCCCTCTGGCTTCTAGCCTGCACACCATCTGACACATGCTTGATCATTCCATATATGAACTTCACCAGGTCAACATATGTCTTGTCCTTTAGTTCCATCTCGATATCAACCCCTGTAAACTCTGTTAAGTGCCTGCCCGTGTTAGAGTTCTCTGCTCTAAAGCATGGGGCAATTTCAAAAACCCTCTCCAGCCCTCCAATGATGGCCATTTGCTTGTATAGCTGGGGTGACTGCGCCAGAGTTGCTGGCTGTCCAAAGTAGCTCACGGGAAAGACCTCGCATCCTCCTTCCGAGGCACCTTTCAGGATCTTTGGGGTTTTTATTTCTATGAACATCCTATCTGACAAATACTCTCTAAACAGGCTGAGTGCTGCAGAGTACACCCGGAAAATGCTCTGTGTCTCAGATGACCGCAGATCAATATATCTGGCATCAAGCCTCTTAGACTGGTTGACAACTGGCAGCTGCGAGTCCTGTGCTCTCTCGTTGTGCTGCCACTCAAGGTCCTTCAGCTGGAAAGGAAGGTCTTTTGAGGCTGACAGAACTGTCACTGCCTTTGCCTGCACCTCAACATGCTTGACTGTGCATGAGGTAATTGGGGTTTTTGTGCTTGTCAGCAGGCCCTCAACACGTATGTACGACTCCTGCTGGCATTTCCCTGCCTCGCCTTCCTGCGCACTGCACACGCACTGTATGGTGCCTAGACCCTGCCGCAGCACTATGAACATTTTCTTTTTTCCTGCTATTCTTATATTCTTGGCAAACCCATACAGCGCAATGGGCTTAGGCTCCTCCGCGGGCCCCATTCCCTCGATCTCCTTTATATCTACCTGCGCGTAACTGCATGGCTCTTCTACTTTCATCTTGTAAAATTTTGTTTAATTAGAAATGAATAAGAGATGCAATGGACTTGTGTTTACAATGGAGAAAGGCGCTCCTCCACGTAAGAAAAAGGAATCTGCCACGCCCAGCGCCCCAGCACTAAAAGGGGTGAGCAAGGCCAAATCCAAACAAATTGGATTTACGTTTACCTTTAAGGACGATGAGCCTGCGCCCACAAAGAAGAGCGCCGTGCTCCCTGCAGAAAAAAGCGCGCAAAAGCCAAGCAAGCAAGCAAAGGCTGCGCCAAAAGTTGCCCCAGGCCAGAAGAAATTTATATTTTCATTTGAGGTGGACAAAAGCGCAAAAGACAGTGTACATAAAGCAGGAGCAGAAAGCGCGCCTGCTGTGAAAAAGCTTGCAAGCACAAGAGGAAGAAAACCCGCTGCTAAAGTCGGCCCAATGAAGGAAGCTGTGTCCATGGCTGAAAAGCACTCTTCTAGCAAAGAGACAGGCCCTTCTGGGAAAGCCCCTCCTGCAGTGTCTTCTGCGCGCGCAGCAGGCAAACGAGCAGGTAAACCTGTCGCAGCTACAAGCGAGGAAAAACCTGCACCAAGCACTACCATAGCTGAGAAAGTTTCCTCTGCAGATGAAATAGGCGAGTGCTGGCAGGATTTAGATGCCATGCCTGATTTAGATAAAGATATGGCCCTTTCTATTGGAGATGGCACACCAAGTGTGCAAGAGGACATAAGCAAGGCAGCTTCTACTTCGAGCCCAGCAGAACAGCCTCTGACAAGTGAGAAAAACGAAATGAGCATAGCACCATCTGTGATTAGATCTATACCTAGCACTCCTATGAAAGCACAGACTCCAACTCCAAGCCGAACGCCAAGAAACAGCATGCACTTCCCATCTGTTGCCCATCTAAACACCGCGCCCCTACAAAGTAAAGCAGCCACCCCCATACTGAACCGGAAAAGAATGACAATAGGCCCAGAGGACGTTGTCTCGCCAGTTAAGATACGCAGGCTGTCTCTCGATGCGTTTGATGCAAGGAAGTGTTCTATATTCCAAACACGTAGAGAGAGCCTGTTTGGGTACGACCAGATATATGGAGGCAGTGTTTCTCCAGAAGACTTCTATAGGCACTCAAACATCTCGCAGCCTGCAAAGACAAGAACGAAGCAGATTCTTCTCTGGATTGCAAAGTACATTTCTAACGGGCATCTGAAAATAGACGGGCTTACTGAGGAAAGCACACAGAAGATATGCACAATGTACATGCGGCAAATAAATGAGCTTGTTCTTCCTGAGCAGCCAAAGACCAAGGAAGATTCGCACATAGTGGATAATGCAAAGAGTGTAATAGTCGCGCTCCAAGACGACACAGCCAAGTACAGAAGCGAAATAGAGAAGTGGAAAGAGGTGTACAGCACTCTCCTTCATTCTTATACACTGAAGGTGCCTCTTTTTGCGCCAGAGGAAAATATGCGAAGGCTGTCCATACACAGACAGAGTATGAATGGGCTTGTGTCCTTTGATGCAACTGTAATAGGATGCACCCCTGTTGACACAATGCGTGCTCTTTCCAGGCGGCTGGAGGAGCTGCACAGTTCTCTGAACTCCTCAAGGTATTTCCTTTTTCTTTCTCTCGAGTACACGAAAAAGGTATGCGGCTCTCTGCTTGAGGCCTCCCACCCACTCGACAAGTCTAAAGCGAACGCGCTCTTGCATGTTCTTTGCAAAATATCCCGTAAGGTGCAAGTATAATAAAGTTGTTTCTATTCTATAGCTGCTGCATGCATGTCCTGGTTCTCTCTACACTTTCACTCACTTGGCAGCCATAAAACAGTGCGCTGCCTTGCGGTTCTCTTATTAGGTGACACTGCTGCCCAAGGTTTCTCTTTTCTGGGCTTTTTCTAGAAAGCAGTGCTGGCTTGCAGAGATTGCGCCTGAGTGCTCTGCATTCTTTAGCCATGCACACTTGCTGGTCTACACTGCTTCTGTATTAAGAGACCTTACGCACCTATCCAGCAATGATTTCCCATATGTAAAATAATTTAATAGCTATAAGCTATTTTTAAGACCTGTGCTCATGCATCCTGTAGTAATAGATATATCGTATTTATTAACAAGCTCTTCCAAGCAGTGCAAAGCATACTCACCACTAGTATGCCTGTGTTCCTGCCTTCTAGGCTATCTGTCTGTGCAAATGTCTACATAGTGCACTCTGCGCTGTGAAAATGTATTTTCTTGAGTTTAAGATATACAAAAGAGGGTCTCGCCGCACATCCTAATTAATGCACTCTTATCTAATGCGCATGCGCGCATGCTCTTCCTATCTGCGCTGGGAAAGAGCCTTTCTGCACCACTGCACCTTGTCCTGGTAGAAGTCGTTCAGCGACTTTGCACACTTTGCATACTGCGAGCCAGGCGGATTGTACGCATAGCAGTTGCTAATGATCAGCTGAACATCAGAGTCCATTTCGTCAAATGCTCGGTATTGGTCTGTCTCTATCTTGTGCTGTATGGTTTGAAGATCCATTGGGCTTTTTATAACTGTGTAGTAGTCGTGCACATCATTAGCATTCACCGGCTCAAGGAACGGCCATGCTGTATTGTGCTTTCTTAGCTCGTAGCAGAGATACAAAAGCAGCTCTTTCAGACTGCCCTTACACTCTAGCGAACTCTCTATCTCCTCTGTAAACCCTGCTGAAATCAACCCTGGTATGCTCTTTATATCCATCACTGTACTTGGCATTGTGTACTCTGTCTGCAAGCCCGGATACTTCTGCTTCACAAACTCCTGCAGCTTTTCTCGCCTGTCCAGAAGCATGGTGTACACATCTCCCTGGGTGATATCTGGAAGGATCTTGCCCTGCATAAGCGTTCCTCCCTCATAGTCCTTGATGCGCCCTCTCCAGTTAATAAACGTGATTTTCTTGGTAAAACCCTGCTTTTTGAAGTAGCCTATTGCATAGTTGTCTGCATATGTCAGCAGATATATTGGGCTGTTGAAGAGCTCGTTGCTCTTTCTTGCAATATCTCTGAAATCTGCAAGAACTGTTTTCTTCAGCATAGTCATCATGAACTCTCCATACCCTTTGATCTGCGAGTCACTATTCACTGCACAGAAAACAATCTCTGCAAAAGACTCGTTGTAAAATAGCCTGTAGCAAATTCCCCCAACAACTTTATTTTCTTTTTTGTCAATCATCGCCATAGACCTGTGCTTTGTGTCAAAGAGAAGACGCGTGACATACTCCTTTGGCATATTAGGCAGCTGTTTTTGAAATATTGTGCGCAGCACTAGAAGTGTCTGCATGGACTGCATATATTCTGCATCTTGCGTGGTTACCACTATAATCTCTAAATCCCCATTCTCTACCTGTTTCATTAGGAAGCGGTTTCTTTCTACTTTTTGCTCTGCTTCTTTTGGTAGTCCAAACATAACTCTACTTCCTCCTCTGCTGGAATGAAATTTATAAATTTTTATATGCAGAGCAATTCCGTTATTCAGAATCACATATCGCTCAGCTACTGGGCAGCCTGCATGCATATCTATCCTTTATCTATATACTGCGCTTTTTTATTTCTCTGCGGGTGGGCTGCATATACTACCACAGTTATTTCTTGCTTCATTCAGAAAGAGCATGCGGCGGCCTCCTTTTCTGTTCTTTTGGATTATGTCTTTGCTTGCTCTAATCTGCAGTTCTCTATGCGCAGAAAATAGCAAGGATAACAGGGAACGGACTTTACTGCTTTCTAAATTTGATAAAAATACTTAATTCTTTCCTATACATAAAATGTCTGGATTTATTATGAAGTAGAGTACATTTTTATTACATTCTGTTCTTTGGATACATCCAAAGAGTTTTCTGCGCCTTGCATGTAGCTATAGATCAACTACAGCTCTAGGTCGGTCAGCTACTAGCCCTCTTCCTTCCAATCTTCTCCTCTATCTCAATTAGAAGGCTGCGCGAGTCGCTTATTCCCTGCGCAGATGCCCCTCTACTAGCCAGATCCAGTGCCTCCTTTGCAAACTTGTGCGCAATTGGCAGCTGGTGCACAGAAATGAAATACCTTGCCAGACAGCACTCCATTTTGTAGAACTGCGATGGCATTAGATTGGCTAGATACGTGTTGGACTCCAGAAAAACGCGGTCCACATCTCCCTCCTGCATATACCCGTGCTTGCGGCTCATTTTCTTAAGTATCTCCATAATATGGGACGTCTTTGTGCTCTGTGCGAGTATTCTGGACATTCTGTATCCCTGCAGAATCTTTTTTGTTGTTGCGCTACCCACCCAGCTCTTTGCATATATATTGGTCAGCGCCATAATAATGCCTTTGTCATTCAGATCCTCCCGCTTTTTCAGCGCATATGTGTAGAACTTGTTAAAGGTATCGAGCTCGGCAAAGATCGTGCTGTATGGAACTGCGTGTTTAGGTACAACGTACATCTGGGCCTCTGCATCCTGGTACAAATCCACCGCCATATTATTGTCAATGTACCACAGATTCTCGACAACAAACTCCATATTTACTTGAATAGCACAAAATAATTTTACTATATGTTATCCAATTGGAAATGCAGACAGACCATCACGGCTGCAACAATGGACTGCTACAAGTCTAGCATAATCTCTGACGAAACACTTGTTCTGGGCAGAAACAAAGGGTTTGTTGAAGTGTACAAAATAGGCGCAAGCCTGAAGAAGAAAATTGAGTTCAAAAGCCACTCCCCCTGCTTCGACTATCTGAGAAGCACAGAAATCGCAGAGTCTGTGGATAATATCAGCGTGCTGCCTTCTGGAACAAAAGAAATTCTTGTTCTTAGCGGAAACCAGAAGAACGTCAAGCTGTGGAATGTCCATCCATCATATATTAATACAGAAAACCCCCCACACATTGTGGAGTGCTGCACAGACTCGTCTTTTTCCTGCGACACGATAGAGGAAGCTTCCAATGATGGACGCAGCCCATCCGATAGAATGAAAAACATCTTTTTGGGAAAGACGGAGCGGAAGGCGCGCGTCAAGCTAGAGAAAGACTACACGCCTGAAAATGTCTACAACATACACAGTCTTTCTGTCTCGCCATCTGGAGAAACCATTCTCATGGCAGACGAGCTCTCAATTACGCTGATGAGCGCAAAGCTTGAGAGCCCGCAGACTGTTCTCAATCTGAAGCCCACAAAAAATGAAGAGCTGTCCAAGGTGATTACCACTGCCCGCTTTGTAGAGAAGTCAAACAACATGTTTATATACGGAACTGCAGGCGGCGCCATGTTTTTGCATGACCTTCGGGACTGCTCTCGTGGAGGAAGTGTACTAACTGTGAATCCGCAGAAGCGCGCAGACTTCTATAATGAGGTTGTGCAGCCCATTGCAGACATCCAGCTGGTCTCTGATAACATCATTGCGTCCCGGGACCTGCAGTACATCGTTACCACAGACATCCGATCCCCAGGAAGTGCTCTCATGGAGTACGATGTATATCCTCTTGTTCGCAAAAACATTAGCGACCTGTATGACTCAGATGAGATATTCTCTAAATTTAAAATGGCTGTATCTGGCGATAAAATCTATACTGGATCCTTTAACACAGTTCTTACAGAGGTAGATACAAAGACAAACACAACAAACCGGGTCTTCCTCGAAGAAGATCTAGAGTCAGCCACTCGAATTATAGAAGACAAAAAAATCACCTGCATCTCACTGAAAAATGACTGCATGATAACTGCTCATGGAAATCAGTGCTATATATTTAGATCTACTGTATAACAGAAAAAAACATCTCTGCATGGTATGGATTTAATAAATAGTTGGTGTTTATGAAGGTGGTAATGACTTCTACATGGCTTTCTTTCTTGGATGGCTGCTACTTTTAGTTTGCTTCTTTATATCCATCGAAGGTATTTTAAGAATAGAATTCCAAAGAGCACTGCGAATATTACTAAAATGCTTCTTCTTTTTTGTTTGACTTTCTCTAAGGCTCCTCTCAGCTCGTATGACCCCCCGCGCAGATTTGACTTAGCCTGTGTGAATAGGCCATCAATTAGGTCCACCTTCTCACCCTGCAATGATATGTGCATGGACACCTCGGTCACCATCTGCCCAAGCTCGTTTATGTGCTGCTCCAAAGACTCAAACTCTCTTCTCCGAATGCTGCTCATTTCTTCTCTCTGTATTTCTCTGCTCACATGCCTGGTTTCTTGCCGCATAGCATGCCCTATGGAAGGTGTGCGTCTCTGCTGTTCCTCCTGGTGCAGCGCTGCAGCTTTTCTCTGCTCGTTTTCCCTGTGCCTGCTCAAAATCTCCCGGAGCTTCAAAATAAACCCACTGTGCTTGTGCTTCATAAGCCGCACAATGCTCTGGTCTATGTCTTCTGTGCATTGCATTCCTGCAATCTGGTCAAACAAAATGTCCAGCTGCCGTTCTGTATCACTGATTAGTGCACTGCTTGGTGCTCTTCTCTGGCTCACAGCACTTTCTAATAGATCTATGTTCTTCTGTGCGCTCTGCACTGTGGCAGCAGACGGCTGCTCTGAACATCTGGGCCTCTCCTGCAGAGCATTTGTTGCTGCTACAAGCGATCTAAATTCTCTTGTTCGATCCATAAAAAGTTTATATTCTCTATGCCATATTTAAATAAAACATATATTAATTCAAAAGCTGTACTGTTTGCTTTTTTAATTCAGTCTAATATATTTTATATATCCCCATCCATTGTTTATAATATTGGAAGAGTTTTTCATTATTTTTTCAAGAAGCAGTAGCTACACAGTCTTCCCATGCGAAAAAATGCCCATTATCTTAGAATTGTACATGCTCTACATAATTCAAGTTTTTTGCAGAAATTACTTGAAAACATAGTCTAGAACTATAAGCAGTCCTGCAATAATACGGCAAAAACATGCCACAGATTGTATAGTACATTACAAAAAGAGTGAATGGTATAGTTGGCATTCACATCCCGACCTTCTTTATTTACTGAACAAATCTTTAACTGCTATTATTAAGAGTTTTCTTTATTGACAGCACTCAAAGGACCGTTCCTTTTTTGTCTTTTGCAGAATTATTCTGCTTATAATAACAGAGATAAGCATTGTACACAGAATGTATCCATTTCCTGTCATCATTGTCATCATAAGAATCCATGAGCCTAGGAATCTCACAACATCAACAATGTATTTGTTTTTGGTGATTTCATTTATGTGATTTGCTGCTAATGTAGTGCATGCAATAAAAAGAATAAGGGCAGGAAAGAGTTTTCTTGTAATGCACAGGCCTGGTATAAAATATTCAGATACTTCGGTATCCCACACGATGCACATGCTCATCCCGCATCCATGGCACATATTTTATTGGATGTACTCTCTGGCTATATAATATTTGTGTAGCTAATTGTATTGTCCTGTGCGCCAAAGACAGAAAATGTGCTTGCTAAGGAACTCTAGTTTAAATAAATTTTGTTATATTTAGAAGAGCTTTATTCACATGTATCAGCAGATGCCTTGTACTCCTGTAATTATTTTTTAAAAGGATTTTCGTATGCACTGCGCAGCATATGGAAACATACATTTTTAGCCATGCAGCACCCATAAACAGAATAAAAGTTACTGAACTTTCCTCTTTTGAGAGTTAAGGAGAACAATACCCTGAGTTGATTCTACAGAAGATAGTATTTATACACTTCGTCTTTATTTAAATCTTGATCTGTTTAAACGGTTCTAAAGAGAAATAATTTTTCTCTTCTTGATCTGATCTAAACCAATCAGACTATTGCTCTTGAAACTCCTTTTGGAAGGTAGACCAATCACTTGTACTCTGCTTATGGGATAAAATGCAATCAATAAAATGTATCTCATCAGATTTTAGTATGAGCATACAACATCTCTAGGCAGAGTCTTTGTACCAGAAGTGCTTATACATAAAGAATATCAATACGTTAATAGAAATTTGCAAATATAAATCAAATTTTTATAAATATATATATGAATATATACCGTTTGATCAAATTACTAACACTGTCTGTTGTGTGTGGTAAAATCACCAAAGATGATCTAAAGGCGATACAGCAGATAAAAATAGCACAAGAGTCATCTGTAACACTTGCTATAAACCCCACAGGGCCTCTTACCATGCTGTTTGAATATATTTCTCACATTGCAGGATTTATGCATAACAAGAGGTTTTTTTCTCCAGAAATTAAAACATGCTATACGCTTGAAATGCATCCAGTGTCGACAAATCCCGTGAGCAGATTTAATTCAAAGTTTGAGAGAAGCCCAGTAGATGATAAAGCATATCAAACTGAAAGCCTTGGCTCTAAAACACCAAAGTATGTTATTGAGTATCACAAAAGGCTAATCAACATGTTTCCGTCCGCAACAGGAGATCTATCTATCCAAGCAGGAAGGCCTGATGCACTGACCCGATTTCTAAAGGCCGAATCTGTGAGCTTTCATGCGCCTGACATTCTTGCAGCACTGTTTCTTCTCTCTGAGGGAGTGGATATTGATATTAAAATTGAAAATGTCGGTAGTGTGAAAAGTCTTGTTCTGAGAAAAAGAAATGGACAGGACGAGCATTTCCGTGTCAATATGAGAGTTATGGAGTACAACTGGAATATTAAAAAGGAAGAGGAAGTATTCCATAGTGAAACAGCTGAGATAATTAGCTTTTTCATTCGAAACACCGATAGCTCTTTTCTGAAAGTAAATAGAAGATTTTCAGAGCCAAAGTCTTTTGATCAGTTTGTAGAGGGACACTTTCTAGACACGCCATCATTCCTAATACAGTCTTATATATTTGAATTTATGAATAATGCAGCAGAAGTAGAAAAGCTAATTCGATCTGTCTATAACATTCTGCATGAGTATGTATCCGAGCCAGAGGGAAAGCAGCACCCAATATCACGCAAGCTTGCTAATAAAGCCCAAAAGGTATTTAATAGCTGCTTTATGCCAGAAGAGTCTTGCCCAGATAAAATGGAATACTTAGACATGCTTCAGGATATTCAAAAAGCTGTAAGTATTGCTAAGGTGTTTCCCTTCTCAGATGCTAGCCAGCTACCCTCCTACATAATTATTCCAGTGTACAGACGCAAGGAAAAGAAGTTTTGTACACAGAAAAAGTTTAGCAACTGTGTAGAAACATGTCTTCTTTCTCTGTTCTGCTGCCTTGCGTATGACATCAGCAAAGATGAATACACAACAGAGCACATAGAGAGTGCGTCTGATCACTTAAAAAGATTCTTTTCCACGAACTATAAGCCATTTGAAAGCACTGATTTCCAGATGCACCTGGACTGGTGCAAAGTTGTGTCAGATCTAGATTGCCCAGATATAGACTACACTCATGAAAGAAATGAGATTCAGACGGGATTACTAAATATTTTGTGCCTCATTCTTAAAATCACCGGGCGGTCTCAGGAGGAGCGCAATACCATCTCGCAGATTATAAAAGCTCTGAATGCAGGCATAGATCCAGCTGTAGAAATATACAGCTGGCTAAAGGAGTATATGCAATACCTCTTCCAGTCACTGTTCAAGAGTGGGACCATAACAGTATGCTGCAGCTCTCTCTACAAAGCAGCTAGAGCTGGAGGGAAAATAGACATTTTTGGGACTATTTCTATATCATCGGTGTTTAATGGAATCGAAAACAAGCTTGAATTGAACCTAACCTATAGACATACAGATATCACTGTCCTCCCGCAGAAGATGGTTTCTTCATGTGAACAGCTTTTATTGCTAGAGAGCATTGAGGGCAAGCTAGTGCAGAAAAATAACAAGCCCAGTTACCTTCTTAGGCACTATGTTCATATAATGACAGAAAAATTCAAACTACTCCAAATAACTACTGCTGTTGATCGCAGAGAGGAAATAATGTGCATAAAACATAATAGATTTAGGGAAATCAACAAACTACTAATGCTCGGAAAGATATATGAAATACAATACAAGAAGGAGCTTTTTGCATGTATTTTAATGTATGCTTTGGATGAAAACCTAACCCTTGAGCATCCTGAGCTAAAGCTTGCGCTAAACATTCTTGGAAGTACGCCACTTAGTGACTTCAATACTCAAATAACAATGATGCCAAGTCTCAAATACAGCGGAATATATAAGCTATGCAGTGATCAGATTCGAATATCAGAAGAGGGCTATAATTCTATTCTAACATACACATCTGAAACAAACAACATCTTCTCGTATGTACTGGATATGAATGATCCCGAATATTTGCTTTCTTTTCTGGAGGCATTCATGCAGATAGAATTTACCTGCGCAATTACATTCTCTCCATTAAAAACAGCTGTCTATACGGAAAAAATCTTTGACTTTATATGCAGAAACAGCTGCATGGACTGCATAGAGAAAATTGACGGCCTTATAGAGAAACACTGGAAGAAAGATAAAAAAATGAAGGAAAGCCTGCATGCTTCTTGGTTTTTCTATGCATGCAATAGCTCAAATCCTATGCCTTCATTAATAGTAAAGTTCTATGGTATGCTGAATCAATCTATAAATACAATTCATTTCATGTATACAAATAGAAAGACAGACTCTAAAAACATTTTAGAAGTTATTAATGGCATGAAAGATACGCTGTGCTCATTGGAAGGAGGGCGAATTAAGTTTGACAATGTGCTTTTCACGATTTCTCGTTTGCAGGAGATAAGATAGCTTAAATCGCTGTTCTTTCGCAATCCCTAAACAAGAACCAAAGAATTAGAATAAAAGAGCTATTTTGCGGCTTTTCAAATTAAAGATTTATAATTTAGCAGAGAATCACATGCTCTTTTATTTTATCATAGCCCAGCTAAAAGGCAAGACAATAAAAAGCACATGATAGAAGCAGTATACAGAACTAGCATCAAAGTATACCTTGGTTGTTTTTTCTATATGGATTGGTGCTCTCTGGGATACTACTCTAGACTACCCCACAGCCTGCCCCACTATATAACTACTATGCATATGTTAAATACACATATAAATAGCATAAAGACAGCTGTGTCTAGAATATCATTTTTTAAAAATCACATCCCCTATGTATAGTATGATTCTTCTTAGACTCTGCAACTAATTGTGCCCAAGACTGCCTATATTTCATAATTTAGTTGAAAGCTGCGCATATTGCAAAATTGATTACTAGCAAGACGCCTTTTATCTAGAGGCAAGAACTGTCTCTACCAACATATACCAAGCAGAAACATCTTTTAGCATACATTTCAAATTTTCAAAATAGCACTATTCTCTTTTACTATGTAATAGCTATATGCCTATAAATAAACTCAGAAAATTCAATAAACAGCCAAGCACGATATGGCTAGAAATAACCTGAATTTCCTGTGAGTGCTGCAAGTATATTCCATTGATTCAAGAAATATTGCATGATTCAGCAGTGATACTGAAAGAGCATGCTTTTTCACACAGTATATGGGCAGTTATTACTTGTAACTGCTAAAAATATTTTTATGTTCTGCAGCTCATGCGAGAAGTATTTAAACATATGCTCGCTGGTGTGCAGCTTCTGCGGGAAAAAGAATGCTCTTAAATTAGAGCCGAAAAGATCGCTGCAAAAAAGCTACGCCATGCAGACAACAAAAGAAAGACACAAGGGGGCAAAAATCAAGGAAGAGTGCCCAGACTGCAAATCTGAATATTTGTACTATTATACAATGCAGCTGCGATCGGCTGATGAAGGGCAAACCGTTTTCTACGAGTGCGACTGTGGATACAAAGCAAAACTCAACACATAAATAATAAAGCAGAAAGTTTACTAAAAAATATATTTGGATGAGCAGAGAGAAAAGACAAAAAAGAGCAAAGAGACAAGCTAGCTCAGAAGAGGAAACAGAGAGCAGCTCGAAAGACACCTACAGTGAAACAACCCAGCTTTCTGAGGAAGAGCAGAGCGAGTATGCTAGTGAAAATCATACGCCCGAAGATGTTCTGAGCCCTGGATTTGAGAGCGATAAGGAGGAGGAGCAGATGCAGCTCAACCCTGAGATGGATGGAGACATCGATGACGACATGGTTGAATATGCACACTCAAACGATGGAAGCGGTTCTATTGATCGATCGAACTCGCTTGAGAAGGGAGACTTTGGATACTCTGATGATAAAATTAAAAGAGAGGAAGAGCATACTAGAGAAGATATGTCTTCTCCTTACGCATACTCAGACCAAGAAAAGCCAGATTTGGAGGCAGAGATGGAGGAGCAGAGCGAGGAGAACGGCACTGAGGCTGGGGAGACCAGCCAGCCCTATCATCCCAAGGAGGAAGAGAATTCGTGCGAAGAGGATGACATTATTGAGTGCCGAGAAACCACTCTTCCTACTAAGACAGAGAACAGCAAAAAAAGACATCTTGAAGATCACGATGCGCCTTCTAAAGTGGCTAAAACTGAGAGTATAGAAGAAGAAAAAAGGTATCCGGTCAGCAGCGAGGCAGATGAAAAAATGCAGGCGTATCTTGAGAAAAACACTAGCCAAATACTTGACTTAAGAGAAAGAGGATGGAAGCGCAACAGCAGACCTTTGCTATGGAGGCCCAGTGTAGAGGCTTATGATGAGGAAATAAGCCAGGTCAATGAGGAAGCCATCCTACAGCGGTTCAGAACCCAGATAGAGAATCCAAGCATGTTCAATGTTAGAAAAATAAAAGCAGATCCATACTATGCAAAGCAGCAAATACAAAGTAGAAAACATCTCACAAAGTCTGATCTGCTAAGAGTTAAAGAAAGAATGGAAACAAGCAAGATAATAGAAGTCCAGCAAGTTCTAAGGAGAAAAACCCGAATGGAAAAAGATATGCTAAACAAAACAAGAAATCTTCATGTAAAGTTAAAGGAGATAGGGCACCAAACAGAAGCATCTGATATTTTTGCTCTTCTGACGCAAGAGTACATATTTCAAAAGAAAGACATAGTGCAAAGCATGGAAAGCATGCTAAATGATCTATCGTACATACACAACAGGGCAGGAGAAAACAAACAGTATCTTTTAAAATGCATTGATTTTATTGAACAATCTGTTGTAATTGAGTAGATAGATAGAGTATGAAGAAGTTTAAAGCGCTGTTTATGGCTCTGCATAATTAGCAGGGCCTCTGGTGTTCATGCATTTGTATTAGTGTGGATTTCACTGCATACCAGAGCTACTATAGACTAACAAGCTACTTATCTTACTCATGCATTGGCGTGGGTATTTGGCTTAATAATAAGTGCCCTGCGTGCTCTTAATAAATAACCCCATCTAGTAATGCTTTTCAAGATTTTTCTATGGGTTTGTGTGTGTTGGTTTTCCATCGCCTAGAGTGCATGAAACCTTCTCTCCGGGTCAGCAATGTAGATTGATGTTGGTTATTGCCTCCCGGGTTTTGGCTGTAGGCCAACACGCTACAAGGGGCTCTACGCACCAGTTACATTAGATGGCTTAGACTCTTGCTATTTTATTTATTTTTGAGAAAATAATTAACCACCTTCAAAAATAACGTAAAATGCTTCTTTTGGAAATTTTCAGAAGCTTGGGTAGCTGATTTTTCCTCTTCGAAATATTAGACTTGGTCATACTAAACCTGGATATAATTTATTTCTCATCGTCTATATATAGTTTTATTCGTGGGAAAAGGATAAATTAACTTGTTAATTAATTACCTTTAATTAATTAAATAATCTATTTCCCACAACGGATCGTAATGTGACACCAAGTGTCACATTAACATAGATCCCTATACTATGACACGTAAACAAGTAGAGCCCCTTGTAGTGTGTTGGCCTAACCAAAGCCCGGAAGGCAATAACCAACATCAATCTACATTGCTGACCCGTAGCTAAAGGTTTCAATGCCCTTGAGGCAAGGAAAACCAACACGGGTTATATCTAGATTTAATATAACTAGAGCTTTGAGAAAGCATATAAATATAAGACAAAAAAATTTAAAAAAACAAAGCTTAGTATGACTAAGTCTAATATCTTAAAGAGGAAAACTCAGCTAGAAGCAGACAGCGATGACTCTTCAGACCAACATTCAGCAGAAATGCATAGCGGGAATAATGGGAGTACAACAGAGATTCTTACGCACTTAAAGCGTCTTCCTTTAAAAAACGGAAGTGAAAGTAGTAGAAGGAAGTTTTTGATGATGGAAGCTTGTGTTCCCAAATGGGCTGGATTAAGTCCATGTCAGAAGATTTTCTTTATTGAAGAAGAATTATCTAGCCGCAGCGAGACCATAGAAAAGAGGATCTATACTCTATTTAAGTTTCACATTGCTAGTGTTGGAATTCCTTTTGAAAACTGGACAAAGGAACTGTACGAAGAAGCCATAGAAGTTCTCCATACTCTTATTGACAAAGAGCGTGTATCGCCTCTTGTAAAACCCCCACGAAAAGGAAAAGGCACATGGATGGCATGGTTTGAGAAGTTTATGCCTTATGTCACCTATACACCATATAGTTGGGAGGAAGTCAGAATAGAGTTTACACGAAAGGCTACTACGTATCATGCTGCATTGTTAGTTGCATGGCAGCAAGAGGAGAAAACTATTACAGCAGGACTTAAAAATCTGTATGCTGAGTGTTTGCGTTTAGATGAGCTAGAGGTGCAGGAACCGCAGACTAGAGATTCGTCTGGATTGACGTGTAGACAATGTGGTCTTGTAGGACACATGGCTAAGAATTGCAGAAAAAAGAACAATAATAGTAGTGAAAATGCTAGAACTGCACGATGGATGCAGTCCTTAGAGAATTTTTCTTTTACTCCGAAGTATAAGAGGGGGGAAGAGATGATAATCCCAGATGGTCTTTCACGACTTTATGAAGCTCCTTCAAAGAAATTACATGTACCTGCTAGGTTAGAGCAGAGGGCGTGCAGTGAATCAGTATTAACACAGTCAGATTATGATAGAGTAACAAGAATTCATGAGGAATTAGGACACCGTAAGAGCATTAGAATTGATTTAGAAATGCGTGGTATTAATGTTACTAGTATGGAACTAAGGAAGATTTTAGAATCTTGTAGGGTGTGTCTAGAGAGAGACAACCAGTTTACGAAGCATAATTCTTATATTGATACTGATGAGCCAGGAGAGCTGATGGGCATAGATTTGATGGAATATGCAAATAAGTATGTGATAGTGATGATAGACTATTATACTAGGATGGCCTTCGCTAAGGAAGTAGCAGTAAAGCAGGCAGGCAAAATCAAGGACTTCGTTATGGATGTATATAAGGAATTTCCGTTTAAGAAGATCATTGCAGACAATGGAAAGGAGTTTGGGAATTCCGTATTGTTGGATTGGCTAGATTCTAAGGGAATCGATATTTATTTTAGGCCACCTTACTACCACGAAGGGATAGGGCGAATTAAAAGATTGATTCAAACTCTTCGGGAAAGTTTGAACAGAAGTAAGGGTGCACTTAGACGTAAGTTGGTACGGGTAGTTAAAGCATATAATGCTACAGTACATCGAGCAATAGGGATGCCGCCGTTGCACGCCATGGATGCTGAGAACCGCGAGAAGATAGAGTCTTCTATTGCAAAGTATAAGCGGGAGTTCGGGAGAACAGTGAGACTGGAATTACCAGTAGGCCAGAAAGTACTGATCAGGAAAGAAATACGCACTAAGGATGATAAACATTTCGAGGAAATGGGGGTTATTGAGTCATTGGAAGGATATGACACTTATTGGATTAGACTACCAGGAGATAAGCTCATTAAGAGAAATCGGAGTCAGTTAAAACCCGTTGGAGAAATTAGTGATGGATGCTAGCAAGTTTAATGGATGGCGTCAAAAGAGAATAAATGCTTCGGGCTTTATTATAATTTGGACCAGTCGCTCTGATGGAAGTTTCTTTCGAGAACTGTTATTTACCGTGTCGCTCAACTAAGAAATAATTACTGTGAGTGTAATTAGAAAGTAGGTCATGGGAGGCATATCCAGGTAAGTCCTCGGGAATATTCTTAGTTGTAGGAAGGTTGACTACACCTTATGACAGAGGTTGTGTGGAGATTGGGGTAAACAATCAGATACTTGTAGTGCACGACAATGTATCAATCCAGCATCCGCCGTATTAGTTATCCTCAGGTGAGGTTTTTAGTTTTTCCTTTTGACAACTGACGATTGCAAGGGTTTTCTTTTTTAGTTGGTAAGCAAGCAACCCAGGTTTATGCTTAGCGGGGGGATGTTGGTTTTCCTTGCCTCAAGGGCATTGAAACCTTTTCTCACCGGGTCAGCAATGTAGATTGATGTTGGCTATTGCCTTCCCGGGTTTTGGCTAGGCCAACACGCTACAAGGGGGCTCTGCTTTGTTTTATTACGCCTACGATCAAACGATTATAAATGGCATATACTGCTATTTAAGATATGGCATCATTTTGATATTGGCGAGGTCTATAAATAGACGATGAGAATTCGGGTTATATCCAAGTTTAGTATGATCAAGTCTAAAACTTCAAAAAGGAAAACTATCTAGTGTAAAAAGTATGTATTTGTGTTAACTGAATTACTAACTTACCCCAATGTCTCACTATCTTTGTATAGAGATGTTTTTAAAGGATCCATGAAACAATAAATCTGGGAAATTCTACATATGTGTACATAGAGATATCCAACCCTCAATATTAAATGGACTCAGCACCTATAAGGATTAATTTTGATGAAGTGGCTATGTACAAGTGTTTTGATAATAGGATAAATTGGGCTGACAGTCTGGTATGATAGTGTCATTAGAAGATCTGATGGTTATGCATTGATGAATTTCCACGATGTTATTGATAGGTCTATACATGCTAATTCTGTTCTTTATTAGTCTTACATACTCTTTTTGTTTGGAATACATCTTTCTCTACTTTTTATACTTGCCTGTTCATGGTTCTTTAGATTGTGCTGGTTCTTGTATTTTTCGGTGTCTTTGCTTTTTTTACATGATACAAATCCTCCAATAAATAAACTCAAGTTACAGTAGAGATGAATGCTTTATTTTTGCAGCAATCATTATAAAAATAAAACCATAGCATGAGAATATACAGAAAAATAAAGAGAAAGGGCAGTGCCCAAACTAGTTACATATAAAATTACTTATGGATGCCATATTAAACCCATTTATTAAATTATGGGTTATATTATTAGAAGACCTATGTACAGGAATGCTAATTAAATTATACATAGCAAGAAGTATGTAGTATTTGTCTAAAACATGGATTTTTTTCTGGAATCCAGAAGTCGATCCTATAAAGCACAGAATAAGTGAGAAATCCGTAAAAACAGCTTAATGCTCTGTACATGCTATCACCTGGGTTTTCTCGGAAATATTAGTCTCTACTTTCCTATCTAGCATCTAATTTATTTATTATTGTATATCTATAGATCTTTAGATAGCTATTAATCAATATGATGCCATAAGAATGTAATCTTACTTAATAGCCAATGAAGAGTGACAGCATGCGTCATTATACCCAATTAATATGACTGAATACATGCAAACAAGCAGAGTCTCTTGTAGCGCGCTAGCCTATAGCCAAATCCAACCTCTCTTTTGTAGAATTTACTAAAAAAATATTATGGAAATAAAATGATCTGTCAACACTCAATGTGTTTATGATATGAATCATTATCGATTAATTATTCCATTTTAAATGCTTAAATACAAAAATGTCTAAAGATTTCAGTATTGAGATATGAACATGCGGATAAAAAGAAACACACAGGAATGTTTATACGAAAGAAAGAACAAAGAACAAGCAAACAGAAGTACTAAAAGCATGTCCATGCGGCTACTAGCAAAAGTGCTTCTTATGTGCATGCTTTTATCTATACAGAATGTCTTTGGATTATTGAACAGAAAAGATATGGAAGAAGTGCTAGAAGAAGTATTAAGTAAAACAAAAGATGCTAGTATGTCCAAAATGAATCGGTATTTTAGCCCAATTCTGCTGGATTTATATAGGAAGATAGACATTGTTTACAGGAGGCGATTTAATCCTCAATACATAAATGAACAGGCTGCTATGCCAAAGGAAGAAAATATTTTACAGAATATAGACCGAACAAACGACACAGTCAAAGAAGAGGATTCAGAGGGAAATGAGATGCCAAAAGAAACTGTGGACCACTACAATGCACTGATTAACATGTTCCCTTCTCCATCTGGAGAAGTAAGCATCTATCCTAAAAAAGGCTGCAAAGACTCTTTCACTTCTTTCTTAAGGAGTGACCCTGTTAAGGAATATGCGCATAAAATTCTTGCAATACTTTTTCTACGGACGGAGGGACTATATGCGCCGCTAGAAGTTGAGAATGAGGAAAGCGCTTGCCCAAAACTTACATGGACTAATGAATACAAACCCGAAGAATCCTTCAGTGTTCCCATATGCATTGCTAGTGCAGAAGGGCAGGGAAGTAATGGCTCTAATGAAGAAGCAAATATAAAAAAAGTTAACAGTAGACTACTGCAGACTATTAAGTATTTTATTAATGCAAAGTCCAGCCAGGAGCTTGAAGAGAGTATAGTACTGCTAGAATCAGATAAGAAAGCAAATTATTGGGAGAATGTGTTTACTGAGACACCCGCTTGGCTTATACAATCATATATATACTACTATCTGGAAACTAAAGAAGAGGCAATTAAACTCTATGGTGAGATAGACAAAAAATTAAAGTCTTGCATAGATTTGTATCCAGTATATAACTATAGCTATATTGCAGGGGATTTCTTTGACAAATCCTTTACATCTAAAGATGTGCAGTCAGAGGAACTTGTGTGGTGGGAAAAAGTAAAAAAACTTGAAGATATGGTTGAAGCTAAGAAAGAAGTCCAGCTGTATCCCTTCGCGGATAATAGTCATCTACCTAACAAAGAAATAGTTAATCTGAATATCCAAGGAAATACATATTTGGAAACAAAAGTAATTTCAAGTGATATAGAATCTGTGTTACTTACTCTATTATGCTGCTTTGTATACGACCCAGAAACGAATACATACAATGTTAATCAAATTCTGGGCGCGAAGGAAGAAGTAAAGAGTCTGTTTGGCATGCCATCTAAAAGCATAGGTACTTCTAGAAATTTATCTAAAGTGAACAGAAATTCAGCCACGAGCAGCGCACCAAGCAAGGATATGCCTGTTATTCGGGTAGGGCAGGAAATACCACAAGAAGTTTGGAGTAGGTGGAGTGAAATAGTCCAGAATGTAGTGAAAAATGATGAAGACATAAGTTATATAATCCTAGAAAACAATAGGTGTATGATTAAACCCGACATCTTTAATATTCTCATAATAATGATAAAAGTTACAGGAATACATTATTCTAACTATAAGCATGTCATACAGGTATATAAAGATAGGAAGAAAAATATAACATTAATTAATAATGCTCATCTGATAAATCCCCTTGCAAACGAAATTGCAAACTATGCAGCATATGTATTTTCTTGCATATGTGGAGGGTTCTTATGCGATATAACATTTCCAGAATGGTGCAAGATGCCTTCTATACCTTCTAAAGATAAGAAAGAAAGAAGAATATGTGTGAATTTTATAAATTGTGCTATTAAGAATATAGGTGCTGGAAACGATTTGACTGGAAGCATAGAGATTTACTATGCAACAGAAAATAGTGCACGGCCAATAATTATTCATTTTGCTGCACCAGAAAAAGCTCATTTAGAAATTGGCAGCTATGCTGTAAAATCAAACAATTCAATTATTAGTAATTTAAAGAAAGAAATATGCACAATGCCAAAAAACAGCTATAGTCTGTATGCGCTTTCTAAATACGCAGAAACTTTGGAGTTATACACTCCAGACGATGTGGTGATTGATAAGTTCTATATAGAAGAAGTAAACAATCATGCTATAAGACTGGAAAATAAGACAATCCAGCCATGGCAATATGCCAATTGCACTGAATATGGTATACCTTCATCTATGATAAGTGATATATTTAAGAATGGGATGGATGAAAAATACAAATATGACTCGCAAGATTTAAAGAGCCTAATACTCAGTAAGCCAGGGCTTAATATAAAACAGATGATGTATTTAATTGTCTGCATAGCAAAAGAAGCCAAAGATTTGGAAAATAGTTTTTATAATGAATGGGAGATGAACAAACGCATGATAGATTGCTGTGACAAGTATACAGATGATTGTGCGCTCAGTTTTGTAGTGTTTTTACTTAAGCATTTGATAGACCTCAATGCAGATTTGGATATTGCAAATGTAGTTGAATTATATGCTCGGGTTTATGGACACAGTAACAGAAAATGCCTAAATACTCTATTTAATATGCTGTCGTTCAAGAAAATAGACACAGCTAAAATAATTAAATGCTTGGAAAAGTATGGTAGTATTATTGAAAAATAGCTGTCTCTAGAAAAAAAACAACTTACAAGGCCGTAATTTCTAGTTAAATTGGATGGTATTTTAACCACACAACTTTTCACAGAAGAGTTCAATTAAGAACAGCTGAGTTTTTCTGTGCATTAAGCTCCCAGTGAAAGAAAGCACTCTAAATGCAATAGTTGCATGGTTTTACTGCAATTATCCTATCCAAAGTATTAAGAGTGCAGCTTTGCTGGAGACAAGAGTCGTATGAGAGCCAATTCTTGCTATCTAGTGCAGCCACTAAGGCTCTCCTCAGAGTTTAATAAATGTTCTAGCTTAATTTCTCTTTCTAAAATATTAGACTTGGTCATACCAAACTTGGATATAATCTATTTTTATTGCATATCTACACTACTAAACCAGAAAAAGAGTCTTGTGCTCTTAAGGCTGGGAAAGCCAATACGTTTGATTCAGAAATAAACTAAAAGAATTTTATGATAAAAAATATATATTCTCTTTTCATCCAAGTATAATTTATAGGTATTAGAAGAAAAGCACTGTGCATAGCATGTTGCTAACTAGAAAAACTGTTGCCAGTGGCTCTATATATAGTAGTAATTTTAAATAAATTTTTATCTTTAGTTTTCTTAGTAGGCAACAATAACTATATAAATAAAAGCAGAGTAAAAATAAAAAGCGCATATATGGAGCGCTTTATAATGAGTATATACGCAAGCATTGAAAAGCATTTGAAAAGCACATCGACTCACTTTAAAAGTGATTTTCATGAATATATATGACGTGCCACGATGGCGGAAGCGTCATAGCCTGGAAGTAATAACCCAAGAGGGACAACATCTTACTTAAAGAAGAACTTTTATTCATGTCCT